CCACGCCCAGTACGGCGTGAGCACCGCCGTGTGGAGAGCCATGCCAAGGGCGGCGTTGACACGGGGGATTGGCGAGAGCGCGTCGTGCCCGCACTGCGCGTGCGCGTGCGCGATGTCCGATCGACGTCCGACCGATGTACAGAGTGGGTGTCGAGTGCGGGAGCGCAGCAGAGCAAGCGTACATTGAGCGTTGTTCTGAGTCAGAGGAAGGACAGGCGCACCTCGTGGCCTGAAGACGACCGGTTGAGTGAGGGAGAGATGAATGGAGGTCAGCGAAGCTCGGTCGGAGGTACAATGACAAGGCAGCGACACGCGAACGAAGACATAGAGACACTGCGAGACGGAGCACAGGCCCGGGGTTGCTCTGAGACCGTGATGACAGGAAAACGGGTACTAGCATACGTGGTCTGCCACCCGATGTGCCGTGCCTTGCCCTTCCGCAGACGGCACGCGGAGAAGCACTCACCGAGAGTCCAGAGGCCCATGAACGCGACGCTCTGCCAGAGCCAGTACGTCGCCCACATCACCCACAGCAGCGCGTGCTCAGCGCGTCCTCCGCCCTCCGCGCCAGTGAGACCGAGCAGCACCGGGACGAGATCGTCGATGCGCGCGGCGAAGAGGGCGAAGAGGGCGGTGAGGAGGACGTGGCGGCCGACGAAGAACAGACACTTGCGCGTCGACCGCTGGAAGAGGTGCCTCGGCACTGCGGCGCGGACGGCCTTGATGGAGAGGGCGGGCGGGGGCGGGGCGAAGGGCGTGCGGAGGCGGGCGGCGTACTCGGGCGAGTCGAGGGCCATGGCTGGGGAGGTGCTCGCGGCGACGGGCGCGGGGCCTTTGTGGGCCTGCAGCCATGCTGGGGAGATGTCGGCCTGGCGTAGGCCTGGGCGGGTTCTTTCTCCCAAGCAGAGTCCGTGTCACTCGCAGTCACTGGCTCTGTCACGGAGGAATGCTCGTGGGTGTCCTCCGCGCGATCGGATGCGCATCTCCGCGCGCCACCACGCCCCCCGCCACCGACGCGTGTCCGATCCCGATCACCCTCCCGGCGCTCCGGACGAAGCGGCAATCCGCTGGCTGCAGTGCGGCGACCTGCCCCAGCCATCGACGACGGTCAGCAGCCTCACCTCGCCCTCTTAAATGAGACCCTCTCGCTCTGTCGTATCGCAAGCAGTCCACCCGTCTGATTTGTCTGGATCTTACGCCTGCAATGCTGCCGACAATACTACGTCTGGACCATTCCATCTTGTGACACTTCCCATGCCTGTGTGCATTCAGTGGCCCTTCCGTATGTACGTCTTATCTGGCGCTTGTCTCCAGCGTGGTACTCCTGCCAGACATCTCGACGTGTATATCCGCTCACTCTCCCGCTCTGCCGCATCTCCCTCTGAATGACAGCCTCGCTATATTGATTGCAGCGGCGGAGATCAAGGTCATCGTCAGTACACTCACCGTCATGCAGACAGGATCTCACTGCTTCAACGGACTACTAGCTACTCCGCATGTTCTCACCGGCAGTGTGAAGGGCCGCCCACCACATGGCGGAGATGTCCGTGGAAGAATCATGCATTTGTCCAGATTACCTTGCAGTGATACAGACGTACTCGGGCGGACGTGCCACGTTCGAGTGTGCTTCTTGCGTGACGCGCCCACGCTGATCCACTGGGTTGGACACTCGCTCGAGCCCTCCATGCCGCCAAGCAAGCGCAAGGTGTCATATTAACGTGCGCAGAATTGTGTATGTACCACCGCTCGGGGCCGTGACCATCAGCGCCCTTCAATCGCTTGACATCCCGAGGCAGCTCCTTCTGCGGCTCTCCTTCCTATATCGAATGTCCGTTACCACAATCCTCTCCACCAGTCTCAACCGCGGCAGCCTGCGACTCGGACCCGGGGTTTCGTCCTCTCGGCATGTCCCTCTCGCTAAACCGTGTCAGCCATCGTGGCCTGTCTCTTAGATTCGTCTGGATCTTGTGCCTCGACTGCTGCTGGCGACACCACATCTCAATATGTCCATCCTCTGACGCCTCATATGTCTTTGTACACTCAATACATCAAACATCCGCACGTGTGTCCTATCTCATCCCCGTCTCCGGCCCCTACTCATAAGTAGTATCACTTCACGTTCATTCCAGGTTCTGACGTGAATGTCCGCTCTCCCGCAACAATCTCAAGTCGCATTTCCAACCTGAACGCACCTCGAATCGCAGGACCAAGGGAATCGGCTCTCCGCTACTCCCGCGTGGTCGATGTCCGCGCCGACGGTATGACCGCAACTTGTATGGCGGAGGTGCTCGTGGAAGGATCGTTACCGCGAAGCTGCGTGCGTGCGTCTCGCCTTTTCCTTTTCCGTTCTCAGCCCCCGTTGCGTACTGGGATAGTCACAGCGAGTGACCCGGAGACGAACGTACGGGTGCGTGATGCGCCTCTGCAGGCTGCTCACGACCTCAAAACAGAACGAAGGTTTTCGTCCACACACCGGGGCGCCGCCTCTCTGTCGCATCCAACGACACAAAAAACCGCACTGTCCGTATTATGTGTCGTCTTGCTTTCAGCTTCGTCTCCAGCGCTGACATCGCCTCCGTGTGTCTGTATTCCAGTCATGTCTGCGGATCTGACGTGCATGGGCATCTACCCCGCTCGCTACAACGTATCCCACTCGCAAGACCCCGGGTCAAGTCATCCGAGTCAAGGCGAGCACCCATCGTCGACTCGGAAGCCCATATCGCGCACAAACGCCTCGGCCATCGCCTGGCTGTGCCCGCCGACGCTTCATCACACCGCGGACACGCTCGTGGAAGAGCAGGACTGCATATCCGCGGCTGTGCGTCGACACACAGGCGATCGCCGCGGCAGGTAGGCAGTAGCCCACTGCCAGTCGGGATCTTCTCCCAACTCACGCTCTGCAGTGTCTGGTCTATGAGCTTCGTCTGGACCCCGTGCCTTGAAGTTGAAAGCTGCTCCTGATCCTACACCTCGGGCAGCTCATCCTCTGACGCGTCCCATGCCTTGTTATATTTGATGGGCACGCACCGTCTCCAAGTCCTCCCAGGCGCGCGCTCCTCTCAGGCCTTGACATCGATATCGCCTTCAAGTTGCATCCACGTCACGTCAGACATCCAGACGTACATGCCCGCTCAACGCTGGGTGGCGACGACCGCCAGTCTCGCGACCACTGGCAGGAGATGACAAGCCCGAGCCTCGCCCGCGCGTTCGAGTCGTCAAGCTTCAAGGCCGATGTCATGCAAGAAATCTGAACTTGAAGGCCTCCTCAGGCTGCTTCAGCGTCCCGGCCGTCCCTCCCTCCCGATGATTCGAACACACATCGCAGGGCGGACATGCTCGCGGAACCGGACATCGGAGGGTGCCAGCTGCGGGGCCGGACATTGGTTCCCATGGTAGATACGCCGACCTGCCGTCGGGCGGTCCCGCGCCGCGACCGATGGTAGCACGCATGGACTGCGAGCAAGGCCTGAGACTCGGATCCTCGTACTATAGCGGAGGCGAGTGCTGCTACCTAGCAGATCCTCGAGGTCACGACTCGGACTGCGCGATCCCGGGCTGCCGCCTCCGCCCCACGCCCACGCCCACGCCCCCCCTTCAGCGGCCCGTCTGGCACGACTCGGAAGCGGCAATGGTATGTCGGCCTTCACGCTTCAAGGTCGTGGTGTCCGCCGGCTGTTCGGCGAGTACCAGTATCCTTGTCGCGCTCTGCACCCGTCCTGGCCATCGCGACCCACGTATGACAACAGGCGAGCGGGCGGTATCGCGGCTATGACTGGGCCTGCCCAGTGCCTGCTCACCTCCGCCCTCCCTGACATCATTATCGTCCTGTGCCGACATTCAGCTGGTGGTTCTGTCACGGTCAGATCTTCGTAGGCAGTCCATGGGGCTGCGGTTCGGCCGCGGTTAACCGGTTCTGCACTTCGGTGTACTCCTCTCTCGACCTGGCGTACTCACCTGTAGTGATCCGGGGGGCTTGGTGCTAAGCACATTCTCACTCAAGCACTGTGATGTAGCTCGTGATAGGATGTTTGTTGTCAATATGTCCCTTCTGTGAATAAATACTACATCAATGATATTTGAGAGATAGTAACTGTGCACTAGTTCTAAGCATCATATCAACACCAAGATCACACAAGCCAATCCAGTCAATGTCCTATATGTACCATAGTAATACAAGCCCATACAAGTGGTACAGCTAGTGGGCTAAAACAGGCAGCTTTTAGTGAGTTGGGTACATAAGAATATTGTCAAAGAAATCAGAGAATCATCTCTAGATAATGTCCTATGTGTACCATAGTAATACAAGCCCATGCCAGTGGAACTCTGGGAGGGAATGGGAATAGAAGCCTGAGAGTCTTAAGGAGGGCTCTGCAGCACCAGAGCACAACCACCTTGAATCACAGTGAGCAATATGACTATAGTATGGTTTGGGAAGGTGGCAGCATTGCAAGTAGGCTCCTTGCTTGGAACAATGACCCATCAGGGGGAAGTACACGTATAATGCCCCTTTTCAGCCATGGTGTAAACAGCACAGCTATGATGGATGTGATATGGAAAGAGATGGTCTTCATATCCCCCTCTGGTTCCTCCAAGTGCTTGAGATGTATCCACCATCCAGGCCTCATTTGTCCAGAAGCATGGGAGCCAGGGATTATTGGATCTTCACTGAGAGGCTTCACTTCACTAAACTCGAAGTAAACATACACAGACTGAAGCCGATCATAGGTGTCTTGGGACAGCATGGCATGGAAAGCAGCAAGTGAACTTGCTGTTTCTTGTCCCAAGTCCATCCAATGGCTAGGGCTCAACTTGAATCTAATCAATGCTGGTCCACTTGATTTGTCCCATGGAATATTTGACCAGTTCAATCAACTGCAGAGCACAGGATGATGTGACCTCCTCAATAGTAAACCCAGCAAATTTGTCGCTGTACAATATGCATGCCATTGGAGGATCAATGCAATCTGCATTTTGTATGGATGAATCCTAACCCTCTGGACCAATGAGTTTTAGGGATGATATCGGTCAAAGGGCGATACAAGCAAGATACATAGAATACATCAGAAATATTCAGGCCGCACTAGTAGCTTGAGCATTTCCCGTAGCCATCCGCTCCTGGTAAAAATGCATCCGGTATGAGAACCTCGCTGTTGTTCCGTCGCGCAATGATCAAGGCGAGCAGATGTTTTCCACAGTCCTGCGCCAACGCAGTAAGGCCCTCGTCCGCCCCGCATGCATCGAAGAAGGCCTGACGATCGCGGTCAGGATCAAGGTCTCGGTCGCGCGGGAGGTTCGTCCGTTCTCTGAGGACGCGCAGCTTTGTACACACAGCCTTGTGCGGGAGCGTCGGGTGCTTCCAGGCCCGCGTCAAGCACGGGCGAGAGCAATAACGCAAGATGCCGCAGCCTGAGCACCGGGCGAACGCGCGGCCGGCAGTGGCGAACGTTTCGCGACACTCTGGCGCGCAGCAGTGCCGGACCATAGATGCCCAACCGAACCCCTCGAAGGCAGCGATCAAGGGATCAGATTGAACCGCTTCTGCCTTGCCGTTCGTCGCAAGGATTGCAGGGTGATAGACTGTAGTATCTCCCCGCAGCTTGTGACGGTAGAATACCCCTCCGAAGAGGCCGAAGTTCTTGATGAGTTGGTCGACGGCCGCTTCAGGGAAGAGCACCGTGCCCTCGCGGAAGAGCGGTAGGTGTTTGAGGATGATGTCGCAGACGAAGAGGAGGCCGCAGTTGCGGACCTCGCCTGTGTCTTCGTACGTGACAGTCATGCGGGCGAAGAGCGCAATGTCTGTTGGATTGATTTGCCCGGGATCTGCGATGCTTAGGCAAAAATCAACTATCTGGGTGAGGGTACACATCCAGTTGAGCTGGACGTCGAAGTCAATCGTCTGGCCAAGTGTGTTGTCGCGTTCTTCGCAGAGGCGGATAGCGAGGTCGGTGATCCTTAATGGCCACTCAGGGTGGAACTGAAGGAGACGAGGGATGAGGGATCGGCCACAGATGGCGATGAGCTTGGTGACGAGCGCCAGGGTTTGTTTGTAAATCCCATTTATTGTCGCGTTAGGGCGAAGCCCTATGTAGACATGAGCTGCCGGGGTACTGTACTGATATAGTAGGTCAAAACGTGGGGTCGACGGGAACATTGGCTCGGTGTACCCCCGAAGAGGCCACCTTGCCGGGCGGGACGTGATTATCGTGTGAGGTGTATGTGGTATGTACAGTAGGGAGATTAGAGAGTTCGCGTTGGTATGGTGTATGTGCAGTGTAATGTGTTCTAGTAGAGTCCGTATTGAGATGAGATGAGATGGTAGGGGATATGTATAGAAGAGTGTGAAGAATGCACGCGTCGTGTTCGTTAGTCCGTCAGGTTGGGTCGTCTGTCCCGTTCGCGTTCCGCGGTAGGTCGAGTTCTCCGAAGGTGTTGGCGAAGCGGCCGGTGGCGTGGATGAAGCGGAAGAGTGGGCGGATGGTTTCGGGTTTCGATAGCAGGTGCCGGAGCGATCCTGCTCGACGACCTATTTCGCGGCGTAACCAGTCGCGCTGAGGGGTGTACTCGGGGCATTCGAGAAGGTAGTGTCGGACCGTCTCCCGGCGTTCGTCGCAGGCGGGGCACCTGTCGGTGTCTGATCGGCGTATACGGTGTAGGTGGTGGTTCAGCGGGGCGTGTCCGGTGCGCAGTTGGATGAGTAGGCTGGCGTGTCGACGGGGAAGGGGTGGAGCGCCAGGGTATCCTGAAGTCTGTCGTCACGACACAAACGGAAGGACGCGGCATACCCTTCCATCGACCCCTCGACACCGCGGGGAAGAAGTCTGCTGGCGTCCGTAGGCCAAAGAGGGCTATCGAGATGCTTTCTGCGATGCTTCGTGAGGCCACCCATAGCGACCGTGCCTCCGACTGTCTGGGTTAGGACTGCGTTGTAAAGCACGCCGCTGAGGTGGCGGATGAGCGCTTCGGCGAAGTCCCGGAGGGTGAATTGGCGAGCGGCCTCGAAGGTGTGTAACCATTGCAACAACTCTGCCGTGTTCTCATCCAGCGCAGGGGAACATGAGCACGTACGGAGGAAGGCGTCGAGTTCCTCGTTGTTCTTGTCCGAGCGAGGCAGGGCCAGGAACGCGACAGACGCGTCGAGACATTCAGGATATAACCTGCGGATAGCCTGGTAATCTTCGTTCTCGGGTATGGAGTATTGTTCGTTAAGTGTGTAGGGATCATCCCTGTCCATTCCGTCTAGCAGATGCAGACATCCGCAAAGAACCCTGGCACAATGTTTTGGTCGCGCCGGGTCTTGCAGGGAAGACGCGAAAAGCAGGGCAGCGTCGCCTACTTCCGTTGACAATGGTGACATGGTCGTGCCGCGTATCTGCTATTGAGCTGCAGTATTAGCGACGCGTCGTATACTCGATAAATGCGAACTACATACATACCAGGCGTGAAGTGAAAGAGGTAATGACGTGGAAGGTGGCAGACAGTACTAGGAGGAGGAGGAGGAGGAGTCGTTGCCACTTGCGCGCGATGCGCGGCTAGACGTCACGGTCACACGCCACACACGCGCACCGATGCCATGTTCACCATTGTGCTCCAAGTTCAGCGATTCTCATCGGAACCTATATAAAGCCAGAGCTGTGACTTTCTCTTGCCTCTCATCATGTCCTCTACGCTTGAGTCCTTGCCGCCCGAACTACTGCTCAAAATCACTAGCTATGTGTCCCTGCAGTCGCTGCGCAGTCTCCGACTCTCGTCGCGCCACCTGAATGATGTCTTCTCGAACAACGAGTGGACAGTGTATCACAATGCCGCTCTATACCATGCATACGCCCGTCCTGAATGCATGGACTTATCTGATGCAAAGGCTTCCAATATGCGCTATCCCATAAAGGACCCAGCCTGCGACGGATGGAAAGACTACTGTGAGTCGCTTGTTGTTCCTATTCGTACAGCAGTGTCGCGCTCACCGCGACGCCACTGTGCGAAGATTGGGTTGTGGCTCACTGCCTTTCTCAATGAACCACAAGTCCTGACGTGATGTGTATTTTGTGATCCCATGCTGATTCATTGTAGGCCGACGATGTTTCCTTCTCGATAGAACCTGGGCAGGTGTAGGCCATTCAGAACCTGAGACGAAGGCATATCGTGAAGATAGCCAGAATATCCACCGGATCAAGGTTGACGAAGAGCTCGGGCTGCTCTTCACGTCTAGTCGACCTGGTGCAAAAGCTGCTATCTGCGTCACGGACCTGAAGACTGGGGCCCTTCTGTGGAAAACGCCCTCGGTAGGCGTGTCTCCTATTGAAAGACATGCTAGATTAATGCTGACTACCTTGCCGACGAATGAAGGACTACGTCCGTGCCTGGGCGCACGTCGAGTACGGGCGTGGGTTCCTCGTCTTCGATCGAATATCGGGGCAGAAGGAGATATGGCGCCTTGCGGACGATATAGACAACTCTAGCGTTTCCGCCTCGCCTCCAGATACGTCACAAATGGAGGCCTTCAGTGTAACTTCGCGGCACCATGGCCGCAGCGGCCGTGGCCGTCTTCGCCCCTGGGCGCTGCTCACGATGCCTGAGATGACTCGAGCCTGTCGCTTCGTCTATCCAACTTTCCTCGCCGCCTCGCAGAACACCGCGTATCTATGGGATCTCCCGTCCGCGAGGCTTGTGCAGACATTGCACGGCTTCCAGGCAATGCACAATGACATTGAACCTCTTGGCGACGTCCGCTACGTCGACGTGGATGCACGGCACGTCGTCCTCTGCGGCCAGAACGGAATCCGCGTTATCAGCCGCGAGGACAGCAGCGTCGTTCTTCGCCTGTCTAATACTGGATCCTCGACCATGCTGATGAGTCCAGAATTGACTCAGGGATCCGATCGTATCCCTCTGGTGTCGCCACTGAAGACAGAACACATGCGCTCGAGAGACGGACATCCCTGGGGACGATTCCGCGCAGGTGCGTGTTCCAAGATGCCCAGCACTCGCTATGCCGCTAATTCGTCTATACCGTGCCCCTCGCATGTCTAGCACACCTCTCCGAGACCGGCCGCGATCTCGCATGTTTGCTGGCGGATGGGCGTCTCGTGCTAATCCGCGACTTCGAGCGCGCCGTCAGCGGGAACGTTCCCATTGCGGACGCCGCGCTTGAGGTTGACCTCACGCATGTGCGCCGTTCAAACCAGAACTTGACCTACAGCCTCGTAGCGAGGAGGAATACACGCGCTGGGTACTACCTCGCTTTCGAGCAAGGTCGCGTGGTTGTCGCGACGGTGAGTAGCGCAGGCATCATTGATATTGATGTATTGATCCGACGCGCAATCCTCAGTCGAGCGGGTTGTATGTGGTTACGCTCGATGCGAGCCAGCGCGGGCTTTCCATCCATGGTGCCTCAGCTGAGGACAAATCTACGGTTCTCCAACCACCACAATCGGAAGACGGCATCTCTGAGAACACAGAGATAGCAGTGTCATGGCTCCCCCGCATCAGCGACGCCGAAGTGCTACAGCACATCAGCTGCTTACAGCTCTCCGCGACGCGTCTCTACATCACTTGGCAGGCAAATCGGGTGGATGTTATTCCCAACAGGCACTGCAACGTCACCGCGCAGGTGTGGAAAGACGACCCCCCATACTACGAGCCCGATGTGAAAAATGTCTGGACTGGGCGGCCGATGGTCCATCCGAGGGGGCCTCTGAGAGGTGCGTACTGGGATAGCGGACGTGCTCAGTTGAACTGACATGGATTTGATGGTAGATCCTGGGTTCGTTGTGTTGTGTGTTGATTTCGGCGCTTCGGCGGGGGGCGAGGTGAGATATTAGGAGATTACATTGCAAATGAGTGGTTATTGATTGCGAAACTGATGAGTGGTGATCTCGGGCGACGCTTGTATGTAACTATAGTCTGTGTTCTTGATCTCTTGTGACTTGACAGGGACGCGCCACGTCAGCTGCATTTGGAAAGTGTAGTGGTCAACGCGAACGCCTATTATGCATATATGTCACCCCAGGAAGGCTGCACAGTCTGTCTTCGGCTCCTCCCGCAGCGATGCGAAGCCATCTTACAGTACATGCGCCTGTGCCCTGCTCCCTGAGGACTCCTTTCTACATCCCCGCTGGCTAACATATACATATCATAATTGCTGTCTCATATTCCCCTCGCAGGTTGATGTAATCCACAGGCTGCACCTGGTCTGCACATCACATCGGGCGGCTGCAGCTCGCTAAGACTCGTCTAAACAGTAAACAGTGAACCCCGCCGCCTGACATCGACTTTGAAGTACGTGACACAGTCGTATTGATACAGTATAGTACACTATGGCTACACAAATAAATGGAGACTCCTATGCGGTTCCCTTCCGCGAGCGAGTCGCAAGCCCGCCCACCTTCGAGAATTGCGCGACTTTCCTCCCGGCACCCATGCCCGGGATCCGACTCGCCCTTGGAGGTGATGCACCTACACCTGTCGAAAAAGGAACCTTGTGTCTAGCCTCGTTACCCTTCGCAGGTGCCTTAGTCCTCGTGAACGTGAACGTCGCTGCATTCGTGGTATCGACGAGCACGGGCCTCGAGATCGACAGCCTTCTCATAGCCTTCTTCAGCACAGGGAGGCGTGACTTGCCCTCGGGACTCGGCGTGCACTTGCCCTTGACGTCGCGTTGCGGACGGGTGGGGGTGAGGGGCGCTGCCGGGAGGATAGGCGTCTTCCACAGGTTGTTTGGTGCGTCCGCGTGCATGACGATCACAAGCTCGTCGTCTGAGTCGGGCTCAGGCTCGGAGTCGAACGAGTGCTGGTGGACAGGGGATACAAGGATGGCCGACTCTTCCGATAGGTCGGTAGTCAGCGGCGGGGGGCTGATCATCCGAAGCGGTGAAACAGGCTGTTCGGGCACGGAATGCGAAGCCGAGATCAGAGCCGAAACAGCAGGCAAAGTAGACTCTGGCTCGGTATCCTCGTGGATATAGGCCAACTTGGCCAGCGAAGAGACCGTTGACGGCGCACACACCTCGTTTGCGACCCCGATGCGCGTCGGCACCGTGGAACCAGATGCGCTGGGGGTTGGGACGGCGACGACCTCGACACGGCGACGCCTGGAGCGGGCTGAAGATATAGAGGAAGATGCGCTGATCCCAGATTTCTTCATGCCTGTGGCCTTCTTGAAGTGCGGGAATGAGAAGGAAGTGGAGAGAGACGGAGCATAGGACATAGACGAGCGCCTGGAGTGCGTGTGCAGAGACGAGTTGTGGCTCAAGCTCGCACGGAAGACCTGGCTAGCGAGCGGTGCAAGGTGGGGATACTCGGCGGAGGTGGAAGCGGGCATGGACGCTGCAGCAGCCGCGAGATCCTCTTCGGTGAGCGAAGACAAGAGATCCGAAGCGAGAGTGGTAAGCGCAGCAGTGGGCAATAGGAGCGACGAGTGTCGGACAGGAATAAACGATTCCTTGCGTGGCTTCTGAGATACCTGAGTTATAGTCCCCCTTCGCCTCTCACTTAACTCGTCCAAAGCACGTTGTCGCTCCTCCGGAAGGTCCTCCACGATACTCGAGATATTCGAGGGACTCGGAGTGATTGCAGCCTTGAGTCCCGCCTCCTTCGCCTGGCTTTTCCACCACTTCGCCCTCTTTCGCCAGTTCTTCGCGTCCTTTCTTGCGTCAAGCGTCGCCCGCACCTGTGCTCGATACTCCTCAGGTGTGCGAGGCCCGATGATCGGCTCCAGTAGTGCAGTCCACGGACTATCTGGCGCGTCGAGTGCCTCGCGTATCGCAATGACCAGTGCTTCCTCTGGGTCCACGCCGACGGAAACTTCGTTATACGCGCGCGAAAGGACTGGCTTGTGAGCTCCTGCGGAAATGAGGAGCTCGATGAACCTGTGGTAGCGCACACGTTCCGAGGCGAGCGCAGTGTTCTCGGCGGCGAGGACTTGTGCACGGTCATCGGAAGCCGGAGCTGTAGTCAGTGCAGTGTGCAGAGCGCGTTGAGTCCGTATGAGACGAGCACGGAGAGCGGAAGCTTCAGACGTCGCGCTAGTGGAGGCAGTAGTAGCAGACTCCAAGGCGGTCCGAGACTCGGTGAGAGCCCGCTCGAGGGCAGGAAGCCGTCGATTTGCCTTGTATTGGTGATCGAGTGCACCCTCTAGTTCTCGAACGCGCTTCTTGAGTTCGGACAGCATCGATACGGGCTGTTGTCCAACCGTGTGGATGGATGTCGTTACCGGAGGAAGCGGGTGGGTGATTGAGACTGGGACGCCAGCGTCCGGAGCGATGAGGGTAGAGAGATCAGGAGGGTAAGCAGAAGCAAGAATGAGCTCGTCAATGCCGTTCACCGATGCTGGTCTGGAGGGCAACGTCGCCATCGGTTCAGGTCGGATGTCAGCAAGCGTGCCGTCAGACTTGACCCGGCGATGAAAGAGGTGCGACAGTCTGGGGAAGCGCATGCTGAGAAGACGGGTGAGCGGGAGGACGTTACGTATGGACGACAAGAGTACCGTCCTGATCTTTATAGTTGTTGAGAGTGGCTGACGTTGCGAACACCCAGCGGCAGCCGCCCCAAGAGGCTGACACCATTATGACCGTCAACCTCAATGGGCCACCGCAGTAGCTGCCTATGAGTTCACTGAACCGGAGTAATTGTGTCCACAGTCATCCTTTGTGAGCTTTGTGAGCGGAACGACAGCGTGATAATACAATATATGATTGAGCACACACTATGAGACGACTCAGACGAGAAACCGAGATTCGGAGGCGCCCGCTGTTCATAGACGCCCAGATGTCGCACAGGCGCCTAATCAGTGTCCTCGTACTTGTTCAATCTGTGTCCGCAGAGTTCAAGTTGACGGACCAGCTATGCGAACTTTGATCTTCAAGCAGCGTCTTCCAGCTAAGGAACGATAAATCGCCCAATGACTTTCCCACAAGCAGGTAGTGGAGCGCACCGTCGACGCAAGTCACTGAGATACATGGGAACGGTCAAACGAGTCAAGTGAGAACATAGAGGAATGCCAAATGAGCCAGTTCAAGTCGCCTGCGCACTTCGCCCGACGTCAGCTTGGATAAGGCGCATGATTGGACCACGCAGTGCCAGCGGAATACGAACCGTTTGAACTCCTTAACTACGATGGAAATGGAGCATTACGTTGAATGATGCAACCTGCACACAAGCTGCGCGAGAACTAACAGGTTTAGCTACATCGCTGGATAAGCTCAGAGCGTACTCACCTACACCGACCGGTCCCACCTGTGGGATGTGATGTGATATTCGGTCTTGCATTTCAGACGATCACAATGATCGACAGCGAAGATCATATCTCCCCATGAGCGTGGCTATCTCTGTCCAAGAGACGCCGTCTGTGCATGCGCCGAGAACGTGGTGCAACAGCTGTCTACAATGCCCAACGTCCAACGTTCGACCGACGGTGAGCGCAAGAGAGGTGCGAGCGCATCTTCGACACGGAGCCGCTGCGGCGCGACCCTCCTTGGCAGATTCATGAGATGAATGAATAATCCCGTCCCACAGGCTGTCCGACGTCTTGAAGTGGTCTGAATCCGAGATGAGCTGCTACGCGACGTGGGTCTGTAGAACGTGATCGCCGACGCCAGGCTAGATTACAATTGTCGCGTCTCGAGAGTACTCGATACGTCCAGTCAATTGACACGACATACACAGCGTTGTCATCGTAGAAAGCTGGGACCAATAGGAAGACGAACGCTCAGAGCTCGATCTCCCGCACGCCATCCTTGTCAACCACCTTCACTTTGTACTTTCCGGGCGAAACGACCAGACGTTTCGAGACCTCGTCGATGCATCGCCGAAGAGCGGCCAGGCCTTCCTCGAGACCTGCTTCTGGGTCGTGGTATCTGTAATGGAAGCAGTTATGAGACTCTGAACGTGGAACATAAGATGGTCGAGAGTAGCCCAACTAGAGCTCGTCTGCGATTGTTCAGACACATGCCTACGCCAGCCATGTGGACAATTTCGATCGCAGTTGTATCACGTCCTCTGAATCTTTACAGAGGCGATGGGCGTGGCTCAAGCCAAGTGACACCGTGATGCTGACGCCCAACGGATCCAAGCAACATAAGGAAGCGATTGAACGCAATCAAGTGTACCTCCCACGTCGATGCTATGCGAGCGATAGGTGTGACCTGCAGACGAGCTCATATCGCAGATTCCGCCGCAGGGCGCCGCCGCCTCGGGCCCAACGCAGAACTCGAAGCTGCAACTATCACGGGTACTGTGTTGCTTCGGGGTCACGGATACAAAGACGAGATGACAGATAGCAGAGATCGAGTGCGTACAAGCCTGTTATGGAGCTGTTGACTCACCTGTCGAGCAAACTGAGAGCGAAATAACTCCCGTATCCGTGTGCACCGAACGGCACGCTCGTCATTGTACCCAGGTAGTCCACCCAATACAGCTCCGGTGTGTGTGTTGCCGTGTCATACCCTCCAAGAAGTAGGTTGACGGAGTACGGACTACGCGAGCGCAGTGACTCGGCAAGCGAGCGACGGATCCATGAAGCAGCAGAGGCTGGTCGGAGTGGGTAGGTGTGGCGGATGTGGTAGAGTCGGAGGTTGCGCTCGACATACTCGGCAAAGTTGACCGTGTCGCCTAGATCCGAGAGTCTATCGCTGGCCCTACTTTTGTCTAGGACATATCGCACTCACCTGGTTCTCCAGAGAATGCCATGAGCAAGTGCGGGCTGAGGACCTTGATCTTGTCCTCGTCCGACTTCATCTTGATGATAGACCGGGCAGCAGTTGTATCTGCTGCCACAAGAACGTATCCCTTCCCCGTGAGTGCGAATGAAATATCCATGTCGGCGAGGTAGTAGGTGGACGATGAGGAGGAGGAGGAGAGCGTGGCTGCTCGTACGCGCGTCGCGGTATGCACGACGCGTCAGTCGGCAAAGACCGAATGGGCGCTTACCATGTCACCATGGGCGTCTACGCGATCCATTGGTCCTCTCCTCCTCCCATCTGACCGTTCGAACTTCAGTGTTCTAATGTCCACCGCTCGTCTCGACTTTTTCCAGACCCTATCATTTCACACAAATTGAAACAGAAATACTCTGGGATATGGACATGTGCTGGTCTGTCTGTTGCACAACTCAGCAGGTCGGGATCCAGTCGATTTCTCACCCGATGCGCGAATCGCAAGCCTCGAGATTGAACGTATCTGATCAAATTTACCTTCTTGAGGATTGGTCACCACAAAGAGACTTACGAGACGCGGTATGGGATGGCCGAAAACGTTGGGCCAAGCCGAGCAACTCGCTAGAGACCGAATATGGAAGACAAGTGGCCGAACTGGGACCGCCTACGGCGTCTGCACTTATTTTCCGACGACTGTATATGGTGTGGCTCTATCATCTTCCAGAATGGCAGCTAAGTCTCCTCGTATTCTAGGCTCTATAACGAACAGTTGCAAGTCTTACTGAGACGTGTATCTGGTCGACATGACATGAGCGTGTCTAGTGCATCCGTGTCAAAATCTACTTGTGGTCGGATCTCGTCTCACACTTGCTTCCGCGGGCAACACACTGTGGGCCAATCGGATACTGTATCCGCAGCACGAGAGTCTGCCAACATAGACGGCCCGGTCCTACAAGTGGGTTCGCCTTGTTCACCACGCTTGGGCATTGTTGTCACATTGAGTTCGGGTCAGGGCATTCCTCAGGTAGAGATTTTTTCTCGCGCGAACTTACGTGTTGATCCTGGATCATCCCGAAGAACCATGTCAGCTGTCATAGCTGCATTGCGGGCAAGGCGAATCCTGTGCGTACTCGAGGTCAACGAACAGCGCGACGTGACTGCTCGACATGCTGTGCCATTGTATGTGCATTCGCGAGAGCTTACTATCCTTGATTAGCTCATCATGATCTTTTCAGGCACACGACGAGGCCATTCCTTGTCACAAATGACACTTCACTAATGGTTGATCCCCCGATCATTCAAGTGTCCACTGTCTCCTGAGTTCGGCGTCATACTCGGATCCTTCTCATGCCCGGCCCGCTGGTTTCATTTTGCCAGGGCCCACTGCGATGGACGTATTCCAGCGACCCCGGCGGTATCTACAGATTGATGCCCTAGGCACGTTCGGCTTTGGTGCGCCCCATCCAGATCGCGGGCCTCGCATATGCTGACGCCCACCTAGTCGATCATGACATTGGACGCAGAGTCCGACAGAGGAAAAAGGCCGCTGATACTTTGCTACAGGACTTCTCGGGCTCGACGCCCGGCGTGCGGCTAGGCACAGACATTTACACCCTGTCGCCGTCGTGCGAAAGCAATGTATCAAGACATCTGTCCTATTACGTGACATATTGCACAGTGTATGTCGCAGCGGTATGTGTGCACTGACGGACGAACTCTAGTCTAGGATTCGGACTGACCCACATGTGACAGATGCTTCTGCTACTTCGAGAAGGATGTCGCCCTTCGTCGAAGCTACCTCTGGCGTGGGTCGCGCGAGCACAAGTGACCTGCATCCGAAAGCGAGTGTCCCCTCACGATTGGGCACCAGCCACCTTCTAAAAATACAAAGACGACCGGCTCTGGGAATAGCGCAAATTCGGCTATCTTGATTATACGTGAGTCGTTGTATTCTGACTTTCCCCGTTGGATGATCGAAGTTTGCACCGCTCATGAGGAAATACGCTTCCAGAGCGCACTCGACTCCAGGAGCGCATGCAATGGGGTTTCTTCCTTGCTCCGGGACGAGCCAACTCCGGCCAAGTCATCCTTCTATCTGTCTGTTTTGGGCGTGGCGCGGACAGCTGCCTTGTTCTACGATTGAGAGCGCTGCGCGGACCACTTGCCAGTCCCCGCGTGCGGAATGGTATCCCCATACAAGTGGGGCTACCATTCAGTACGCGGGGATTGTCCTGAGGGCCGACGCGTTTCAAGTTGACGAGTGTGCGGGTCGACAGGTACCCGCTCCGCCAAACGAAGGTGACTGGCACAACCTCTCAAGAACCCTCATAGAAAAGTGAGGAAGGCGTGTCATGTCATGGGTCAGAGCATGACAGTGGTTGACTTGCGTCTCAGATCAGACTGCCTCTATTGTTTCATTGCTTGATTGGTACGTCATATTCTGTAACCCCGCCTACACTGGCTGAGAAAATCTGGGAATCCCTCAGCCGTAGCCATCCACCCAAAATCGCAGACCTGTCGATTGATCGCCGCTACTGTGAGCGGTCCGCAATTCACATGCGGTCTGCGTGATGCGTTTTCCCCAAAGCCACAGCTATTCTAGGCCGCCTTTGCCTAGTCTGGAATACAAGGACGAAGTACAAGGGCGGGTGAAGTAAGCTAATCAGAGCATCCACTCTGACAGGCATATCGAGCAGACAACCGCAAGTGGCTCGATATGATCCAGTATTATACATCTTTGTCAGGTGAGTTAGTTCTTCTGCCCTTCTACGAAAACTTGAGGCCCCAACAAGTGGAGTAGGGGTCATTCGTGGCCGCGGTGTCGCTTCTCGAACTTGTGGATTTGTCATGGACCGTCTCGAGCGATGCGCTCTTGAGTAACCGGGACGGTGAGACGGTGTACTGCTCGCATCTGGCAGTCCTGACCTTTCTGCTTCGCGGATGACCCCTCCCATTCAATTGCCATTTGGTCCTGCGCCCGACCCCGCTGTGCTATACACCGCTCAACCGGCTCATGGTATGACAGGTTCTCTTCCGCGCGCGAGCTATCCAGCAAGCTTTGTGTGGCGCCCGACTTAAGCCGGGTCGGTCGAGAGAATAGGAAGGCGACGTTGGAGCGAGGCTCAAGAGTCATCTCTCCCGAACGCAGACAAACTGCTCGATCAAATCATCTTTGGCGGGCCATGTGGAAAGCGGTCTTCGGACACACGGCCAATTCGGGTGCCGTCGGTAAGTGTTCTTCAGACCTTTCTTTGCTGTCGTAATTGGTTCCTCCTTTCGCATCCCCGCCGCATCGACTCATCAGGGCGCTCTGAACAAACGCATGCGAAACCCGTCATCAGTTTAACCCTTGAGGCAGTGCAACAACACCGACCGTAAATATCAATTCCATTCTGCTTGACCTGGATCCATTCTGAGATGGCCGACGTCACGCACAAACCATAGGGCACTGTCAGAAGGGACATCTACTTGTCTAGATTGCACCAAGGTTCGTCGAGTCTGTCGGAGCACCCGGACAGGCCAGTTTCTCACCACCTCCAGACCTGTGTGTGCAACGCCGCCTATTGGACGTTGGGCGCTCTTTGTCGGATACTTAAGCAGGTCCATATGGCTCGGAGGACCATCCAGCGACGAGTCCTGTCCTCCAGCTCGACAAGCATGCATCTCGCCTCTTGTCTTCTGACTATCCTGGCTTTGGGTCTCTCGCTCTGCGGTGCTTCGCCGGCTCCATCACGGCATGTCGTACACGAGTCGCGCTCATCCATCCCTACTGGCTGGTCGCCCGTGCGACGCGCTGATCAAGACATCGTGCTACCGCTCCGCATCGGGCTGGTGCAGCCCAACATCCACAAGGTCGAGGAGTACCTCATGGAGGTATCACATCCCCAATCACCCGGATATGGAAAACACTGGACGCCAGCGGAGGTGGGACACGCGTTCCGCCCTTCGAAGGAAGCCGTCGACGTCGTTCGTTCGTGGTTACTAATGAGCGCTCTGGGGGCGGACCGCATCCGGATGACCAACGACGGCACGTGGATTCGCGTCTACGTGACCGTGAAAGAGGCCGAAAAGCTTCTTGGGACGGAGTACTATGTCTATGAGAAGGAGACCGAGGGCGAGGTCATTGCTTGCGCCGACAAGTACCACCTCCCAGAACATGTCTCTGGACACGTCGAGCTGGTCACGCCGACTTTACAGTTCGACTTCAAACACAAGCGCCGAGCTGCCGAGAAGAGGGATAGACCGCCTCCAAGCAAGCTCTGGAGGGGTATACCCACTTCAAATGTTTCTCCAGCCAGTTCTGCCGTCGCCCAGGTCAACGGTCCCGTGGAGGTGCGATTCCCCTCCGCTGACAACCGACCCATTGTGCTGAGGGAATACAGAATATTACCGAGCAGCTCTCTGCGTGCGGAGAACAAATCACACCGGCCTGTCTGCAGCTCCTCTACAACTTCACCGACTTCACGCCCCAGGTGCCTGGAAACAACTCGATTGCTATCGGTGAGCAAAGGCCTTCACCGTGCGAAACCGAGTTGTGGCTAACGTACTGCAGTCGAGTTGACACCCAATGCCTACTTAGCCAGTGACTTGGACATGTTCTTCGCAAACTTCTCCCCAAGCCAAGTGGGCGAGCGTCCGATATTCGTCAGCATCGACGGAGGTTGGTTTCCGTCCCCCATATGGAACAGGTTTGACGGTGTGATGGCTCATGACCGCTGGACTATTCAGGTGTTGTTCAAACGACCACTGAGTCGCTCGATGATAACGTGGAGTCCGATCTGGATCTACAATACGCCATGGCGTTGGTGGGCCCAACACAGAATGTCACACTCCTCCAGGCAGGCGATCTCGTCGAAGGTATGCATCGTGTGCGATTCAGACCGCGTCCGTATTGACCGCAAGTGTCGTCTGCCTGATATCTAGGTGCATCACCTAACGACGTCCTTGATGCACTCGACGCTTCATACTGCACATATGAGGGAGGGGACGATCCTAATTTAGACCCCGTCTACCCGGACCCTGATGGCGGATATCAAGGCAAGGCGCGAACACGTTCAATTATATCAAAGACTGACTGATATCAGGCCACGACTGTGGGACCGCTCCCTTGCCAAATGTCCTCTCTTTTTCCTATTCCAGCGCGGAAGCATACTTCACCCCTGCGTACATGGAGCGTATGTGCAACGAATTTGCGAAGGTCTGCAGGGCCGCCATGTAACATCCAGTGGTTGCAAGCTGACGATGGGCGTGCAGCTCGGGCTGATGGGTGTGACAGTTCTTTGGTCTACAGGGGACTATGGTGTCGCTACTTTCGGCGACTGCCTCGATGCCGCCGGGGATTTGGGCAGCGGCACTGACTACACCACCTTCAGTCCGTCATTTCCGGCCACCTGCCCGTATGTGACTGGTGTGGGCGCCACGCAAATCAACACAACCTCGGTTAGCAATCCTTTCAGCATTGTTCGACCTTTCACTGACGACGCGATTGCAGACTCGTACTATGGAGAGTGCGGCGTACGAGCCTGGGAAGCTCTCCTCAGGCGGTGGTTTCTCGAACATTTTCGCGCTGCCTAGCTATCAGCAAACTGTCGTGCAGGACTATCTGACGAATTATCCGCCCCCGTACTCGTCTTCAGTGTACAATTCGTCGGGTAACTCCCGCGCATACCCTGACCTGTCTGCTAACGGGTACGCCTCAGATTTTTTGCCTAGCTTGGTGATTCGTTGGCTGACTTGTGTCGCATTGTAGTGTCCGATATACAGTAGCAGCGGATGGAGAGTGGCTGTCGGTCTATGGAACGTCAGCGTCGACGCCCGTCATTGCGTCCTTCTTCACCGCCATAAACGATGCACGCATCGCTGCAGGGAAGAGCAGCATTGGCTTCATCAACCCGACTGTGAGCTACTTCCCCTCGGGCGTCTTTGCATCATTAACCTTGATGCGCGTCGGAGACAGATCTATTCGTCTTCGTTCCAAGCAGCCTTCAACGACATTACCGACGGGTCAAACCCCGGGTGTGGCACCCAGGGCTTCTATGCCGAACCAGGATGGGACCCGGTTACCGGGATTGGCACTCCCAATGTCGCGATGCTTCGCGATTTGTGGCTTGAGCTTCAGTAATAGTTGAAGCCACTTCAATTTCTTCAAAGGACTTATTAGGTTTTGATGGGTCTTTCAATCTTCGTTCGCGTTCACCGATAGGCCCATCCACTGGCTTCCATGATGTACTGTTCATTGGTTGTAGATCTTCTCGGTTTACCTAGCTAGCTTTATGGGTCTGCTGAAATCGCTGGTATCACTGTGCGAAGTGAGTGACAAATCAATGCATAGCTTACTACTTCAGTACTCTCCAGTACTTAGTAAGTATTAGCACTGCGTCCTCGAGCTTCAAAGCTTCACCGCTCGGTGCTCAAGCGCTCAGCGCTCTGAAGGGGAACGCGGCACGCGGCCCGGAGCGGACGTCCGTCCAGCCGTTTGCGTCATCCGACTCAGGCTGTGGAATCCAGAACTTCAAATTCACTATGCGGATTCACATAAGTACTTTAGGGAGTGTTCAAGGCTCCGAGCTTTGAGTACTTTAAGCCGACCACTGCACCGTACTTAGGTGCTGCGGTACGCACCTATCTTGTGAACCCATCTTGAAAGTGGTCCTTGGTATCACTCAACTTGTGCGTAATTCTCCACGAGGATCACTCTTTTAAGCTTGACGTCCGGCATTCCTGCACCATGCAAGCAGCGATAATGGCTACGCTGGATACGATCATCATTGGAGCAGGCTGGTCTGGCGCCGTTGCCGCGCGTCAGCTCGCGCAGAGCGGGTACAAGGTCCTTGTCCTCGAGGCGCGAGAGCGCATCGGTGGGCGAGCGCGGACTCACACGGAGGGCACGCATGTTCCAGTCGATCTTGGGTGCAGCTTCATTCACGGTGAGTAGCATGCTTTTGGCCTTCAGACGCACGAGCCGATCACACATCGACAATGGGTAGGGTACAAGGAGGGAAACCCTACGAAGGTTATTGCCAAGGAGCTCGGGGTGGTAGGTGTCCATCCGTCCATGTACTGAATCTCTGTATCTCACCAGTGCATCCAGGGTGTAGATGTCACGAAGCCCACGGAAAGTGCCATATACGGCGCAAATGGTGAAGTACACACTCAGAATGGGATACATTGATATCAGTCGTATCTGACGGATATCACAGGCCTTCTCGATGCCTCGGCAGCGAACGATTTGCGCGATCGTCTCGGTCGGGCGCACGCAACCGCACGCAACACCGCTCTTAACAGCACCTCGTTATTGCCATCGTCCACAACCCCTCTCTCTGCCGCATTCTTCGACCCGGACTCCGCGCTTAGCACCTCGTCCACTCCGAGCACCGCGACGGCCTTCGCGCGCACGCTCGAAGTACCCTTCGGTGCCGTCCTCGAGCAGGTGAGCCTGCGCTGGACCGGGTGGGAAGACAATTTCGCAGGGTCAGACGCCGCGCCCCACGGCGGCTTCCAGCCCCTCGTCGAGCGCGTCCTCGCCGCCGCGACACACACCGGCAACACACGCGTCCAGCTCGGCGAGACCGTCTTGCGGATCCAGGAGGAGCAGTCTGGGGTGAACGTGTCGACGGACAAGGGCGTCTACCGCGCTGCGACGGTCATCTGCACGATCCCGCTTGGGGTGCTGAAGCGCGATGCTGCCCATTTGTTTGAGCCGAAGCTACCTGTGCGCCGGACGGAGACTATTCAGGGCACGCATGTTGGCATTCTGGAGAAGCTCGTCCTCACCTATTCGGACGCGTGGTGGCCAAAGGCGGGTACGGTCGGCTCGTTCACATTCCTACCATCTCGCACGGGCGGAGGCGAGCCCAAGACAGCGGACGACGTGCTCGCGTCCGCCACGCTGGTCGTCGCCTCCTTTGCCGGGCCGTCCCTCCCGCGCCAGCACCCGACACTCCTCTTCTACCTCTCGCCCACTCCCGCACTCGGACTAGCGAAGTTCCCGCTCGAAGAGGTCACGGACGCTGCACATGCGTTCCTCACTGCGCGCTTCCAGCCCGGTACCCAGCCAGCCAAGCCGACGAGCTCCGTCATGACGGACTGGCATAAGGACCCGCTCGCACTGGGTGCGACCACGACCCCCAGCATCGTTGGCGAGGGACGCAGCCCGCTCGACTTTGCAGAGCTCGCGAAGCCGCTGTGGGGCGGCAGACTTGGCTTCGCGGGTGAGCACGCGGAGATGAATCACAGAGGCAGCGTGGCGGGGGCGGTCATCAGCGGGATGAGAGAGGCGGAGCGTGTCAACCTGCTGCTCACGAAGCTTGCGGAGGCATGATAATATTCAATGTAGATTTATGATACAGACACCAATGTAGCCAGACAAACGACAAGAGAGTAGCATAACGGGCGTAGGAGTACGTGTGCGTATGCGTATGCATCCATGATGTTTGCATGTGCTTACCTGCATGACAAAACAATACGAGTTGTAGATAGCTGTGGATCCCGACTAAGATCTAGCGGATGCTCAGGATGCCGCTGCTCGTGCTTCCCGTGCCGGACCTGCTCCCCTCCTTTTCCTTGCCCTTCTTCACCTTCGGCACCTCCCACACGCGCCAGAACTTGAGGTTCTCGTCGCCCGCGCCCGTGCACACGACGTCGCCGTTCGGGCTGATCGCGCTGTAGAGCACGCGCGAGTCGTGCGCGTCGCGGATCTCGACCACCTTCTCCATCGACGGGTACGCGTGTACCATCACCGCGTTCGTCGGGTACCCATGCGTGCTCAGGAACTCCTTCTTGTGCGGCGACCACTGCAACGATGTCACCTGCGACGGTGTCACCACCGAGTGTAGCCGCGCGCCCGTCGTCGTGTTCCAGATGTGGATCGTCGCGTCCGACGTGCCGCCGCCGGACGCGAGCAGCGACGGCTGCCACGGGCACCACGCAATCGCCTATGATACCGGGTCAGCACGCTGATCATCGTATGTCCTGGCTGGGGCTGCTCACCTTGACAGCGGCGGTGTGGTTGCGCTTCGTCCACCGCGCACCCGCGCGTGTCCCGGGAGCGACATCGCCGATGCGGCCGTCCCAGATGTTCACGACGTTGTCGTTCCCGCCGCTCGCGAGCAGTTCGCCATCGCTCCGCCACTTGAGGCCGCACACCTCTCCGACATGGCCGGTGAGCTCGCCCACCTTGTGCCGCGCCACGCGCACATCGTGGTGCCAGATGCTGCCGTCCCCGCATCCGCTCGTGAGGACGTGCTGGTTCCACGACAAACACCCGACTTGGGTCGAATGGCCCGTCATCGTGCGGAGTTTCGTTTGCGTCTCGACATCCCATAGCTCGACCGCGCCCGAGCCGCTCCCGACACCGAGGTACTGGCCGTCCATAGAGAAGTCGAGCGCGCTCGCGTACGTGCCCTCGGGCATCTCGCCCAATTGCACGACGTCGCCGCTCTCCGCGCGCCAAAGGTAGGTGTTCTCCGCAAGTGCAACCGCGAGCACGTTCTGCGCGCCCCACGCGACGATGTTGAGGTAGAAGTCATCTAGCATTCCTGGTGCGTCGAGCACGCGCTCCGGCGTAGTTGAGATTTTGCGGCTCTTGCCTGTCGACGACGAGGTGGAGGTGGGAAGAGCGCCGGGGCGCGCGTAGAGCGGGCGGACGAGCTCGCGAGCCTGAGCGAGCAGCGGGTCGGAGGATGACGGCGGCGGTGGCTCGTGGTAGGCAAGCACACGGCGGTTGATCGGGACGCCCGTTGCTGCTGCGAGACGTGCGGTGTGTCCCGGCGACGCCGACTGAGGATTCAAGGACATCATGTCCAGCGTCGCCGTGACTTCTTCCGTCATGTCGCGCGCCGTGATGAACCTGTCGCGGGTGTCGCGCTACGGGGTACGTATCAGCAAGCGTGCCACGGGATACTGAGAGACCAGGATGTATAGTTGTATCATCCACTCACATTTGGTTGAGACCGGGACCGCTTCTGGGTCCTCGGCGGCACGTAGTCGCGCGTAATGACGTCGATTCTGCTCTCCACGCCGCCTTTTCGTATAACGCCAGAGCTTGCCTGGCGTTGCAAGCTGTCTGAGACGTGTAGTGAGCCACTGGTCGCGCGTTTGATGGGTGAAGCGGGTCTGCTCTGGACTCGTCGAACAGGTGATGCAGGTCGACTGGCCAGGAACGGGTTGATAGATACGTCCGCCTTTGTCTTTGCTGGCGAGCTCGAGCCTTGACGCGGGAATCCCAGACTGAGCGCGTTCAAGCCAGAGGTGAGCGATGGTGTGAGTGGGGTCTTCGTTTCCGACCGCGAGCGGTGATGACGAGAAGGTGTCTTTGGTAGATACGACATTTTATCGCCTGGGTGGTGTGTCGCAGAGAGGAGGAACAATGGGAGAGAGGCGGGTGGGAGAAAGGAAGATGGCAGACAATGCAAGCCAGTGGCCACGCCCCCGCCATACCGCAAACCGAACTTGACCCACGTGATCGCGTACCGCATCCTTTCCTAAGCGCTGTAATCGACTGCTGAGCCCGGTCAGACGCGCTCGCGGTGGTGGAGGATGGGCTAACTGCTGCGTCGCACGCGCGGTATACCGCCAGCGGAAGACTGGATACGCCAATTGCTCCAGTCAATCACCGTACCGACCCCAGAACAGTTGCGGACGAGCTCATTAAAATGGTACCAAACAAATGAGTACGGAGAGCGCAAGTGCACAGGAGACGATTGAGTACTCCAAGATCTGCCTCGATCAGCCAAGCCCGTCTAGGTAGCACATAACATGACAGCTCTAATGCACAATGCAGCGATACAAAATGCAGGTGAGGCCGGTATGATGGAATGAATGGCGAAGCTATCGTCCCCACAAACAACCGACTATTGGGGCTCAGCATCGCCGCCGGGCTCTGCAGCACGCGCCGCTCGCCTGGCCTTTTTCGCGGCATTGGCAGCCGCCGTCTTCGCCTTTTTGGCTTCCGCACGGGCAACCTTACAGCACTTCAGCGAGGGGTGTATGACACCAGATCACATAACGCACCTTCTCTTCCTCCTCTTGCCGCATCGCAGCCTCCTCCGCCTTCCTCTTCTCCTCTTCAGCCTTCTGCTTCGCGTCCACGCCGTTCTGCGCGCCGCCCTTGCTCTTCTTCTTCGCCTCGCGCGCCGCCTTCTCCTCCTCCTTGATCCGCTTTATCCGCGGGTCGTACGCAAGCGCGAGGTCGACGATGCTCCGCAGCCGCGCGATGTCCTCCTTCTTGCGACGCGCCCGCTCAGACTTGTTCTTCTTCTCGGTATAACGCTTGTCGTCTCGGCTGTGAAAATGCTACTCGTCAGCCACGACGCCCCAAGCGTAACATCTGCGTTCGATACGCACTTGTCGCTACCCTCATTGATCTCCTTGTCGAGGTACTCGAAGCTCCGCCAGCTGTCAAAGTTGTACCAGAAGTCGTAGAACGCATGCACGGTCTCTTTGGTGTCCTCGAAGCCGCCGAGCATCGGCACAGGCTGCTTGCGACTGAAGCGCGCCTCGCGCTCGAACACGGGGGCGAACGAGTCGAAGAAAAACTTCTGCGGGTTCTTCGCGCTCTTGAGCTGCTTTTCCGCCGGTACATCCGCCTCGAGCAGCTCGTAGTACGGGTCGACGGAGTCGAACTGGCGCCGCCGCTCCGGGTTCGTCAGCACGTCGTGCGCCTTCTGGATGCACTTGAAGAATGCGTCGTCATTTGAGTCTCCCGCGAGCCCGGCCTTCTTGTCCGGGTGGTGCTTGAGCACCTTTTTCCTGTCTGCCGGGAGGTCAAGATCCGATCATGCAGCTGGGACTCCGACGGCTCCATGCTGTGGGTCAAGATGTGAAGAATACGTACGCGCAATCTTAATCTGGTCGCCTGTCGCCTTGTAGCGCAAATGTGAGAGTCCGAGGACCTGGTAGTGGTCTTGTTTCTACGAAAACATACGTCAGGTCGGATGCTCGAGCCTCGGCGACCTCCTCACGCACCTTCCACTCCTTCGGATCCAGCAACGATAGCTCCTCGTCCTCTGGCTCATCTCCGACCCCAAGATCATCCTCGCCGTCAACGCCTGTGCCATTCATCGCCTCCAGGCGCTTGCGCTCTTCCTCCGCATGTTTATCGTGCTCCTCGAACGTGAGGTTATGGACGGCGCGCTTGACATGCGCTAGGTATGCCGGACCAGCAGGAATAAGTCTGCGTGTGACGAGGGCTGAGAGAGGTGAGCTTCCAGCCTCGCGCAAAATATGAACTACACCGCGTACGAGATATCGATTTGCCCGACGCTGCCGGGGGCGTCCACGACGCAGGCAGCGGTGGTGGGACAACTGATAGTTCTCTAACGTTCGCCATCGAGATAGTAGCCCGAAAAGAGTGGCCAAGAATGAGCGTGTGGGAGCCTCAAGGAACAGCGATTTGAGTAGTGTTCGGCCGGGCAAGGGCAGCGGGACACAACTTTTCGAGCGCCCGCGGACAATTCCGATCTCAAGCTCTCAAGCGCCCGGGATCCCGCCACCGACGCGACACCACGTGATCTCCCCTCGACGCGTCGCGCCAATCGAGCGCCGATCCCGGACTTGGTTCATTCCAAGACACTCGCTGGACACTGATCAGTACATTGATCTCGCTTCCTGACCTTACCCTGGCAATACAAACCGACTGCCCTGTGCCAACCCATAGCAAGTGCTCCCGACCTGTGGGCCTTACCAGCGACCCGGAAATAGACTGTTTAAGCAGCCTCAGGTTGTCACGTACGTACTTGACTGCCATCCCGGAGATAAGTAGTTGACCCGAATGACTTCAGGACAAGATGGCGCTTAATGTCATCAAAGAAACCAAACTTACGGCTGCATTGTGCCGCCTTAGCCCCCCCGCATCTCCTTCTAAACGAACCACCAAGGCGTCGCGAGGGTCTTCCAAGATCCTGGCTGCATTCGACGCCGCTATGGCTACGGATGATCGTCCGCCACTTGCAGAGAGCGGTGTGCAGATTGAATCCACGTCTACGTGCTCAAAGTCGTGAGTTGCTTGCTTCATGTTCACGGGAGTACAATGGTCGACCAATCGGATCATTCTGAATACTCTGTGTGGCGCTTAGTAGCCTTCATCCTTTCTTCCTCAACGCAAATCACTCCCATCCAACGCCACTTATGCAGAAGCCGAAAGTGGCGAAGACGAAGACGAGCTCGTCGAGCTCAGCGACCTCCGCGCTCCCTGGAAGTGTCTCAGGATCCTCCAGACAGGGAAAGTCTACCGGTCGCGCGCACTCGCGAAGCAAGACTACAGCAATGAACGCGGCGCCTGCATTGCCCCTCTACTCGTACAAAGACTACAACCCCACGCCGGCCGTGGTATATGTTCGTCACGAAGAGGAGGCGGATGATCTCGTGCAGGCACTCAGCGGGTATGTCCAATCTATGTAGCGTGTTTGTCTTTTATTACTGACACCGTATCTTACCAGACCGCTGGGCTTCGACATGGAATGGGTCATCTCGTGGAGAAATAAAAGCTGTGCTGAGCGTCGCACTGCGGTGGTCCAATTGTGCGACAAGCGGATGATTCTCATAGTCCAGCTCAGCGAGATGAAGCGTACGCCACTCCTGCCCTTTGTTCTTCAGTTTCCCTCACAGAGGATACAGGTTTTCCGCAGAAAGTTAAGGTACGCCCGCCACTGCCGTCAGCGAACAAATACGATCAGCTATCTTCAGGAAATCATCGAGTCGCAGGATATCGTCAAGATGGGCGCGAATATCAAGAGTGAGTGGCACCACACAATACCACCGGCAGCAGCCGCTAACGAGGAACTCAAGACGACGGCGAGAAGCTCTACCGCGACTACGGCATCCTTGCGGCGAACCTCGTCGAGCTCGGAGCCTTCGCGCACCGCGCCGACGCGACCTTCGCGCATACGCACAGGAGGTCGATCGTCGCGCTGGCGAAGGTAGTCGAGCACTACACATCAAAGACGCTCGACAAGGGCGCGGTGCGCTGTAGCAACTGGGAGGCTGCGCCCTTGAGTGAGGAGCATATAACATGTTGGTCACATCTTCCTCGTTCAATGCACGTCTGACTGAAGTCTGGCTGTATAGACGCTGCGAACGACGCACACTGCGCACTGGTCGTATACAACCGCTTGCTCGACATAGCAGCAGAGCAAGGACGGGCTCTCGGCCCAGCGCCATACGGCAACCAAATCGTTCCAGGTATGCGGTCGACCAACGGTACCAGCAGTTCCATCTCGCTGGCCAGCTCCACTAGCTCGAGTCATCGCACCGTGTCGTACGTGAACGACGTCGACGAGCTCCTAGACAGACCACGCCAGAGTCCGCAGCATCTGCGCGCGTATAACCTCTGGCATCATCGCGAGGCGCCTCTCGCAGAGATCTGCGCGACCCTCAGGTCGAGGGAGAACCCGCTCAAGGAGAGCACCGTTATGTAAGTCCTCTCTGTGTGGCCCTGCGTGTGATGCTAAGGTTTGATGCATGACAGATCGTACGTCGTACGCGCGCTGCAGGTAGACCCGTCTCTGCCGTTCTCGATGGACCGCCTCAAGGCGCTTGTACAGTTGGAGGCGGGATCTTGGGCGAGACACCGCGATTGGATTGTCCAAGCGGAGTCGCGGAAGAGCTAGCGCATGATACTTACCAGTGGATGTAACGCAGCTTGGCAGGACGAGACGCGAACTTGAACCATCTACAAGTAACATTTATACTGTATCTTTGCTGCATAGACGGCACGAATGGGCTGGGCAGTCAGTTGTGTGTATATGTATGTATGATGCCCGTGACAATGAGGTCGTTGCAATGCCATTGTGAACCTGCCACCGGCCAGGCGATATATTGCCTAGAGTTCACTTCAAAACCGTGGCGACACGTACCAAGAGACCGACGCAGTAGACGATGTTACGTCCGTATCGACCTCGTCCGACATTAGTGCCTGTTAGGTTAGGCAGACGACACAGACCACTAAAGCGCAACGCAACGAAATGGAAGAAACCAATACTCTACTATCTGTTACATCCAGGAACCTGCATCTACGGACCATCCAACTAATCTCACGTCAACCGTACACCTATACCAATCACTAAGGCTTCTTTGCTGACTTCCTCGTTGTCTTCCTGCCTCGAGGTTGGCTCAACGTTCTCTGACGCTTGGATGACTGGGACTCCAGGCTTTCCTCGACGCCGCCGTCTAGGTCTTCTTGAGCACGACCGCGCTTGCCCACGCTACTGTCCCTCGTACCAGCGTCTTGCTGAAGCGACAGCTGCGTGCGAGACCGCGTCATCCTACCCTCGGCAACTGGAACAGACTGGGCCCCATCGGATGTACTGGGCCCAGCCATGTTACGACTGCCTGACGAACGAAGGTTGTAGCGGCGGCCCGGTCTTGCGTTGTCGGGCTCGACAACGCTGGCTGGCCATGTTTCGGCTACGGGGCGGCTGGGAGCTGCCCTCCTGGTCGCTGGACGCTTCGTTTCTGGAGGTGCCTCCGCACGACGAGCAGCGCTCTTGCCTGCTTTGCGACTCTGTTTCCGGGTCGCCTTACGTGCGGGAGGTTCAGAGGGACCGGCCTCCGGTTGCGACATCGGTGGAGGGGGAGAAGGACGTCGACCTTCCCAGAATGCTGCTTCTTGGTTCTCTGGCTCATCAACTTCTGCGTCGACCGCTGCCGAGCGATTGCGGACTTCTACCTCCCGAGTCGGTCGACTAGGGCCGGCTATGGGCAAGTTTCTCGCATCCGCGCCTGCGTAACCGGCACCCGACTGGACATGGTCGGACGCTTCATTCTCTTCGGAATTGGGGGCACCTGGGAACCAACTCTTCGATCCCGTTGTAGGGTCGAACGAGCCCTTCGTCACCGGTTTGTTACGAGATTCTTTGACCTCTGTCGTATACGCAGCGTTCTCCGGAAGCTTCCATTCGAGGGCGGCATCATCCTCGGGCCAAACGTTGCCTGGGGCTAGCACATCGTCGAAGATGGCGAGGATATCGCCATGGGTCATGCGCCTGACGCCGACATCGAGTCGAGGGAAGTTGTGCGTGCACGCCAGACGAAACTTCTCCAACAGTCTGGTCAGCGGTTCGTTGCCAGGAACCGTTAAGGGAGGCTTCGGGCTCAGCATCCAACCGGTCTTTTCGCGGATAGCTTGGTTCGGATACTTGACGCAGAACAAGCTGCCAAATGCCCCGTCCTTCTCATGATGTCCATGATTCGTGTGTCGGAGAACAATGAAGATCAGAAGCCAATAGAACGACTCGAGGTCATGCCGAGCCTCATGGGTGATCTCTGTAGACAAAATCTCGATTGCCATGAAGAAGATCGTGCCCTAGTGAATATCTCAGCTGAATGTACCAGTACGAGAAGTGGTTCACTAACCGTGCGTTCCTTAGACTCGTTCACGGGATCCTTCTTGCTCCGCGGCTCGTGGCCATGTTGAACACAGTACTCCTCCCATGTAGCCAAGTCGACCTTCTCTTTGCGCTTCTGGAGAAACCACTTCCAGCAGAAGCTGAAATCGAAGTCCTGGATGTAGCCTCTGAAGCGAGCACCCTTGGGAGCGATCATGACGTTGCCTTCGCTGATATCGCGATGCACAAGACCAGCTTCATACGCCTGCCGATGGCCTGTGTTGCATCGCGTTGTCAATAGTATGAACAAGTAGAATCATCAGAGCTTACCTTCCACAGCGTCTCGCAGAGCCAAGACGAGCTCCCTGGTAGACTCAAACTCCGCAAGTGGTGTGCCGACCGTCTCCAATACAATCCGCGTATGACTCCGTTCGTTCAGTCGCGCTTTCTTGGGCGCGCTATGCACGCCGGCAATGGTCCGATGACCCATCTTCATATCGCGGGGCACACGACTTCTGGACCGCTGTTTCGCCCCCGCCTCTCGATTGCGCTCTTCCTCATCGCGCTCGCCAAGGTCTTCGCCGTGAATGTAGGTCGCTACGCCGAAGAGGGGCTCACCCCCCGTCGCCTGCCGCAGTGCCTCGTAGAACTCGAGTTCGCATACACGTCCCATTTGTCGCCAGGTCTCCTTCACGATGTATGTCTTCCCCTTATGCTGATCCTCCTCGTTGAGCTTGAATGCCTGCCATACGAGCGTCGCCCGCGAGAATAGCCCCGGGTTCACGAACACCAGCTTATATGTGAGATACGTGGTATCCCGTCCCCTGTCCGTCATGACGATCCGCCGCACGACTTTCCTCGTGCCTGACATACCCGCCCATCGGGGATCATGATCTCTCGCGAGAGCGCGCACCAGCATCTTGTCAGCCCCCGTTCCCAGCTTCGCCGTCGGGTCTGCCCCGGCGATTCCACACTGAGGCGGCCTGGGGTGGAACAGTCGCCACAAGAATTCGTGAAGGATCTCCGGCTGGCATTTGTACTCGAACTTGGGGGAGCATATCCCGCCCGCGCGGTCAAACCGGAAGATCCGAGCTAAAGTTCCGTAGATACCGACGACGAAAGCGTACAAGCGGCCCTGCGAAAGCATCATGTTGCGTGCGTTCTTCGCGAGCTGCATGAGCGTATCCCATCCCGTCGGAGTGTTTCTGACCATCGGGTCATAGTTGTCTCGTGGCTTCAGCTCGAAGACCAAGGCGACATCCTTCCATCGAGAGATCGGTTCCTCTATTTTTGCAACAGGGAACGACGCGACCACGTCCGGCTTGGTCGGATGCTGTTCGTCGGCGTACGGTGCGAAGGGGAAATGCATGATGTTGTGGCCGTAATTGTAAAACTGCGGTCGCGAGTTGGGCGGGAACGAGGTGGCTAGCTCACCCAACGCATCCACCTGTGGGTGATATCAGCGTTTTTGCGCAACCACTGCCATGCCATTCACACTGACCAAAGGGTTGTACATATCCTTCTCGGGGCCGTCGACTGGGATCGCGTCAAACAACGAACCAGTGGGCGGGCATGCGGGCATAGGTGTATCGGACGGAACCATCCTGGCCAGGTATTGCTTTACGTCTTGGTCGGGATATTCCTTGATACGCTCAAGCATCACGTCGTGCCAGGCTGCGACATCCTCTGGGTTGTTTTGCTTAGCGTGGGCCATGTCGCTGTGATACTGTTGTGGCTGCGGCCGACGGGGCGTTGACTTGTCGGGCATTGGTTTCTTCTGTTGGGGTTGCTCGGCAATGTCGATGTCGATGTCCACGTCGATGTCAAGGTCACAATCGGCGGGGGGAAGGTGGTTGGGATGAAGGTGGGAGGAGCGAAGCAGGTAGTGCGAGGGAGGCATATTTACGCGTCCACGAGGCATGTTGAATTCCGAGTTGTTGGCCAACTACCAGAAACGGATGCAGACCACGGGTGTCCGACGCGTCAGTATTACTGGACTACGGTACCACTTTCGGCCTAGACTTGTGAAACTTACGGCTAGTTTTGCCCCAAACCTGGCGTAGGTGCCGCTGAAGTATCTTATCGTGTGAAATCTCGTTCGAGATTATCCGGGGGACCAGCAGTGGCTGTCCGTCGCGTAGCCGGAGTAAGCAGGAGAAGATGAACAGAGCGTTGGAGGCGCTGGTACGCCACAGGTGTGGCTAGCCACGTGTTTGATGGCGCTGCCTTCCCAGCCAATGATTCGCACGCGTCACATCGCGATGGCACCCATTGTCGGCCCGATTTGGGATGCCCGTTGTTCATGCCTTGTATTTCGGTTGCGAGATCAGAGTCAGAAGAAGCTATGAGCACATGGTGCCAAGATTGTGCGATTAATTGGCGTGGATTACTTGGCGTGGATACCACCGTTGAGCTACGGTACTTGCTTATTACACTGTACAGTCAGTTAGTCACTGCGTAACCTGATGAACGCACTTGAATGCATGGCTTTCATCGACATATCTATGAAAAGCTAGACAACCACGCGCACGTTTGACTGAGCACCGGTATACGGGACCGAAGTCCAGATTCAATTGCCAGACGACAGGCTTGTGGCCGTGCTCGTGAGATTCTCGATTAGACGTGGCAAGGGAAGACTCACGTGCGGAACGCGCCTGTGGCTGCAATGTGGCTGAGCGGCGCCTGCTCTTCCCCAGTACCTTCAAGTCCTACTACCCGAGCGGCGTATAGGCAGTGCCCCAAATCCAGCCCCGTGCAACGCAGTGATAGGCGATCTTTTCTGCAGAACTAACTATATCCGGTAAGCCTTGTTGTGTCTCAACCGGAACAGGTCGCGACTGACTCGCCCACCCGCAAGTTTCTGTGGACCGTCCTGCCTTATCCGTTCGAGTGGCCCGTGGCTCGCGATTTAAAATGCCTAGCCTCAAAAGCGTTGCTGTCCCGGGGGCCTCCCACTCTCTCTCATGCTCCTCCTGCCTTGATCGCCTGCCGCCTGTCCCGTATTCCGACGACACTGTTCCCGACATCGTCATGTCCGACAAAGACAGTGTTCGCATTCAAAAGTCTGATGCGCAGCCGCTGGTTGCGTACCACGCTCAGCAGAAGAGCGACGTCAACGAAGACCGCTGGAAAAGCGAGATTTTCAGGAAGATCATCGAGATAGAAGACCCACTGGACGCCTTTCTACAAGAGTTCGTACCTAGCTCGAAGCCAGTGCCCCCGCTTGCTAAGCGCAGAGGTGGCTATTTCCGCATTCCGAAGGACGTAACTGAGCCAGGCATGTATGAACCCATCGTACGTCAACCTTTGACCGCTGTACTACATACGTTGACTCTCTGGTACCGCAGCGGAAGGGCCTTGATAAACTCGTGGCGAGTTTTCCTACTCAGAAACAACCAAAGTTCTTCAATTACGGTCACAAGGCATTGCCATTTCCCTTCGACGCCCTGCGTGCAGACTTCCACGCAACCAAGCCGGACGTCGTCGCCACGGTCCCAACCATCCCCGCCGATACCACAGCATTGAAGTGGCGTAACGTCGCGTTCGTCATTGAAGTCAAGCGCGCTGATGACGACGATCCGATGCTGAAAGTCACCGAGAGGCGCAACAGTACGCTAGTCCAGCTCGCGAAAAGTGCACGCAATATCATGCTTGCACAAGGAAGGCTGTTTGTCCTCCTCGTTGGGATTTACGGCTCGAAGGCGCGTATCTATCGTTTCGACCGCGCTGGCGCAGTGGTCTCGCAGGCGTTCCAATACGCACGCGAGCCAGCCATCCTCTATGAGTTCCTGTGGCGACTAGTCCATCCGCACCACGTGGCCTGCAGAGTCGTCGGCGGCGATCCAACGATCCGTCTTGCAAACAAGAAGGAGCAACAGAAAGCGCAGAATTGGGTGCACAAGCTGGACCCCACGTACAGTTTCACGCATGAAGACAGGAAAGCATGCCGCTTCATCACGGTCAATGACGGGGGGAACGACAAGACGTCTTCTCGCAAATACCTCGTCTATAGGCTACTCTTCGTGAACCCACGTCTGTTCACGCGCGGGACGGCGGTATGGGAAGCGATGGAGCTCAGTGGTCCAGGGAATAAGAACACGGGGAAGCGTGTGGTCATCAAGGAATATTGGCGGCAGCTGGTTCGGATACCAGAAAGCGACTTCTACGAGGAGATGATCGAAGCGAACATGGAGTTCATGGGTATAGCAGATTACAAGTACGGTGAAGACTTGGGTGCGCCGGAGGCGCGTGACATTCACCGGCCAGCCACTTTCCCAGTTTCCTCCGAAGAGGCTGGAGTTTCCCGCGACACGACTGGTGCGACGCAGGAAAACGCCACTTCTCATGTGACGGAGGAACATGGCGTTCTTGCAGGCGAAGGCGGGATAAGGCGGTCTACTTCCAGCGAGCCTGACGCAGAAGGTTCAGATGCCGCGGTGGATGACGCAATCCCTGGCGAATCCATTCACTATAATCCGCTGTCCTCCCCTCTTACGTCGTTGAGTTCCCTGTCCGCTAGATCTGACTCTGCGAGGCGCGACTCCGATGCGCAAGGCCCAGCCAGGTCCCCTTCGTCCGATTCCTTACCTGTGCTCACACCCAGCCCTCCGCCTGAGGAGGCGGAGGAGTCGACCCCCCTAGGTCACCGCACTGTGAGTGGATGGTACCACGCTGGGCAGAAACACCAGTTCTACGAGCGTAGCCACATGCGTTTGGTCCTCGAGACCATCGGGATACCGCTGAGACAGTTCAAGAACACGCTAGAGCTTGTGATCGCACTTTGCGATGCGATCGAAGGTATTTCAATATTTTCTCATGCTGCCACTGCAGATCAATGCTGATGGACGCTCGTTACAGGGCATAAACGTGCTTACGATGCTGGTGTCATTCACAAGGACGTCAGTGAAGGTAACGTCATGATCGTCAGACGCGAAACCGGGCCTGGGGGCTTCCTCCAAGACTTTGATTATGCATTCAGCTGGAAAAAATTCCTCCGGCGACGTGGATGGCATGCTACCAAGGAGAGCTGGAAAGTCTACGTGCGTACGGGTCAAGGGATCGTTGACCCTGCCATATGCGCCGAGGATGCCCAAGCGGTGGAGGAACGAAAGAGAAGGCATGACTGCAAGGAGCGCACGGTACGTCTACTATCTTCACGAGAAAGTAACGCGCTATTCATATCTTCTCCTTAGGGTACCGTACACTTCATGGCCGTCGATGTTGTGACCGGCGGTATCACTCAGGACGTACGCCACGACCTAGAGTCCTTCTATTGGCTACTGGTCTGGATGCTTCTACGCTATGCTGAGCACGAACACAGGAATGGCATTCAAGCATGCCAGAAGCTGTTCGGCGGCAGTTCCGACGACACTTGCGGCGGGCAGAAAATGTGGTGGCTGGTGCAACGAAATGTTCTCACCATCAAGAACAATGCGCCCCTGAATCATCTTCTCGAGCGATTCCGCTTGCTTTGCCGTAGCAACATATCGAATTTAACGCTGTCCGAAAACCCGATGTCACACGACGAAGTGCTACGGATCTTCCACGAGGCTATAGACATGGAGGGCTGGCCGAACGATGATGCTGCCCGTGACTACCAACGTCCGCAGAATGACAAGGATCAAGAGCAACTGGATGCATTGGGCCAACTCAGGGAGAAGAGCTCCATTGAGCCCAGTAGCAAGGCCCCCAGCCTCGAGGCCCTTAACTTTACCGTCCACACTGGCTCTGAAATGGTAGTCCCCGAAGACCTTGATGAAGACGAGGATGATAGGCATCCCGACGACCGTCCGGTCCCGGGCCGTCGCCTCAATTCGATCCTGCAATCACGAACCCCGCAACGAACGGACTCCGCTGGTCGTCAGGGCCATGTCTCCTTTGGGGGAGCACTACTGTCATCGGCGCCCGACCGACCTATGGCAGACTCCTCGGACGGAAGACTGCCTGGTAGCCGTCGAAGAGGAAACACCTCGAGGGATGCTGCCTCAAATCCTGTGACATCTACTCGTCGGCCACTTGATCAACCGGCACGCTCGACCCAGGATCCATCTACGAACGCATCATTGCCCGGGCCCTCGCGCGGTGTTGGGTGGCGTAAGGCCAATGCACCGGTCGTCAGACGTGCGGCATCCCGCACTATGCCTCCGCCGCCATTGCCGTCCGCATCACTGGCGCGCACTCGTAGCCAAACACTGGCGGAACAGAAGTCACTGAACGACGGGGCTTCATCATCGCAGGGCATCAGCAGGGCCGCCAAGCGGGTCTACTCTGCGGAGAACGACGAACAGAACCAATCTCAGACATCGAAACGTCCGAAGCGTAATTCAAGGGCAAGTCGCCCAAGCAGTCCCGAGAGCCGAGTTCCGTACGCGTCCGGGTCGGTGGAGGCGGAGGGGAAGGGGAAGGGGAATGCGAAGGAGAAGGGGAATGCGAAGGGCAAGGGGAATGCGAAGGGCAAGGGGAAGGGAGAAGCGAAGGGCAAGGGAAATGCGAAGGGAACGGGAAAGGAGAAAACAGAGCCGAGGCGTTCGTAATCTACCAACGTTCAAATGCTCTTCAAAGGAAATTGTAACTTATATGCATGGGTCATGTTCTTGCTGCAATACCAATGCATGTGGAGGAAATTTTGTCTGAGTGAGTGCAGCAGACCCACTGCTCAACAATTCCAAAAGCCCGTTACTAGGTCTGGCTAGATTACAGTCAGTCGCCCGCGCGTACGAGACGTCGCGTATCTGGCCAACTTCACGAGTTCACCTTCTCCGCTGTGCCACTGTCTCGCTCGCGTTCCTTTACGACGCTCTCTTCCCTTCTCCGCATCGCAACATCGACATCCACGACCTCTGCAGTTCTCCGTCTCACGCCCTCTCCTCGACGAGACGCGCTGCCCTCTTCAGGCTAGCGACATCGACGTCTGCGTCTGTGCCCCTCTCCACCGCCCCACCGCCCGTCTCCCTCTCCTTCACAATGCCCTCCTCCTTCCGTCGCATTGCCGCGTCGATCGCTCCGGAACCGACGATCGCCTCCGCCGCGCCGTCATCCCTCTCCCACTCCGTCACCCAGGGCCACCTCCTTCTCCCTTGCCATCCCGGCCAGGATCGCCTTCGCCGCCCTTTCTTGTCGCCCGCCGAGCATGCCGAGATCCACCCGCCCACCTCTGCGAGCGCGTCGAGGTCACCGAGCGTCCTGTTGCCGCTGCCCCACAGAGCGTACTTCCAGGACGTCCTCGGTTGCGACGTTACCTGTAGCGCCCGGAGAGCAGGAGCACTCGCCTAGACCGGCGACGGACGCGTCGAAGGTCAGCACGCAGCCCCAGTTCGAGCGCTGTGAGGATGCTGGGGACGCCGGTACCGTAAGTGTCGTGGAAATGGCCTGAACACACCGCGTCATACACTCAGAGTCACGAGATGGTGAGGGTGAAAAGAACTCACCGCTAGCTGTGTAGCGGGCAGGGCGCCTGCTCCAGACATCAATGTCCCCAGCATTGACCGAAAGTCCCATTGTGTGCGCGCGCCGACGGTACTGGCACCAAGGCTCACCTCGTGGCAGCCCATGTGATGTTTCACTTTCTTGCAATCTAGTTGACCTGTATGCGCAGATGGCAACGACGCTCACGTAGAGGCTGGTTATGACATATATCAGAAGTGCCCGGTGCACGCAGATCTCATGCGAGACTCACCTGGCACGTAGTCCTTTGGCCTTGGCGCGCGATGTGACGGCCGCGAGCCGCTCGAGGACCTCGGCGATGGTACAGTTCGGTTTCGCGCATTCTGTGAGGCAGAATCCAATACAAAACAGCAACCGGCGATTACATATAGTCTTCGTCCCTGTTAAGACGAGTAACCACGTCCGCCTTCTCGGTTTGCAAATCATCTGGCAGACCACCTTCAACAATGTCGACTATGCTGGTGCTCCGTCTCGCCATAGTATGTAGTGATCGCGCGGCAAGCTTCCGCTATGACGGTCGTTATCGCGGAAAAATACTTACAGTGAAAACTTAGTTGTCGCGTAAGACTTACTACTTAGTTGACACGTGAGCCGTACACTTTGGACATAGATTCATGCCGTTTCGTGCACTTGGTGTCTACAATCATGCATATCTCTTGTCTAGTCACTACTACTGTATATAATTTGCAGTAAGACACACCCAGACACACCCGTTGTCTGCTCACCTAGAATGCCCAAGTCCACTTCGGCGGCTGATCAATTGCCTAATGCGGAATCATTAGCCAATTGTGGCAACTCTGTCTACGCGCACTGCGACTGTCCATTGCATGACATGGAGAAAATGAACCCGGAAGCCCGATCATGACATTATACACTCGGAGCTGTGAAATGCCTTTTAACACTCCATAGCCCCCACTATTGACGAGACGAATGGCCCGGGATGCTTCAGTAGGAGAGCCATGACCTTGAGCCCGCGGTTCTCATAGTGTCGAAAGGGACAGATATTGTGATATGAATTACGAGCATATGAATTCAATACAGAAATGTCATGCGTCACAGAGAATAAAGGGGAAGCCGTCTGGCGCAGTGGTCCTGGCAAATGCGATGTTCATCCCGATTTGGCAACACCGGATGAAACTTTCGATCCTTCAAGTGAAAGATCGATAAAATTGACAAAATCTTTTTCACGATATTTCGTATGAAAGATTGTCAATAAAAGTCAGAAACAATCAATTAATCATTCAGACTCGAAGTATCAGGAACAGATCACAGAAGGATTCATTGACAAGTGTCTTTGATCTGTTTGTGATCCTCTAAGCAAATGATTGAGAACATGATATTCAAAAATTCTTGAACACTATGTGGCTCAATTGTTCTGAAAGGATTGAAAACAGATTGTCACATGGGGTGTTACAATCTTTTCTCAATCTTTCAGGCTGTCACAATCTGTTTCAAATCCTTCCAGCTGTTGATATCTTGGTGAGATTGGAAACAATTTGTATCCCAGGGGTTCAAAACAATTTGCCCAAAAGGATTGACAAGAGATTGTGACACTAGCTGTGACACTGTGCCACTTCCCTATGACAGAGCAGTGAAGGCAATTATGCCAAACCTATGATAAGCTGCCTTCTGCTGGTATGCTCAGTCAATTTTGGTCCCTCTTTCATTGCATCTGGACATGCACAGGTCTGGGACATGTTCATTAGTCATACAATGAGATGCACATCTCTAGGAATGTACAATCACAAGTACAACCCTGTACACTGAGTGCATCTAATGAGACTCATGTGATGGCAGGCAATGAATGAGGGACCAAAAATGACTGAGCATACCAGCAGAAGGCAGCTTATCATAGGTTTGGCATAATTGCCTTCACTGCTCTGTCATAGGGAAGTGGCACAGTGTCACAGCTAGTGTCACAATCTCTTGTCAATCCTTTTGGGCAAATTGTTTTGAACCCCTGGGATACAAATTGTTTCCAATCTCACCAAGATATCAACAGCTGGAAGGATTTGAAACAGATTGTGACAGCCTGAAAGATTGAGAAAAGATTGTAACACCCCATGTGACAATCTGTTTTCAATCCTTTCAGAACAATTGAGCCACATAGTGTTCAAGAATTTTTGAATATCATGTTCTCAATCATTTGCTTAGAGGATCACAAACAGATCAAAGACACTTGTCAATGAATCCTTCTGTGATCTGTTCCTGATACTTCGAGTCTGAATGATTAATTGATTGTTTCTGACTTTTATTGACAATCTTTCATACGAAATATCGTGAAAAAGATTTTGTCAATTTTATCGATCTTTCACTTGAAGGATCGAAAGTTTCATCCGGTGCAAGGCCGCCTCGAGCACGTCGGGCGGGCGCCAATCGCACTAAGTCTAAGTCGCGCGAAAGTAAGTCTTCAGAGTAAGTCAATCGCCGCGGAACTACGACCTGCCAGTAAATATTTTACCGCGAAACCGTCACTCATATTCCGCATTGCAGCAGTTCCTGTGTCCGAGCCAGGACTCCGGGCATGTGCTGCGCGTACGTGCACCAGCATAGATATTGACACAGAAGATGCTGCATTAGAGGCTCGTTCCAGTCATAGAGACAACTCGGGCGGTCGTCTAAGGTATGTTGGGCATCGCGACATACATCTGCAGGCCAGTGCCAGGTTCACTGTTTGCAGTCGAAATGTGCCACACAAGGCGCTAATTATGTAAGCTCCAGTGGCGCGGGTTCCTGTGGCTGTCCTCCTCCTCTCTCCTCCGACTCTGTCAGCGACGGAGACCGCACTATACCGCTGCTCGACCTACTTAGTGTATCAGCTATCAGCGCCAGATCCTTCTTGCTGCAGATCCGTTGCTCTCGCTATGGCCTCCCGACTCGGAGTTCTTAGCAATCAGGAGGCCCTCGAGCGTCTGCCGCCGGACGCGCAGGCTGTCATGAGAGTTGTACTAGTCCTTCATTTCCCAGAACCTGGGCAGCTAATACGACTCGCATGTGCCAGAAATTCATGAAGTCATACTACGAGCAGGAATCCAAACTTGACCCTTCCACATTGATGCGCCACATGTCGTCACTGGACCCTGCGGACATGCAGGTCGTAGCGTCCGCCTTCGCAGGTTTGGAGCCGTCTGACGGGCAGCTGTCTGCCTTCGATTATACGAAAGCTCCCATGCGCAGGGATTCGTACTGGCTCATGCAGTCCTATCCCACGGGGTTTCAAGGGATTGAAAATCCTGATCATTGTAGCACAAAATATTTCCCGGGAAGCATACCTATATATGAGGTCACAATCAGTGCGCTACACAGTTCACGTTGATGTTTGAGAACTGACTACGTGTGCTCTCCGATCGTAGATGACGATCAATACATGATCCTCCTGCAGGAGCAGTGTCCAGAGGACGGTGAGCCACCGTCCGACTTGTTACTGAAGTATGTGCCATGATGTATGTCCGACGGACATGTGATGGGCTGAATAGTTGGTCTCTCCAGGTACCTCAAACGGGCTATTGCTTCACCTCTCCTACCGAAGACCCCTTCTCTTCCCAATGTTCTATGGTTTCATCGTGATCTCAGTCGCCACATTGATGCCTTCTGTCCGTTCCTGGAAACTCTTCCTGCGCCGTTCAGCTGGCGCGTGCAGCCGCCGTAAGACTTTCTCAATCACTCAGGATGTCTTGGTTGATTGCTGGTCGTTCACTGTAGCGACGAAGGGGGAGATACTTCAGCATACGGTGGCGTGGACATGAGCAGCATCGCGAGGTCGATTAGGCGCGCTGAAGAAGAGAAACGTCTCGGCAATGCCGCTTTTGGCCGTAAAAACTGTACCACCGCAATCAAGCACTATTCCAAGGCGCACGACCTCCTCACTGACGCTGGCTCCCGGGATCCTACGGATGAAGAGAAGCCAGATCTTAACCGGTCTCTAGCTATCTGCCTTGCGAATCGAGCAGCAGTGTGGGTGATGGAAGGCCCGCACCACAACCCAGAGGCAGCGTTGCAAGACGCAAAACAAGCTACTGAGTTCTACCCGGACTACGGAAAGGCGTACGAGGGCATGACATCTCCACCGCGGTACTTGGGCTAACGTAAATGCAGGTACTATCGTCAAGCGAAGGCATACTCTCTGAAGGGCGCCCGCGACAAGTCGATCAATGTCCTCGTCAGGGCGCTCAAGAGGCCGAAACTTGCATCCGACGAGGGGTTGATCGAGGCACTCGCCGATGCCTATGGCGGAATACCTGAATCAGTGAGTTATCCAATGACATGCATAGTAACGGTACTCAGCTTCGTCGACAGCCTGATGAGCTGCGCTTGTTCTGCCATCGACTCTTCATCGACAGGAACGGCGACCGTCGTGCTCGGAATGTTCCAGGGTTCGTGCGTAAGGTGGATGCGCACGTTCAGAAGATTCTGGGGCCAGACTTCTCCGCCACTGCAGTCTGATTGACTCGGTCCATAAACGTCGCCTTCCGCTCACGATCTGCACGACATCTGTACCATTAGCCTTGAAAACGCTGTCGCATAGCGAGTATCCACAGATATCGCATCAATTGCATCTCATGACACGAAAATGGATAAGGACACACGCTATATCCCGGCCTATGCCCCCGCCGCCACTACCTTCCATGTTCACAACTCTCTGGGTACGTATTCGGAGTCAAGCCAGACTACACGCAGTGGCCTCCTCGTCACGGAGCACTGGCAGGGTCGCTAAGCGGATGTACTCCGCAGAAGACGCTCAGCCGGACACTCCAGAAGTGCGTCCGAGACATGGTCAAGAATAAGTCGGTTAAGCAGCCCTGTGGATTCGAATCCGTACGCGTCGGGGGAGGGGAAGACAATTGAAGTGAAGGCAAAGCCGAGCCGTTCGTAATGTACGTACCAATCGAATGTTCAGCATGGGCAATGTTCTTGATTTAATATCTTCCCCGTCGTCTACGTATATAGGAAGGTACGAGTCATTGTGTTTGGCGACCGATTCGATCATTCGGATATTCTCCTCCTCTGGCACTTGGACTACGACTACGCCGTCTACGTACACGTAGCAACTTGTAGTAAGCAGTAGGGAAAATTTGCATTGAGGCGATAGCATCGGACTCGTACATGCGGGTTGCCTGCTGCGAGCTCCTCTCTGTCCATCAGCAACACGAGCTTGTAGCGTAAGCATTCCCCGATTATACGAATGTCTGGGAGGCTCCCTTCGCTCTATTCTGCCTGCCCTTACATAAGCACGGACGATTACCGATCACGATCCAACCAAGATCTACTAACAGTGAGCAATCGAGATTCGAGATTACACCGTCCACCTGCCGACGCCACAAGCCCACTGCAGTCTGCAGCCTCTACATACCACTCGTTGCTCATTGTGAGGACCTCTCCGGCTCCCATCGGCAGAGACGCTTGTATCAAGGACAGTTGAACACCTACCGCTATCTCTTCAACACCTGTAGTACTCAGGCGACATGGCTTCAAAACGAGGAAAGCGGGACCCAACCGCCGGTATGCCGCCAGACATGCGGAATGCCTTTCAAGTCAGAACAGTCATTTGTCGACACATTGTGATAGCTGACGCTACAAACGATGCCGATAGAAAGTCATGTCCACGTTCAACACCAAGGAATACAACGGCGATATATCCAATCTGATGCATCATCTCTCTATGCAAGACCCGGCAGACGTCGAGGCCCTGTTTTCTGCCGCCACAGGGTCGAAACCGTCTGAAGATCAGCTCTCGGACTTTGACTACAAGAGCGTCCCAGTGCGGCGGGACTCATTTTGGGTTATGCAGCTCACGCCGATGGGCTTCCAAGGGGAGGATACGAAGGATTATCGGGATGAGTACTTCCCGGGAAGCAAGCCTGTATTCAGTGTGATCATATGTGCGTGCTCTGCGAGTGTGAGCTTTGTATGAGGATGCTTACTCTGCTCCTAGATGACGACAGAACCTCGTACCTCGCGCAAGAAATGGCCCCGCCCGGCATGCCGTCGTCCGACTTCTTGATCAAGTATGTATTCATGTATGCTCCACTGCAGTACAGCTTGCTTAGTCCCAATTGTTTGCGTCAGCGTTCTCAAAAAGGCCATCGCAGCCCCCTTGCCGCCCAACAGCCCTTGTGCTCCCAATCTGTTATTAATCGCTCAAAAGCTAAGTGCTCATGTGGGCGCGCTCCGTCCGTTCCTTGATTCTCTCCCCGCACCATTTGGGTGGCGTCTGGAGACAGCGTGGGTTTTACATTAGCATTGCTCCTCCGTCAATGCTCACACCTCTTACCTGCAGCGAAGAAATCGAACAAGTTGCCTCGGGAGTTCACGACCTCAACGTCAAGGGTGTCGCGAAGGCGACCAGGCGCGCCGAAGAGGAGAAGCGGCTAGGGAACGAGGCTGTCGGGCGTAAAGACCGTACCGCAGCGGTCAAACACTACTCTGAAGCGTTCGAGTTCTACGCGGACGCGTTCTCCCAGAAGCCCACGGCCACGGCCGACGAGGAGCATGGCATCAAGCGATCCATGGCCATCTGCCTCGCGAACCGGGCGGCGGCATGGCTCATGGAAGGCGAGGGGCGCGATGCGAAGAAAGCTTTGGCAGACGCTGAGAGAGCAGCGGCATTTGACGAGGACTACGGGAAGGCGTAAGTTGACGGCATGAGTCGACGCGTAGGTTCGGGACTTCACGCTCACGGGAATCATACTAGGTATTATCGCCAGGCAAAGGCTCACCAGCTGCTGGACGCGCGCGAGAAGTCCATCGACGTTTTGACATCGGCGCTCAAGAGACCAAGTCTCGCGTCTGACAAAGGCTTGGTTGACACACTTGTCGACGCATATGGAGGATTCCCCGACTCGGTGAGTACAGTAGACCCGCTGCTCGAGAGTTCTCAACGGTACTGAGCAATGTCGATAGGCTGACGAGTTGCGCACGCTGTGCCATCGGCTCTTTATCGATGATGACGGCGACCTTCGTGCCCGTGACATCAGGGAGTTCGTGCGAAGAGCGGATGTACATGTCAAGAAGATCCTGGGCCCCGAGTTCTCCGTAACAGCAGTCTAAGAGTAACTGCAAGGCCGGCCTCTCATCCTCGTCAATACGGACATTCGTGATGATGTTCGCTTTGTATCGATGTCCACACTCCTGTATTTGTATCTGCCGCGGAAACATCTGTATGCCATTGAGATTTGTCCCGGCTGTACGTGACGTGCATCCCTACTTGGGTTATCGGCCCCATTGTAATGCTGTTAGTCGCGGGAGGGGAGTCGCAAGTGTCTACTTCTCCTTCCGCCGCCTGGCATACTGCACTGCTGGCGGCCGTCAGTTGGGATTATCACTCAGTCCCGCTGGCTTGACACCTGAGGTGGGTTCGTTGAAATACTTGCACGTACGTACAACGTACGTACAACGTACGTACAACGTACGTACCAAATATTGTCTCAGACGGTGCGCTAAATGCCCGTCGGGTGTCGGTACTGTTGAGGTGCCCGCAGAACCAGGAATCCTTGATTGTGAATGATATGCCGTTATAGGCTTCCCGTGCTAGAAGGCGGAGTAGTAGAGCGCACCGCAACCTCGGGACCCTACCCCAATTCGTCGATCAACAGGCTTAATTATCGCTCAAATGAACCTGCTGATGGGCCTTACATGTCGCAGATTCATATCACTCGACGATGCCCGCGCTCATGGATTTGAGGATCGCTTTCGGTGCGCTGTAGGAGTCGATGAACAGGTGCACACTGCAGCACAGGTCGCGGTCAGTGAACGATGTGTTGACCAGGCACCGGAGCTTCCTCTTCTAGGCAAATTGGCATGAACATCCAATCCAAATGCTATCTGGTGATGACATGCGTAGTCGGGTTCCTTCACGAATTTACATCCCGGTTCAAGTGCCTACATATTTGTGCTGATGCCTTGCCTTTCCAAGGCCGCGGAACTTGGTACCAACTTGGGACGTATGATCCTGGTTGATCGTCGATGAAAAGGTGCCCCGGGTCTTACAAGACCAGATATGCATTAAACATCATCTTTTCCTTGCGACAGGCGCAGGCAGCGAGTACTTGTTTTCACGGCTTTTTTTGGCTTTGTTCGGGTTTTCAGAGATGCAGATACGAGTCAACCGGAACGCATGGTGAGACAACGTTGGCCCCATGACCACAGTCGGTAGCCTGCTAGATGCAGCAGAGGTTGTAATCGTCTGTGACAGGAAGTTTCGAACGCACCATGAAGTCCTACCGCCGAAGACGTCGCTAGCATGAAAGTCTTGACGCGCACGACACGACCCACTCTTTATTAGTATGCACAATGACTGTCAGCCTGTTTCCAACACGATACCTAACTCACGTCGAATGATTGTGCTCCCACGTCTGCCACATTTCGCAGCATGCGCTCACTGGATCGCACAAGTCGCGCGCTGCGGGGAAAATTCTCGGCTCCGCAACGTATAGCGTATGTCAGCGCAGCGCTTCCCTGAAGTACGACGGTGTCAATATCATCAGCCCCATTCGTGGCCGAAGAGGAAGGTCGAGGATATTCATACATTGCTGATATCCGTCCGTAGGGGAGGACCTAGCCTTTTTGAAGGCGGTGGAGGGGGAGAAGTCGGCGGCGCATCTCCGAGCTTCTGTCGAGCTTCTGTCGGACCATGTGAGCCATGTCAATTTCGACACAATTCGTCAGGCTTGCTCAGTAAGACAAGACAATATTTGTCTACGGCTTCCACAGGATGGGTGAGAAGGGAGTGCCGGACCGTACTAGAGAACAGCCCCCACGGGGTATTTGCGATAGATGGCCGAACAGTATTGCGGGCTGCACTGTATTCACTGTCAGAAGACTGCCCTGCGACCGAAGAAGGATCACTGAGACAAAAATAATTATTCTATAGGACAAAGCACAGTCTTTTCGAAGTCCTCACAGCATATGTGAGCATTCCAAGCACGCGTCGCAGACCATAGAGGAATTGATGCCGATACTGCGGGATTTCTCCTCGCATGTTTGCTCTCGCTCCCGCGGCACTTGTCGGAGCGTAACAGCTCGATGAAGCAGCAACTGTAGTAGTTGATTGTCTTCGCGCATGTATCCGTTCAAAAACAGAGTACTCACATGAAACTTTCACTTCTACTCATATGTTGCGTTCGGACAAGTGCTAGTATCTCGTACTGGTACAGACAGAGAATCTGATTAGGCTTTTGTTCGAAGGCATATGCGCAATAGTAGCGGTACATCACTTAGTCCAGCGTAGATAGCTTCCAGCAAGGAAACCTACATATCTCTCAGCTCGCTGGTGCAGTTGAAGGAGTTCGTTGTACGCACAAATACCCAGTCCCGCCATGATTCGCTTCCCCATGGGCGTGCCCGGCTGATGAGCCCGTGACTGGTTGAGGGAGTGGACGCCTAGCCCTGCCAAGGCTGCACTACCGATGATTCTGCATGCAAGACAGTCTTGATACTTCGCCTCCGCCTGGAGGGATGCATCCGGGGCTCCATGTGAAGTTCGCTCGGGGGTCGAGATAGATTGCATGCGCTCGAACAACGGGTCGAGAACGCAGGTTGCCTTCCTGATGACAAGAGCTACCGTGATTGAGCCAGCAAGGAGGCTTCGCAGCGGTTGGACGCAGTAACTGTACCGTACGCTCAGGCTGTCAGTGGTGAAGCTGCTTCGGTTGGCGACGCGACGCGCAGTGCCGAATGCGGCATGTGTCCGCGGTGACCACGTGAGCATGAGGTCATGAGTCGCGTCGGTTGATGGCAATGCGCCGCGGAGGAGGCAGAAGGTGCGGCTCAGCTGCTACATATTGGCACTGGCAGTGTTACCAGTGACTCATGCCCGCCCACTACTAGGAGGGCTACAGTCTATCGTTTGGCCCATCTTGTAATGCTGTCGGAGATGCTGCACCCCAAGACATGGTCCACCGGGCATGTCAGACGCGTTCAGACACTGCGGAAGTCGTGTGGGCGAAGGTATACCGCGCACTCACGATCGTTACAAACGGCGGCAAGATACGATTCAAATGTCGTCAACATCGTTGAGGTCGGTCCGCGGGACGGTCTGCAGAACGAGAAGGCCGTCATCCCACCCTCCGTCAAGGCGGAGTTGGTGACTCGTTTGGGGAGGGCGGGGATGAAGACGATCGAATCAGGTAGCTTCGTCAGTCCGAAGTGGGTACCACAGGTAACGGCAGTATTCACCGTGCACGACTTCAGCTCACTGCATGAATCGGTTGCTGTTTGTAGATGGCAGGGACTCCCGAGGTGCTCCAGACAATGGAGCGCTTGCCGGGCGTTCGTTACCCTGTGCTGGTGCCCAACATGAAGGGTCTCGACAATCTGTTCGCCTTATTGGATTCTGCCTCGCCGAGCGACGTCCCGTTCACTGATGAAATCGCAATCTTCACGGCGGCCACCGACGCGTTCTGCAAGGCAAACACGAACTGTACCATCGCCGAGTCCCTCGAGCGGCTCGCGTCCGTCACAGAGCGCGCCAAGGCGAAAGGATTGCGTGTCCGTGGGTGTGTCTCGTACTAGACCTTCCAATCTCGAAGAGCTCCTGATACATGATGCGCAGCTACGTCAGCGTCGTCGTCGTCTGCCCATACACCGGTCGGGTAGACTACAAGAAAGTGAAAGATGTGTCTCGCGCACTGCTAGACATGGGCTGCTACGAAGTCAGTCTCGGAGATACAGTTGGCGCGGGCTCGCCATGGGACATTCGGTCGATGCTCGAGACGGTCATGTCCGGGGCCGGAGCCCTGCCCGCCACACAGCTCGCGGTGTGTCCTATTCACTCTATCTACATTACCTCTAGTAATTAACATGATATGATCAGGGCCATTTCCACGATACCTACGGTACTGGTGTCCCCAACATCCTCGCAGCGCTCGAACTGGGTTTGCGGACCTTTGACGCGTCCGTCGCCGGTCTAGGCGGGTGCCCCTACTCTCCGGGTGCGACAGGAAATGTCGCAACCGAGGACGTCCTCTACGCACTGCAGGGTAGCGGGTACAAGACACCCGGCGACCTCGACGCGCTCGCGGAGGTGGGTGGGTGGATCTCGGGCATGCTCGGCCGGCGGAACGAGAGCAGGGCAGGGAAGGCGATCCTCGCAAGGATGGCAAAGGAGAAGGAGGTAGCCTTGGTGAAGGAGCGGGAGAGGGACGGCGGGGCGGCTGAGAGGGTCACAGGTGCAGACGTCGATGTCGCGATGCGGAGGAGGGAGGAGAACATCGTCAAGGAACGCGAGCGAGACGGGGGCGCAGCGGAGAAGGTGTAACGCTTCAATTGTGAAGCTTGTCAGGCACGCGACGTCGCGTACACGCCAGTGACTGGCTGCAACCTAACCAGGCCCAGTAACGGGCTTGTGTATGACCTGCGATGATTGTATGTATATCTACTATTTGTCTTTGAATCACTGTGACTTGCCCAGACCTGGTCGCAAGTTTTGACTCCCGGACGCAACTTGAAACATGCGACGGCGTGACCGTGGCTGGACAAGGACTTCCAGCGCGGTGGTGTGCCCAAAAGGTTGACAGTGACAGAAACCCTGTCGCCCGACGGATTCCATGCTTATATGTTTTCTGACAAAGGTGACGTCGATCCGAAGGGTAAATACGATAGCTTCGCGGTAGGCGGTTTGAGCAAGTCAGATCAGGTACTCAACGGTAGTATACATGTCCGGTGGGCCCACAGGTAGTGGACGACTGGTGAATTCAGATCGGCTTATCTACACAGTGAAATCCAGATTGGTAGTAGTTGAGCGATGCGCTAGGAATGCCGGGTTGAGTAGGCTATGAGGAAGGACGTTGCAGTACAACTCACCTAACGTTAACTACGGGTAGCCTGGAGGGGACTGAGATTTTCGGGGTTGCTTTGCTGACTGTTGAACTCGCAGCCTGTTGCCTGCGTACGCAGCTTCGTCGAATGCCATGGCCCATCTCAGCGGTCTCAACGATCTCAACTGCGACCGAGAGAAACATCGATGGAAGTAAGTAGCCGCATCTCTGATTACCGACGGGGACGTGGGGCGGCCGATGGTGATCTATCCCGACCTCCGCGGTCGAGGAACCTAATCAAGTGCGCATCGCCGATAGAAGCTTTTCTTGTATCTCCATCTCTGATTCACTGGTATTACTTCGTGCATCGCGGCCCAGCGCGGTCACACAGAGACATTCGGAATTCGGAGTCGCGAGCATGGCGTGCTCGCGTTCGCTCCTCGGGGTGGATGTGGTGGGGTCCAGGCTGCAGAGTGACCAAACGTGAGCTTCACCAGGCAACTCGACGGCGGCCTGCTGGGTCACCCATGCCAGGATCCCCCTAACGATTATTCGCTTCGCGAGACTGCACTGACGGCAGGTTTGACGCAAAGAGCATGCGGACTGCTTCAGTCTTGACAGTGACTTGACACTGGCCGTCCTGGTGTATATCCATACACTACGGCGGATCCGGAGCGGGGTATTGTGCGTTCTCACAGTATCCCTCGCGCAGGTACGACGGTCACATCCTGACTCGAACATATGGAATCTAATATTTCTTGTTTCGCCTCCCCGCAATGTCTACAAAATAGGACAAATTCTTGTATCATGGCGCACCTACGCCCTGACCGAGGCCGATCCCTGCTTCTCTCACATGAGTGACGACCAGCCCCAAGCTGTCAGCGAGGATCGGTAACGCAGAACCCCCTGTTGCGACGAGTACAGACAGGGGCACGGTGACGAGGAGGGTAGCAATGAGCTCGAGGGCAGCCCTGACCGGAAGACCGATAGACTTGCACTGCCGATCCTCGCTCGTCGTCACACCTGGCATCCTTGGGTGGGAGTCGGGCACCCGAGGTCGCCCGCCCTCCTGTCGCCTCGGGAGCTGAGGAGCACCAGGAACAGATCGAGGAGGCTTCGGACACATCGGACGAATGGACTAGCTGCTGCCGCTTACGCAGCTAGTACGCTAGACGAGCAATGTTGGACGCGTTTGAGTCGCGAAGCGGCGCGCAGTGGCTGAAATGCATCAGTGAGTGCATGCTGCAGCGTCTGCCGGCGTGCGGCACATGCTGACGGAACACACCCGCTTACCACGGAGTACGTCCTCACCTTACGACATGCGCATCTCGATGAATTCAATTTCGCATAGAAGCGTGCAAGCTAGCCAGAAGCGTGTGCAGGCTGCAGCATGCTCACCATCCTTCTAGCGACCAAAGACAATTGCTGGCCCTCGAAGCGGACGTGCGGCGCGGCGCTCCGTTATGCGCGAAGGACATGCGTTCCGCCCAGCGGGCGTGCAGCCGAGAGCGGGACTAATAGCTGCCGCGGGCGGGGGACGGGCTGAAGAGGGGGCGAGCCGCGGCTTGGCCCGCAGCCGACCATCGCTCGAACATCGCTCGACCATCCGCTGGCGGACTTGCCAATCCGGGACGAGGGCGCGCCGCAGCGGGCGCCCGAAGAGACAGGGGGTCGGCCTGTCCGCGATCGAGATAGCGTCTCACGACGATCACCGGGGGGCGTGCCTCTCGGCACCGAGGCGTGGGGAGGGCCTGCCAGATCGGACGCGCTCAAGACGCGCCGCCTCAACCGAAATCGAAACCGGCTTTGGCTCTCGCTGTGGCGGGCGACTTCGCTGGGTCCGTGAAACCATCGGGATGCATGGTAGGTGTCGCGTGGGCCGCACATACGAGACACCTCGTCTTCCCAGCGGGCCAGCAGACACGCGAAGCGGTGCCCCCGCGTTCTCAGGCTCTCGCTGTCATTTCGTCGTGCAAACCACAGCGGCCGGATGGGGATAAGTCCCCAAGCGGGGCGCTGACTGAGGCGCAGCGGAGCCTTGGCGCTGGGCCCAACGGGTACCGTCGATTGCGATCTGGCCCGGCTAAGCCCGGCTACCATGCTCGCCGGACCGAGCAGCCAATCCGCGCGCGCGCCCCTACTTACCGTTCGCCCGCCCCAGGTCTCGCACAGGCTGAGCGCCGCGGGCTGCGAAATCTTCGTCACCGCGCCACCCGACGGTCTGTCAGAAACCTTGCCAATTAGGAGGCCGCAGACGACTTCTGGGCTGTGTAGGGCGCGATCTTCTGGGTGCGTGAATTTGTCTGATGGACGCGAGACTGGCCGCACCGTTACTGGACTGCGGGCGCGAAACAGAAGCCACAGAGGGATCCGGTGACGGCACAATATGAGAACGGTTCGACGGAAGGAGAAATGAGTGACTCAGGTGGGATATTCGAATGCAGAGACGCAGTCCAGACTCCAGTGAGAGTTGAGCTGGAACGAAGAAAGTTTTGGTGGTGTCCCCGTCAATTGAATAGAATTGCGCGCGCCTCGGGCCCCACTCTCCATTCTTCGTTCGATGCACAGTTTACATAGACGCATCCGCAATCTTCGAGTGTGACGCCTCGCCAGACAGCTGGGAGAGGTGAAACACGTCCTCGCCTGGCGACCTTCCAATCCTGTCTTACATAACGGCGCAGAGAGGAACGAGTGCCCTGCAATGAATCTGATTAGATATTATCGCGAGGCTAGTGGAGGCGCACACCTCGTCGCTACGCACCGTGCTCTGCGCTTCTCGTCCGCTGCGCAGCCGACGTCAGGTCGCGCTGCCAGTGGCCTCGACACCGCCACGCGGTCATCCAGGGCGCGGCGCCGTTCAGGAGAGGGGACTGTCAAGTGACGCAACCTTCCCTTCCGTGGGCTCCGTGTCCGTCGTCCGAAGCACGGCGTTCGCTCAAGGCGACCGCGAAACGTCCGTTGCCTTCCACACGGCTGACATCGCGGCCCAGCGCGGTCACACAGAGACATTCGGAATTCGGAGTCGCGAGCATGGCGTGCTCGCGTTCGCTCCTCGGGGTGGATGTTCTGCTCGTTCCTGGGAGCGACGGGCGACGTCGCCTTTGCGTCGCCCAGGAGCACGGGGAAGCACGCTAACTATATCTGAGCTGAGTGTTAAGCGAGATCCCTTGGTGCTGGGGATCTGGGCCAAGTCGACGCTAAACGCTGCTAAACGTCGCTGATGACTCACCGACCGACCGACCAGATTAGGGCCTGCCGCCGGCGGTGGCCTCGGGGCGCGACGGATCGCGTTCGATTCGTACCATGCCGCTGAAGAATTCTGCTCTGCTCAGCCATGAGGATTTTTGCTCTGAAAAGATGTGAAGCTGTTTCATGGATAGAGCTGTCATAATTTTGCAAGAATCAGCACATCGACAACCTTTGCTGACGAATCGCCCAGCAGTAAGATCGCGTTGTTGTCAAATTCATCGAAAATGAGAGAAGTTCCGCAGTGCTCAGTCACTGCACACTGCTTAGACGCATGTCGACTTGTCTGCTGTGGAGAAACCGGGAAGTCGACAGCGCACAGGCTCGCTGTGTCGGAATGCCCGGAAGATCCCGTTAGTCTCCGAGATGCACACAAGATTCCGGGTCAGAAGGCGAGCGCCTGTGATTGCGAGGACAAAAGCGGATGTCCGAGAAGGACGCGCCCGGGTGTCGGGCCTCTCGCCGCAGCCACCGCGCGCCCTCCGCCACTTGGCCGCTCCCGGGGTCCCGCGCAGGAGGACGTCGAGCAGTGTGTCAGGGCGAAGATGGGGCGGCTTACGTGGCCTTGGAGACACGAAAATGGACGACGTCGAGGGGCGGCGAAGACGCCCTCGGTGTGGCGGAGGTGGGCGGCTGGTGCACGTGACCTCGGCAATGGGGCCGTGGCGAGCGACTGACCATGTTTGGGCGAGTTCTTTGGGCCCGCTGACAAAACGGGCTCGGACCGCGGGCGTGCGGGGGCTGGAGGGCCGCTTGACGACATTCTCTCTGTCGCGACGCTGGCCACCGCGAACGATTCAGATTCTGCAGGCAGCGGTGCACGCCACGATCGGGCGATCAGAAGACAGCAGCCGGGCACGAGGCGCAGCGGGAGCAAGGCGGCGGCGACGGACGATCGCAAATCGTGATCTGGCCTGAGCGGGGCTGAGCGGCTCGGTGTGCTCGTCCGCCTCTCACTTTCCAGACACAACGTGCGCGTTGCGTGCCCTCCCCAGACCAGACCCCGGTCTCCCTCCTACCTAAATTTTCTCCCGACAGCCTGAACCGCCACAACTGGTCCGTCGTCCTCTTTCTTCTCTCCGCACGCGTCTGACCCAAGTCTACCTTTCTCTCCCGCCCTTCGCTCCCGCCGCCTCGCCTGCCCGCACACGCTACTCGTACACCGCCTAATCAACGTCGCTCGCTGGCTACGCTCGTTGCCCATGACCTACCCCGCAACCCCCGGCTCCGGTCCGTCCTCCTCCTCCTCCTTCCCCTCGTCCTCCGCGTCCTCCTACTCCGTCCGCTATGCCTTCAACGACCAGTACTCCAAGCACTACTCCAGCGCGAACCACCACGCCCAGCAGCTCCACGTCAAGCTCGAGGACAGCCCGGACCTCCCGCCCGTCCACTCGCACTCCCAGGCGCACCCCCACCACGCGCACCCGCACCCGCACCGGCCGCACGCCCTCCGGACTCCCAGCCAGAGCGCGAGCGCGCAGGACACTTCCATCTTCCGCTTCGGCAACGGCAGCGGCCCTTCGAGCTCCAGCCCGACCAGCACGTCCCCCGCGCCGTTCACATTCATGTCTCAGCACCAGCAGTGGCCCGGCCCCCCCGCCGGGTCCTCCTCCTCCTACCACCAGCCAACACACCATCCAACACACCCCTCGCAGCACCACGGACACCAGCAGTCTCACCACCAGCAAGCATACGACGTCGATCGCGGCTATGGCCTCGGTTCGTCCATGAACGGGCACCACCATGCCATGACCATACAGGATGACTATGACGCGGAGGAGGACGACGGCCTGGGTGATCTCCCTGGCCCAGGGCTCAGTGGTCTCGGCCTACCGCCGTACAACACCGCGTCATCGAGCATGGGATCAGGAGTGATTGGCAGCGGTATGAGCATGAGCAGCTCGGCGAAGAACGAGAAACAGATTCGAAGACGGAGTAGCAAGGCCTGTGATCAGTGCCGGAAGAGTAAGTGCAAATGCGAACGGGGTAGCGCACAAGACCCGTGCAGGAACTGTGTAATGCTTGGAACGCGTGAGTCTCATTTCAGTCTTTCTTTGCTACTCGTTTGTTCTTCTCCTTTCGTGCGCTCATCCCTACCACACCTGCCCGTGGCGACCATCACTCCCCCCCATTCTGCGCGCATACATCCCGCTCTACACCCCTTCTCCCACCCATTCCGCCTCCCGCATACTGACATAATCTCATAGCTTGCACTTTCCTCGGACCATCACGTAAACGCGGCCCGCCGAAGGGCTACATCGACGCAATCGAAGCGCGCCTCCATCAGACCGAGGCGCTCATCGGGATCCTTCTCAGCAGCAAGGATAGCCGCGCACGGAGTGTCCTGGAGGACATGGCTGAGGTGAGCCATCCCTGCTGCCCCTGTCCATGCTGGCTCGCCCTCGGGACCGCCGCCCGCTGCTCACCGATCACACTCCGATCTAAGGCGGAATGTGTGCGTCGCGGGACGGGGAACGCTTGATTCTTAATCCCAATAGGAATGGCGCGCGCGATGACGTACGAGATCGCTCGCACGCCTGGTGACATGCGCGCGCTCGTCGTCCGAGTTGGGCGACGGCCGTCGCCTGCCCGTGGGGGCGTTGTCAGCGCGAGCGATGGGTGTCGGAATGGGGATGGGATGCATGCGGCGTGCGGTCGACCCGCGCGCCTATGGGGTTCGCGTCTCAGTGCGGTAGGTGTAGCCGAGACGCAGGTCCTGGGCGAAACCGGGTTTTCCTCGAGTCCGGGCGCATACATGCACCCATCCTGCCCGCAGACACGCTTTCTTGCGTTCTACGTATGGTCATCGATTACCCCCTGATGGCGACACAGCTTGGATCTCGGATGTGCTCCGCGGTGTACTGACATAGATTCATATCGCAGGACCCACTTGCGAAGGAGATCATCGCGCGCGTGGACAATTCACCGTACGGGCACAAGGGCCGGGCCCGAGGCGGCGAGACAGTCCAAACCGGACGCTCGCGTCAACCCACAGAGCCGCGAGACGAGTCCGGCGTGCAATGCACCCAGTACGTAATTCCTTGCAATATCCCCTTTTGAGCATTCCTATCGCCCGTGTTTCGGTGTCATATCACGTTTCCCACCGTTCCTCGTCTCCATCTTGTTCTATGTTCCCGAAGACCCCGCACTCTGGCGTTTCATCTCCTCACTCGCAATGCTGCTGATACTGTGCTGACTTCGATCCGATCGCGTCGGTATTTTTTGCAGTCCCTCAAATGAATGGCAGGACCAGGTGATCGCAAGGTTGAACGCGGCCGCGGCAAGGCGCAACACGCTCCTCCCAGGCAACGCCGCGGATGCCCTGGACGACGCGGAAGTGCGGCCACTTAGCGCGGACGCGAGCGGCGGCCTGCAGTACCCCGTGTCGCCCACCTCCGAGGCCTCGCAACCGACGCGGCCAACTCTGAACATCACGCAGCCGTCGAGCAGCGGGAATGCGGCCGGGCCGGCGAGCGCGTCTGGCCTGCTCAGCGCAGGCTCGGACCAGCCGGGTGATGCACCGTTCAGGCGCCAGCGGAGGCGGCTGGATGAGGGCGACGATGCGGGCCACGCGCGCTCGCCCTCTGTGAACAGCCTGTCGGCGCGGTCCCGCAGCCCCGCGCTCGCCTCAGCGAAGTCGAGCGCGGGCCTCGGCGCGAGTGCGGTAATGGCGCACCGCGAGCGTCGCTCGCCGGACATGCGCGACGACGAGAGCGCGGGTGACGATGAGACCGGGGGGTCGGAGCCCTCCGGGGAGGACGACGAGCTCGCGATCGAGGTCGGCCAGCTGAGTCTGAACGAGGACGAGGTCGTGCGGTTCCATGGGAAGGTGAGCGGGCTGCACTTGCTCGGCGTGAAGGACCGCGAGGACGGCCGGCACGAGGGCGGCATCTGGAGGTTCCCCAAGGCGAGAGTGTGGCCGCCATTGCCCCCGACGGCGGCGAACCATGCGAAGGGCCTGGACAACTTTGCGCCGGACTTGCCCGACCGCGCGACGCAGGAGCTCTTGTTGGACCTCTACTGGACGTATGTGCACCCGGCGTTGCCGATTGTGTGCAAGCGCGCCTTTATGGAGGACTTCCGCAACAGGTGCGCATCCAAAGAGTTGTGCCTGTACTAGTGCTAACTCCCAGTCTTGTCTTTGCAGCCAAACGATGTCAGCCGACTCTCCTTACTCTGAGCCCTCCGATGGCGCGTCTCCCGGCTCTCAAATCGGTCAATCTACGCACAGACGAGGGCGCGTGCCGACGGTCTTGCTGCTCGCCATGTTCTCCATCGCCGCTCGCTACTCCGCCCAAACTGGCGGCGACGTGCCGCCGCCTCAGGAAGGCTCCATGTGGGCGGCAGGTGACAGGTACCTGGAGGACGCGAAGGTTATCCTGGACAGCAGCTATGCTGCCAGTCGCCCGAGTACGTGCCAGGCGCTGCTCTTGATGGCTTACCGCGAAGTGGGCATCGGCGCGATGGCGCAGGCGTGGCTGTATGTCGGCATGGCGGTCAGGATGGCGCAGGACCTCGGTCTCCACAAGAGCGCGGATAAGTGGACTAGCGTCGGACGGAACCTCTTCTCGGCGAACGAGCTGCAGGAAAGGAGATGCATTTGGTATGGTTGCGTTACTATGGACAAGTATCTCTCGGCCTATATCGGTGCGTTCGGACGTCTGCCTTGTTTGAAGTCGGTGTTGATCTCTCTTTGTCACTGACAGGTCGCCCGATCGCCGTGGCCGAGCGCGACTTCGATACCGAGCTTCCTACCCTCGATGATCAGGACGAACTTGAGTTGTGGCAACCGCACCCGTCGGCTCCTTTACAGGACGATAGCGCGGAGCCCAGCTCCCCTGACGTCGCGCCGGCCCCGGGTCACGTCATCTCGTGCTTCGGCGAGTCGGCCAAGTTGTCGATTATCCTAAGCATGATCATGCAATGCCTGTATGCCATAAAGCCTCCTGCGTACCGGCACCAGGAATTGCAGCGTTTCGAGAAATTGTTGTCGAAGTGGTATTTGGATCTGCCTGACCACCTCCGGTATGATCCCGCCTCACCGAAGAACCCGGTCCCTCTCCCTCACATCTTGACGCTGCACATGCAATATTGGTGCACCGTACTGCTGTTGCATCGTCCCTTGTGAGTCATACCCGTCTGCCGATCATTTTCTGTCAGCTCACGTATCGTCTTCAGCATTCGCCACCTCGCAGACTCTTCCGGTCGACCCGCGTCTGCTGCGTCGAAGGACTCTGAAGTCCGTGCTAGCTCCAGGAGAAACTACGATACATGTGTACAAGCGGCCAACCACATAACCTCTATCGGTAAGTCTTCATACAAAACCTCGTCGTAGAATCCGCTGATATCACGAACAGTGTCGGTCTACGTCGGGAACTACAGTGCTAAGCGCGCCTCGGTGTATTTCTGTTATTACGTTTTCACGGCTGCAATTCAGCACGTGTCGACCCGTACGTTACACTTTGCCTATCCGCTGAATACAGCTGACATCGGGAATCAGTGATGATGTACTCCGAGGACGCTCAGGCGAGGGTGGGGCTCCACAAATGTATGGACGTACTGAAGCGTATGCGACACCTGTGGCCGAGTGCGTTCCGTGCCCTGGAGCTTCTTCAAGGTTCAAAAGTCAATGCGCAAGGTGCCCAAGACCTGGCGGCTTTGCGCGCGCGCAGCTCAGACAGGCCGAAGCGCTCGGCTGAGCATCCGTTGGACGCTGATGAAGAGAGCGGCACCCGCCTCTTGACGAGCGATCAACTCTACCGCCAGCAGCAGAACTTCCAGCCGGTCAGCACGCCCAGCCCGGTCCACCAGGGCTTCGCCATGAACAATCTACAGATGCCCGCCGCGGACGCGCAATACCAGTCGTACGATAGGTGGTCCTCGGACGCGCCGATGGCGAACTACGCAGGAAGCCTATCGACGTCCGTATTGCCGCAGCAGTACAGTACCGGGTTGGTTGACGAGAGGATGTCTGCTAGTAGGCACCCGGAAAGGCAAAGCCAACGATACCCGCAGTTCTGGAACGACTACACCGCCCTGGCGCAGTTGGACACGCCTTATGGCGTGCCGGTGATAGGTGACATGGGGAGTCAGCACCCGGGCTCAAGCCATGGCGACCAGCAATCGATGTACATGCAAGACTATTCGATGTTTGGTGAGTCCGTCTCACTGTTACGTCATGCATTGCGTAGGATACGTTACTGATATCTGTGCAGGTAATATACCGCCGGCCAATCATCCTTAGGAGCTACGGCGTTCTCGGTTTCTGTTTTCCTCCATCTCCTAACCTCATGTCAATAATGCCTGTGAACATTGTATTCCCTTCGGTCAGAGGTGAATGTAGTCGCACCCTATTATCGCTAATAACCGCTCTCGAATTCGCATGGTCGTTGTATCCTGTAGCTCTCGATGCTGCCCTAGGGACCTTCTACACCTGGGGGGAGTTCATGTCCAAGATAAATCCCCGTATAGACTCTAAAAGCAAAAGTCTATCTGTAATAGTATAATGGCAAACGCTTTCTGCGCTTGAATGGGATGTTTCGTACGAATGGATGTCCTCGAAGACGCGACTCTGCAGGGGCTCGTCCCGAAAGCTTGGAAGGCAAGCGCAGAACTCCGAGTCGGAGACCCAAGCCACATGAAGGAGGTCGAAAGACCTAAGATGGGTTCTATCAGGACTACTACACACTCCGTAGCGCTTCAGCTACATACTGCCTGGTAGACTCGCCGCACTCACTGGCAGTTCCAACAGACAGATGATACATGCGTTGCGAGCTTGTATGAGCAACGCTCACTATATACGCCACTATTCAAGTTGTCGGATGTCAGGACGCGTTACCCAAGTTGTCTGGTGGCAGACATCGAATGGGGAAAATGACATACTCGCATCGGTCCATCTCGTGTGTCGGCGGGAGTACTAGTACCGCTAGTACGGAGAACAGTGACAAGGCACCGTTGCCAATATGACGAAAGTGGCTTCCAGTGAGATCGCAGTGAGGCGTAGGATTACAATGCCTACCTCGTGTTCACATGGCGATTGAACAGCGTCGCTCATGGCTGTGGAACTGCAACCGGAAGTGGAAGTTCTTAGTACGGCGGCTGAGTACTAGTCTGAAGACTAGGCTGAACTTTAGTCTCCGTTGCATACCATAATAGCGCTGAACCTCGATAGTAATACGGGACGCCTTTCTTCACACGAATTGTCCAACAGGGTTGTGATCACATGTCGCCTTTGGCTGAACTGTATACTTATCGACAGCTGGAACTCCATCAACGGAGGACTTTGAAGCAGACCTGCCACTCTGGCAGATCAAAACATGTCTAACTCATAAAATAAGCCAATTCATTCATCTCTGGTATGGCTCTGGACTAGCTTGACAGCCAGGCTCCGAGGGCTCGCATTCCAGCGAAAATCCATCGCGTTTTTTCGTAGTCGTCATCCAGTTGATACCACATGTACGAGACCGGGAAACCCGTTACACACATAGTGCGCCGCCTCCACCCCCATGTCAGGACAGGTCAGGACCTCGGCGCCTAACAGTGCCGCGCCTACTGTTGCGGCGCCACATCTGCTCTTTTTGGAAGGCGTAGTGTTCAAACGCGTCCCACCGGCCATGCGCCACAATCATGACCCGCACTCTCATTGCCTCTCATTGTCCGATAGCTCTCACCATCTGATGTTCGACATCCTCACTCGACATGTTCGTCTACCTTCACAGTATACTGCTAGGAAAGGCACCCGTATTATGGTACGCCGGAAGGCCACAGTTCGATTAGGTTCGATTTCCGTTTGAGGTGGCTGCTGCCGAGGCCCGATCTGCTTACGTAAGCTAGCCTGGCCGAAAGTCTCGTTCCGATTCGTGCCTCCCCTCACTAAATTCATGTTCTGTTGAGTGCTACAGACTATTCTTGATCTGTATCGGGTTGAATTGTAGCTTCTGAATATATTGTGGGGAGTCCATATCTCAAATTTGAGCCGGAAGAGTCGGAACCTCGGTAAGCGCCGTCGGGTAACGGTCACACCTGGCGGTGGACGACGTCTTCATTGCGCACGGGGGCGATTGGGCGCAATGCTTTGAAACCTATCTGGTTGACTCGCAGAAAATGGTTGGATAACTCACATCGCTGCGGATGAAAAGAACTTAAGTGCAACCGATGTCCGCCGCCTGTCCAATTTAGGCAGGTGTGACCGTGAGTCTGGGGCGCTTACGGAGTTCCAGCACGCCGAGACAGACAATCCATACCACAGAGCACCCAAAATCCATTGGAAAGCCGATAATGCACTCAATAATGTCTCTTAATTGTCTCAGAGTACATGGGGGATGATCTAATTTAAGGGAGAGCACAGACGAGGCCATGCAACACTCGGCCAGAGTGGCTTACGTAAGCAGATCGGGCCTCGGTAGCGGCCGTACCATGGCCGTATCACTGATTTTGAACTGTGGCCTTCCGGCCGACCTTACCCGTATGGCGGGCGCGCCTACTTGGTATATCGTTCAAATATGCGGAGTTGAGAAGCTTGAGCTTGAGCTTGCTGAGCGGTCGGCGGCTTGTACAGTACTCCCGTATGTCATCTTTCTCAAACCCTTACATGAACGCTGACCGGTACGTGTGCATATCAATCTGACGCCTGTTTGACATTGTCACCGGGCCCATCACATTCGCGGTGAGGCAATACATCCGAAATCGGAGCTATGCGAGGGAGTCAGTGAGACATACTAATATGGAGGGAGGGGTCGCTTCGGAGGAGTACTTAGCAGCGAGCTAGGTCAAAAACATCCCCCAATCTTTCACGATGCCGTCTACCGAGGGTACCATGGTGGTAGACCAACGTCCCATTCTCCCAATCTTACCATTCTTCTTGGTGTCACAGCTCGGCCATGCATGCATAATTGCGCTGTCTCCTCGTCGATCTGGACGTCTTGGCGGCACGGTCTTTCTCTACTCAATCATTGCGGCAGCATACAGGTGCACTATGGGAGATGCCCAGCGAAACTATTCCATAGGCAACGCCATCATGAGCCAAGTGTTCTCCATATTCCTGCTGAATTGGCTCACGAACCCGGTGTACGACTTCCGCCATGAGCGTGACTACGTTGCGCCAGCGGAAATCCCCTTCCTACGTCGGGTCTGGTGGGCGCTATGTGTGATTAATAGTCCGCGAGGAGTGGGATGGTCATACGAGGTACGAGTTGCGGTACACTCATCCAGTGTTGCTTGTATCGATATATCGTTCAGGTAGCTAACACGCCGCCACGCCCCAGTGAGCCGCGGTGGTCGTTCGTCCGCAAGAGGCTCCTGAGCGCATTCCGCTGGTTCCTATTCCTCGATCTCGCCCAATCATACCAGCGCTCCAACCCACTATTCTCGAGACGAGACATGGATCTCTGGTCGCAAGGCTATTTCATGCTTCCTGTCAATATCGCCGCCCGATTTAGCAGCCTTGTGGGAATAATCGCGATGCAGTACGCGCTGCTCGCCGCAATGTTCGTAGCGCTTGGGTTCTCCCTGCCGCGAGACTGGCCGGAAGTCTATGGTCGCTGGTCCGACTCATACACAGTTCGGAGGTTCTGGGGGTGAGTGATCTGCACGCCAACACACCCGCATACGAGCTAACTGCTGAATAGGCGAACCTATCATCAGCTGCTCCGTCGAGTATGTCACGCCCATCCGTTAAGCTACCTGTATGCTGACTCCGTTTCCCAGCTCACCGCAGGCATCGGCAAGGCTTGCTGCCGCGTTTTGGGGTTGCAGCCCGGCTCATGGGCGTCCTCGTACACCCAACTTTATATCGGATTCGCTATCTCAGGCCTTCTGCATTGTGGCGGCGACCTAATGGTCAATCCGTCCCTATTCGGGTCTTCCTTTCAGTTCTTCATCTCGCAGGCCATCGCGATCACCTTCGAGGACGCCGTCATCGGTATCATTCGGAGGACCGGCGTGAAGTTTCCTCGATCGCTCGCGCACCTCATTGGGTACTCCTGGGCGATCGTGTGGTTATGCGTCTCCGCACCGTGGATGATTAATTGGACGTTGAAGGCCGGGATCATCGACACCAACCGCATACCGATCTCATTGATTGACCGCGTAGCACCGAATTTGGGTGCATGGTTTATCACTACAGTCCCGAGGGAGTTCAATGCAGAGGCATGACCAGAGACGATAATCGCGATTATTAGGGTATTTTTGCTGCAGGAATGTTATTGGCGTACCGCATGACACTAGTACTGCTATCGGGACGGGAATCGCGCTACTAAGTTTCACGTGTATGACATGTTCTCACAGTTCACAGCAGTTGTACTCGCACTCATGGGCCTGTGTAATCAGCATAACACTTGTCGCATATTTGGATGATTAATGCCACACCCAAATTGCCGTCGATGGTGTATGGCCAGTGTCTTCTTCAGCGTCGTGACCCCGATTCGGAGTCCTCTGCGCTTCAGCGGTCTCGCGCGGCTAGAGTACGATAACGTTAACTAGGTCTGACGGGCGCTTAGTCTCGTCGTCCTGGTACTAGTTTGTTAGCCAGTGCCACCGTCGTGACCATCATGTCCCACACTTTCCTTGTCCACTAGCTGCCATCGTTTGCATCCGACAACTTTTCGGACGACCTGAGGTTAGACTCTCTTGAAAATAAGAGAAATACGTGCATGACAGCTCGAAGGGTGCTAGTAAGTTGGCGGATGCATCATGATGCTGCTGACACTGGCATACTAAAGTAGTCTCACGATTTCAGAGCTTGAGCTTGAGCTTGCCGAGCGGGTCAATTGGTGGCTGAATATACTAGCTCCGTATGTCCATGTCATTCGCAGACCCTCACATAGCCTGCTGACGGTCGCGCGTCGTTGTTAGTTTGTCATATCTGCAATCGTCACAGGGCTCACTTGTATGTTGGTAGTGTCAATGGCATGTGTTCCGAGACGAACGAATTCGGGGCCGCAACGCGGCATGCCATGATGTCCCAGGGCAGTACTTATTATCTAACACACCCGGGATATGTGCTTCTTGACCGAGCAGTGTCGCATCCCCAGCGTGCCATGTCAGCCGACAATCGACCCCTTCTTCCTATCTTTTCCTTCTGGTTGGTGTCTCAGCTCGGCCACGCATCTCTACTTGCGTTCTCTCTGCAATGGCGTGGACGTATCGTAGGGACAACCGCTCTGTACGCTCTCATGGCATCAGCATACAGATGCACCACGAGGGATGCCCAACAAGACTATTCTACGGGCAACACCATCATGATCCAAGCGTTCTCCATATTTCTACTCAACTGGCTCACGAATCCGGTGCATGAGTTCCGCCATGAGCGTGACTATGTTGCACCTGAGGAGCTACCGTTCCTACGCCGGATGTGGTGGGCGCTCTGTGTCATCAACAGTCCACGAGGAGTAGGATGGTCGTACGAGGTATGAGTTGCGAGGAACGCCTTTCATCTTGTTTGTACTGATACATCACTCAGGTCGCCAATACGCCACCGCGACCTAGCCAGCCGCGATGGTCGTTCGTACGCGAGAAGCTTTCGAGCGCGTTCCGATGGTTCCTATTCCTCGACCTCGCCCAATCATATCAGCGCTCGAACTTGCTGTTCTCGCGGGGGAACATGGTCCTCTTGTCGCAGGGCCATTCCCTGCCTACCGCCAGCATACTTGCGCGCTTGTGCAGTCTTGTTGGTATGATTGCCATGCAGTATTCGCTGCTCGCGGCGATCTTCGTAGCCTTCGGGATTTCCCTGCCGAGAGACTGGCCAGATATCTACGGTCGCTGGTCGGATACATACACTGTCCGAAGGTTTTGGGGGTGAGTGACTTGCACGCTACGTCTTCTGGTACGAATGGACTAACCTTTTGACAGGCGAACTTACCATCAGATGCTCCGTCGAGTATGTCTTCGTTTTCCTGTTCTACCTCAGCGTTTTGGCATTGGGCTCACCCACACACCATTTAGCTCACAGCCGGCATCGGCAAGGCTTTCTGTTGCGCACTCGGTCTACGGCCCGGCACATGGGCATCGTCGTACACACAGCTCTACGCTGGCTTCGCCATCTCGGGCCTTATCCACTGTGGCGGAGACTTGATGGTCGACCCGTCCCTCTTCGGCGCGTCGTTCCCTTTCTACATATTACAAGCCGTCGCGATCACTTTCGAGGACGCCATTATCGGCATCGTGCGGAGGAGCGGCGTGAAGGTTCCGCGCCTGCTCGCGCATCTCATCGGCTACGCCTGGGCGATCTCGTGGTTGTGCATCTGTGCGCCATGGAGTGTCAACTGGTCGCTCAAGTCTGGGATCGTCTTTACTGACCGCATACCTCTTTCACTCATTGACCGCGTAACACCAGGTCTGGGCAAAGGTGTTGCGAGGTGTGTCTATGTGTTCACGACGAGTTTTGATGCAAAGGCTTGATCAGACATACTTCTGGTTGCCCTGTGCGTCATGTCGTTGTATGACGTTGCGTGGTGTGTCTAGGTCAACCATACGGTTATTTCGAACAATCTGTGTATCAGCAGTAGGAATGATGAGCGTGCTGCCATTCGGAAGGCTTGCACTCACAGTGGCACAAGGCAGAATGTTCAGTGCCTGTATGCTTGAGTAGCAGACGCATTCGGGTCATCATCGAGGTGATTGACAATTGACGTGGTCCGATGCCAAAACTGAACAAGTGTCTCTATTGAATCAAGTGCGCATTCGTGTCCTGAGCCGCCCGCAATCGGTGCGGCATCTGTGGACACTGGCTAATGGCCACAAGGCCATATTGTTACAAAAGTCGTGCAGATCGTGAGCGCAAGGTGAAGCTTATGGAGAGTCAATCAGACTGCAGTGGCGCAGAACTCCGATCCCAGAATCCTCTCAACGTGCGCATCCACTCTACGCACGAAGCCTGGAACTTTTCGAGCACGACGGTCGCCGTTCCTGTCGATGAAGAGGCGACGGCAGAACGAGCGCAGCTCATTGGGCTGTCGATAAAGCTGAATACTGTTACTATACGTGACGTTGGACCACCCACTGATTCAGGCAATCCACCATAGACATCGACGAGTGCGTCAATCAAGCCCTCGTCGGATGCAAGTTTCGGCCTTTTGAGCGCCTTGATGAGGACATTGATTGACTTTTCGCGGGCATCCAATTGAGAGTATGCCTTCGCCTGGCGGTAGTACCTGCATTTACGTTAGCCCAAGTAGCGCACTAAAGATGACATGCCCTCGTACGCCTTTCCGTAGTCCGAGTCAAAGTCGGTAGCGTCCTTTGCGTCTTGCAAAGCTGCCCCCGCGTCCCCAGCCATCAGCCACACTGCCGCTCGGTTCGCAAGGCAGACGGCAAGGGATCGGCGGATCGCTGGTTTCTCTTCGTCCGTAGGATCCCGGGGAACAGTGTCTGCGAGAATCTCATACGCGCCGGAATAATGGTCAATGGCAGCGGTACTATCTTGACGGCCAAAAGCGGCATTGCCGAGACGTTTTTTCTCTTCAGCGCGTCTAATCGACCTCGCGATGCTGCTCATGTCTACGCCGCGGTATGCTGAAGCATCTCCCCCTTCGTCGCTGGAGGAAGTGAACAGCGACATCCTGAGCGATCGGGAAACACTTACGGCTGCTGCATGCGCCAGCTGAACGGCACAGGAAGACTGTCTAGGAACGGACAAAGGGCATCGACGTGGGGACTGAGATCGCGATGAAGCCATAGGACGTTGGGAATAGCAGGAGTCTTCGGTGGGAGAGGGGAGGCGATGGCCCGTTTGAGATACCTGGAGAGACCCAGTGCATCAGCCTGTCACATGCCCACCGAATATACATCATAGCACATACTTCAGTAGCGAGTCGGACGATGGCTCACCCTTTGGGCATGTCTCTCGTATAACAAACGTGTATTGGTCATCATCTACGATTGGAGAACACCCGAAGTCAGTTCATGAACAACAACGTGAATCACGTAGCGCACTAATGCTGATGTCATATACGGGCGTACTTCCTGGGAAGTACTCATCGCGACGCTCCTTTGGATCTTCCCCTTGGAACCACATGGGTATGAGCTGCATGACCCAGTACGAGTTCCTGCGCATGGGAGCTTTCGCATAGTCGAAGGCAGACAATTGTTCGTCAGACGGCTCCAAACCTTCGAGGGTGGATGCGATGACCTGCATTTCCGCAGGGTCCAGTGACGACATGTGATCCCACACTTTGGAAGGGTCAAGCTTATTTTCCTTTTCATAGTATGATTTGATAAATTTCTGGCACATGCGCATCATGTTAGCTGCCAAGGCTCTGGTAACAGAGGACTAGTACAACTTCCATGACGGCCTGCATGTCTGGCGGCAAACGCTCGAAGGCATCCTGGTTGATTTGAGGTCCGGGTCTGGAGGCCATAGCGACGAAACTGCAACAAGAAGGATATTTGCTAGGTGGGCGCTGGCGTTGATAGCTGGCACTAGGGTCGAGCAGTCGTAAGTACTTACTCGCAGTCTCCGTCGCTGACCGTGGAGAGATCTGGAGAGATGCTCACGAACCGTGACAGCCCGGGGCCTTCACGAACACTGAAGTCTGACAGTGACTCGCGCCACATGTGCTTACATAATCAGCGCGTTGTGGTTCTTCCTGAACATGGTAAGTACTGTAGCCACACGCGCACCTAGCCACGCCTGTAGCGGACGAGCGCCTCCCAAATTCTGCGAGTCGCCTTCAAGTTCTCTTGCTCTTTTCGACGCGCGATGGACGGCTATGACCTGCGCATACAGAACAATTTCTAACGATATATAGCACCTCAGCGCAACTCATGCCCAGCAGAATTGGTCATAGCTTTGCGATCCTAGTAGACCTTGAACCGGCCGTACCACCACTGACGGGCCGGATCTATCTCCGCAGACTGCGTCCAAACTGCGTCTGTTTCTGGTAGTTGGCCATCAATGCAAAAACGTTCAACCCCGATTTCAACGTGCATCGTCGGCGCCTAATCACGCCTTTCTAGCACCTCTACCTTTCATTCGCATCACCCTCAGCCCTGTACCAGTGACTGGGAGGCCCTTGGCGTCGTCTACTAGTAGCAACCTCAACAGACGTGAAGGACGGCAGACGCCTCGAGGTCCCTTTGACGAAGATCCCGACAGAACTATAGCAACATGGCTCACGCGGAGGAAAACGATCCAGAGAACCTGATGACCTGGTATTCCGTGCCGATACTTGACCGTATCAAAGAGTACCCGCGAGATATCAACCACTACTTAGCTCGGATGGTGCCATCCGATGCGCCTGTTCCCGACTGCCCGCCGCCAACTAGCGCGTTGCTTGATGCTAATCCTGTCGGCAAACGTGACGAGGCTATGTACAATCCCCTGGTGAGTATGCACGACATGACAACACTTGCACTGGAACACTCATATCGCCCACAGGTGGAGGTGTTGGCTCATCTGGTCACCTCGTTTCCGCCTACCGTGCGACCCCAGTTCTACAACTATGGCCACAGCATCATGCAGTTCCCCTTCGAACCGTTTGTACACGAGCAGCATCCGACCAAGCTGGATGTGGTTGCGTCATTTCCGGATGTACGTCCGGAGTTTCCCATCTCTCGCTGGAGGGACGTTGCCTTGAGCTTCGAGCTCAGGTCTGAGGATGCCTACGACCCAATGGTCAAAGATGCTCCAACGCGCTCGGATACACTCACACAACTCGCGAAGAACGCGCGCAACATCATGCTCTCCCAGGGCCGCCTGTACACCTTCGTCGTTGGTATCTACGGATCCTTGGCTCGGATCTTTCGGTTCGACCGCTCAGGTGCGATATGTTCGCCCAAGTTCGAGTACAAGCACAGGCCGGAGCTCCTCCACGAGTTCCTCTGGCGTCTCTTCCACCCCATTCCACCTCAATCCAGGATTGTCGGAGCTGACCCGACAACGGAGATGGGGACGAGCGCTGACCGGATGCTAGTGCGTGCTCTCGCGAGAGATCACGATCCTGGCTGGGCGGCTATGCCCAAGACGAGGAAGGAGGTACGGCGGATCGTTGTGACAGACAAGGGGGTTGAAACGACGTATCTGGCATGCAAGCTGGTCTTCATGAACCCGGAGCTGTTCTCGCGCGCGACTTTCGTATGGGAGGCATTCAAGCTTGAAGAGGAGGACTGGAACAAGGGAAAGCGATACATTGTGAAGGAGACGTGGGGAGAGATGGGACGCCAACGTGAGCTCGAATTCTATGAGGCACTGAGGCAGGTAGCAGAGTGTAAGCCGTTCTTTGGTGTGGCAGCCTATGTTCACGGCGAAGACCTCGGCCGGCGCGACAAGGAGGAGCAAAGGCGAGAAGCGGAGGCGAACCCCCGGTTGAGAGGTCGTGCGTCTCGGGACATGAGAACGGGCCATCAGACCATCTCCGTTCGGTACAACTTGCCTCAGCAAATGCGGCCGAACGAGCGGAACCATACGCGGATCGTTCTGGAGACGGTCGGCGTCCCCCTCGCAGAGTTCAAGTCTACTAAGCAGCTCGTTATGGCACTCCGAGATGCCGTGGAAGGTCAGCTACGACGACGAGTCTGCTCATTGCTCCACTGACCTCGAGATTTATCACAGGCCATCGACAGGCGTACGAGGCCGGTGTCCTGCATGGCGATATCAGTGAAGGCAACGTCATGATCGCCCCCAGGGATGCCCCTTTCTCAGGTTATATTCAAGATTTTGACTTGAGCTTCAGCTGGAAGTCGTTCCTGCAGCAACGCATGGACAAGGTAGATCTGGCTACATGGGATGAGTATTGTGTTCAACACGGTCATGAAATATGTGAGGGAGAGGGCCCTACCAATCAGTCCAAGCAACGAGTCGTTAGTTGTTTCATACCCATAGCATGCTAGTATCTTCGGCTAACACTGGCACGCTCTCTAGGGCACGATCTTCTTCATGGCGGTCGACATCCTGCGGGCAGAGATCACTCATGAGGCACGGCATGATCTAGAGTCATTTTATTGGCTTCTGGTGTTCATCGTTCTCCGACACACCAAGCACGGGCATCCTCTCAAGGAGATGGCATTCGGACACTTGTTCTGCACCCAGCAGATGGATCAAAATGCCCTGGTCAAGTTCTGCTGGTTGATGCTGGATCCTCCCTTGACGGTACCCGGTAACGAACCGCTGACCAGGTTGCTGGAGATGCTTCGTCTGGCGTGCATGCGTAATGTTTGTCGAGCTGGCTCGGATATCATACGCTCGACCCATCGTGGGGTCCTCAACATCTTCGACGACGTGCTAGCCCCAGGCAACGTTTGGCCCGAGGATGATGCCGCCCTCGAATGGAAGCTTTCGGAGAACGTTGCGCATACGACAGAAGTGAAGGCGTCTCGTAACAAACCGGTGACGAAGGGCTCGTTGGACCCTATAACGGGAACGAAGAGTTGTTTCCTACGCTCCCCCATTTTCGAACAGAATGAAGCGTCCGGCCATGTCCAGTCGGGTGACGAGCACGCAGGCGCGGATGCGAGAAATCCGCCTATAGCCGGCCCTAGCCGACTGACTCGGAAGGTTGAAGTCCAGAAACGCTCGACAGTCATCGGCGCAGAAATCGACGAACCAGAGAACGAAGAAGCATCATTCTGGCAAGGTCAACGACCCCTTCCCCTCCCACCGATATCGGAACCGCAAGCGGGTCCCTCTGAACCTCCCGCACGCAAGAAGACCCGGAAACAGAGTCGCAAACCAGGCAAGAGCGCTGCTCGTCGTGCCGAGTTACCTCCAGAAACGAAGCGTCCGACGACCAGGAGGGCAGCTCCCAGCCGCCCCGTCGCCGAAACATGGCCAGCAAGCGTTGTCGAGCCCGATAACGCAAGGTCGGGCCGCCGCTACAACCTTCGTTCGTCAGGTAGTCGTAACCTGGCTGGGCCCAGCATATCCGATGCGGCCCAGTCTGTTCCAGCTCTTGAGGGGAGGATGACGCGGTCTCGCACGCAGATGCCGCTGCAGCAAGACGCTGGTTCGAGAGATGATAGCTTGGGCAAGCGCGGCCGTGCTCAAGAAGACCTGGACGACGGCGGTGAGGAAAGCCTGGGATCTCAGCCATCTAGCAAGCGTCAGAGAACGTCACGATTGAGCCAACCTCGAGGCAGGAAGATATCACAGAAGTCGGGAAGGAAGCCCCATTGATTGGCATAGGCTTACGGTCGACGTGCGAGGCTGGTCCGTATGAGAGTTCTCGGTAATATAACAGATCTTAGTCGTAGAGAATCGCGTGTTTCTTCTATATAGTTGCGCTGCGCTTCAGTGGTCTGCCCACCCCTTACTTGTCATCTACGCAACAAATATAGTACAAATGTCACTATAAGGTCGTTCGCGTCTCGTCTTCTCAAAGCTGCGTTACGTCGAAGGATATCGTGTATTAGTAACTCTTCCGCGTCTCCGATTGCACGATCGCGTCACGGTGCCTTGCCCAAGATGGCTCGTTACGGTTTTACTGTAGTACAAGGGTGGTCCAGCGGGAACGGTAACGCTGGGTCCCCCTGCAGCACGCGCACGACGTAGTACGCAATGACCGTCACATCAATAGCTGCACTGAGACGGCTTACATGATGACGGTACCGGTGCTCCCCTTCAGTGAATTCTCGTCGCGCAGATCTCCGCGCCAGGCGCTTCGCGATGGTGCCATAGCGTTGAGGCACGCAGGTGCTACACACTCGGGCGCGGTCCATTCTTTAGCTCGTCGACATCGCAATTGCTGGGTGAAATAGTACAACCGAACTGATGGCATATGTACTCCGAGGTCGAGTCAGTATCGCGTGTCTGGCGTGGCTCAGTGCTCTCTTATCTGCGTCAATCAAACCGCACAAGCTTGGCACCATGTGCTCATAGTTTCTTCTGACTCTGATCTCGCAACCAAAATACAAGGCCTGAACAACGGACATGCCAAATCGGGCCGACAATGGGCGTGGCGCGTGCGAATCATTGCCTGGGAAGGCAGCGCCATCAAACACGTGGCTAGCCACACCTGTGGCGCACCAGCGCCTCCAACGCTCTGTTCATCTTCTCCTGCTTACTCCGACGACGCGACGGACAGCCACTGCTTGTCCCCCGGATAATCTCGAGCGAGATATCACACAATCAGATACTTCAGTGTAACTTGCGCCAGGTTTCGGGCCAAACTAGCCGTAAGTCAGGCCGAAAGCGGTACCGTAGTCCAGTAATACTGACGTGTTGGGCACCCGTAGACTGCGTCCATTTCTGGTAATTGGCCAACAACTCCGAATCGAACATGCCTCGTGGGAACGTAAATATGCCCCCCTCGTCCTCTCGCCTCTCTCCCGCTCACCATCTCGACCTTCGTCAACGCGCTGATCGCGACATCGACATCGACATTTCCGAGCACCTCCAAGACGACGTACCCATGTCTGACAAAGTCACTCCCCCTCAGCCTCGCCACACGCGATATCCCGGCGACGCCGCCGACGCTAAGCAAGGCAACAAGGACAATCTGGCTGGATGGCAGATTGAAATCCAGGACAGGATCAAGGAGTATCCCGTCAAGGACCTCGGCGAGTACCTCGCCAAGATGGTGCCGTCAGACGAGCCTGTGCCTACGTGCCCCGAGATGGGCAACATGCTGCAGGCGATTCCAGTAGGCAACTTCGAGATAGCCATGTACAATCCACTGGTCAGTCAAAGCACACTTCTACTGTGAACGCCATCACTGACCAGCTCGTAGGTTGCTGCGCTGACGCAGATGGTGAAGGAATTCCCCCGCGCCAAGCGTCCAAAGTTCTCCAACTACGATCACAAGATAATGAAGTTCCCGTTCGAATGCTACCAGGATGAAGAGCACCCGACGAAGCCGGACGTAATCGCGACGGTACCGGCGCGGTCTGTCATCACGCCGGAGGAACGCTGGAGGAACATGGCGGTCGTTTTTGAACTGAAGAACATAGAGAAGAAAGACCCGATGTATAGATCAACACCAACCCATTGGGAGACGCTGGTGCAGCTCGCGAAGAGCGCGCGGAACATCATGCTCTCTCAGGGCAGGCTGTACGCGTTCGTCGTAGGCATATACGGAGACGTGGCTCGCATCTTCCGCTTCGACCGCGCGGGAGCGATCTGCTCGGCCCCGTTTGCGTACCGCGATCATCCGGAGATTCTGCACGAGTTCCTCTGGCGGCTGTTCCACCCAAGGACGCAGGGCTGCGCTATCGTCGGCGAGGATCCGACGATGAAGCTGGGGACGAGTGCGGATCGGAAACGCGTGGTCAACCTGGCGCGCAAGCACGATCCTGACTGGAAGCACAGCGCTGAGACGCGGAAGGCGGTGCGGCGTATCACGATGCTGAACGAGAAGGGGGAGCGGACGACATACCTCGCGTACAAGCTGCTGTTCGTGAACCCGGGGCTGTTCTCGCGCGCAACGCTGATCTGGGAAGCGTTCATCATCGACAAGAATAACCGAAGCAAAGGCGAACGATGCGTTCTAAAGGAGACCTGGCGCCAGCTCTGTCGTCTGGACGAGATTGGCTTCTACGAGATGCTGCAGCTGGCGAACCTGGAGAAGTTCAAGGAGGAACAGGAGAAGGAAGGCAGGGCGAGGAAGGACGATGAGGCTCAGGACGCCGATGGGAAGAAGGGGAAGAAAGGACGCAGGGCCGGCAAGCGAGGCAAGTGCGTCGTCAATGCAGCGTCGAATACTCGTGGCGCAGCAGCGTCTAAATCTGGTGATGCTACTGGTGGCTCGGATGAGGCGCGACAGAAGCTCTTGGCGGAGGCTCGGGCGCTGGGTGACGCTCAACACACGTTTGGTGTCGTGCGTTTCATGTTCGGCGAGGACTTTGGCCAGCGGGACGAGGAGCAGTGGGAACTCACCGAGAAGGCGAGGGTAGCCGGTGCTCCGCTCCCTGAAGACACGAAGACCGGCTACCGGACGATCTCTGGGGTGCACAATTGCCCCGCGAAGGTGCGATTGAACGAACGGAGTCAGACACGCATGGTCTTGAAGACGATTGGCACGCCGCTGACGGACTTCGAGTGCACGAGGGAGGTTGTCACGGCTCTGCGCGACGCCGTAGAAGGTACGTTCTAGTGGAGTTAAACATACTGGCCTCCCGTGAGCTGATAGTCGTTCTTCCAGGGCACCGACAAGCATACGAAGACGGTGTAATACATCGGGACATCAGCGAGGGAAACGTAATGATCGCTCGCCTTGGTGAAGCATTCGCTGGCTTCATCCAAGACCTCGACTTCAGCTTCAGCTGGAGACGGTTCTTGGAGAAGCGTAATTACGCATCAGTCGATCTGGCGACGTGGGAGAAGTACTGTGTCGAGCACGGACACGAGCCACCTCAGGCTAACGACGTTGACCCCGCGAATAACAGCAAAGAGCGTACGGTGAGTGAATTACACTCAGGTCCGATACATTCTCTCACAGATATGTCAGGGAACGGTGCTCTTCATGGCGGTCCAGGTTTTGTTGGGAAAGATTACCCATGAAGCACGGCACGATCTAGAGTCCTTCTACTGGCTTCTCGTGTTCATTGTTCTACGACACACCAAACACGGGCACGCCAAAAAGAACGCGGCTTTTGCCAGTCTATTCTGCTCACATGACCTGGAGCAATGCGCCAGCCACAAGATGACCTGGTTATTGAGCCTCCGGGCACCCCTTGACGTACCCGATAACGAGCCACTTTCGACTCTGCTGGAAGATCTACGCGCACTTTTCGACAGCAACTTTCCTGATAAACGTGCACCGATCCGGCGTGTCACACATCAAGAGGTCCTCGATGTCTTCAACAACGCATTGGCCAAAGACTGGCCTCTCGACGACGCGTCCGTTCCGTGGGTCTCCCCATTGAACCGACAGTACCCCGGTAGCATGGTGGAGTCGATAGGCAAACCGGTGACGAAGGGTACACTGGATCACACTGTCGCTACCGAACTGCGATTCCCCGTTCACACAGTTCCCCAGGAGCAGATCGCAGCTGACCGGGAGCTTGATGGCGAGGGGGACGGCGCGATGACCGACGACGACTCGTGCGACTCAGCTGATGACGTTCACGCCGAGGCAAGCGATGAAAACATGGTCACATACCTCGACGACTCGGAACGTCCGAACGCTCCGGACGCGCCACCTGGACTCGCACTGCTAATCACGGACGAGCCGCAGCCAGAGGCCAGCACATCCAAGATACCGGAGCAGAAGCGGAACGAGAGTCGAACTCGTAAGGCTCGTACGAACAGTCGTACTGAACAGCCGCCGCCGAAGGCGAAGCGCCAGGCCACTAAGACCGCAGGGTCAAGTCGTAACGTCGCCGAGACATGGCCCGCCGCCAGCAACGTTGACGGAGTTGGTGCGAGACCGGGCCAACGCTACAACCTTCGCTCGTCGAGCCGTCGTGATCTGACGGGGTCGAATACGTCCGACGCAGCGGATCGTGCGCCGGTTCCTGAGCGTAGGTCGACTCGGTCCCGCACGCAGGCATCGCAGCAGCGGGATGCTGGTTCAAGAAACAGTAGCATTGGGAAGCGGAGTCGTGAGAGGGAAGACCTCGGGGATATCGAAGAAGACCTGGATGCACAGTCGTCGAAGCGACCGAGGACGTTGAGCCAACCTCGAGGCAGGAAGCCACCGAAGAAGTCGGGAAAGAAGCCCTGATGATCAGTGTAGGTATACGGTTTGCGCGCGGTCAGTACTAGTTGTCTGGATCGACAGGGTCCATAGAGGATAATCTTGGGTGTAACGGATCGTAGAGTAGATTTCCATTGTGTTCATCTTCGTCACTTGCGCTGCGCTTCACGGACTGTATGGTCTGCCCTTCCTAACTAAACGTCGGATGCGGCCGGTCCGGGGGTAACATCGTGTGCTGCGTCGTTCTCTTAGTACGCGTCGTCACCGTTCTGAAGTGTCTTGCTAGTGGGCGCTGAGTACTGAGTACTGAGTGGCCGAGCTACTTACGGGAAACGCGTCCGGCGCTGCCAACGACCCAGCGTCTAGTTGTTCGGTTTGTGGAAGCGTACGCTCAGCCTCGCGCACTTCACGGCGAGATGGGTGAGGACGTCGCCCTCCACTAGTACCCCCGGAAGGATTCACTCGGAGAGAGCAGGCGCAGGTGAGTCTCAGTTACTGAGTAGCGCCAGTTCGGTCTATGCAGGGGCCATGCTGAGTCTTGCTGACGTAGGTCTCGGCTGAGCATACAGTATTCCGACCAGTTGCTGCTCGAGCACTAGATGCACGATGACCGGACCACTGCTCAAGATCACTCGGACCTCCACAACTACCTGGACATCGTTACTCTCGGCGGCTTCTACTCCGAGTTGTCGCTGCCGCGCTACCACTCCTCGGTCGACATTGCGTGAACCTCGACGATGAGAGCTCTGCGGATCGCGACATGCCGTGCGTACACGGGTCCGAGTCCGGTCTGTCTGGGACACACATTTGCCTCGCACGCCTAGGCCAGACATGACCGTGATGTGCCTGAACACCACGATTGTGAATACTAGTATGTCAGTACTGTGTCCCGCAGTATGACACGGTACGTCTATGTGCCCCACCACGAGTTTAACGACTAACTGATGGCAACAGCGCTCGATACTACTACTTTCTATGAACAGGGTACGCGCCGACTATGAGCATTGTTTCCTCAGGTGAAGTCATCGTGTCCTACCTTCAGTACGTCGCCCATCCCGGTTTACCCTCCTCGATACTTCAGCCAACATCGACCCCTTCGACTCAACCAGCTGTACGCTCGAGTCGCGACAGGTGGCACCACGTCGAAGGTGGCACCCTTCCGCCAGCCTGCGTCCACGCATGAATGCCAGAGAAGACGGGAGGGAGGCTCGCCGCATGCGAGGCTCGTGAGAGCGGGCGGCGGCGATGACTGAGTGACGAAACTGTGAGTACGGTTTGATTATGTGCGACCATGTCCATACAGTGTTGACTGTCCTGTTCGCTGATTCAGACGAGGATGTAGACGCGTATGGTTCAGACGATGCTGATGTCTCTAAGAAGCGCATCAAGCGCCACCGGGAAGAGCGGGAGCCAGCGGAGGAGGATAACCTGGGACGGATGGAGAAGCAGATTGAGGAGGAATAGCGCAGATGCAGGCGGGATGGTGGCCCCACCGGCGCTGACGCTGACAAGGAGGCTAGCATGGACGTTGAGAGCGAGGAGGAAGACGAGGACGGAGCGGTTCTCAGACGCACGGCGGGCGGATCGAAGAAGAGAGTGATTGAGATGGAGAGGAGGAAGAGGATTGATCATCATACAGTGCCGATGCTATCGCTACACCGTCACGCCCTACGCTGTTTGTATGTATACGACCATGTTTGACTTGGTACATACCTATGACAGGCTCTGCAGCACGCCCCCACTCGTCCCACTTCGCGACAGGTTGAATCTCCCTCACCACGTCCTGATTGGTCTTGTTGTCATGTAGGAGATTGCGCAAGGCCAGTATGGCATGTTTCTTCATGTCTGCATATCCTCAGCTTAGTATCCGCTCACCACACTGACAACCCAAGCTACTCACAAGGATTCCGGTTGTCGCAGGTTCATCACCACGGGGATACCTCCACACTCGCGGACCCTGTCCTGGACACCCTAGTCGTCCAGCGCGATGATACCGAGCAACCACACTAGATCGCCTTTCACGTAACTGAAGCCCTCTGCGCCCTTCTGCGGATGCTGCGTCGTGTCTGCAGGGTGGCGGACGCGTGTCCGGCAGCGGCGGGCGTTCGACGACCACTCCGAAGGTGATGCGAGGCAGGAATGTGTCCAAGAGACGCAGAGTCTCTGTGGGTGCCGTCAGATGTGATGAACAGAGGTGAGGCTGGCGCACGCACCGGCTAGGCTCTCGACCAGGCCTTCGCCGCTCGCTGAATGCGTGGCTGCGAGAATCGCCTTCACCTTTCCGAATCCATCGGAGGATGTACCCTGCTCGTTCGACGCGAGGGCAAGGGTGCTGAGGCACTGCGAGACGAGCACGAGTGCTTCTGAGACTTAGTAGGAGTAGGTCGAGCTTTTTTGGTGGCGTAGGCATGGAATCGCCGCCCGGCGTGTCGTTCGAGGGAACATTTTCCTCGGCAATGCTGAATGCCGCCTGCGAGGCATCGGTGCTGCCTAGTACTCGCCTGATGGCCTCTTGCGTGTACTTACCCAGCGAGATCGAAGAATGTCTGAGGTCTCTGAGGCGCTCGCCGCTGGGCCACAGGCGGCTAAACATCACACGTGCCGGACGCGCCTGTGGCTCTACTGTCGTGACTACTGCCACTTGCCAGTTCCACAGTCCACATCCGACTCAGCCCCTTCCCGCCTGAGCCACAAACGGACAGCGCTCTACTATCCAACCTTGCGCAACGTAGCAGCATTCTGCTTCGGAACTGTCTTACGAACTGTGTCTCATAGCCTTGTGTTCTGACCCAAACACTGAACAGGTCGCGAGACTCGCGACTGACTCGCCCAGCCTCAAGTTCCTGTCGACTGGTCTGCCGTCACATTGGTTCGGGCCATCTGCGTTCGCTGTGAACATGCCCAGTCTCACGCATCGCGCTGGTCCGCGGAACTCCCACTCTCTCTCTTGCTCCTCTTGCCTTGATCGCCTGCTGCCTATTCCGTGTTCGGATGACGCTATCTCCGGCATCAACTTGACCGACAAAGACAGTCTATGTATTCCAAAGTCTGATGCGCAGCCGTTGGTTGCGTACGCCAATCGGCGAAAGAGTACCGTTGACGAAGACCGCTGGAAAACCGAGATAGTCAAGAAGATCGTCGAGATAGAAGACCCACTAGACGCCTTTTTACAAGAGTTCGTGCCTAGCTCAAAGCCAGTGCCCCCGCTTCCTAAGCGGAGAGGCGGCTATTTTCGCATTCCGAAGGATGTCACTGAGCCAGACATGTATGAACTCGTCGTACGTCAGCCTTTTAACGCCTTACTACACATGTTGACTGTCTGGTGTCGCAGCGGAAGGGCTTCGACAAGCTCGTAGAGAGTTTTCCTGCCGAGAAACGACCGACCTTCTTCAACAACGGACACAAATCTCTGCCACTCCCTTTCGAAGCCCTACGCGCAGAACACCTCTCAACGAAACCGGATGTCGTCGCTACCGTTCCGACCATCCCCAGCGATACCACAGCGTTGAGATGGCGCAACATCGCATTCGTCATTGAAGTCAAGGGTGCCGATGACGACGATCCGATGCTCAATATCACCGAGAAGCGCAACAGTACGCTGGTCCAGCTCGCGAAAAGCGCACTCAATCTCATGCTTGCGCAAGGAAGGTTGTTCGTCCTCCTCGTCGGGATTTACGGATCCAAGACACGCATCTACCGCTTCGACCGTGCTGGCGTAATCGTCTCGCAGGCGTTCCAATACGCACGCGGCGAGGGGCCAGCCATCCTCTACGAGTTTCTCTGGCGGCTCGTTCATCCACACAACACGGCCTGCAGAGTCGCCGGCGGCGACCCAACGATCCGTCTCGCGAACAAGAAGGAGCAACAGAAGGCGCAGAACTGGGTGTTCAATCTGGATCCCACGTACGAGTTCACGAATGAAGATCGGCAAGCATGTCGCTTCATCACAGTCAACGACAAGAAGGGCAACTGCAAGACGTCTCCTTGCATCTACCTCGTCTACAGGCTGCTGTTCGTGAGTCCACAACTATTCACGCGTGGGACGGTGGTATGGGAAGCGTTGGAGCTTGGTCCGGGAAACAAGAGCAACGGGAAGCGTGTGGTCATCAAGGACTATTGGCGGCAGCTAGCACGAACACCGGAAAGTGACTTCTACGAGGAGATGATCGATGCGAACATGGAGTTCATGGGTGTAGTGGAGTACAAGTACGGCGAAGACTTGGGCGCGCCGGAAGCACGGGAGACTCGCCAGCCCATCGCTTTCCCACTCTCCTCGGAGGCTGAAGCTGAAGTTGCCCGCGACTCGACTGATGTCGCGGATGGCGATGTCACTTCACCTGTCGCCGAGGAACATGGTCCTCCTGCAGAGGAAGGCGAGACGAGGCGGTCTTCTTTCAACGAGGCTGATGCAGAAGATTCAGACGCTGTGACGGCTTATTCAATCGCTAGCGATGCTGCTTGTCATGTATCTGACTCGTTGACGTCCCCTCTCACCTCGCTGAGCTCCGATTCCGACGCTGAACACTACTCTGCGAGGCGCGATTCCATCGCGTGCGGCTCCGCCAATCCATCGTCGTCTGACTCACTATCCGTGCTCACACCTAGCCTTTCGCCTGAGTCGATTGACTCCGACGCCAGCACACCGCCCTTAGGTCACCGCACTGTGAGTGGGTTGTACCATGCTGGACGCAAACATCCGTTCCACGAGCGTAGTCACATGCGTTTGGTTCTGGAGACTGTTGGGGTACCGCTGAGACAATTCAACAGCACGCGAGAGCTTGTGATCGCACTTCGTGATGCCATCGAAGGTACCGTACAATGCGTCGTTTGCACTGCATACTCAATACTTGGTGCTGACGAACTCTCATCGCAGGGCATCAACGTGCTTATTATGCTGGGATTATTCATCAGGATATCAGTGAGGGCAACGTCATGATCGTTAGGCGCAAGAACGGGTCTGGTGGTTTCCTACAAGATTTCGATTGCGCTTTCAGTTGGCGACGTTTTCTGCGACGATGCGGTTGGCGTGCTACGAAGGAGAGCTGGGAGCAGTACGTACGAACGAATGAAGGTCATCTAGACCCGACCCTGGAGCCTCTGAACGCGGACATTGCAGCCGAGAGGAGGAAGATGCATGATCGCAAGCAGCGCACGGTGAGTGAACCGCGCTGATCATAGTCGCGTCGTTGACTGTTCACTCAGGGTACCCTACACTTTATGGCCATCGAGGTAGTCAAGGGCCGTGTCACCCACGACGTTCGTCATGACCTTGAGTCTTTCTACTGGCTTCTGGTGTGGATGGTTCTCCGTCACGCCCGGCACCAACATTGTGACGGTATCCATGGCTGGCGCCAGTTGTTTGACCACAGCACCGATGCCACATCCGCCGGCAGCAAGATGTTCTGGTTGGAGAGCGAAGATGTCCTCACTGTCGAAAACAATCCGCCTCTCAACCGTCTCCTGGAAGAACTTCGTGTGCTATGCCTTCAGTATCGCTCCGTGAGCACCCTTCCACAGGCCTCCATGACTCACGACCAAGTACTAGGGATCTTCGGGGACGCTTTGGCGATGGAAGGCTGGCCCGAAGGTGATGCCGCTCTTGAATACCAACGTCCACAGCATGACAAGGATCAAGAGGGGCTAGAAGCTCGAGACCAGCCCAGAGAGTATAGCTCTGACATTGAACCTAGTAGCGAGAGTTCGAGCCTTGGACCATCTCCCTCCACTCTCCACACTGGCTCTGTAATGGCTGTCCCCGACTCGGAAGACCCTGCTGAATACCAGAACGGGCACGACGATCAACATCCTGAAGAGCTGATCCGTGGCCGCAATCGGATCCAGCAACAGCCAAGCTCGCAACAAGCGAGGTTTGTGATTCCCGCAGGACGCCACGGCAATATTTCCTTCGAAACATTACCGTCATCAGGACATAACGGAGACAACAGCTCGAATGAAAGACTGCCTGATAGCCGTCGAAGGGGCAATGCTTCGAGGGACGCTGCCTCAAATCTCGCCACATCTGCTCGTTGGCAAGCCCATCTACCAGCACGCCAGACTCAAGACCGAAGGTCGACCCCACCGTTGCCCGAGCGGCCCATTTGCAGCGCCGACGAACCGGCTACCACCCGTTCTGCAGCCCGCACTATGCCGCGTCCGCCGCCGACGCCGTCTACATTACTGGGACGCACTCGGAGTCAAACAGCCAAACTGCGCGCAGCAGTGGCTTCGTCGTCGCAGAGCACTGGCAGGGCGGCTAAGCGAGTTTGCCCTGCGGAAGATGGTGAACAGGGCGAGTCCCAAGTGTCGAAGCGTCCGAGACATAATCTAAGGACAAGTCGCTCAAGTAATCATGGGCGCTGGAGTCCGTACGCGTCCCGGAAAGGGAGGGGGCATCTAAGGCATTCATGATGTACCACTGTTCAGTTCATGAGATTGGCTCGTAGAATCTATGGGTCATTGATGCTGTGTAATCTCAAGTCCTATGTATAAAGCGCAATTGACACTGGATGATTGACATGTAATGAGGAGAGTTCGAGTTGTGTACTATCGTAGTCGACAATTGGAGTTACTGTTATGTATCAACTGCTGCTCGACTGTTGCGGACCCTTCACTGACATTACAGCTAGATTGAGTACTGCTGATATGAGGTGGCATTCATATTCTTTTGGGTCTACTACACACGTACATACAAACGTTATGACAACCCGCACCTATGCGTGTGATGCAGCTCGTTGACGACGCGGCGAGCGACATGCGCCAAAGGTGCTAAACTTGAACGCGTCAGCGGAATACTTGACGAGATAGCAGCGTCATCCGCAAAAGTTGCTCACAGCTGTGCGCGCTCGCAACTCCCAGCCAGAGGGAACGCTCGCTACGTAATCCTTGTCTATGCGACACCCCTCGTCGGACACGACAACAGGAAGATATGTAGTCCCTGCTCGCCACCCGATTTTGCATCGTTGTCTGAACGCGTGAGTCGTGACACACGACGCACTAGCATCGCCGACGTCATCCTACCAACAGAATCGCGACAGGATAAGTTGCGAATGACTCACCTAGCTGCATTGGCCCTACCCATCTGAAAAGTCTACCGTATAGGACGCCGAGCAGGCGCGATGAGCAAAGGTGATGGGCTTGAGCTTGAATGGTCCTGCAGGATGCTCCAGAGTTAGCCTCACACTGCAAGACGATAGAGAAGGTCGTGGTAAAGCGTGCAATAGCGTGCGCGCCAGAGGCTACATGAGTGTCGTTCGTGCGTGTCCGCTGACCAGTGACCACCATCCACCCTTGCGTCGGGTCGCGGGCCTGTAATGGGTAGCGGCCATTCTATGACATAGGTTTGCAGGGCATCCTCTACACGGCCACACGGCGCAGCGAGCGCTTACGCCTATGACGTGCGGTCGCAGACGAGGCAGCGGGCTGCCCGCTATGCCAGCTGCGACCGCACGTCATAGGTGTCTGCCGCCCGATCGAACAGACCCACCGCCCAGCCGCCGCCCACCCAGGATTCCCAAGAGGTCCTTGGGAATAAGTGCCGTCGTGCACGTGCCTGCCCATCCCAACGAGTCGTGTCGGCGACCATCCCCTGTGCGCAGTGCGACAGGCCATCTCTCAAGTACTATGCCGCTCCTCCGTGCGCAGTATGGACGGTCGTTTCCGCATCACAGATTAGACCTGGCAGAACTTCTCTCGGACATCCTCCTGTGCAAGCTTCAGGCACAGAATAGCGGATCCGTGCGAGAGTGGGCCGACCCCGTTGACAACCCTCCGAGTCGGGCCGCGCGTTGATGCAGAAGCTTAGGGAGAGGAGGAATCAGCGTTTGACGTCGCCTGTATCGGACACTGCTATGTCCCTACAGCGACACCCAGCGCGCGCCGAAGGATTTGCCCCACCACGGTGTGCATGTATGCGCATATTTCGCTGCTTGAAAGACCTCCGGACAGAGCTCAGACAGGGGCTAGCCTTCCTCTCGACCTGGGCATAATGCACAGCAGAGCGAAACCAGGGATTGCTCCGCTCGGCGGGACGCGGGGCGAATCACCATCGTAAAAAGGCAATGGAAGGAGCCGGGAGACTTCGACAGGATGTATGAGGCACGATGGGCTCGCCGAGCGATGATGGAAAGCTCACCTCGCGATGGAACATCTGCGCGTCCGGCGACTCGCGCAGTACAACTAAGTCGCGCGCACACCATCTTTTCAGAAACCTGACGCGCATGCAGTGTACTGGAGGTTGTTAGCTTCAATGTACAATGGTCTTACAGAGTGAGCGAGCACACACCCGTTTACGCCACGGTCGCCTGTCCCAGAGTACGCTGTACTATTTGAATGAGATGTTCTGGTGTCCGAATCATCTGATAAGTATGTGAGCGATCAGTACTGGGTCTAGGAAAAGCAGTGAGCCACCCGAGAGCCACCATTGATAGAATGCGCTGGGAGGTGGAATGGTCGAGGACAACAGAACATGGCCGGTTACAGTTTGTCAACGACCACCTAGATGGGATGGTAGTGAAGGAAGGGGGCGATCAACCTGGGGATCCGAGACAGTGACTGGATTGTCTAGCCTCCGTTTGCAGTGAGAGATACGGTGTCTCGGAGGAGGGTGCCTTGACTGAAAAGTCGGACGGCGGACCTCTGCCGGTGGGGCGGGCTGCGGCCATAGGCGGATCGTCACAAAGGAGCGGAGGGGCGCGTACTGCACGCGCAGAGCGCGTCGTGCGGTGGGAGAGAACGAAGAGGCAGACGTCGACCTGCCATCGGGAAGCGATACCATTAGGGGACCTTGTCTGTTATGGTGCACACGCACCTGGGTCAACGAATCACTCTCCTACCGCGTACCGTGGTCCCCTGTGACATCGTGGAGGAATGCGGTCTTCAGAGAGGGAAGGTCCATCTCCCGACCTTGAGAACTGAGCGACAATCTCTGAGAAAATGAGGCTCAACTAAAGAGGGCCCTAACCTGTGCTAGCCCTTCCACGCTCTGACGAAGCACGCATCTGCTCTCCTTCCAGCTGTGCGATGCGGGCCCAGGAGAGGGAAACCCGGCAGTGCATCCATTCGGGGAATCCAATGAAAGTACCAGAGGATCTAGATGTGCTGTGTGGGTAGGAGGAACGGGAGGAACCACGCAGTATGATAGTACTTGAGTCCGACGGGAGTCACACACAAGCCCAGGCCATCGGCGATCGGGAGGAGCGGGACGGAGAGGTTAGGGTTCCTGTACCGAACGAAGTCGCTTGAGCTTGACGACAGTGACGAGGCGTAGCAGTCAGTGAGCACCGATGCGGCGCTGAGAGGAACGGCGAGGAGGAGGACGCCGAAGGACGCGGCTGGGCGACCGCCTCGTCGGCGAACGCGCCCATCACGTGCGGCGCGCATCATATTCTCCTCGTCCCAAGACATGCCTCGCGTTTTGAAGGCTGTCTTGGTGCTGTCCTTTCGATAAGCTTGCTAATCTGACCCGTTGCATCTTTCAGTCGCTACCGTCACTATAGAGGAGCGACTACCCACATCTCGCATTCATCCACGTCTCGCATCCATCTACACAACGCACCGATCGTCGCTTTCAGTTCAGTGCGCGACCGGGAACTGCGGCCTGGCTAGGTAAGCTATGTGCGGCACGATGTGGGTGTGATCAAGTCTAACGTAGGCATACTTGGGATAGGGACCGACGCGCAAGCGGTTCGCTTTCCACTTCACCATAAGCGATACTCTGAAGTCCGAGTCGAACTTGGACTGCGTTTGGTATGAACATCTTCATCATGTGGTGTAATCGTATTGACGGAGTCGCTGTTTGATTTAATTACAGCGGCTACGATGAACGAGTCGGTGCACAAGACCGAACACGTAGAGGATCAGATTTCTGATCCGGCTAGCATCTCTGACAAGCTGACGGGCGAGGACTCCGGGAAAGAGGAGAAGGACGCGGAAGCAGAACCCGAGTGGAATTGGTTTGATATTCCTTTCAGGCAACCCATATACTCATGGTGCGTGCGTCACGATCCCTCCTCCCGGAGGATTGGGCGGATATGTGATTTATGGTTTTGTGTTTTCTCAGCGATACGGGTCCGCGATTCCCGCAAGAGCTGTTCGAGCGCATCTGCGAATTCCTCTGGGACGAACCGGTCCAGCTAGCGGTCAGCTGCACGCGCATTTGCCCTGCTTGGTATCATGCTGCACGGCGACTTCTGCCTCTGCCAGAGTGGAAGATCACCTGTCGAACCCGAGAGGCCCTGCAAGACCATGCGCATACACTCATCTCCCGTCGTAATGCGCCATATCGCAAACGATTCAAGTCATTGTGGATCTACGACAATGCCAGCAAGCCGTTCGCGCACGTTTGGCCTATGTTCATTCCTGGATCGATGCTACCGGAGCTGTGGTCCGTGCATCTTGTTAACCTTGACTGGTCAACCAAGATGCCGCACGATAGCTTCTTCATCCACCTGTCTTCTTACACCAGTGTCTTGAACCTACAGATGTACCACTGCAGGTTTCGCAGTTTGCCGGATCTTCGCAGGGTGATCAATGCCCTTCCCAACCTTATGTCGCTGGAGCTCTACAAAGTAACGTTACAGCACCCTCTCAGACCAGGATTGGTTCCCGACTACATTGCTCTCCGAGCCCGTTCACATAAGCTCGAGTCTGTTGACCTCTACGGTTCCAACCCCAGGCAAGAGTATCCTGACGTGTCCTCGGACTACCAAGGACCAACGGCCCAAGCTCTGCTGCATATGGTAGCCGCAAACTCATCCACTGTCACCCGCCTCACCCTTGACCTGCGATTCTTTGCTTCGCTTTCAGCCCTTTGGCATTATCTAGCGCATTTTCGCCGCCTGGCCTCGTTCGAAGCGTGGTATCAATTTGCCTCGAGCCCTAGTATGATCACATTTGAGGAGACAATTCCTGCGCACACGGAGGACACACCTATACACTCATGGTCAAAGTTTACCCTTACGGAGGTCCCCGATCGATCCGCGCTGCAGCTTCTGCAGCTGCTTGTTACCCCGAAATCGTGCAGCGAACTGGAGGAATTTCAAATTCATCTTACAGACCGGCCATCTGCCACACTTGTATCATGTACTAGCCGTGTGCTCCATACATCCGGACATCGGCTCAGCGGTCTCATGTGGAGATGTTCGGCGGACCTAGGTCAGCTTTCCGTGTGTAGTATGCACATGTGTCTGACTGTCAACTGATTCCATTTGTAGATCTCGAGGTCACTCCGTCACTCGCAGGGAATACGTCTCTGCAAAGGTTAGACATACGCCTTCAGGACGTTGCCCCATCGCCACAGAAGATACACAGTGCTCTCACCGCCGTCCTATCAGACATCGTCAGCGTGGACCTGCAGCACGTGTATATTCGGTTCACTCTAGCTTGCCTCGAGGTGCTTCCCCAGGATCATGGACGGACACCCGCGGTACTAGATCCTGCCGAGTCCATCTCTGCCTTTCACGCCATTCTCTCGCGCGAGATATTCAATGGGCTTCCGCTGCGCACTGCCGACAAGGGCGTATGGGTCGTTTTCGATGTCGGGGACATACACGGCAATCTTGCCGTGGTAGCCACTATCAAAGCCTACATGATCACTCTCTTTACGCCGTGGTTGGATCGCGGAATAGTGGAGTTGCGGTTCAATTGGATGGACAGTGTGGAGACTATTACTTGTGCTCCCACGTCTAAGTATGCTCAGTGGTAAGTGGCCCAATGTCGTACCTCGCAACGGCGCACTTACGAACCGACCATTTGCATGTTCCCGTAGAGGACACATCGAGCGATCGCTGAGGCGAGGATGTCGAAGAAAACGCACCCGTAGGAACGAAACAGTAGAACGAAGCTCAGGCGGGAATTCGGAGGGAGACGGACACTGGCATGAAGGGCTCGGACGGACGTCGTTGATGATCGCGCAGGACAGCGGCACGATGTTGTACAATCCACGGTCAGATATTCATGGTCGAATGTTGTTATTTAAAACGGCACGTATTACGACGACATTCTTGGTACAAAGCATAGTCTTGAAGGGATTAGCTTATTAACGTGTCTCCCTCAGTGTTATTCGCGCCGTTGCATGTCCAGATCAAAGCCATTTAATTGCGGAGATTCGACAGATGAAGTACCCGGTAAGCCGCTCAGTTGCCGCCGACCGGACTCGTCGGGGCCCCTGCACCATGCACCACCTCCTATGCAAATGCCGGCTGAGTGGTAACGCGATGATAATGAAGTAGTAGTTACTGGTGCTTATGAATGCGTACGAGCACTCTTCAGTTGTGCGAAGATCACTGCCGGCGTCGCAGACGACTGGACTAGAAGAGACGCACCAATCACGCCGGTCGTGTCCATCAGCCTCTCATCCGAGCCATCGTCAAACTCCGGGGGACTGCTGGCAAACGACAGGTAGCCGGTCAACACCAAAGAGGTGACTGGGACTTGCAGCGGCGTGGTGACCTCAAGACGTACAACAACAGCTGCAGAGCTCACAGGCGGAAATCGCTAGCCTGAGTGTGGCTCAAGACGGGGGCACCTCCGAGCGTAAAGCGAAGATACATGTCCCTGCAATAGTCGTCCGCGCATGTTCCGAATGTGCACTACATCGCAGCATGTAAGCACATATATGTGTTGTCAGTGGCGACTCGCACCTCTCGATGGGCCTCGGATTTTCCTTTGCGCCGTCAGACGTAATTAGGCGGGCGGAGTAGTTCGGGAATGGCTTCTGCGTGGCGTGATACGCAGGTATTCATTATCGTAGAGACGATCTGGAAAGACCGACAAAACTCAGCACGGTAACAATAGGTGAAAGGTGGGAGCCTAGTCGAGGACGGCGGCACATTCTTGTGAACAGGACCTGCGCGTGACGGTGGTGTTGCCTGCGCGAGCACATAAGTGAGCTGAGACACGCGGGAAAGGACACGGGCACTCACGTTCGTAAGTGAGATGCGCGGTATGTGTACAAGGCATATGTGTATGTTGCGAGTGAAGCTTTAGCGCGTGTGCGAGTTGACAGCAAGATCGCGTATTCCGCATATACGAGACGAGCATGAGGTTGAGTGAACGATCGCGGAGCACGGCGTAAGAAGCGGAGAGGTTGAGCCAAGACTAAGTGTAGAAGCTCACCTTGCGAGGCCAGGTCCTGGATATCCCATGTCTCAAGCGGTATTGTGAGTGGACGGATATGCAGAGTCGATCTATCGTGCAGTGGACTGTGCAAGGGATGAAGCAGATAACTTCATCTGGCAAGACAAACACGCACCTTGGGATATTGAATCACTCTCCTGGCGCACACCGTTTGTAGCCCCAAGCGGCGCCGTAGTAGTATCTAGTCTTCAGAGATGGGCGGTCCATCGCCCGACCTCACGTTTTCAGCAGCGACTCTTGATACATGAGGAGTTCGAGGTATAAACTCACTTACATAACTGGTGCGACCATTCTGACGAAGCTGCGTTTGATTCTTCGGGATGTCGACCGCCTGGTGTACGTTTCGAGGGCGAAAGAAGGGAATTTAACAGTGCGTCCATCTTCGGGAGGTCGAGGATGCCAGTTTCTGTTCTATGTGCGAGTGTTGTCTGTTCGAGTCTCGCCGGGAGTACGAGGCGATGCGGCGCGTAGGAGCTGGACAGCTGGACAGACATCGGTTGTGAAGAAAGGCGGTGCGTCCATTCGGGGAAGCGAATGACAGAGCTCTGTATTCGTCTGAACGTATGTGTCGCGTCATAGGTACCAGATCGCCTAGAAGTGCTGTGTAGGTAGGAGGACAGACAGTCGGACGGAGACCGTGACCAGGCCATCGGCGATCGAGAGGAGCGGAACTGAGTGTACCAAGCAAGGCAGCCTAGACATGACGAGGCGTAGCAGCGACTGAGAGCCGATGCGGCGCTGAGGGGGACGACGACGAGGCAGGACGCCTAGCGAGGAGGCGCATCCGATGTTCTCGGAACCGTAGCCAATCACGTGCACACCGTGTCGCGCGTCGTTAGCGCGTCTGACTGAGACAGACTGAGACTCGGACACCGCTCGTGTTGCCCATCGCTGTCTGGTCTGTCTTCCATTATATTCTGTCCTCGCTCCTACTCCTCATTCACATCTCCCAGAGCATTTGTTATACCAGAAGACGTAGAGTACAGCGAAACGCACTGCTTTGCGCGGCCATCGAGCTCACGGCTGTCCGTGGTACATTGGTGCATCTGTGCCGCTGTTTTGTGCTACCATTACTCACTCATGGGGTCATTGCTCTTCTCACAGCCATCATCCGGGGACCGCGATTTGCTGGCGCTTTTGCAACACCATCACCTCCGGGCTGTCCTGTTTGTATCTCGGAAGGTATACAACAGTTCGGAACTCTACAGCGCCCAGTGCGTAATCTACCGAAGCTGAGTGGGCCAAGCACTTGGACTGAGCTCGAGCGTCCCTGCGTGAGTAGTGACTATACTTTCTGTCCTGGTCTTTGTCGCGCAGGGACAAATCCGGCTAGGTGCCCATTTGTGTACCACCACGCCGTCGATGCAAGGATATACTGAGGTCTGTATATCGCTCCCTCCATTATTCCGTCGAATCTTCAAACGCAATGTATACTGATCCTCGTAGCCCACTGAAATCCCCGCCCCCTATGTGTTTGGAATCCAAGTACCGACATACCTGCACGTTATTCCGTCGCTCAAGAACCGCACCGTGTACAGGTGGAGGTACAGTGGCTTGGTCGAAGGAGGCTATGACAGCCGGTATGTCTCTCGTTCACTGCGGTCGTGCACATTTATTCACCACCGAGTCGTACGCCCATCTAGCTCCAGTGGGTTACACTTGCGGGGCACTCGGACGTATGCATGCCTAGATGTAGGATTCGTCCGATGAGTGATAAGTTCCCATGAGAATGTCATTGATTAGAATATGCTGTGTCTGCCTTCTCATTGCTCCGTCAGATCCAGAGCTTTTATGCAGTGCGTGCGCGGTACTCGTGTACCACATACCTTCTATTCCTCGATTTTTCTATTCCCGACAGAACCTGTGTCGCCTGGCGGTGTTCTTCGGAAATGAAGTCCAGCCTCTTATTCTCCGATCTGACGAGGCCTAGGTGCGTATCTCCATCCATGTCTCGCAGACGCAAGAACGTGCCCTAAGCGCATTGGCTACGTGTGCGCGGCAGTGTCTTGTGCACTGTGCACGTCGTGCGGAACAGACTCGGGCTGTGTGCGGTCTGAGCTTCGTTCAATAGCGGAAGGCTGGCCGCGAGGCAGTAAGCTCCTATCACCACGGCGTCTCGAGAATCCACAGTGAAGCAATACTTAACATAAGCTCGCATCCATCGATAAGGTGAGCCACGTCGTCCCTGAGCCCTCTTCATCAGCTCTGACTTTGACCATCCTGCCTGCTCTCATCTGAACGCTTGACCGTCGACCAAAGTGTGAGTGGATTTCATTCAGTCTCAATGACATTCACGGCTCGCAGGGCATTGTATTGACTGTATCCATGTCAGGATCGCGCGCGTTCAGGCTGGGTCATACCTTTGGCTCGCATCCACTCCGCGCACGCATTCAAAATCCAACTCGCCACGTCGCCTGTCAGGTGGGTTTCGCATGAACGCGCTCTGTGGCAGCACACTGATCGAACTGCATCTAATAGAGAGACTTGGGACGGGTCTGCGGCTCTACGTTGCGAGAAAGCGCGTACTGAAGGGATCACACAGCGAGTCTTATCTCGAGTACGTCTATCCTGGTTCGCATAGTGCTGCTTGTTGACGGTGTAGCATAAAGGAATGGCCAAGATAGATACCTCCGTAACGGAGAAAGATGTGCTGCCGGAAGGCGACGCGCAAATCCCTGGGACAGCGGAGGCGGACATCGAGACATCGGACGAGTCGGTAGCGGACATCGAGATATTTGACGCATCGGAATTCAACGAGTCAGAATCCAGGGACGAAGAATCTATAAGTGACGATCGCCGACTATACGGCCCACTTGAATTCAGGCCCCCCACATATACGAGGCATGTACACCATCAGCCTTGCTCTTATGGCGCGTACTCACTTGCGTCGTGATTGTAGTGACAATTGTCCACGGCTCCCACAAGAGCTGATCGAGCTCATTTGCGAATTCAACCGCGACTACCCGCTGGTGCTCGCCACTTGCATGCACGTATGCTGCGCTTGGTACCACACCGCAAGTCACGTGCTAGGGATGCCGAGTCCAGTTTCCGGCGCCCTATCGTTGCGAACCCAAGCAGACTTACGCAGCTACGCACACAGGCTTCTGTCTGCCCGTAAATCCGATTATAGCAAAAGATTCAAGAAAATGGATGTCTATGACAATCCTCGCAAGCCGTTTGTTCACGTCTGGCCGATACACATCCCTGGAGGCTTCTTACCGAGGATGACACGGCTACGGCTTCATGGCATCGACTGGACGAACACCAATCGAAACGGTGTCTTCTATAAATACCTTTCCTCGTACTCCAGTGTCTTGTACCTGTCCATGGATCGCTGCTCATTTCGCACCGGAAGGGAGTTCCGCCGAATAATCGATGCACTGCCAAGTCTCGCAGACCTATCATTGTCGAACATCACGCTGCAATATCCTCCCATTCCAGAACCTGTTCCATCTCTTGTCACCGCACGCTACAAGAAACTCAAGGCAATTACGGCTGACGAGCCGGATTCCCTACCATCAAGCATTCACGATTCAGGGCACGGCGAGGCAGTTTCTATGGCGGGAGCGCTGGACATGTGCGCCGTGTATTCATCTATCTCCGAGCTCCACCTGGACTTATCATACTTCCCTTCGGTGCCGAGTCTGCTGAAACGTCTCCTTCATTTCCCCCAATTGCACGATTTGCAGATGAACGGTGCGTTTCAGCCGGACCAAGGGATCGGACACGCAGACACCGATGCATCACACGTGGAATACACACTTCCCCGCGGTTTGTTGCTTTTGAGGATTGGCGAATCAAGTGCACTACAGCTTCTGCGACTGCTGTCCACCTCTCATGCATGCAGCATCCTGGAGAACCTCCATCTTCACCTCGAATCCAGACCATCAGCCGAATTCGTCCTTTGTGTCACCGATATTCTGCGCCTGTGTGGTCCCAGGCTGAAACTCTTTGACTGGGAAGCCAATGGAGGTAACTTGATTTACCTCTCGGATGGTTGTTCAGTCACTCACCCCTTGTATGCCCTGGACTCAGAGGTTGTCCCGCAACTCAAAGCAAACATGTCGCTGAAACGTCTGTATGTCATGTTGAACCACGTTACCCAGAGACTATGGAAGATCCAAAGGATACTCAATACAGTGTTATCCGACATCACAAGCACACGACTGGAAGAGGTGTGGATCGACATTTGTTTAGATTCACTCGAGCAAGCCCAGACGGCGATCACGGAGACATTCGAGCGCGCGAATACTCCGGACTCTACCTTCGCTTTCCACTCGATTCTCTCCCGCAGCATCTTCGCCAGCCTTCCCTATGTTGGTGGTCACCAAGGGGTACACATTAAAGTGTCCTTCACCACAGACGAGCTACCATGGAGTATTCCAGGTCGCAAGCGCAAGTTGTTCATGTTGGCAATCAAATTCCATATGCTCGCTCTCTTCGCGCCGTGGTTGGATCGTGGAGTATTGGAACTCAGGTTCTGGCCAGACCCTGACGGCGAAGAATAAGTCCGTCGTGCACCCATGAAAGCACGCCCCGGTGAGTATCGTAATTTCGTACCCTCGAAGAAGTGCACGCGATTTGCTGGCTGATGAACTGACCGCTCCGGCAGCCGAGAAGACAACACGGCGTGATGATGCACTTGTCTCAGAAGACGGACCTACGGAGATCGGAGCGAACGGGCTAGGAAAGTCGACATAGGACGAGGACACGGACGAGCTGAGCTGGACGAGGTGGTGGAGACGGGTACGACTCGGAGCCGGGACGCACTGGCAGTTCGGGTACGCAGAACCAGTCCGATGATAGCATACTCTTTGACTCTGTGTTTGTATTCTTGTTCTCGTCGACTCGGACTACGCTGGCTCCTCGAAGGAACGAGCGGATCTAGTTATTTACCTTTCGTGATGATATCGGGAGGCGAGTCAAAGGTAGTCGAAACATGTACAAATACGCCGCTCGGGGATACCGACCACTCGCGGATACTACGCTTTATCTTGACCTCACATTTGACAGTCCCCACGTCTGTCCGCAACATCGGCATTTCTCAAACATCGAGGCCGGTATGCAACAATTCGCAGACAGCCGGGGTTAAAAGGACACTCGAGGACGACTCTGCGGGTGTACGACAACGGCTGCGAATGTCGAAGCTCGACTCACTGCGTGAAACTTTCGATCCTTCGAACGAAAGATTGAGAAAGAGGTATTAATCTTCCCACGATATTTCGACCAATAAGATTGAGAAATCTGGTTTAAAACAATAACATGAACCTCTGGGAAGTGATTGTTGAGAATGGATACAAGACAGATTGTGGACTCAAATGTCTTCAATCCCTCTATAATAGTCTGTTGCAAGTGATTGAGTTGATGGAATAAGATACTGCCCCAATACAACACACTCCCATTATTCTAGAAGGATAACAGACAAATCTGGATATTGCTGTCTTTGACATTTATGTAACAACTTGCTGTGGATTGTGAACATGAGATTAGAGACAATTCAAGCTGCTGGGTCTTTAAAATTTCTTGGACAAGCCTAGAAGAATTGTGGATGAGCTGTGGCAAAACAACCATGCCAGTGAGAGCAGATACTCATAGGCATAAGTCATGGCCTTTTTATTCCTTTTCTGAAATCTGACTACATGAAGGATTGATAACATGTTTTCTATCACCATTTGTACATATACAGCTGACAAGTAAGAGAGAGATGAGTAACTGATTGTGAGAGATGCTTGCCTCAACACAGTTTCAATACTTTGACAAGTTTTCATCTGCAGCAGGTTTTCAACAATTCATGATTCATAATATCACAAAGAGATCAGAAAGCATTCTTATCAATGTGATCTTCCATCATATGTCTCAGATAGTTGGACAAGGATTGAAGAACAGAACTAGGAGGATTGCAAACAGATTGTCACACTTGGTGTGACAATCCTTTTGCAACAAAGCAGATATGAAAGTATCAGAAACCAATCACAGTCCTGCTTGCACTATGCATATATATGGCTACATAGCTGTACAGACAGCCATGCACAGATGATGAATTCTGAAGGGACTGTGATTGGTTTCTGATACTTTCATATCTGCTTTGTTGCAAAAGGATTGTCACACCAAGTGTGACAATCTGTTTGCAATCCTCCTAGTTCTGTTCTTCAATCCTTGTCCAACTATCTGAGACATATGATGGAAGATCACATTGATAAGAATGCTTTCTGATCTCTTTGTGATATTATGAATCATGAATTGTTGAAAACCTGCTGCAGATGAAAACTTGTCAAAGTATTGAAACTGTGTTGAGGCAAGCATCTCTCACAATCAGTTACTCATCTCTCTCTTACTTGTCAGCTGTATATGTACAAATGGTGATAGAAAACATGTTATCAATCCTTCATGTAGTCAGATTTCAGAAAAGGAATAAAAAGGCCATGACTTATGCCTATGAGTATCTGCTCTCACTGGCATGGTTGTTTTGCCACAGCTCATCCACAATTCTTCTAGGCTTGTCCAAGAAATTTTAAAGACCCAGCAGCTTGAATTGTCTCTAATCTCATGTTCACAATCCACAGCAAGTTGTTACATAAATGTCAAAGACAGCAATATCCAGATTTGTCTGTTATCCTTCTAGAATAATGGGAGTGTGTTGTATTGGGGCAGTATCTTATTCCATCAACTCAATCACTTGCAACAGACTATTATAGAGGGATTGAAGACATTTGAGTCCACAATCTGTCTTGTATCCATTCTCAACAATCACTTCCCAGAGGTTCATGTTATTGTTTTAAACCAGATTTCTCAATCTTATTGGTCGAAATATCGTGGGAAGATTAATACCTCTTTCTCAATCTTTCGTTCGAAGGATCGAAAGTTTCACGCAGTGACTAACGGTTTCACAGGAATGCTATCGAGAGTGCATACACGACTCATGACGCATGAACTTGTACAATAGTGTTGAGATAATAAAGTCTATGATGCGGGGAGATCTACTACACACAACACAGAAGATCGTCACGACTCACGTAGAACAGTTAGATTCGACATCAGGACGCGGACTGATCACGCACCGCGACACACGGCATTCACCCGACTCGAGCGTCACAGACGACCATCCTCTAGTGGTCTAGATCGGGTGCCTTGACAATCATGTCCATTGGCCTCTTGGCCGAGCCATCGTCGGATCCCCGGGGAGGTACAAGAGGTCGCCGATGAACGGCAGATGACTGACAGGACCTTGCAGCGGCACGGTACCGTCAGAGCGTACGACAGCATTGCAGATGTCGCCTGCGGGGAACGCGAGCATGAAAGAAGCAACAGCACCGAGCGACAGGCGAAAGGCAGCGCGAAGGTACGGCTTGTCCCTCCAGCAGTCGTCCGCGGCTGTTCAGGATATGCCACAGCGGAGCATGTAAGCGCATATGTGTTGTCGGTGACGACGCGCACCTCTCGACAGGCCTTGAACCTTCCTGTACGCCGTCTCACTAGGCGGGCGGGGTTGTTCGGGGATGGCTTATGTGTGGCGTAACACGCAGTTAAAAATCATTGTAAAGACGATATGGACAGGCCGGGAGACTTCGTGGGCAAGAGTTGTGAGCTAGTCGAGGACGGCGGCATAAGCTGGGACGGGTCAAAATAATCCTCTGAGAAAGACCTGCGCATGACGGTGATGTTGCCTGCGCAAACAATTGAACGAGCTGAGACACACGAGCAGGGACACGGGCACTCACGTTCGTAAGTGAGATGCGCGGTATGTGTACAAGGATCATGCTTTATGTTGCGAGTGAAGTTGTTGGGCGTTGGCGGGTTGACAGGAATGTCGCGTATATCTGCATATATACGAGACGATCATAATATTGAGTGAGCAGTCGCGGAGCACGGCGTAAGAGGGTGGAGATGGTGAGCCAAGACTAAGCGTAGAAGCTCACCTGGCGGGGCGAGGTCCTGGATATCCCAGGTCTCAGGCGGCCTTATGAGCGGACGGACATGCAGGGTCGGTCGATCGCGCGTCGGACTGTGCAAGTGATGACCACAGGTAGCCTCGCCTGGCAAGACATACACGCACCTTGGGATATTGAATCACTCCCCTGCCGCACATTGCCTGTAGCCTCATACGACGCCGTGGTAGTATCTCGTTTTCAGAGACGGGCGGTCCATCACCCGACGTCACGTACTTAGCAGCGACTCTTGAGAGCATGAAGAGTTCGAGGTATAACTTCACACTGGTGCGACGAAGCTGCGTTGGCTTCTGAATGTCGACCGCCCGGTTTACGATGCGAGCGAGGCTCAAAGAGGGAGATCCAATAGTGCCTCCATTCGGGAGGCCGAGGATGTCAGTTTCTGTTCTATGTACGAGTGTTGTCTGAATGAGTCTCGCTGGGAGTACGAGGCGATGAGGCGCGTAGGAGCCTAGGATGGGTCTGAAGAGGTGAACCCGGCGGTGCGTCCATTCGAGGAAGTCAATGAAGAGCTCTGTATGATATTCGTCGAACGTGTGTGTCGCGTCATAGGTACCAGATGGTCTATATTTCAAGTTGCTATGTAGGCAGGAGGACAGATAGTCGGACGGAGACCAGGCCGTCGGCGATCGGGAGGAGAAGAAGTGAGAGGTTAGGGTTCCTGTGCCGAATGAGTTCCCTTGAGCCTGACGGCAGTGACGGGCGTACTAAGTGCCGACGGATGCGGCGCTGAGGGGAACGACGACGTTGAACTTGAAGGCTTGGGCGACGCGTCGGCGAACGCGCCCATCACGTGCGGCGCGCGTCATCTTCCTCTCGTCCTCGCGCACGATCGCCTAGTCCTCCATCCCATACTCTGCAGCCACAAAGCCGGATACACTAGGCCACACCATTCCACTAGTACCCTACGTACGCGCGCTGCAATGGATCACCAAGACCGCATTCCTAGCCTCTGCCATGCCCCTCGCCCTGCTCTTTCCACTGGGATCGATCCGCCGAGTGTCTAGCAAGGCATCACGCTCCCGGTGAGATAGCCTTGTTACTGTACTACGCTCGCTGGAAACTGACATTCGCACGCAGCAAATGCTGACCCCAGGGCCAGGCGAGCGATGCCCTGCTGATTGACCGGTCTTCGCAGATCGACGCGCTCGACGTCCTATGTGGCTCTCTTAGCAGTGCCATCTGGGAGAGGTAAGTTTGATCACCGGACGTGTCTCTGTGATACTGTAGAGCTCGTCTTATATTCAGAGCAGTGGGCAGAGTCCATCCATATGCCGGAGGAAGGAGTGGTCGACAGAGTTGTATTTCGGCCAAGGATCTGCGCAGGCCTAGGTACGTGTACTCAACATCGTGCCTTACACAAAGAACCAAGACGTCGATTTCCCTGATCTAGCAATGCCCCGCCCGCTCTGCTACAAGACCTCATCGAAGTCATTGCGCGCCTGCCTCTGCGACGAGCCCTTGCTTCTCGCCCAGTGCTGCCTCACATGCCGCGCGCGACGACAGGCAGCACCGCCGCTCTGCATGACTTCATGCGGGTGCTCATGTTCAAGCAGTACGAGCCGTCCTACAGCTGCGCGCTCGGCGAACTCGAACAAGCGGGCGCACACCTTCGCCGTGCGCGTTTGCGGGTGCCGCCTCCCGCGCTGGAGCCCCTCGCGTTCGCGCTGCTCGACTGGGCGGCACCCCCGAGGACACCGCACTCCGCCTCCGTCAGTACGCCACACGCCCAATGCCCGTTGCTCACCTGTCTCGCCCGTCGGTACCTCTTCCATCACGCAGGCGTGCTCCGCCTCGTCGCAGGCGTGCCCTCCCTAATCTCGCATGGATGTGTCTTGACACAGTCACGGCCCAGTCGACACTGCAGGACACGTAAGGAGCCCCCGCTACTCCAAGCAAGAATTCTGTGAGTTCTTGCTCATGGTCGCGACTATCGCCCAACAATTTTTCTCGCGGCGCGGCCACATCAGATCTTCCTAGACGGTTTGGTCGCATACACGCACCCCTTTGGGACACGACTCATTTCTTGTTCGTGCCCTTTCAGTCGCCCCTCCGTGCATTCCACGACCTCCGACACGTCCAATCCCCACAACGAACTCGATTGGGGAGCTGCGCCCAGCGAAGCTCCGTCTAGCCACACGACGGACGCAGTTCAGGCGCTCCGTGCGTATGCGATATCGCTCTGGGACCTCTCTTGGGTATTCGCCACGGAGTACTTCCCGCGCTGTCGAGCAGATGGACATCCGTCTGTCGGTACTGCGTCACGCCTTTGTTGCAGCGCTGCGGCAATCGGAGGCTGCACCTAAGCTCGCAATTTCATACGATGTACGCTCGTGCACCAGAAGTATGCGTTCACGGCCCACGCCGTTTGTTCGCCGCACCTAACGTGTCAACGCTATAGGCTCCGCATTGCCGGCCTTGTGCCGTTCCTCCGCTCGTCTGCGCCATCGGGCTGCAGATGCTTCGACGGTTATATACTGTGTCCTCGCTGTTGAGCAAGACGTCGGTCTACAGCACTTCCACTTCCTGTTCTGGCCAATCGACGGCACATAATTGCGTCGGTGCAGGTTGCACGTCGCGTTCGGCTTGGATCACCAACGCATGTAGGGTCAATGTGCACGCCCACGCGGAGGAACCGAGCCCGGTCGCTGCCTTCCACGCCGCGCTCTCCCCTGAGCCATTCGCTACGCTACCAACGCGAGGTGCGCAGCTCGCACGGGGAGCTGGGATTCTCATGATTGCGAAACGCCCGGTGCGTCAGGTTCCGGGCCACTCATCCCTGGATGTCTGACTACCCATCGAGGTAGTGCCACGCCTGGTACGGCCTTGAGCCGAGGAATACGCAGGAGTCATACAATCCACTCAACTGTCGCGGTTGTGCACCAGAGTACTCGTGTGTATGCGCGGTACCGAAGTCTAGATGGGCGACGCTAGAATGCGGAAGATGCGGCGATATCTTCGTTGCATAAGGACTCGCTCAAGTGCTTTGACAGCTGTCCCACATCATCCAATATCCCTTCGTTGCATTCGAGCATCGCCACCCGCGTTCACATTCAATTGAACCTGGACTCACTATGTACAGGGCTCGTGCGGCTCTCGTAGTAGTGTCCGAGTTGTGAAGACGGCTGTGTATACATGCCACTTGAGGCAGGACACGAGCGATAACGCGGCAATGATGGGGAAGGATGGACTATCAAGACGACATGAGCTAGGCCTCAACACGTACTTATTACGGAACACCAGCAACACCGAAAATGAAGCGCATGTATGCGGGACGAACACAAAACAAGTGGAAGGAAGCACTCGACTCTCGGAGCGCACCAGCGGACGGAGCAAGCGAGAGAGAAGAGAGAATTGACGAAGGCTCACCACCCAGCGACAACCGAAGACAACGGGAGCATCGCACCGAGCGGGTACACACGGCACTGCGTCGGTGGTAGCCTGTAGAGTACGAGGTGAGCCGTCGAGTTCACTGAGACAGAGTGAAGCCATCTGAAGAGGCAGACACGTACCCATCAGTTGCAGTACGTCGCCTGTCTTTTCGCGTGGTTTAACGGTTCTTTCGACGGCGTCGGGGAGGGCTGCACCGCGCCGTCAGAAGGGGACCTCTGTCGGAAGGGGCGAACTCTGCGCCATCTGCAATCGGACCATAGTACTGCTGACAGAGGCTGCCCCGAGCTACTAGAGCTGCTTTACAAAAGACGCGTTGTAGTCATGAGAAAAGGAGATGATACGGCTTGGATATGGCACCCAGTCGACGAGTGGATGAGACGCGTCCGTCACGTGTAGACCGCGTTGTCAGCGCGCTGATATCATCCAGCTTCCTCTCTGTGCAACATCACTTGCGCGCTTTTCCTCGTCCTCCAGGATACACTTAGCTGTCTATGTATTCCAAATAACATCAGGGGACTCGAATACACGTCGCAGGACACCGTTGGCGCAGCAGTCTTCTATGTGCGCGGCCTGAGGAGTCACTGCCCCATAACTGTAAGTGAGTTCTGCGTTGTCGGGGAGACACACGGTGCGGAACTACTGGCCTTCTATTTCGAACCCAGTGCTCATATGTACAACAGCCTTCGACCACTTTGACAGGTCTTCCATTTGACAAAGGGCGCTCCTGTGCCGTTGGCCCCACTATGCACTGTTTCTTGTGCGTAGCAGCGTACTATTAGTACGTGAGTATGTCTCATGGATATGAGGTACGTAAACGTCTTCATGCGTACAGGACGTACTCACAATTTGCCCTTGGGGGATGAGTTACGACGGTATGCGTATCAATTCCGAGCGCAACATATGGCGCAGCGTGTGGGTAATCGCGAACTTAAATGCACAGCTGCTTCTCAGCTGCCCTTGAACATGAGGCAGTAATCCCCTAATACAATGGCGCCGTTCGGCGTGTACCGACATCGCATGGACATGCCTCGCGGTTAAAACGGTGCCCTCTTCTCGACCAAGTCGACCTGACCCGCCGCGTTCTCGAGTCGCTACCTCCACTCCAGAGTAACATCCATCCACGTCTCGAATCCGAGTCCCTCGCGGACAACGCACCGATCGTCAATTTCGTCATTGTGGCCCCATCTGGATCGTGTACATTCAGTCCTGATTCCTGTCCGAACAGAAAGCGCGAGCTAGCTAGGTAAGCTGTGTGCGGCATAAAGAGTATGTGATCAAGTCTAACGTGGGTATACCCGGGACAGTGACTACATAACGCGCAAGCGGTTCGCTTTCAACCTCACTACAAGCGACGCTCTGAATCAACGGACGTCGGAAGACCGATAGTCCAAGCGCTGCATTTGTATGAACATCTTTCCAATGTGATGTGACCGTATTGACGGAGTCGCGATGTAGTTGGATCACAGCGGCTACGATGAAGTTCTCGGTGCACACGACCGAACGAATGGAGGATCAGATTGCTGATCAGGGCATCATCCCTGACAAGCTGACGGGCGAGGAGTCCGGTGAAGAGGAGTCTGGGGAAGAGGAGTCCGGGGAACAGACTGAGGACTCAGGCTCAGCATCCGAGTGGCGTCCTGATATTGAGATTCTGTTCAGGCAACCCATATACTCAAGGTGCGTGACCCACGGCTCCTCCCCCCGGAGGATTGGGGTGAACATGTGATTCATGGCTTTGTGCTTCCTCAGCGATACGGGTCCGCGATTCCCGCAAGAGCTAATCGAGCGCATCTGCGAATTCCTCTGGGACGAACCGGTCCAGCTAGCAGTCAGCTGCACGCGCATTTGCCCCGCTTGGTATCATGCTGCACGGCGACTTCTGCCAGAGCATGACATCACTTGGCAAACCCGAGAGGCCCTGCAAGATCATGCGCATACACTCACATCCCTTCGTAATGCGCCATATCGCAAACGGTTCCAGCAATTGCTGATCTACGACAATGCCAGCAAGCCGTTCGCGCACGTTTGGCCTATGTTCATTCCTGGATGGATACTACCGAAAGTGCGTGTCGTGACACTCGGTGACCTCGACTGGTCAACCAGGACACCGCACGATAGCTTCTTCGTCTACCTGTCTTCCTACACCCGCATCTTAACCCTTAGTCTGCGGACCTGTAGGTTTCGCAAGCTAATGGATCTTCGCAGGGTGATCAATGCCCTACTCAACCTTACGTCGTTGCACCTCAACAACGTAACTATACAGCACCCTCTCAGACCGGGATCGGTCCCCGACTACATCGCTCTCCGAGCCCGTTCACACAAGCTCCAGTCTATTGAACTCTGCGGTCCCAAACAGGAGCATCCTGACGTGTCTTCGGACTGCCTAGGAACAACGGCTCTCAATTGTCAAGCTCTGCTGCATATGGTAGCCGGGAACTCATCCACCGTTACCCGCCTCGCCCTTGACCTGCGATTCTTTACTTCACCCTCAGCTCTTCAGCGATATCTGGCGCATTTTTGCCGCCTGACCGCATTCGAAGCACAGTACCAATTTGCCTCAAGTCCTCTGATCACATTTGCCGGGGAGACAACTCCTACGTGTACGGAGAATACGTATATACACTCATGGGAAAGCTTTACCCTTATGGACGTCCCCGATCAATCCGCTCTGCAGCTTCTGCAGCTGCTTGTTACCCCTATATGGTACAGCAAACTGCATAATTTCCATATCCATCTTGCAGGCCGACCATCTGCCGCACTTCTTTCATGTACTAGCCGTGTGCTCCATGCACTCGGAAATCGGCTCTGGAGTCTCACGTGGATGTGTTCGGTGAACCCAGGTCAGCTTTCTGTGTGTAGTGTGCACATGTGTCTGACTGCCTTCTGATTCCATTTGTAGATCTCGAGGTCATTCCGTCCCTCGCAGGGAATACGACTCTGAAAACGTTGTGGATTCACCTTCGGGACATTGCCCCATTGCCGCAGGAGATACACAGTGCTCTCACCGCCGTGCTATCAGACATCGTCAGCGTGGATCTGCAGCACGTGTCGATTTGGTTCACTCTAGCTCACCTCGAGCCTGAAGTGCTTCCACAGAATCATGGACGGACGCCCGTGGCACCAGATCCTGCCGAGGCCATCTCTGCTTTTCACACCATTCTCTCGCGCGAGATATTCAATGGGCTTCCGCGGCACTTTAGTAACTTCAAGTGCGTAGAGGTTGATTTCTACGTCGGAAACATACAGGACAATCCCGCCGTGGTAGCCACGATCAAAGCGTACATAATCAATCTCTTTACGCCGTGGTTGGATCGCGGAATAGTGAAGTTGGTGTTCATCTCAGCTGACAGTTCTGAGCATATTACCTGTGTTCCCGCGTCTATGCTCAGTGGTAAGTGGCCCAATGTCATACCTCGCAACGGCACACTCACACACTGGCCATTTGCATGTTCCCGAAGAGGACACGTCGAGTGACTCCAAAGTCGAGGATGTACAAGAAAACGAACCCGTAGGAACGGAACAGTAGAACGAGGCTCACAAGGAAATGGGAGAGACGGACACTGGCGTGAACAAGCCGGGCGGACGCAGTTGGTCGCGCAGGACAGCGGCACGATGTTGTACGATCCACGGTCAGGGATTCATGGACGGACATTGTATTTATAATGGCAGGTATCATGACGACAATCTCGTTCAAAAGCATAGTCTTGAGGGGATCAACTTACCTACGTGTCTCCCTCTGTGTCGTTCACGCCGTTGCATGTCCGGATTAAAGCCATTGAATTGCAGAGATTCGACAGAGGGAGGACCCGGTAAGCCGCCGATCGGACTCGTCGGGCCACATGCACCATGCGTCGACGAGTAGCAGATACCATCTACTACGTTAATACCGAGTGAGTGTTAATGCGACGATAAAGGAGTACTAGTGCTCACGGATGCGTACGAGCACTCTTCAATTGTGCGAGAAGCACTGCTAGCGTCGCAGACGACTGGACTAGAAGAGACGCACCGATCACGGCGATCATGTCCATCGGCCTCTCGACTGAGCCATCGTCGAACACCCGGGGAATCGAAAGCGACTACATAGGTGCAAGAGGTCGTCAATCAACGATAGACGACTAACGGGGTGTTGCAGCAGCGCGGCAGCCTCAGGACAACAGCTGCAGAGCTCACCTGCGGGAGTCGGGAGCCTGGCGACTCAAGACGGAGGCACCTGCGAGTGTCAAGCGAAGGATAATGCTAATGCGAAGGTACAGCGTGTCCCTGCAGCCGTCGCCCGCGCCTGTTCAGAATCGCCCTATTGCAGAGTATGTAAGCGCATACTTGCGTTGTCAGTGACGACTCACACCTCTCGACGGGCCTCGGAACTTCCTTTGCGCCATCTCACTAGACGGGCGGAGTAGTTCGGGAACGGCTTCTGCGCGGCGTGATACGCAGGTAACCATCGTCTTGAAAACGATCTGAACAGGCCGGGGGAACTCAGCACGATGCCGATGGGCAAAGGTATGGGCCTAGACAAAGATGGCAGCACATGTTATGACAGGTTCAAATGTTCCTCTGAAGACGACCTGCGCGTGACGGTAGTGTTGCCTGCGCAAGCAATTCAGCGAGCTGAGACGCGCGGGCAAGGACACGGGCACTCACGTTCGTAAGTGAGTTGAGCAATATGTGTACAAGGATCATCTATGTTGCGAGTGAAGTTGTGGGGTGTTGACAGGTTGACAGAAATGTCGCGGATATCGGCACATAAACGAGACGAGCGGGAGACTGGTCACTGAGTGAGCAATCGCGGACACGGGGCCAAGTCCTGAATATCCCAGGTCTCAGTGGTGTTGTGAGCGGACTGACATGCAGGGTCGGTCTATCGTGCGGCGGACTGTGCAAGCAATGACCGCAGGTAACCTTGCCTGTAAACCCGGCGGCGCATCCATTCGAGGCCGACGACGTCCAGAGTTCTCTATGTATGTGTACATGCCGCGTCATAGGTACCATAGATCGCTGTGGGGGAGGAGGACAGAATTGAACCGGACAGTCGGACGGACAGTCAGGAGACCAGGCCGTCGGCGATTGAGAGGAGCGAGACGGAGAAGTTGGGGTTCCTGTACCGAGGGAGGTCGCTTGAGCCTAACGACGGAGACGAGGCGTACTAGCAGTCCTAGTCAGTGAGCACCAATATCTGCGGCGCCGAGAGGCATGACGAGGAGGAACGACGCGGCTATCAAGGCCCGTATGGGACAAAAATCGACCTACTGAGGCATAGCTTGTCGGATCATATCAGAACTCAAAAGATCTTACCGGATCCTACCGGATCTCTGGAGCTCACTCCGGTTTGCTCAGGAGATCACGGAAACTGGACAGATAAGATAGGATTGTCCAGGAGCTTGCCTGATCCGGTACGATCTGGTACGATCCTGTACGATCCTGTACGATCCTGTAGGAACACTTCGAATCCTGTACCGTCTGGTACTGTCCCGACCCGGTACGTCCTGTCCCTTACTGTCCTCTCCTGTTAATTCCTGTCCTGTCCGTTCACGTATGGTGAAATCACGGATGTCAGTACTGGACAAAAATGCGCCACAGCTCTTCAATGGCTCACAGGTGCGTACCAGATTGTACCAGATCCTACAGGATCCTACAGGATATCTCCAGCTCCTGTGGCTGCCGGAATGACCTGACCTGTACTGTCCTGTCCCATCCTGTACTGTCCCGTCCCATCCTGTACTGTCCCGTCCCATCCTGTACTGTCCCGTCCCGTTCCATCCTGTCCTTTCCTGTCCCATCTCGTCCCATGCTGGCCTGTCCTATGTTGTTATGTTACTGATTACAAAAGTCATGTCGCGGCACCCAAAACTCGCCCTCAGGCTCTTCATCACCCTCAACCACAAGCCTCGTCCATCATGGTCCTCGTTGTGCCCATGACTTCCTCGTTGGTAAGCCCTACCTCTGCGTCCTTCGTACTCAACGCCGACTTCATTAGCGACACGGAAGGATGGCAAGTGATTCCGGGAGACACTCACCGCTGCCTCGCCAACGTCCTCGCATGCACGCCGTCTTCCCAGCGCGCCCTGCACGCCGACCCGACCCGTGCCTACTGTACTTTGCCTCCGTCGCATGTGCCATCTCGCCGTCGCCTCCTCCGTCACCCACCCGCCATGGCACAAGTTCGTCACGGACATCCTCCCCACGCAGCCGAAGGCGACGGCTTAGAGCGTCCTCGACAAGACGCTTCGCCGGTCTCTGCCGGACCTCCACAGTTCATGGCAGAGCTCTGTGGGATCGGCCAAGCCGCATGCGCAATGGAGGCGCGGAAGGACGGCAAGGAGGGTTCGGCTCAGCCTGAGGGGCGGATGGAGCCGCAAGAGCATGGACACGCACTATGAGAGACATACTAAAACCCGGTGAGAGTCTCAAATTGCTGCGGCGATATCTGAATGTTGAGCGTGTTGCACTGATGCGGGAGACAGATTCATCTACCTGCATTACCTGCATTCATAGTACGTCTCCATCCGCCCCACGCCTTTTACCGTCATCGCTGACAATGCACGCAACCTTCCTCTCATCACTGCATCACACATGGTCGGACCCACTCAGCAGTGCGAAGGAACCCGTTGACTCGAACTCGTTGACGACAGGGCGAGCCTGACGTCCATCGAGGACAACAACAAGACAGAAGTGCGACCGCAAGCGACGCCGAGATGGACACCGCACGATGGCGCCGCTCACCACCGGTCCTCGACACTGCCGCTCCCTCCGAGTCGACGCCGCGGCGAACGTGATCGAGACGTGCGTGCTCCCCTCAAGCGCATGCGGATCGACGTCGAGCTCTGCGGGCAACTCCTGGTGATGTATCGGCACGAGCAGCACCTTGTCAACGTCGCGGCGAGCCTCCCCGCGCTGAGGGAGCGGCTCTTGCGGAAGAACACGCAGCTGCGCACGGACCCACGAGTGTGAGCGCACAGGGATCCTGCACCGGGTCGAGGCGGCGCGTGCGGGCGGACGTGCTCTCACGCAGGCTCAGTACCTCATTGAGGTGAATATGTCCCGTCACCAGTCTATTTACGATGAACCATTGAACTCATATAGTGTAATTGATATATCTATATCATATACCTTGATGTGCTGCGTTGTTTGCACTTTCTCACAGCGCGCTCACAGTTGGTCTGAACTCTTAAGAACAGGTACTATGGTAATTACTGAGACAGCTAAAGCAGCACTCAAGGGCTGAGTTACGCCATATTATAAATACATATATATGTGGCGCGTTCTTGCAATACATATGATTACAATGGAATCACACATGAGCAAGATTGGACAAGTAAGACACAGAGATTGAGAGGTTGAACTGAGCGGTTCAAATCGGCCTTAGGCGCCCGCCCGTAAACGCAGCCCCATCTTCAGCTCGTCCGAATAAAAGCTCAGACCTATCTAAATATGTTCTTTAGACCGAACAAATGGAGTCTAAAGCAAGAAACTGCGTTTAGAATCGATGTTGCAGCGAGGACTTGACTCGGTGCAGTGAGGTACAGCAGCCACAGCCTGGCGGCATAGGCGCCCGCCGTAAACGCAGCCCCATCTTCAGCTCGTCCGAATAAAAGCTCAGACCTATCTAAATATGTTCTTTAGACCGAACAAATGGAGTCTAAAGCAAGAAACTGCGTTTAGAATCGATGTTGCAGCGAGGACTTGACTCGGTGCAGTGAGGTACAGCAGCCACACGTCCGGCGCTTGTTTAGTACTTGCCCAGGGCGGTGAATAGTACAGTAGTACGGTACAGGTACACACAGACACAGCGGTTGTTTACCATGAACCTGATGGACATGTCCTGTAAGATTTACAAGAAGATATACGTGTATTGGATCGTGTATTGTATTGTGTGTACATCAGTGACGCTGCCCAGGTACACCGGTAGTAGTACAACTAGCTACAACTTCTAGCTACCGTGACTAGTAGTAGCAGCTGAGACGGTACTGCGGCACTGACGCTTCCGCTTGTGTATACCTAGGGCTGCATCATTGGGATGCACGGTCATGTTCAGCACAAGCCCCCGCGTGCGGCGAGACCTCGGCGTCTCCAGGATTACATCCAAGTTTGCCAGTACCTCGTGCTCAGCACGTACTCGCCGCTTTCGAGTGTCGGGCAGCGGTGTGCCAGATATTTGGTTTGGAGCAGCATCTTCAACCTCGGAAGCAGTGATTGAACTGGAGGTCGCTAATATGCATATGTGAGCATTCATTCCGTAGCTCTCAGAATTATTGATGCATCGCTTACCTTTGTGTACGTCGTCATTGCGTCATTGCCACGGGCCGCAATATGGGTTTGCGACTCGAACACCTTCCTCTGGGTGGCTCTAGCGTTGCGTTGCTGTGTCGTCAGAGGGACGTTACCCGTGAGTGTTTTCATCGCGTTGCTCTTGCGTTTAGTAGGCTTAGCCAAAGCCTTTTTCGCCGCGGCTCGAGCTTTCTCATTGCGCTTCTCCCTCGCTTCTAGTGTAAGACTTTTCTTGTGATCGAGGCTCGCGAGGTGGCGTCGCCCAATCGAGATGGGGACACTGCTTGGGACGGCTCCAAGTGATGGTAGCACGCTGCCGCGAGTTGAAGTAATAGAAGGACACGAACAGATAATGACTCACTAAAAGCGTGAAACACCTTTACCAGTCCGTCCCTTCAATGACTTTCGTACGACCTGCGCATTGGCACAGTACTCGAGCGGTCCAACGGCAACCTGCGCGGTGTTTGTTACGATGTAGCGGAAGAGCTTGTTGGGCTTCTCGTCTGCCATCGGCTTGAATTGTCTGTTGAATGCAGTGGTCAATACTCGCAGTGTACAAGACATGGGGTCACATACGCGTCATCGGGTGCCGGGACGATGGACCATATTGCCTTACCAGTCACGGAGTAGTAGTGCGTGGGCACCCGGCGACGTGACAAGTCTTGGTTCGGCAGAAACAACGGGCTGATGCTGGCACAATGGAGTCGGGTGTCACGGTCAAGTAGATCTAGTCCAAAGCATGAGCTTAGAATGCTGCATAATTGGATGTACATTGTCACATACCGTTCTCAGTAAAGAATTTGCTCAGGGCGTCAGGTTTGGTCAATGGGCGAGTCGTGAGCTCAGGAGGAGCGATCTCATCCCAAGTTTCTCCAAACGCGGCGCGTCCCAGATGCGGTGAACGCTCGAGTGCAGCTTGGATGAGCGAAGGCTCGAACGGGTCATCTAGATATGAACTTGAACCCTATGATCACATAGAAACACTCAGACATATGAATAAAAAATTCATAGGCGGGGAATAACAAACCCGGTACTCATAGTTCGCAATTCTGTCGAAGAGGCGTTGCGGGATGCTGACCGTATCTTTGGCCCAGATATACATCTCACGGCCCATCTGCAGCCGTTCTTCAGTCGTAGGCGCAACAACGTTCTGGCGAATGCAGGGCTTGACTCGATTAGGCCTGCCACAAACAATGATTGTCAAATGAGGATATAGCGAACACATATAGAATGTGTTACTAACCATGTCTTGTGCATAGCCTTATGCACAAATGCGTAATAAGCCAACACCACTCGAGCAAGGCGGGACGGATTGCTAAAGACTTCCTGCTCCCGAAGGAATGGCGGTATTCCTGACACAACAATAACAGACTGCCTCACGTGAAAAGCAGCGCCACTCACCAGCTACATAGAGGATCTCACAGGCAGTGTAAACCCCTATGCCGAACCACACATTGGGCGTGAAACGTAGTACATCCCTCGCGAGTTTCTTCCCGGCTGGTTTGTCCTCGTAATAACGCTCGCACCATCGGGCAATACCGGCTACAACCTTATCCCACTCATCGAGGACGTGGTGGTCATGGTGTGCGAGATCTGCCTTTTTTAAGGCCCACGTTACCTAGAAGATAACTTTGTCCCATCAACCGAGTTACAGGATATGTGTTCTACCCACCTGAAACACCTGGTCATGCGATCCGAATACAATCACATACGACTCGAATTCCAGTGCGAGTCCTATACGGAAGCCTCGCATCTGGGTTACAAATCGGAAACAGATAAGCATGTAATTGGCCAGACGTATCTGTACGGACGGACGGCGTACCCTCAGTGTGCCCTTCCCAATGTACGACGTCTCCTTGATCACGGCCCATTGCTCGCGGTCGTACATCTGGATTGACGTATGCGTCAAGTATTGTAGCTGCCGGACATACTAGTCATTGAAGGCCGAGTCTGTACCGACTCAGTGAGATGCACGCACCTGAAACCAGCAATGACCAAGATTCAAAACCACGCTCCGGCTAGTATATTCCACCGCCGTGAGCACAAGATCTTGTAGACAGAAGCCGGCCGGAGGTGCGCGCTCAGCAAGGAAAGGTGGCCACAGAGGTGTTTGGTAAGTCGTATTGCCACGGACATCGCGCGAGCTGGGTGTAAGCTGAAAACACAGTCCAGCCTCCTGTCTTGATCCCCGTGGCTTTTTGTCGTCGAGCGTCGCGTCGCAATGGAGGGCTTGCAGATGCCAGTCGCACTTGGAGTATTTGGCGAAAAGGGCCTGCAGCTGGAGCCCGCTGCAATAACATTCTTGTATTTCCGGCATGACAGACGAGTGATAGAGTTTCAGAGTACTAAGTTTTGGTACCAGAGACGATAGTAGCAGGTCGCGCGAGACACAACCAGACGCGACGCGACGCGACGCGACGCGACGTGACGTGACGTGACGCGACGCGTTCAGCGCCATTTGCTGCTGCGAAAACAAGCACACCCACACTTCAGCAGCAATTCCAAACACGGTTTCTCGTCGTATCATGCATATCTTCATTGAGTGTAACATACCTATCTAAGTGCGAGCCCTTATTCGCACGAACTGAGATCTCTGTTGCGTCTATGGGCGGGCGCTTAAGCGCGGCCCTGTACAGCGTGTACGATCTACAATTGCATGGCTCCCTACATACTGGTCACCGGTCGCTGATATGCTGGCGGCTATAGTCGGCGGCAGGATCCGCAGGCTCACATCAGATGGGCAGGTGGTATGAGTGGGGAAGGAAAGTTAGGGCCCAGTGAGGCAGGAACCGGGCGGACGTACCTTGTATGTCAGGCCTCACTTCTCCTCTCGTCACTTCCCAGTGACACTCAGTCTTGAGGCGTAGGCAAGCGCGGTGCATCTTCGTGCGGTGGCTGGATGCGGTGATGGAAGCGAGGCCCTCTCGCGCAATTCCATGAGGAGCAGGAACACGTCGATGAGCTTCGCCCTCCTTCGCCTGCTCGACGAACGCGCGCGGTATGGGGTGACCCAGGATGGGGATGCTCAGGTTGTCGCTGGAGGAGGAGTTCTGTTAGAGGCTCAGTCATGAACACAATGCACGCGCGATACTCACAACACCTAAGATCTTCTTCAGCCCTTGTAGCCACCGCAGCCCGCGGCCATGCCCATACATCACGCCGCGCGGTCCGGTCCGTGCCAGGTCAACGCGGAGGCAGTGCAGCAGTGCGCGCGTTTGCCATGTTTGCCATGCTTGCCAAGTGAGGGATGTTCGTGTTGTCGAGGTCCTCGACACTTGGGTGTTCCACCGGTGCAGTGCCTGGTAGCGCAGAACGACAGGCAGTGGCCTTGGTGAGTCTCCCGGTAACGCTGTCCTCGGTCCAGTCTGCAGGTCGTCTGGCACGCCTCTCACCATTATGGCCAACCCTGCAGCTCCTCGCGCGGGATCGGACTCGAGCTCGTCCGCCAGCTCGTCTCGGACCCATCGAACGTCGTCGTCGCGATGTGCCGCGACCCCGCACGGGCGTCGAAGCTAAGTGCGCTGAAGGCTGCCGCGCCAGGGCAGCTGTACGTCGTGGCGCTGGACGTAGGGAGCGAGGCGAGTATCCGGGGAAGTGTCGCGGAGGTGGAGGGGATCCTTGGGTCGAAGGGGCTGGACTACCTGTACAACAACGCTGCGATCGTGCGTACCTCGTGACTACCCCGCTCGACGTTGCTCACCGGGAGAGACAGACGGAGGGCGACGACTCGGCGTTCGATTTCTCGTACGACGGATTGTTGGACACGCTCCGGCGAACGTGGCGGGGCCGGCGTTGATGGGGACGGTGTACCTGCCGCTGCTGGAGAAGGGGCGGAGGAAGGTGATCGTGAACATGACAAGCGGGCTGGCGAGCATCGGGCTGGACTTTGGGGCGAAGAACGCGATGTACAGTATCAGCAAGACGGCGCTGAACATGCTTGTGCGTGCTTGTGACCTCCAAGTCTCCGTGGATTGCGACTGACGTGCGGGCAGGCATACAAGCAGGCAAAGACGCGGCGGACTTGATCGCGTACGTTGTGGACCCAGGGTCAAGACAGGTGGGTACATGGGATGAGATGCGAGCGACGCTGACTGGCGAGCAGACATGGGCGGCCCGGATGCGATGCGATGATGGAGGTGGAAGAGTCGGTGGAGAGGCTGATCAGGCTAGCGACGACGGCGACGGCGGAGAGCTCGGGCAGGTTCTTGAGGCACGACGGCGAGCAGGTGCCCTGGTAGTACATCCAGTAGACACGTAGTAGTAGCTCGCCCAGTTTGCGTGGTGCGCGAGCCGTCCTGGTATGTCTGTCGTTGGTTTGCTGACCGCTTCACGCAGGAGGACTGTCGGGGGAGACGGAGACGGAGGCGAGACTAATAGAGTAGTTAGCGTGTTAGGTAGTTTACACGTACCTTGGGTCTGCACGCGCGGAGGCGGCCGCACTGACTGGCCGTACATCGCCCTCAGGCTGGGGTATGACCTCGGGAGTAGAGGACCTTGCGAGAGGAGAGGTCGGCGCTGGGAGACGGGTCGAGGGCATGGAGGGCATGGTGTGGTGATGGGTGTGGCAGGATAGGGTGGTTGACGTGCACAGCGTCGGAGTCGGACGGCGTTGTAGAGCGCGCCACCGTCCTGTACGCTGAGCCGATGTGTCCGACGACTGTAGAGATCGATGTGACTACGTACCAGTGAGCCTGCAACTGGCCTCGACCCGACGACGACTCGGACGTGCCTCATTCTCGCTTCTTCGCTCTTGCATCCCGTTCTTCCTTCCCTCTCGTCCTCTCCAGTCTTCCCTCTTCGATGGTATGCCTTGTCCTCGTTCCCGTGTCTTGTATATTGATTGCTACTCATGTCCTCGTGGTCAGTATTCCGTGGCCCCGAAGTCCTGCGCGGACCTTGGTCAGATGGTGTGCGCCCGAGTGTGAGCGCGTCGTATCGACTGATGTGGGGAGAGGGGCGATGAATCGGATTACGTGGCGAACGGAACGTGCTGTCTGCCAGGAGCACTTGATGTCGACCATGGGTTGATGCATCTGCATTGGCGCGAGCTGCCGATTGAGCGTGTCGCGAGGTGGAGGTGCCCATTGTTGCGATGATGCGTGGGAGTGAAAAGTCATTGGGCGACGTAATCGAGAGAGCAGCGCTCGGATTAGGCTGTGCGCAGTGGGCAAGATGAAGCTAGGGGTGCGAGCATGGTCGAGGAGGGTCGAAGAGGGCCAATGGTCTGCTCGCTCGAGTTGGACGCGGGCTGGCGGCTTCTGCGATCGATCGAGAGATCACATGCCCGCGCTCGCCGCTTGCCACCCGCCGTCTGGCCTACTAAAGTCTAATACGTTCGACTTTCGTGAGTTCGTGGAGTCGCGTCGCCGGCATGCTGACGTGTCCGTTTACAGGTGCATCCGGTGCGTCGTCGAGGTCGTCGAGACTTGGGCGTCGTCCGGTGCAGTGCATGGGAGCGCGGAACGACGGACAGCGGCCTTGGTGAGTCTCCCGGTAATGCGTGCTTGCGAGGTCACTGATGCCGAACTTTGTGAAGGTTCCAGCGGATTGCTGGGTGATCGAGCGGCGGTGGCGCTTGGCGTGCACCCGCCGCTTTGCAAGACTAGGGTGATGTGCTTGACCTGGAGGACTATGCGACGGGCTGGTTCCATTCGACGGAAACATGTTGCCGTTCAGGTAGGACGGAACGCCCCGCGCGCCGCCAAGCACACCTGCAAGCAGCGCGGCGTTATTCGCAGGCCGTAAGCTAGCTACGACGGGTTGGAGGATAAAAGGCGAGGGCGGGAGAGAGGCGACAGCACGGCCTTGTCCCACTGTCTTCGCCTTAGTGACAACTCACTCGATGTTCGACGACGCAATGTCTAGTGCTCGTCGCCGCTGAGTGTGACACCGGCACTCTCTACGAAGCGGTAGGTGCTGTACTGTACGTGTAGAAGAGGTGTGTTCTTACACGGTCTCAACTTCTCAGTCTTCTACTAAGTCATTGACAACTAACATTCCGTTGAGGTATGTCACAATGTCTCACGTAGCGGCCCAGGTTGGTGCTGATTACAGCACTTTGCGTTCCTCGGCGCAATGTAGATCGACGAAGCACTAAACATAGCTCTTTGTGATTCAGACGAGCAGGCCCAGTCACTACATCGTTCTCACATCACAGATACTTGCTGTGCAACTCAAGCAGTGCTGTATACACAGATCAACACGAAAAGAGCCCCTCTAGCCTCCGAGGCGGCGGCTGCGTCCTGGAATGGTCTCCGGTCCACCAGGGTCCTCCCCGTGCAGGCGATGAGGAAGCATTCGGTGAGTTGGTCGATTCAGCGCACCATTCGCTTATTGACATTGTCCTATGTCCTATACACTGTCTATACACTGTCGTCGCACATCCAACTTGAGGTTTCACAGCAAACTGCGTGCGACGGCCGCGTTTTCATCGTACAATACACGCGAAGTTGTGAGTCGACTGATTCAATATATGACCGTACAGCATTTGCTCAATTATCCCGTGCCCTGCACTGTCGTCGCACATCCATTGATCCATGTCCATGTCCGTGCTGTTGGACTTGGGCTCACCTATCATGAAATCCCACGTCTGGGGCCGGCCTCATTTCCTTTGTTCCTTCCTTCCTTCCTTCCTTCCTTCCTTCGTCTGCTTGCTCCTTTGCGCATTCATCGCTCTGTTCGTGGGTTTGTTCCATCTTCTACACCCCTCTACACTGGGTTGTTTCCAATGTATCCTAGCTCGTCTGTTAGTTGATACACTGGAATATATCAGCTGTACTCACGCCCCGTGTCCTTGTGGAAAAATTGGAAGCTCCTGGTACAAGCGACCTGCGTCATCTTCAGCCAAGGAAGCTGTAGATCAACATCTAGGTTGTCCTCCAATCCACTGAAGAACGTCGAGGCGCCATCGACGATCGCACCGGCCTGTTTAATGCTATGTTTCTGTGTGTCAGGAAGGCTGGCGAAGGCGTCCGGATGAGTAGAGGGGTTGTTGGCTCGATATGCTGCTTCGAGATGCATGTAAAGTGGGCGGATATTCACTGAGGTGCTCCACTCGACACCGGCCCAATCGTATATGTCCTTGTAGGTGACACGTCTCGTTCTCCCGTGGACTCGCGATTGTACAACGTGCGCCGGTGGGGCAACTGGATCACGAGTCTCCAGCGTGTGCTGTGGACTGCTCATTAGAATGCCGAAATGCGTCAGGATCACCTTGAGGGAACGGAATCGGAACAACCACAGATTCAGACGCAAGCGACGATTCCTGGCAGCGGCCCTCTGTGAGTCCTCATCCTGAAGCTGCTCCTGGCAGCTCTGAATGGAAGCAATGACATCTACTTCCGCGGGGAAGTATTGCTCGATGTAGATGGCGAGGAGCTGCGCGTCACTTTGGCTAGGTGCATTGGGGTGAGATGGCCCGACTGGTGTTGTTGCAACTGGCATAGCAGATGCTGGTGTGGCGGGGACAGGCGGGTTGGGAGCGACGGGAGGAGATAGACCAGTCATCTAGTCCGGCGTGATTTGGAATTCAATGTTTGATTCATGATCCGTGAGACACTGGCAGACGACCACTCACCAAATCAGCATAAACATATAACGCAAAGACACGGATGTTCTCCTGCATCCGCAGGCCGGAGTTCATCATGTAAGCATGTTCAATGATTTGCATACTGCTCGGAAAATCCACGCCGTATCCACAGCTGTCGACCAAGATTGGTCCGTGGGACGCATCAAGGACAGTAGCAAGTGTTCCGTGCTCAAGAAATCCTCGCTGATAGCTGAGGTATTCTTCTTGAGCATGCTCGTGCAGATCAAGCGGATGTCGCGACGTGCCAATAAACGTGCTTTCAGCCCGTCCTTCAGCTAGCCGTTGTAGGAGGCGTCCAGTACGCGAGGCTGACACAAGAATGGCAGTGAGAAGACGTGCGAGTGTGAAGGGTGATGCCACAGGTAGGATTTCGAGTATGCTGTTCGCCCCCGGTCCGACCAAATTCAAGTTGTCGTGAAACCCGGTGAAGATGATGATCACCTGAGCCTCATCTTGCTGCTCGTTTAGTGTTGTGCTAGGTCTACTAGAGGCGAGGGACATTGGATTGGAGGAATGCGGCAGCAGGGCCGAGCTTTGATTGTCAGTGGTGTCCATCGTGTCCGAGTCCAACTCCAACGTGTCCAGCCGAGGATTGCTGGCTGGAATGGCATCCAGAGCTGCACCATGGATACTAGCATTTGACTGAAGCTGAAGCGGGGCTTCAGTACTGCGCTGTTGTTCCGCTTAGTTACACGTAGATTTGAGGATTGATCAGTTGTAGTTCATAGTTCAGATGGAAAGGGTACATACAGGATGGGCTGTCAACAATATGGCTTTCATGATAATCCGCAGGTGGCACAAAGCGGCGCCCAGAAAGCTCAAGGAGCTGTTCCAATGTTTCCTGCGCATGTGTGTACGAAAATTCGGGTTCTTGGTCTGTGGAATCATATATCCCCATCAGTGTCTTGTCTCGCTTCATAGTGTGACTGTAGGCAGTATGGCTGACCTTGTGCCTCATTCATGTTGAGATCACCAACATCGCCATCCAACTGCCGTAGCAGTGGACTCCCTATAGCAGTATGGCTGTCAGAAATTGCCCATATCTTCGAGTCCAGCATAATCCACAGTATGTCGATGTGATTCACAATACAGGTAATGGGGTAATGGACGCACCATCGTCACTGTCATGGCCATTGTAATTCATTGCTGAGAGACCAAAATGGGGATGGTGAATGGGAGGAGGAGGAGTAGATTGGCCGGAGATGTGGCCCAGCGGCAGGCGGGAGCATATTAAGCGCCCGTCCGTTAACGCACCAGCGAGTTCAAACTTCAGTTCCAGGAAATAAAAGTTCATCATGGTGTAGATGTGTTCTAAGCAATATAAACTGAAGGTCTGTGCAGAGAAACTGTGTTTGGAATGTGTGTTGTTGCCTGAACATCGTCGTCTTCAATGGGTTGAGTTACTACTACGTCGCAACCCATTCATTCTGGGCCAGTTCAAATTTTGTCACACTGTATATTCTTCTAGACTAGAGACCAATATATATCCACTAGTATCACTAGTATCATGACGGGTTATTAGTGTACAACTGTTGGCATATCCTAAGTGCCTCTACCCAAAGCAAACGCCGTACATTCATCTCACGGGACATGTTATCTACACGTAGGGCTAGTTCAGCATCCAAGGCTGCTATCTCTGCTTGAGAGAAGGGACAGTTCGGAGCCTCACATTCCACAACTGACAACTCGTTAGGACGATTGGAACCTGCAGAGAAAGGATTAGTTGACTCCCACTCGTCCGGGTTGTTGTCCAGATGGTGCGCCATGAGCATGGGATCATCAAGAGTTTCCCAATCGATCCCATAGGACTGTGGGTCGTCCACCGCTGTGTCCTCAAATGGTCCATGCCGCTGAACTCGGACATCCCTGGCAGCACCGATCCCTCGCGCCCCGTTCTCAACCATCCCAAAGATGAATCGATCACGAGGGCTGCGAGCGCGGTCAGAAACATGGCGCTCATGGAGTGGATGGTTGTTCCAGGAAGCTGCCCATTCCTCGACGTCATGGTTGATTTGGCGGAGAAAGATATGGTGAAGCAGCCATATGTGCGCAGATCGGGATGGCTGAAGACCGGCGTTGTGCTCAAGCTCAAGGAAGAAGTTCTTCCACTTCTGACCAACCCCGCGAGTGAAGTCGTACCAAAGACGCTCTACACGTGTGTTGTGAACACTCCTGAGACATAATAAGCAATGTGAGTCATGAAATGTACGAGCACTTGCAACGCGGTGCCTCTTACCTTCCCCAAATGTATGACCCACGGCCAGCTCCCTGGTTCTCATCCTGCCATCGAGCGACCTGGACATTCTCTCCACCATGGTCTCCACGTACCCGACTAGGATCTCCGCAGCTTGTCCGCCCCCGGTGGAACAGCAGCAACACAGTATCCGCGCGGTTGTTATTGTGGACGCAAATGGCCACAATGTATCGGGACCAACCGTCGATGAAGCAGTGGGTCACTAGCTTCCAACGTATGAGACCTAGGTTGACAATGGACATCGGATTCAGTACTGAGAAATGCCAAGGAAAATAGACATAGAAAATGTTGGGACAGGACAGGACGTACCATGCTGACCGTCATGATGCCACAACGCGTTTGGTCCGGCCACCTTGTATACACGACGTTGAATGCGTCGGTCTGCAAAGACGTTACTTGTCACTCCATGAACACGGACATATGAGGTGGTCAGGCGAGTACGTGGAACACGATGGCCTTGAGACCGCAGACATCCAGCAAGCATCCGGCGGCCGAAGTTGGGGAACACAGCAAGAATTGAGCCAACAACAGCATCAAGCTCGTCATCAGTGAGTGCAGATACCGGAGGGGTTGTAGAGGTGTAAGTACGCAAGACATTCCCGGCCACATCGGTCACCTCCTGCATGACAGGCTCCCCAGGGGCAACAAGATTGTGTTCAAGTGCGCGACGGCGGACAGTACGACTTGAGCAACTGAAGATTGGGGCTAATCCAACAGGGCCTCGCATCTGGAGTCCAGTCTCAAGGAACATAGGGTCAATCTCGACTCGAGGTCGACCCCGACGTCCGGTCCGAACACGTTGTGCGACCACAAGAGGTGGTCCACTCGGAGGATCTGATGAGCGGTGAATTGCCTCGTCAAGGGTCTCAACCATGTTGGAGACTCCGGATCGTAGGTGCGTGAATTCGGCAGGGGAAAAGAGCGCGACATGCTGTAGAATAGTGATGTATGTGTCAGTACATGGTGCGCGCACGCCGGACGTTGATACGCACCGGCTCCGCCTCTGCCATCAACCGCAGTACCTCTTCCCTCTGCTGCGCTAACCTCGCCGCATCTCCCAGTTGTGTGTGAACAGCGGTTGTCACACGGTCGCAGAGTACATAGTATGCGGATCGAATGTTGTGGACAAGAGTGGTTGTGCGGGCCGATACTTCGGCGGCACGGTCGATGTTCTCGACAAGGCTCGTAAGAGATGTGCGCAGGCTTGCCAGCTCATCTGGGGGCATAATGGCCTGGCTCTGGATTCCACACAATAGTCAGACTCGGAGGGTAGCTGCCAAGCATACAATAGAGCGTTCATACCTCCTCAGCATCGGCATATAACCGTAGAGCAGCCTCGCGCTGGTCAGGGAGCACCTCCGAGTGATCTGCCATGCTGGCAGATAGCATCCAAATAGCATGCTCACAAAGAGCATGATAGCGGTACCGTATTGCGTGCAGAGGATTGTCGATGTGCGTCGTGTTGAGATATTGGATGATTGGGTCGTCAAGTGCACACAACATGGTCACAATACTGCGTTGGAGCGCCAGAAGTTCGCCTTCAGGAAGTGACTCATGCTCCTACACAAGCATATAGTGAATGGCTGAGTGAACAACACAAGTGCGGACAAGAACAGATTTACCTGATCAGCATACACTTCAAAGTCGACGACTTCATCTCGCTGCTGAGTGAGTACATTGATGTCAGGCTCGGGTGTTCCAAGTACGGCGCGGATTGCTAGGCTGAGTGAGTGGAATCTGGTCCGAATGTCGTCGAGAATATCGGCCATGAACGTAGAGCGCACTGCAAGGTCCGAGTACGGTCGTCAAGACTCAAGGGCTACGTGGAGGCCCATCAGGAAAGTGCGCCACCTGGCTATTTCGCCAATGAGGCAGTCTGAGAATCTGAGACGGTGGTCTCATCTAAGTAGATTATTTCTCATTTGAGTGCTGTGCGGTGGAGGCGACAGCAAATGTGATGTTGAAGAGCCGGTAGGCATCATATATGTCAACCTGTCACCTCGCAGATGTCCGCCGCAAGCACCGTGTCAGGGCGCAAACAGTGTGAGGACCGATCACAAGCTATGAGCTACGTGACAATGTACATGTCATTGTTGAGGCTCTACACTCTTAACGTACTGAGTACAGTGATGTGCATGCTACAATCATCACCAAGAACCGATACCTGGTATGCACTGCCGTCACATTGCTCCTGGTAGATAGGGAATGTCTCTGGCTGGCGACCGTAACCCTGTACGATACGATACAAATCAGCATGTACAATGATCGCAAATGCTTCCTGAAATCCACCGGTGTCCGTAATGGTTTCAACTATCCCCAGTCAAGACCGTCCTTGATGGACAGGTATTCTGGGCCTCCGTGTCTCACCATCACACAGTTGGTATCTATCTGAAGACCCGATCAAGACAAGGTTGCCCGACGAGGTTGCCCGACAGCGGGAACTCACCCCACCCATCGTGGAAGGCAAGCTCGGGGCCGCTGCGCTCGCCGGACCCGCTCCCTCCTCCTACCCGAGCCTGACGACGCCATGTGTCGCCTGGAGGCTCTGCTGGATGAAAACATTTGGGTACACCGCACTTGTACCCCACCTGTACCCCACCGCACCCCACCGCACGCGCACGTTTGCGTTCGGGTTGCGCAGGCACGGCACGCGATATACATACCGATATACATACGCGGCTAGTTGTAGTTGACATCATCGAGCACACACAGCAGAGAGGTGGGTAAGAGGTCGTGGTTGTCTCGCACGGGGGCTGGAGAGTAGTCGTTGTGGATGGGCGAAGACGAGGGGCGGCCGCGAGGGAGGATGCGCGCGACGGGTGCACGGTTGCCGGGCCTGTGCCCAGTCATCGATGATGCTACCATCATGCGTGGCATGGCCGGACTTGCGCAACTGCAGTGCGTTGCTGGGTCCGCAAGACACACGCACCTGGAGAGAGGAGGCGTGGGTGAGCCGCGAGAGAGAGCGAACATGCGGATGGAGGAGTTGGAGGAGGGAATGCACGGGCACCGAGGGAGGGGAGAAAACGACGCGGGCATGATGCGCTGGCCATTCGCGCCGGAGAGGAGAGGAGGAGAGGAGGGCAGTTGCTGGAGCAGGTAGAGGGCGGCGAAGGTGACGAGGAGTGGAGTCAACTTCGATGAAGGGCATAAGCATATGCAAAGAACAGCAGAACAGCGTGGGGCGACCACGCTGGCGGTTGACAGCGGATAACGGCGGATGGAGGGGCGCGCAAATAACACGAACCTTCCGCACAACTTTGCTGTCTCTTCATGTCCATAATACGGGTCGGGCTGTTGCAAGGGCAAGAGTGTAGATGAGAGAGAGCGAGCGCGCGAGAGTGTAGATGAGAAGTGTAGAGAGTGTAGATGAGAAGTGTAGATGAGAGAGCGCGAGAGTGTGTGTTCGCGCAAAAGGGCACGCAAGCGAGAGCACGGGAGGGAGATAAAGTGAGGAACAATGGGTGTGTAAGGACGACACAGCGGGCGAGACAGAGTAGACCATGAGAATGAGATACGGGAGAGAGCGAGAGAGCGGCGGCGCGAGCGAGGGAGAGGGAGAGAGGGAGCGCCACCAAAAGGGAATGGGAATGGGCACACAGCACGCGAGCAGGGTGTGCGGGCATCGTCCAGCATCTGCAGGTTTGCAGTATCAACAGGAATCAGTAGTACGCATACTGAGACTGTGTGCTCACCTTAGGCCTTGAGCCTTCACAGTCTCGCGTTGCCTCGGATGCTTCCACTTTGTCCCTTCTCCTCCGCTTGTCTGATGCGATGCGGTGATACCCCTTCCGTCTTCCCTCTTTGTGTGGTTTCCAACGCGCTCGTTGTGTTTCGGGTCTGTGGGAGTGGTCAACAACGCGCTTGGCGGGCAGGAGGAGCACCCAGATCGACATGCAGCGCGTCAATCGAACAAGCGCCGGACCTGTGGCTGATGTGGCTGCTGTACCTCGCCGCACCAAGTCAATTCCTCACTGCAAAATCGATTCCAAATGCACTTTTACATCGGATACTCCATTTGTTCGGTCTAAAGAACATATTTAGGTATGTCTGAGCTTTTATTCGGACGAGCTGAAGATGGGGCTGCGTTTACGGTGGGCGCCTATGCCGCCAGGCTGTGGCTGCTGTGCCTCACTGCACCGAGTCAAATCCTCACTGCAACATCGATTCTAAACGCAGTTTCTTGCTTTAGACTGCATATGCTCAATGAAAGGAACATATTTAGATAGGTCTGAGCTTTTATTCGGACGAGCTGAAGTCGGGGCTGCGTTTACGGCGGGCGCCTATGCCGCCAGGCTGTGGCTGCTGTACCTCACTGCACACACTCAAAACCTCGCTGCAACATCCATTCCAAACGCACTTTTACATCGGATACTCCATTTATCTGATCTAAAGCGCATATTTAGATAGGTCTGAGCTTTTATTCGGACAAGCTGAAGATGGGGCTGCGTTTACGGCGGGCGCCTATACGACCAGCTGTGGCTGCTGTAACTCACTGCACAAAGTCATATCCTCGCTGCAACATCCATTCCAAACGCACTTTTACATCGGATACTCCATGTATTTGATCTAAAGAGCATATTTAGATAGGTCTGAGCTTTTATTCGGACAAGCTGAAGTTGCAGCTGCGTTTAAGCACGGCGCCTACGGCGTAGTATTTGAACCACTCAGCTCCTTTCAGTGTCTGTGTCTTACTTGTCCAATTCTTGCTCATATTGCGGATTCATCATTATCATATGTATTGCATGAAAACACCGCGTGTGTATGGTGTAGTGTATATGAATGTATAGTAATGTGAAACTCAGCCGTTGAGCGCGATTAAAGTAGGATGCTAGAAGTAACAGGTAGAACAACTCCGAGGATTGAAGTTTGAACAATAACTATAACTTCAAGTTGAAGCTAGACCGATGTATGCACGTTCTGATTGTACAGAACCTGCTCATGAATCCAACAGTCGAAAAGTGTAACAGCAGATGGATTACCAAAGTCCGACTGTTCAAGTAGCATGTTGCAAAGCCACCAGGTGACCTTCACAACACAGTATCCGACACAGGTGTGAAGATCCAGAACTGCATCATCTCTGCTGTTGTGCGCATGACGAAACTGGAACTATTCGCACAAAATTCAGTCGTCAGAAACAGCAGAATCGGTAGACAGATCACGTACATCAAGCCGCCAATTGGGATCAACAGGTAGCTCTTCGCTCTCAGTAACGGCTTTTAACAATAGACGAGCACGAAGTGTGGTGGGATCACTGCAATCGAGTACCACCGGCGCGTCACGGAGCATAGAATGGTCGGGATGGCCTTGTCCATAGAGCCAGCGAAGCAGGCGGCACTCAAACATGTCCTCGTAAAGCTCCTGGATCTTGCGCTCCGCTGGGGTCGATGCAAGAGATTCCAGCATACTAGGCGCATAGGTCATAAGCCTCGCAACGTCTTGAGGGCTCTTGATTGTACGGCTGTACAGAGTTTGTACGACCACAAAAGGGTCCAAACTCGCCGTGCGACTGCCACCTGTTACCGACACCGGCTTCGCAAAGAGCTGAAATTGAGTGAAGTTAGGTCATTGAATGCAACCTGGACATGGGAAAACTTACATCGCAGAAGCGCTCCACATCCGCAGCCCCAAATTGTACCGTGAAACCGTTGCGGAAAGCTTCCAGTTCTGGCGCATTTGCGGTGGTCTTGCCCAGCACTGTGGCACATACGAGCTGGCGTGTATATCGGATTCTGCTGGAAGCATCGGGAGTGAAGCCAATACGTTGAGGCTAGCAATACATGATGATCTTCCTCAGCTTCATGTACGAGAGGAAAGATAGAACACTAAGATACGCACCTGAACACCAAGACGTCCCATGAGAAGGGCCCATACAGGTTCTGAATGGTATCCCTCATGCGAGGGAAGGTGTTCGTCGAAGTTGAGCGCATACCATGGACGGAGCTCGTTGGCAGCAATCGGGTCAAGCCGCAAAAGCAGCTCAAACGACATCTTGAACGCGCTGTCGCCCAAGAGCGCCCAGAGGATTAGGACTGGATGAATCGGCCTAGGTGCAAGGGCAAACCGGCCCATCACTAAGGCAGCAACCATGCCCTGTGCGGACAAGATGCCGAAGCGGTCATCCTCCAATGTGTCGGAGGCTACATCGTCCAACACAGGGACAACATAGCCATTACGCTCCTCCCAGAGACCCCATGGCATAGCCATTGGCTGAGCGACATGCCGAGCATACTCAAACTGAGTATTGTCATGTACGTCGACAAGAGATCTCAGGATCTCGAGATATGTCGCAACCTCGGGCCCACGCCCAACAGAAGGTCCGCTGTTAGGAACATTAGCTTCATCAATCACACTCAGCAATAACTTCGGACGTACATGGTTATGTCACGACTAAATGGGTGGAGGTATGATGAAAGGCGTGCTGTCCACATTGTAGTGCCGCGCGGTTCCCTGTAGCCTCCTAGACCTGCGGCTCGCCCATCCCTGCGGCGAATGAAGTGGGCAATATGAGTGACAACTGCGCGGGCACTCGACTGGCGAGTACTGGAATTGACGTGCAGCTGGTCCTCGCCGTCCTTCCGCCATGCTACAGTAGAAGCATGGACAAACGCGTTCTGAAAGTCCAGGGTCATCCGCAGATTGGGGACTCCTGGCAATGCCAGCTCATCCTTCCATATGGACGGTATATCGACGATGATTGGATGCGACGTGGAAGCACCCGGCTAGAGAGAGTCATCAGGATGGCTAGCTGCTCACACAGCAACGAAAACACGTACCCTTGTCAGATCCCTTGTCAGATCAGTGTTCTGGGATGGAACACCGGGTTCATGCTGTCGTTGGCGACGGGAAGGCGGAGCCGCAGACTGTGAAATGAATTGTACATGCACAATATTGATGATTGAAGGGCGTTGTACTCACCAAATCCTCCATACTCAACGAACGTGCGCGAGAGACTCCAATGACAGTAGCTGGGATACCCGCACCAGCCGTACCAGTAGTGGTAATGGAGTGCCCGGAGCGCTCATTTGGAAAATAGAGGGGATCAATATGAGGAAAAGGTCTCAGACCCGTTGGACTAGGGTTGGAGATGTGAACCGGAAGAAGCTGGGGTTCGGCTACAAGTGCGCTGGGTACAACAGGGATAGGGACAGGGACGGGAGAAATGGGCATGTTGGGTCGATTAGACGGAGCCAGAGCTAGCAACAAAGGATCTATGGAGTCCATGGGAGGTTGATGATACTCCGCCTAGGTGTTGGGACCGTCAGATATCAGCCATACATCGTGTAATATTGAGATTTGGACATGTAACTCACAGGCACAGGAGCGGGAAAGATTGAAATGATGCGCCCAGTGCGGGAAGTTACAGTCGCCTCATTGCGAGCCTGAGGCGCCACAACAGGAGGGTCCGCTTCGGGGAGAGCAGACATAGACAGCGCAGGGCTAGGTACAGATGGCCCAGGGACGAAAGGATGTACAGCGGCTTGTGAGCTGGACTCCGAGTCTGGGCTGGGAATCCAGTCCGCAGGGATAGACGGCACATTTGAGAGGCAACTGCAGGTTGTGCATAGCACAGCGGGATCGGCGGTGTCATCGGTATGGCTAGGTGAGGAACGCGCAAGCTGTGCAAAGAAACGGGTCGCATAGCATCGATGCAGAAGCTCGTGATGAGGGAATGTCTCTGTCACAAACACGGTGATAGCAGAGAAGATTGCCGCGTCGATCGGAACTATAGTAGCACATAGTAACGTTGTCAGGACAAGAAGACGACAAAGATAGCTATTCAATGACAACTTACCTACAGGAACAACCGCTTGGTTCGGTGTAAAGATACCGCGCAGTTTTGTAAACTTGGGTTTCATCGAAGTCAGTGTCGACGATCCGTTCAAAGCATGCTGTGGGCTGGCTTTGATGAACTTGATCTTGTCACTGCCATCCGCACGTATTGCAGGCAGCGTCCAATTTCCCTGCGAGCTTGGCAGCACAATTTGCCGCTGTTGGCAAAGACGACGGATATGTTGGTCGAGAACCGGCTTGAGCGGTGCATGCTCGTCCACTGTCACAGTGCAGACAAATCCGTGTACCTTCAACGCAGCAAAGAACGCTGCCTTCTGCTCATTTGGCATACTGAAGCTGCGGTTGAAGATTCGTTTACCCTCTTCAAGCTGACACGAAAACGTTAGTGCAAGGGTATTACAACATAACAAAGCTGGAGCTCACCGAACAAGGGAAGAGTACAATGTCAATTGTCTCACCAGGCACAAACTGTGAGCGCTGCGAGCGTGCGGTGAGCGCCTGATATATAGAATATGAGCGAATTCATCAGTCTTGAACGTGTCACAGTCAGACTTACCTGACCGCGTTGTGAGGAATCAAGGGGAATTAGTTGCGCGCTCTGAACGCGCTGCACATTGGTGGAACGCGGTTGTGATTGCAGCCCAAAGGCCACAATTGGCGGAGTGAGGGGTCCACCACCGGAGGTACTGCGACCTGAAACAGCCTGGAGAGCTCGAGGTCGGAGGCGAAGCGAAGGGAGACTAACCGGGACAATTGCTGGAGTTGCAGTCCGGGACCTACCACATAGTAGAAGGAATCAAGACTTAATATATGCTTGTAGAATGCAGGGCAGCACGTACCCTGGGCGACTCAATCCTAACAGATGCGGTGGAGCAGCACCGGGCACGCTGCTCAAGCTGATTTGAGCCTGAAAGACGTTCAGATAGAGGAATGGAACGCACTGCATTTCGACCGGTGGCACTGAATTCGAAGGCCCAGGGCCAAGCCCTGTGTTTGTAGGCTGCATCTCTTGCAGTGAAGGCCGGGCATCGGAACTGAATGTCAACAGATGAGTGCTGAGACGAAGAAAACAAGCAATAAGACTTACAATGGACTGTGTATAGTCCCGATGAACGTGTCCATCCCGAGTAAGAAGAGTAAGAGAAGTTGTACTAGGACTAGAAATTATGATGGTCAGAGAAGGAGGGGCGCGGAAAGAGGAGAGCGACCGAAGACCGACCAAAAACGGCGGAAGGCGGCGAGGTTGCTCAAATGCCGACGTCCCGCTCTGCACCGCAGCCGGTGTTGAAGCGGACCAAGGTGCCGGACCGATTGACTAGCAACCGATCGCGCACATGGATAATCACTGGCAACGGTGTTAGACTGCGCAGGGGATGGAGTGGACAATATGATTTATTGGACAATTTCACTAGGTCATAGTGAACGATTGACCTACTGATCATAACGGTACATGAACGGGACCGAGCGGGACGGGACGGAAGGGGAGCATACAAGAGAGGACGTGGCAGGCAGGATATAACAGGATCCTACGTGTTATGACAGGATGGGAGGAGAACTTACAGGCACATACATTATCGGACAGTATGAGACAGGATGTGATGGGTCAGGCTCATTCAGGAACTGACAGGATCGTACAGGATAGTATGGAAAGCGGCAAGTAACGATAAGATCGCTCAAGATCGGTCGGGATCTTGCCAGATCCCGACCGATCTTGAGTGATCCCGTACTAGCCCGTACTGTCCTGTACGGTCCTTCCGGATCCGGGCTGGACGCATAGGTACGTTACTAGGCCCCTCGATTTTTGTCCGATAAAGCCCTTCATACGCGGCCTTGGTCGTCCTCATCGGAGTGAGCGCGCCCGTCACGTGCAACGCGCATCGTCTTCTCGTCGATCTTGCGCACCGACCGCCTCTCCGAGTGTACTCTGCTGCATGCGCACTATCCCGTCCTCTGCACACAGGAAGCCGAAAAGAATCTGCTCCATCGTAGTACTTCGCGAGCTCGCCTTCTTAGTTCGATAAACTCTGAATACGTAATCCCCGTCTCGCTCTTCCCTCATGAATCCATCCGCCGGGTGTCTAGCAGAGTGCATGCAACGCCCCTGGTGAGACATCCTGACGAATTACCAAGCTCTGCGAAAGCTGAGATTTACGCGCAGCGGGTGCTGGCCCAAGGCCCAGACGAGCGACAGCCTGACACTTCATCGGCACCTCAGTTCGCAGGTCGGCTCGCTGGACGCGGTATACAGCTCTATTGGCCGATGTACATGACAACTGTGCATTAAGTCACGAGGGTCGTCTCACATATCGTTCAAGACCGAGCCTGCAGGATGCTAGAGGAAAGGTCGGGTAACAGGACCACATTTCGGTCACCCATCTGTTCCAGGTGCGTTCAATCCACATTAATCTTCCTCCAAAGCCGAAGCGTGTCGAGTACCTAGTCTGAGATCTAGCGATGCGTCGCCCGCCCTTCCACGTCCAGCTCCTCGCGTACTGTACCCGGTCGCCCGGTGCTCCCTCGTATCCCGGCGTGGACCTTGCCCAGCGTGCAACGACAGGCGGCACCCCAGCTCTGCGAATGACTTCGTATGCGGCTCATGTCCGGCAATCCTACAACTGTGCGCTCAGCGCGCTCGAGCTCCTCGAGCGCGTAGGCACGCTGTATGCGCGTACGTTCTCTGTGCGTAGTACGTACCCGGCAGTCGCCTCCCGGCGCTGGATCACCTTGCGTCCGCGCATTTAGGCTGGTCAGCATCCCCGAGGGAACCCCTCCCCGTTCGTCGGCTACCTTACGTCTTCATCCGTCACCCGCCTGTTCCTCTATCGGTATCGCGTACATGGCGCGGCGGTTCATCGTGATTGCTTTTCCCGGTCTACAGTTGCTCTGTTTCTACACCATCACTTCCCAGTCAGCGCAGCGGGATCTGGACGATGTACAGAGGAGCTCCCGCGACCCCGAACCAGAGGCTATCAACATTATATGGCTCTCGGGCCCTGCCTACCACGACTATCACTCGTCAGCTCGTCTCCCTGAGCACCTGCGCCGGGGCCTTCTCAACGTCTTGGTCGCGTATACGCGTTTAAGCATGCTCGTCCTCGGTGCGGTTCAGCTCCCTTCGTTTGCGCCCCTCCAGTCGTTCCTCTGCGCATTCCCAAATCTCAGACGCGTCAATGATCTTGACTGGGCAGTACACCTGCTGGAACCCCGTCTCGTCGCTTGGGAAATGCCATGAAGGTGGCCAGCGCTGTGTCACTCCCGCACGTACTACCCTCAGCATTCGTCACGGATCGCCTCGATCATCTTTGGCAGGACTGTTGCGCCGTCGAGAGACTCAACATACATATTTAGGCACGGCGTTTGAGGGCTATTTACAGCACGAGCCGCAGGAGAGTAGACCGTCGGTGAGCTCATAGGAAACAGAAGTGAGTATTCTGACACTGAGGATGCCTTGAACCGCCGCGCTGTCGATGTGAGGATATACGGAGGTGGGTACTCTGCTTGTTTCGTTCATCCAGCAGTGCCTTGAGCTTTGCACCCGCGTGGATTCGAACGTGCGCATCCTAGCCGCAGGATCCGTCCGATAAGTGACCCAACTAGCGTGTCATCGATTAGAATGCGTTGTATTTGTGTTCTCATTGCTCCATAGGATTGGAAGCCTTTGGGCCCGGGTACGCGCGCTGTATTTGTGTTCAGCATACTTATTTACTCGATCTATCTCCGACAGACTGAGTGTGGCCCAGCCGCAAGTGAAGTCGAGCCTTTTGACAACTCGGATCTTCCAGACACGAGAACGTGCAGGCCATTTCAAGTCAGTGTATTGGCCATGTGCCCGCGGCCGTGCCTTGTGAGCTGTGCACGTCACTCGGTGTCCTGTGCGGTCTGAGCTTCGGTTCACAGCAGATGGTTGGCCGCGAGGCAATAAGCTCCTAGGACAACCGCCCCAAGGACACAGAATGAAACCGCATATAACATTGGCTGCCAGTGGCACCCATCGATGGTTAGCCACGCCCTCCCTGCGCCCTCCTCCTCAGCTCTGACTGAGAAAGTTTCGTCTGCTCTCGTCTGAAAGCTTGACCTTCTACCAGAGGGTGAGTCAAGTTGATTGATCCTGATGTCAATGGCATCTGCGGCTCACAGTACACCGTATTGATCAGGTCCATGTCAGGCTATGCGCGCGCTTTAAGGCTGGCTCACATCCACTTCACGCACGCATCCGAAACCCAACTGGCCTGCTCGACTGGTAGAGTTCTGTACCAGCGCGTTTTACGGCAACACACTGATCAGGACGCGTCCAATAGAGAATATAGAGACGGGACTCCTACGCCGGGAGGAATCGCACGGTGAAAATCTCACACGGGGACCCTTGTCTCGGGTGCGTACATCTAAAATGGGCCGGGTGCTGCTTGATGACGATGGTGCATAGCAGGATGGCCAAGATTGAAACCTCCCCAACGGACGACGAGATGCTGCCAGAGGGCGATGCGCAAGTCCTTGAGACAGCGGGATCGGACTCGGACGTCGAGGCATCGGACAAGTCGGAATCCGACGAGTCAGAAATCTGGGCCGGGCAATATGTACACTATGACCCCAGACTCCCCAGCGTTCGGGCTCGGGTCGACATTCACTTCAAAGCATCCACGTATTCGAGGTATGACATCTCTCAGCTTCGATCCTGTGAGTCATACTTATCTCGCCGTTGTCGCAGCGACACCTATCCGCGGCTCCCACACGAGCTGGTCGAGCGCATTTGCGAGTTTCACCGCGATTCCCCGCTGGTGCTCGTCAGTTGCATGAGCGTATGCTGTGCTTGGTACCATGCTGCACGCCGCCTGCTCGAGAGGCCAAATCAAGACCTGAAGTTGCGGACCCAAGCGGACTTGCGCAGCTACGCGAACAGGCTGTTGTCTACCCGGAACACGGCTTTTAACAAAGACTTTGCGGTCTTGGATATTTATGACAATGCTCGCGAGCCGTTCGCGCACATCTGGCCGATACTCGTTCCTGGAAGCTTCTTACGGAACGTGTCCGAACTAACACTTCGTGGCGTTGACTGGACGACCACCAATCCGCATGATTCCTTCGACAAATGCCTGTCAAAATACTGCAGCATCACAGCCCTTACTCTTCGTGGCTGCTCATTTCGCACCAGAAGGGATCTACGCCGAATAATCGACGCACTACTGAATCTCAAAGAGTTTGCGCTTCACGATGTCATACTGCAAAACCCAGGACCTGTTCCCTCTCATATCCCTGCACGTCACAAGAAACTCGAGAAGATTACACTCTCTTCCTACCGGGGCAAACCGATTTCTGGTGCGGAAGTGCTAGATACATGCACTGTGTATTCATCTATCCGCCGGCTCGAAATGGGTGTATCATTCTTCCCTTTGGTGTCGCGCCTCCCGCAATATCTGGATCACTTCCCCCGATTGCAGGAGTTGAGGGTCAAACATGCTCTCGAAATGGACCTACTGTCCATGGGAGACACACATGCACGCCCACTATCAAAGCTTGCTTTTGACGAGGAGATGACCGAGCCAATTGCTCTACAGGTGTTGGGACTTCTGTCCACCCATCATGCATGCAGCACGCTGGAGCACCTCAAATTTGTTCTCAACTTTGAACCATCTGCGGAATTTCTCTTGCGCCTCACCCATGTTCTGGACCTTTGTGGTCCTACGCTGAAGTATTTTGACTGGAATGTCAAAGCAGGTGACGTGATGCTTTCTCTCTCCAGTGGTCGTTTTGGTACTCATTGCTGAGTAATCAGAGGTTATCCCGCAACTCACAGCAAACACGTCACTGCAAATTGTGTGGATAACCATTGTCTGCAATACCCCGAGACTACGGACGATTCAGAAGATATTCGATGCAGTGCTATCTAACATCACAAGCTCACAGCTGGAACGGCTCAGCATCGAGATTCATTTGGACAATTCCGAGCCACTGTTCGACGCGACGACAATAGAGAAGACATTCAAGCGGGCGTATAGTACTCCGGGATCCACTTCTCAGGCTTTCCACTCCATTCTCTCCCGTGACGTTTTCGACGGGCTTCCTGCCGCTGCCTCCCGCTATTCAATTTTCCAGTCAGGGGTAAAAATCACTCTGTCCTTCGACGCTTCCGACGACGATATTTGCGATCTTGCCATGTGCGGAAGGTGCGTTTGATCACCAAATGACGAAAACCTTGTCTTATCCTCAGAACAGTGTCCGGAGACCTTCAAGCTATCGGAGAAAGGGTTGACAGAGTTGTATTTCGGCCAGCTATCTATGCCAGGTGCGTATACTACTCTACATCGCTTCTCCTCCAAAGCTCTGATGCTTCGACCACTCTGATCTAGCGACTCTTCGCTCGCCCTGCTACACTTGCCATCAAGCTCATTTCACGCCTGCTTCTGCGACGAGCCTCGTGCCACTCGCCATCTCTGTTCATGCTCAATCAGCATGGATGATCGTTAAGCTATGTACTCGGCGAACTCACCCACGCGCGCGTACACCTTCGCCGTGCGCATTTCTGGGTGTCGCCTCGCAGCGCTGGAGCACCTCCCGTCTCGGGGGCACCACACTGTGTCGTTATCACCTACCTCATATACTTTGTGCCTGTCACTCATTCTTCCCTCTGTCTATGCCACATCCTGCCACATTCGTCGCATAGGCGTATTCCGGGGCACGGCGTAAGAGGCGGGAAAGGTCAGCCAAGCCCAAGTGTAGAAGCTCACCTCCTGGTCGACGCGGCCAAGTCCTGGATATACCAGGTCTCAAGTGGTATTGTGAGCGGACGGACATACAGGGACGTCGGTCTATTGTGCGGCGGACTGTGAGAGCAATGACCGCAGGTGACCTCGCCTGTAAATCCGGCAGCGCATCCATTCGGGGAGGCCAACAACGTCCAGAGTTCTCTATGTATGTGTACATGTCGCGTCATAGGTGCCAGAGAATCGCTGTGTGGGGAGGAGGACAGAACTGAACCGGATAGTCGGACGGACAGTCGGCCGTCGGCGATCGGGAGGAGCGGGACGGAGAGGTTAGGGTTCCTGTAAACCGAACGAAGTCGCTCGAGCCTGACGAGGCATAGCAGTCAGCTTGAGCACCGATGGGAACGACGACGAACAGGAAAGACGCGGCCTTGCGCGACCTCATCCGACTCAGAAGAGTCGGTGATCGCGCCCATCACGTGCAGCAGAGCGCGCCATCGCCGGAGCGCGTCATCTTCTCCTCCTCCTCACGCACGACCGCCTCCTCCTCTGCATACATACCATGCCATACTCTGCACTCCCATAGCCGTAGACGGGGTACATCATCCCACTCGTGTCCTATGCCCCTCTGCGACGACACGCCAAGATCGCCTTCCTAGGCTCTGTTCTCCTCACCCTGCTCGTTCCACTTGTACCGAGTGTCCAGCCAAACATCCGTCGATGCATGGCATCCCGCTCCTGGTGGGATATCCTGAAGGCTGTACGACGCTCGCTGGACACTGACAGTTGCGCGCACCGGATGCTGATCCCAGGGCCAGGCGCGCGATGTCATCACCTAAGGATTGACCGGTCTTCACAGATCGACGCGGTTGACATGGTATTGAGTTCCACTGGCAGTTCCATCTGAGAAGTGTACGTCTTATCACCGGATATGTCTTCCTAAACCCTTCTCTTAGGCTCATGCCGGTGGCCAGAGCCCTTCAGGATGACGAAGGAAGGGAACATTGGCCAGCCATCTGTGCCAGGTGCGTGTGCTCAAAGTTGTACCTCCTCCAAAGTACCAACACATCGATTGCTTTGATTCAGACTAATGCCTCGCCCGCGCTGCTACAAGAGTACACCAAGCTCATTGCGCACCTGCCTCTGCGACGAGCCCGTGCTGCTCGCTCAGTCCTGCCTCGTATGCCGCCCGCCACGATAGACCTCATGCGCCTGCTCATGCTCAAGCAGCGCGGGCGATCTTACAGTTCTGCGTTCGACGAACACGAGGACTCGAGCTACATCTCCGCCATGCATGTGCCCGGGTGCCGCATCCCTGAGCTGGACCACCTCAGCACCTCGTGTTCGTGCTGCTTGACTGGGCGGCACCCGCGAGGGCGCCGCACTGCACGTTCATCAGCAACCTCACACACTTCATGCCCGTCACCCGCTTGTTCCTCTATCGGTGCCACTTCCGTCACGCAGGCGTCCTCCGCCTCATCGTGGGCACCCTCCCCCAGTCTCGAGTGGTTGCGTCTCGATGCAGTCACGGTCTAAATGGCGCTGCGAGACACCGTATTCCGGACAAGAAGCTCAGTGAGTTATGGCTCATGGTCTCAGTCGATCGCGACTACCTCTTACCAGGTCGTCTATCTGCATCAGAACCTCCTAGTTGCCTTGGTCGCATACACTCTGATAGAGGCGCCCCTTCCGGACACGGCTCGTTTCTTCTCGTTCGCGCATCTTCGATCGTTCCTCCACGCATTCCACGACCTCCGACACGGCCATCTTTTCAACGATCCCGACTGGGGTGCTACGCCCGGCGGATCTCCGTCTCGTCGCGCGGCGAACACCGTTCAGCCGTTGTGGTATCACCGTCTGACGTATAGTCGGCATTCGGTCACGGAGTACTTCAAGCACCTTTCGCAAGAGTGTCGCGTCGTCGAGCTGCTCGAGATCCGTCTGTCGAATGCGCCCTCCGTCTGTCGAATGCGCCCTCCGTCTGTCGAATGCGCCCTCCGTCTGTCGAACTCGCCCTCCTCGGTACTGCGTCACGCCTTCGTTGCAGCGCTGCGCAATCGGGGCCGGAACTGAAGAGGTTCGCATGGTCTAAAGCGCTGCAAGCCCACGCTCCAAAAGTGAGCGTCCGCTGCCCACACCGTTACTGTTACTTCGTCGCATCCTAACATCCGAACGCTTCAGAAACCACAAAGCCTCCCTCACAAGGTGCAGGTGCTTGAGCTGGCGTATCCTGCGTACTCGCTCTCGAGCAACACGTCGATCTACGACACTCATCACGTTGTTCTCGTCGCTCGATGGCACGCAATTTCAGTGGCGCGCGATGTGCATTGGATTCACGTCAGCGTCGGTGTATAGTATTCAACGTGCGCGCACACGCGGTGGAAACGGGCACGGTCGTCGCCCTCCACGCTGCGCTCCCCCGCGAGCCGCTCACTGCGCTATTGACGCGAGGCGCACAGCTCATATAAGCAGCTTGGATTCTGACGGAACGCGGAACGCCCTGCGCGCACGCTTTCGGGCACCACATATCTGGATGTCTGACTACCCATCAATCCCGGCCGGCGTCACGCCAAGTACCGCCTTGAGCGGAGCAGTTAGTGGGGGCGATTGAATTCGCGCAAGTGTCGCGGCCGTGCACCGGAGTATAGGTTTGTGTGTGCGGACCGAGGGGCGTACCGACGTCCGAATGGGTGGAAGATGCGGAGACATCTTCGTCGTATGCTGAGGAGTCGCTCTAGATCTAGTGCTTGAGCTGCCTGGCGGTCGTGTTCGTGTATGGACTGGGTCGCACGTTGTCAGCCCTCCGACGTCATCCAATATCCTTTCTTCGCATTCGAGCGTCGGCCCTCGCGCTCGTCCTGATTCCAAGCCGGGGACAAGAGGTCGTCACGCGACGCGATGTGGGAGAGGCGTGTGGCGCGAGGCGCGCCTCCTCGCACATACTCTCAGTACAACAGCAGGCCCTCCAAAGGCCTAAATATGGTATGCAAAACTTGCTTCGACTCTCTCTGGGCCTCTGCCGAGACCGTCACGGATTTCGACCTCCCAGACCTTACCCGGGCCACCGGGCGACAGGCCTTGATCTGCCTCGTGGTGAGTACGTGCATTCTATCTGAACACGCTGCCTACATAGGATACACGAATCCGCTGTCTCGCCTATTTCGAGGTCTCGCACAGGTTCATGAAGTCAGCGCGGAATTCTGGTGGCCAGTGGTAGCCGCTCATTGTATCTGCCCTACTCACGGACTCAGTACTCAGAAGTGGACCCTTGACACGACCTATGGACCACACCCTCGAGGCTTTGGCCACCGAAGCTCTGTCACGAACCTTATTGTTTGTGGCTCTCTACACAGTGCCGAATTCCTGCTCACGTACGGTCGAACTCAGTGCTATCGCGCTAGGCCCCAATACGGGTACCAGCCGACTAATGCACCTCCTTGTGGATACATGATGGCCCCTTAAACGCCTGCGAGCTTAACGTACATATGACGCGCCTGGCAGCTTCTATATCCCTGTCTCGACGGGGACGTTCTACTTACTGCCGCTGAATTAGACGACTCCAGCGGGCTCGGGCAATTATGGTACGCATGCAGCCCCTCAGTGATTGTTGCGCGTTGACGAAGTGACCACGCATAGGCTTCCGTACGCCTTGGTCCAATTAGGGCTTTTCTGTAGGTACAACGTTGCTGCCGGAACCAGATTATACGTACCGGCGTCACGATGTTATCTCGCAATCAATGGTATATGCCTTCCCTCCCATGTCAATCTGCGAGCTTCGGGACGTTGCCGATTCGACACTCAGCGCTGTTTCCGTCCGTTGAACACCACTGGCCCGGACTCGGTGGCATACGTCCTCGCGTCGTCAACGTGCATCCACGTTCTCGTTGTGCTTCTGTGGACAGATCTTCCCCGCCCTGAGCTACGTGCGGTTGTGCGTCCGGGTCCGATATGTATCTCTCAACCTGCTCCGCCCTCTCGCGCTCACGGCCTACCCCATCTTCTCGATCTCTCCGCCCGTTTCCCCCTCTCTCCACTAGACTGATCACGGTCAGACGGCGTCATGGACCCACTGGAGGTGCGCACCATGATTATCACTAGTACAGCAGGGAGGCTGATTGTATGCGCGGACTGGACAGGAACTATCGGGGCGTTCGTCTACTATCCCACCAAACCAAGGTGTCGGAGAGAACAATTCGACACCCATCCCCGATGGTCATGCGACGGCATCGCCAAACACCCCTCTCGGTGCAACGAGCTCTAGCGAAGGCAATGGCTCCGTACCATCAGTGAGTCGATGCGATGTTAAAGGGCATACAGGATCATTTACCTGTATACGCAGGTATCCAACCCGGTCGGCGCGGGTACTGCGGAGGCCTCCTCGTCGCCTCATGTCGCCATGCCGGCAGCCCCAAATGAGGTGAGCATGAGCAGTGATTATACAACTGTATGTCAAGGTCTGACATGCATTGGAAGGGTTCGAATGAGCGGCCGGGTGCCAGTGGAACGAAGCATTCATCTGAGTCGGCGGAACACTCGATAACGCTGTCAGAAATGGAGACTGTATTTGAGAAGTACATGAAACCGTGGGACCCGCAAAAGGAAGAAGACGCGTGGCCGGTACTAGCGAAAGAGGTATGGGCCTATGAAAAGGAGCGTATAGAACGATGGAGGAACGAAATCAGTACGCTTCTCGTCTTTGTAAGTTGTGTTCATGTTCTCGTCAATGTCACGACTTATGCTCATGTGCTTCAATCATGTAGGCGGGTCTGTTCTCCGCCGTCCTCACTGCCTTCGTTGGTCAGTATTACGCCGTCCTGCTGCCACCGCCTGACTTCAACACCGCCATCCTCGAGCGCATACTATCTATGCAGCTCGGTAATGTGTCTAGCAGCCCCGTTGTCACGCCCGCGAGCTGCTCCGACTCGTCCCTCTTCCCTTGTGCACCCCCTGCACCCCGATGGATCGCTACGCTTTGGTTCGCTGCTCTGGTCTTCAGCCTCGGCGCGGCGTCGGTTGCTCTGGCTGTCAACCAATGGCTTAACTTCCACGCCGAGCAATCTGGACTGCGAACTTCACAGCAGAAGGTTAAGACCTGGCAGCTCCGTCGGGACGCCCTTAACACCTGGCAGGTGGAGTTCATCGTCAGCCTCCTTCCCTGCATGTTACAGGTGGCACTTGTCTTATTCCTCATCGGACTTGTGGGCTACCTATGGGTGCTCGGGCCTGACATCGCCGTCCTGAGCACGGTCATGATTTGCATTCTGTTCCTCTTTCTCGTCGTGACCTCCTGTCTGCCAGCACTGGTCGAATACAGCCCCTACAAGTCACCTCAAGCATGGTGGATTTGCGAGGCCTGCAGACGTGTGCGGTGGCACAGTTGGCAGTTGCTCCGTCTCCTCCTATCCCCAGCTACTGTCTTCAAATGGGACCGGCGATGGTGGCGCTCTTTCAGATCCAAACTCCACTCTGTCATCAGCTGGTGCCAGCGAGATGTACGACGCCGAATTCACTGGTGGCGAGATGTTGTACAAGAGAATGATTTGGGAGTCGTCCTGAGATACATCTTCTGGGACCGCCCTTGGCATGGTCTCAAGCATCTTCATGGTGAGTTACACAAACAAGACCGAGGTTGTGATAGTGATGGACTAACTATGTCACTAGAGGTGCTCTCGGAAGAACCCTCACACAATCTACAAGAGCTCTTGAAGGCATCTGGCTGGCTGGCGCACGAGCAGTTGTGCCTGAGTCGCAGGATTGACCACAACGAAGAAAAGGAAAAGTCCCTGTTTTCGGACATCTATACCATCGCACAGGACACAGACGTCCTTCGCGCGATGGCAACCTGCGTGCGAGCGATGCCTATCACCCGAGCAATCAAGAACGTGACCGAGATCGGCGAAACCGTTGCCGCCACCTTGTCAAAACGACAGCTTTCACGGTCCTCTCATTCAGCACCTGGTGATCAATTGCTTTCCGACGATTTGGGCAGCACCGCTACCGCCTTGATAGGTCGCATGGTGGCGGAGACGTTTACTCGAGCACAGAAAGAACTTGGCTACGATCCTCCCCACTTGAACCCAATCTGTCGCACATTCATTACATTTATCCCCGCCGTGCCTGTTGCTGACGGAATCAACATGCGTAGGTTGCTATTTCGGTATTTGAACGGGTCGGACGGCGTAGAGAGAGGAACTGCTGTCTCCCAGCAGCCCGATCAACCCGTGACGGCCCACGCAATCGAGTATGAGACGGCAATGGGTGAAGCCTTGCTCGCAATCTTGTCAAATCAACAGTATTCACAGTCAAGAGCGTCCGAGCCCTCTTCTTCAGAATCAGGTAATTCGTTGCAGCATGGCAACTCCGTCAGCACTAATATCGCCTGGATAGGTCGCACGGCACTGGAAACGTTCATTCGAACGCACATAGTATTAGCACTCGACGACGACACTCGGGCCCTCCATTTGCACTCGAACCGCATATTGGCCGGATTGATCCGCGCTATGCCTCTCGCCGATGGACACGAGGCCTGCATGTCTCTGTTTCAGCTTTTACGTGATGGTCGACTGTCCACGAAACAACGACAAGCCACCTTGGAGGTTATACAGAATGTCTACATCACAATCGATTCCCTCGCGGAGGACGTTTGGTACTTACGTCCAGGTGATATGCAGAAGATCAGACAGTTTGAGTGTGCTCCACATACCGAGCTGTATCGTCTGCGCGACGTTCAAGGTAAGTCCACCATCCACTTCAGTCACAACTGGTGTAAGCTCAAGTTTGGCATAGACTGGGAGTGCGTGCAGACCGTACTCACGGCGGTATACGCACACTGTGACCCTGTATCCACCATTCAAATCACAACAACCGTTCTGGCTATATGCCTGTTGTCCGTCATGAACGAGCACAAATTGCCAGCCGAGCCGTCGAGGGGAGCTTACCTGGCTGACATGGCCCACCGATTCGACGAGCACTTGGCTACCCTCCGCCGCAAGGAACTGAGAGACGCTATACAGGCCCTTCCTCCCGCTGCGACATACAGACTCGATTGGGTGTTGGATCGCATGACCGACAGAGGCATCTACGATTCCTTGAGTACAGCCGAGATTCGCCGGAACGCCATGATGTCCACAAATTGCATCGCGCGGCGACTCCAATGGTTGCTCGAATGCTACGTATGGACGCCGTCAGGGACAGTCCAAGGGTTCAATGTTCGCTTGACAAGCTACGCGTGGTGGGCACAAGAGCGCCTAGAATACACCGGGATAGACACGACAGACTTGTCAGTCATCTTCGACGCTCAGAATGTCAGGATACACTGACACTTGCAACAGGGAAGAATGGCTCGAATGCGCTCCAGATGAGCCCCAGAGCGAAGACGATCGAAGCGTCGACTCCTCGGAGGCGACTGATTCAGAGCCTACATCGGAAGCTGGCCACGAGCGGGCCCGGGACCCACCGGAGCCACGAACAGACAGCCAGAAGCGATCTATTACACAGAACCTGTAAGCAGTTAATCTCGCACTGCACTCGATCGCCGCTGACTAGCTTGCTCTAGCATTGACACAGTGCATGCACTCGAGGGATCCACGGCGCAGGGGCCCGACATCGAAATGCAGGCCGTAGGAGCCGGCTCGACCGCGGCATCAGATGTGCCCCGTGCGACGGACACCGCACCGCCAGCCGTCAGTGGGGCCACGCCAGCGACCGTTACGACGCTTGATGAATCCGAGTCGCCGCAAGGGCCGGATGCCGCCCAAACCGAGTCGATCGATCCACTAGAGGACACGAAACCGCACGCACAAGACTTCGAATCCGATGTTGCACGCGCGGTAGCAGAGGCGGGCACGTCTGCGGACGAAGGTCGTCTGGGCGGACTCGCATGTGCGATCGAGTACGCGGATATTCGCCAGGGCAGCGACGCGCATTCGAGTCTAGAGGGAGGAGGTGCACCAGGCGACGTACCTGCGCAGCCGTCCGCGTCGCACCAGGAGCTGGGCAGGCAGAGTCGGAACAGTGGCTGATTCGGAGGATGGGGGACGGTGGTTGTTGACGTGTACGTCGTGAGTTGCTGGATAGACCATCGTCGCCGCATGCTGACGTTCACCGCAGGCGGCCGGTGTGGGGCGATCTTTGACGACCCTTGGTCGATGATAGACGGAGGCCTCGGTGCACGAACAATATCTTGGACTGCGATGGGCTGGTATTTCGTTTAGTCTTGTGCTCGTTACAGCTGCTCGTGATGACTCTACTTAGTTATGGTCTCAGAGATCTTGGTGCAAACGGGCTCACTGTGTGTGTTCTACGATATGATTGTGTTCGCTGACCGGATTGCCTGGAGCTTCCGCGACCGGTGTGTTGCTGCCCATTATCGAGTTGTGTACTAGTTCGTCCAGTAGTATTCAGTAGTACGAAACCGCCTCGCGTACGTCTGCTCCGAACTGTTGTTAGGATTACGCACCCCAAAGCAGCACACAACTTTCAGTCGAACACGCTGCAATAATCGAGGGGAATATAGGCGACAGTAATAGTTCTAGCTCTGAACATAGTTCGCGATGTCCGTTACAATCTGTGACGCCGCATTCACTAGCGTCTTCGTCATTTAAGAAGGGTTAATTATAGTTCATTAGTGAACCTAATCAGGATTAAAATGAGTTCCTTAAGAACTATGATTAGGTATTCATTCTGTTAATCATGGGCTTAGGGTGGTATGATTACCTCCATTAATCCATGTTGGCATGAAACCATATTATGATCCCAAATGAAGGCACTAGCCCTGACACAAAGGGCTAATTCTCTGCAAATCCCAGTCAATTTACACTGAATCATGGCATAATCCCAGTCATGATCATGCTTAACCAATTCATGACTCTTAATCCTAAGATAATCCCATTATTTGGATATCATAATCATGGCATAACCTCAGTGTTGATCCTGCTGAAATGGGCATAATCATGACATATGTACAATCCTAAACATTCATTATCAAGCCCTAACCTCAGAGCTAATCTATGGCAGGCATCATGAATGTAATCATTAATTCAATGCTAATCCTGGCTGCTGATCCTGATATATTGATGTCAGATTAGTGCTGATTAGCCAGATAATCTGCAGAACAAATCACAGTGATCAGATCAATTAAAAAAATGTTGTGCAGAAGCCAGGACTGAACCAGCGACTTTTTGAAGCATTACATAATCACCTTATTGGGCAAAGAAGCATACACTATAACCACTGCACCATACTGTCTTGTTATGTCTGAGATGTTATTGATCTATGTCATGTTCTTCGATTGCTGGACTTAGACACATTTCTAGTGCCCTCCCATGATGCAGTCTAATCCTGATCAACCTGAGATTAGCAACCAATCAATCCTCACTAACCCATGAGGATTTGCAGAGATTAATCCTGAGGTAATGCTTCTTTGCCACGTAAGACTGTGAACAGATCAAGTCCAGATTAGAGGTGGGATTAGATAGTCTTCAATCTGATTAACTTACTGCTAATCTGCAGTGTACAAACAGGATTAGGGTTCCACATTACTGAATCATGATTAAAAGTACCAAGTACAGCACATTGAAATCATCATTGAAACAGCAGATTATATTGGAAATAAATCTTTGCAAATCCTCATGGGTTAGTGAGGATTGATTGGTTGCTAATCTCAGGTTGATCAGGATTAGACTGCATCATGTAGACTGCATCATGGGAGGGCACTAGAAATGTGTCTAAGTCCAGCAATCGAAGAACATGACATAGATCAATAACATCTCAGACATAACAAGACAGTATGGTGCAGTGGTTATAGTGTATGCTTCTTTGCCCAATAAGGTGATTATGTAATGCTTCAAAAAGTCGCTGGTTCAGTCCTGGCTTCTGCACAACATTTTTTTAATTGATCTGATCACTGTGATTTGTTCTGCAGATTATCTGGCTAATCAGCACTAATCTGACATCAATATATCAGGATCAGCAGCCAGGATTAGCATTGAATTAATGATTACATTCATGATGCCTGCCATAGATTAGCTCTGAGGTTAGGGCTTGATAATGAATGTTTAGGATTGTACATATGTCATGATTATGCCCATTTCAGCAGGATCAACACTGAGGTTATGCCATGATTATGATATCCAAATAATGGGATTATCTTAGGATTAAGAGTCATGAATTGGTTAAGCATGATCATGACTGGGATTATGCCATGATTCAGTGTAAATTGACTGGGATTTGCAGAGAATTAGCCCTTTGTGTCAGGGCTAGTGCCTTCATTTGGGATCATAATATGGTTTCATGCCAACATGGATTAATGGAGGTAATCATACCACCCTAAGCCCATGATTAACAGAATGAATACCTAATCATAGTTCTTAAGGAACTCATTTTAATCCTGATTAGGTTCACTAATGAACTATAATTAACCCTTCTTAAATGACATCCCTGTCACTAGACAAAACCCGCACAGGTTTGTATGCTACCCTTGAAATAGCTTAATGCTCGTACCTCGCGCAAGGCCGATGGGCACGCTTCTACCACCGCTACACCAGCACGTACACAGGTAAGTTGCCAGTCAGCAGCTTAATCGCATACAAACATACCGCACTCACAGCATCGTCCCTCCGTCATCGCCGCCTCCCGCGCGCACTCTCACGGGCCTCTCATGTGCCGACTCGGAGCCCTCTCGTCTTCTCTGTCTGGATGCCTGGCGGAAGGGCGCCATCATCGACGCGGTACTACTTGACGCGACTATTGAGCGGGCAGCTGCTTGACGCGTAGCGCGTGTCCTGGTCGCAGCAGCCTGTTCCGTTGTGCGACCCGGGCGATACTACGTGTGTAGCTCATGGCGCGGTGTTATTGACTGAATGTACCACGCGTTATTTTCTTCTCGATGCGGACCACCTGATGTGCGATTGAAGTGTCCATTTGTATGCGAGTATTGCCCAGATGATTTTCACCGGGAGTACAAGACGATGGGGAACGTAGGAGCAGGACACGAAGCCGGGAGAGTCTGGGGACAAGTAGACAGAGACCGTCGGGGATCGGGAGGAGCGGAAGTGAGAGGTTAGGGTTCCTGTACCGAATGACGGCAGTGACGGGCGTAGCAGTACTAAGTGCGAACGGATGCGGCGCTGAGGGGAACGACGACGTCGAAGGCTTGCAGGTGACGCGTCGGCGAACGTGCCCGTCACGTGCGGCGCGTGTCATCTTCCTCTCGTCCTCGCGCACGACCGCCTAGTCCTCCATCCCATACTCTGCAGCCACAAAGCCGGATACACTAGGCCACACCATTCCACTAGTACCCTACGCGCGCTGCAATGGATCACCAAGACCGCATTCCTAGCCTCTGCCATGCCCCTCGCCCTGCTCTTTCCACTGGGGTCGATCCGCCGAGTGTCTAGCAAGGCATCACGCTCCCGGTGAGATGGCCTTGTTACTGTACTACGCTGGCTCGAAACTGACACTCGCACGCAGCAAATGCTGACCCCAGGGCCAGGCGAGCGATGCCCTGCTGATTGACCGGTCTTCGCAGATCGACGCGCTCGACGTCCTATGTGGCTCTCTTAGCAGTGCCATCTGGGAGAGGTAAGTTTGATCACCGGACGTGTCTCTGTGATACTGTAGAGCTCGTCTTATATTCAGAGCAGTGGGCAGAGTCCATCCATATGCCGGAGGAAGGAGTGGTCGACAGAGTTGTATTTCGGCCAAGGATCTGCGCAGGCCTAGGTACGTGTACTCAACATCACATCGTGCCTTACACAAAGAACCAAGACGTCGATTTCCCTGATCTAGCAATGCCCCGCCCGCTCTGCTACAAGACCTCATCGAAGTCATTGCGCGCCTGCCTCTGCGACGAGCCCTTGCTTCTCGCCCAGTGCTGCCTCACATGCCGCGCGCGACGACAGGCAGCACCGCCGCTCTGCATGACTTCATGCGGGTGCTCATGTTCAAGCAGTACGAGCCGTCCTACAGCTGCGCGCTCGGCGAACTCGAACAAGCGGGCGCACACCTTCGCCGTGCGCGTTTGCGGGTGCCGCCTCCCGCGCTGGAGCCCCTCGCGTTCGCGCTGCTCGACTGGGCGGCACCCCCGAGGACACCGCACTCCGCCTCCGTCAGTACGCCACACGCCCAATGCCCGTTGCTCACCTGTCTCGCCCGTCGGTACCTCTTCCATCACGCAGGCGTGCTCCGCCTCGTCGCAGGCGTGCCCTCCCTAATCTCGCATGGATGTGTCTTGACACAGTCACGGCCCAGTCGACACTGCAGGACACGTAAGGAGCCCCCGCTACTCCAAGCAAGAATTCTGTGAGTTCTTGCTCATGGTCGCGACTATCGCCCAACAATTTTTCTCGCGGCGCGGCCACATCAGATCTTCCTAGACGGTTTGGTCGCATACACGCACCCCTTTGGGACACGACTCATTTCTTGTTCGTGCCCTTTCAGTCGCCCCTCCGTGCATTCCACGACCTCCGACACGTCCAATCCCCACAACGAACTCGATTGGGGAGCTGCGCCCAGCGAAGCTCCGTCTAGCCACACGACGGACGCAGTTCAGGCGCTCCGTGCGTATGCGATATCGCTCTGGGACCTCTCTTGGGTATTCGCCACGGAGTACTTCCCGCGCTGTCGAGCAGATGGACATCCGTCTGTCGGTACTGCGTCACGCCTTTGTTGCAGCGCTGCGGCAATCGGAGGCTGCACCTAAGCTCGCAATTTCATACGATGTACGCTCGTGCACCAGAAGTATGCGTTCACGGCCCACGCCGTTTGTTCGCCGCACCTAACGTGTCAACGCTGTAGGCTCCGCATTGCCGGCCTTGTGCCGTTCCTCCGCTCGTCTGCGCCATCGGGCTGCAGATGCTTCGACGGTTATATACTGTGTCCTCGCTGTTGAGCAAGACGTCGGTCTACAGCACTTCCACTTGCTGTTCTGGCCAATCGACGGCACATAATTGCGTCGGTGCAGGTTGCACGTCGCGTTCGGCTTGGATCACCAACGCATGTCGGGCCAATGTGCACGCCCACGCGGAGGAACCGAGCCCGGTCGCTGCCACCCACGCCGCGCTCTCCCCTGAGCCATTCGCTACGCTACCAACGCGAGGTGCGCAGCTCGCACGGTGTGGGAGAGAAAGCGCGCGCGTGATATCGACACGCGTACTGACGGCTCCGGGTGCAGGTGTTCAGATGAGTCAGTGTTTGGTGTTCGGGTTAGTGACTGGATGGCGAGCGATGATCTGTAGGAAGTAGTGGGGCCGCGCGGATACAAACAATTACTTATCAATCTCAACTACTCAACTGACTCGACTTGAGGTGCACGCGCGACGTCGAGTCGCTCGTCCGTGCCGAACCTTGCAGTACGCGTGAGCGAGAGGGGAGAAGCGAGAGGGGTACGATACGATCCCAGAGCGGGCGACACAGCCCTCTACAAATACAGCACGAGACCGAAGCAGACCGAGGCACTCGAGAGAGATAAAAACCTAAGGTGGAGCAAAGCGTCACAGATGAAAGCGTAGCAAGTTCGAACAGAAACGTGACTAGTGAAGAGCGATCGTTCGTTGACACATTGGGAAGGAATGATACCATATTAGGAAAGTACCGTATGGGAGCACCCGCCCGGGTGTCGACGTGCGTTGATTTCCCTTCCGGCTTCAACGGCGGACCAGTATCTCGGTACGGGGCTGACAGCGACGGAGCGGTGCTATTGGCGTTCGCGACCTGGCCCCCAACAGGTGCGGCACTCTGCTCGACGACGCCCGCCTTCGCCCTACTGTGGGTCCTCCATGTCCGCCTTCCGGTTCGTCGCAGACGCGTCGGTAGAGTCGATTGGAGTACAGTAAGTTTGGGGAATATCGTATGAGTGTCTGTCCGAGAATGTATAAGTCGTAGCAATAGAAACGGTGAGCGCAAGAATAAGAGTGATGACTTCTATAGTAGACGCAGAGCGTCGTTCCGGACCTAAGCCGGTTTTCTCCTCCACAAGAGGGGGTGACTTCTGTCTTGACCTCAAGACCGTCCTAGTACCAAGGCGTGTAGTACTGCTTGACGAGGTCGAGGATTTCTTTGGTGTTCGTCATCTCGCGTACGTCGTCGTAGTTGTCCCACCTCGCCGTATCGATCACGTTCCACGCGCCCGACGGGTACTCCTTCGTGTCCGACGCCAACGCTTGGCCTAACGTCGCGCAGCTCGTCCTCCAGAGACTGTATGGAACGTCTTCGAGACGCGGGTCGTCGGCGGGTTCGAGCGAAAGCAGCGTCATCATGACCTGACGGTCAGCCCTGTAAAAGAAAAGACGTAAGCGACTAGCCGCCACATGCTCTTTCAGCACAGTGCCATCAAGCTCGCGAATGCAATAGGAACCAGAGGGATACCGCTCATGCACGACATAGGGCCCTGCCCACCGTAGCGCGCCCTTGTTGCCGTGCTGCGCGTCGAGCCAAGTCTCGTGAACGAGGACCCAAGTGCCCGGCTCGTATACGCCGTCCACAATCTGCGTCGCGTGCTTGCGCATGAAGTCGTCGACTGCGCGCTGACGGCTCTTGCGGAGCTGCTCTGTTGCTTCGCCCAGCACCGCGTCGCGCCGTTCGATCTGCTGAATCCGAATTGCGATCAAGTCCTCGGTCGTTTTGACCTCGTCCCACGCGAGTCTGTACCAAGTACGATCAGTAAGGTCAAAAGGGAACAGGCAATGCTTGCCGTATAGCAGGAAGTACGGAGTGAACCCCGTAGCACGCGAAACCGTCGTCCGAACCGCCAACAGAGCTGCAGGCAGGTGTCGCGGCCAATGATGAGGCTTGTCGCCGCTCACTCGGAGTACCGCTCGTTTGATCGTCTGCCCGTCCCGTTCCGCTATGCCATTCCCTTGCGGGTGGTACGGCGTACTAAGGATAACTGCCACATTATGCTCCTCGAGGAGTATTCGCACTGCACCTTTGAACTCCGGCCCGCCATCACAGTTCGCAACTGGTAAGCAGCCGAAACGACAGATGATGTCGTCCCACATGAAATCAGCCCACGCCCTCGACGTGTTCTTTCTTACCGCCCTTGCCTCGACCCACTTGCCTGTTGTATCCGACCCATGCAAGAGGTACTTTTCACCGTGCTCGCCTCGCGGCATGTAAATGGTGTCAAAGCCCATGCGTCGTAAGATCGAAGGAGAGAGCGTGATACTTAGCGGCGTGATCGTTCGCGTACGCGAGCGGTATTGACAGTTGTTGCAAGATCGCACGAAGAAGGCGATTTCGTCGTACATCGTAGGCCAATAGTAGCGGTCGGCGAGCTTCTTGTACGTTGGGTCGCGACCGCGGTGCCCGCAGTCGTTGTGCGCCTCTGCGATTAGTTCTCGTCTCCTACCTTCGTCGAGTACCACAAGTCGCGGGACGTTATACCTACTCGTCTTCCAGAGTCGTCCGTCGTGGACGATGAACCCTTGCGCGCGCCGACGCAGATTTCTCAGCTCGGCCGGGTCACCCTCGCATCTCTCTGGCAGCGTCCCCGCGTCAAGGTATTCTTTGATTTCCCTGAAGACTTCCGCCGAAAACGTGTTAGCTGACTTATGTTCGTGAGACGCACACCTTATATCCCGCCCGCTCGTCGGCGGAGGCAGATCCTCGTAATCGATCCTGGTTTCCTCGACTCGTGCTTCCCAAGTCGTGAAGCCCTCCTGCCAACCGACTCCCCCATATCGCTCGCCTACCTTCTTGACATGTAGATCGATCCTGCCTCTCTCGTACTCATCCTTCTTCTCGGACGACAGGTACGCCGGCCGATGTTCCGTGTATTCCAGGGTAACCAGTTCGCTGCCAAGGAGATAGTCAGCCACCTGTTCTCGTGCCACGCTGCGTACCATGAACTCGTTGCCGATGTAGGAGGCATCGTCTTCGTTCCTGAGCAGGCTCGGGTGGAACGGGCTCATATTTCCCGGTTCCTCTATAGGCAGCCAATACTCGCGTCCGGTCCTCGGGTTGTTCTGCGAGATGTCCCAGTCGGGTCCGCACTGAGGTTGTGACGGGAAGAGCCGTTGGTGGTGGAAGTACCACCTGGGGTAGATCGAGTCGGTGATGTTCGAGCTGTGCGGTCGTATGTTCTTCGCTAGGAGAGCTCCTCCGACAAGGCGGACCCATTCTGTGATGCGGTTAGCTTTATGCGATTCAAACTCACCCATGAACGAGACCGCTGACACCTCCGTATCACCGTTCGGCGATACTTCGTACGCGATTCCGAGCGACCCACCCGGCGAACGATGATGGTCTGCCATCGCGAGAGTGAAAACGTTGAAAGGCCTTGGATCAGGCTCGCCGTTGGCAGACCCTATATGTCGATCGAGCTCGTCTTCTCCGTCGGATTCGCCAGAATCGTCGCCTGCAGGTCGTCGTCTTGACAGACCGTCCTCGGCCTTGTGCTTTGCTGCAGGCACATGGTTTAGCTCAAAGTCGAATAACTGGATGTACGTTACCCATCGCGTCATCGGCGCGTTTGGCAAGTCAGGCTCGTGGATCATTTGCTTGAGGTAACTTGCGTCGACGTCTAGACGGAAATGGATTCCCCAGATGCGGTGTCGGCACTCTTTGATTGCTCGAAACGCTCCGTACAGTTCCGCTTTGGGTTGTGAGTACCTTGATTCGGTCGCGTTGAACGTGCACGATCCGAATATTGCTGGATGCTTGTCAGTTTCATTGTACTGATAGATGACCCACCCTGCTCCATGAATTGACGAGTCGACCGCAAGGACGACAAGCCCGTGATCTGATGATCGTGGAGCCCGAGCGATCGTCGCCGCAAGTGGGTAGTCGATCTTCCTGAGTACGGGAGCGCGCGTGATCATCGCCTTGAGTTCGTCCATCGCTTGTTGCTCTTTTTCGCCAAATTCGAATAGAACATCAGTAACGCGGCACAAGGCTGAGAGTGGCTTAGCGATTAATGAAAAATTCTTGATCCAGCGTCGTCCAACGCCTGCAGTGCCGAGAAATCCGCGGACCTCGCTGACTGTCTCGCAGTATGGCCACTTGAGTACCTTGTTGACGAGGCCATGCTCTGGCTCCCAGCCTTCTGCAGAGACTACTGATCCGACAATCTGCACCTTCGGGGTAGCAAGAATCAGCTTCGCCCCCGAAGCCGTCACGCCTGCCTCACGGAACCTATGAAATAACATGTTCAGCGTGGTTGCAAACTCGTATATGAAGCGGCGAATGTCTTGGTTGCCCTCGATTGGCTCGTCGTTATACCGTGACACCGGTCCCTTCACTCCGTTGTCGTCTACAAACGCGTCAGCGAGCACTGGATACATAGGACCAAGCACGTGTAGGATCCAACGCATGAAGCATTGCATCGCGTTAGTGAAACCTTGCGGCATCGTCGCGTTTCGGAGCGCGCCGCATACCGAATGAAACGTGGTTAAGTCGCGCGACCCCTCGTGTAGCCGTATCCCGTTGTAGCCCGAGAACAAGTCGAGAATAGCGTATACCTGATGCCCGACGAAGCTCTCGGCGAAGTCGTCCGCGCGAGGAGGCAACGCCGAGTCGCGGATCGTCACCGCATTGAGATCTTCGAGATTGATGACCATCCTTGGTTCGCCGTTCTTCTTCAGCACTGGGAACGACGCTGCCCGATACGAAGCCGTCGAATGTTCGTAATTGCCGGCTTCGATTTGATCTTGCACAACCACGCGCACCTTGTCTTCGAGGGCCTTCGGCACTTTGATCGGTGGCCTAGTCCACGGCACATGCTCTATAACCGGAATCTCGTAGTCAGGGAAATATTTCGGTGAGAATGTACCTCGCTCTTCTTCTGTCCACGCAAGAGCCTGCTCGTTGATGCCAAGGACGTGGACCATGAGGTCGAGCTCCGCTTCTGTGAGAAACCCATCCGGAACGGTCTTGATAATCGCGTCGAGTCGCTCTTGTGTCAGCCGTTGTGTCGGTACGAACTGCGAACGCGGCATTGGCTTTCTTGGCAGCGGAGGCGGTGTCGGTACCTCGATCGGTACAAGCTTCTGCGCAGACGGATTAGGCATGTACGTAGGGACTGGCCTTACCTTACGCGCGACCGGCTTGTACCGCCTCGCTGCATTTGCGTATGCTTCTTGTTGCCCCAACGCTCGATCTGTCCATGGTGAGCGAACGGGCAGGCTACAATCGGATGAAGAAAATGAGACAGAACGGAGCAGGCCATCAAACGTATGGGGAGGGTTCAGCTGAGTTAGCACGTGCACGTTATCAGAGTCCAAGAATTTCCGGTCACCGGCCAAAGCCTGCAACGACCTTCCGAGCCGAGGAATTTCCAGGGACGCTTGCCCCGTGAACGACGGGGCCGGCTCGGTAGACACGTCCCCTTCTAAAAACCCGCCTCGCCATCCGCCGAGTGAACCAACTTGTCCACATTGCGACGGTCAGCCATCCCAACTATCCTGATACGCATCGGGTCGCTATTAGGGTCTCCGCTAGGGAACACCACAAGCTCCTGCCCGCCATTGCGTGCGTACTCGAGCCTCGATGAAAACCACTGCAGCCACGGCTGCCCAAGAATCCCGTCGTGCCTCCCCAACTCCTCAGGGTGCACGAAAAAATGATGATCAAACCGCATGCCGTTGATCTCAACCGACGCATCGCGGCAGCACCCCACCAGAGACACTGGCGCGCCGTGGATTCCCCTCAACGTCCACCTGGACCCATCCTTGTCGATCTCCACCCCCGCTCGCTCGTACACGCGCTGAGCGATCAGGTTCAATTCCGAGCCAGAATCGATAAGGTACGTTACCGGTTCGTTGCCGAATCTCCCTTGGACCAGCCCGCATGCCATGGCTACGAAACGTCGGTGACCGCCGAGTGCGATTGCGGCCGCGTAGCTGTCGATTATCTTCTCCAGGTGCTCTTCGTCTCGTACCGTAACCGATGCTTCCCCTTGTAGTTCTTCCTGGACGTCTGCACTCTCGTCAGCCTCCATGCCCACCTCTGCTATGGTCGCATGAACCTCCCGGCGGGTCTTCGTTATGGCCGAGAATCTCTTCTGCATCTCTGGGGACATAGCAATTAGCGTCTTCAACGGTATAGACATCATCGTGTTGAGTGTCTTATCCATAACCTGGTCTACTGAAACCATGTCCTGGATATCCGACGTGAACCGTATGTTCGTTCGTTCAGGCCGTGCACGTCCTGTCGGATCGCCTGTGCTCTCTCGTCGGTCCTGCTTCTTCTGTGCTTCGCGTTCTCGCCACCCTTGCTCCGTATTGACTTTCGGCGGTTCGGGCCCTGCGGCCTCTGCCGCTTTTACCTTGTCTTTCGTGAACTGGGTAGGCTCTGCCGGCTGCCGAACTTGGACGGGAGGGGGTGACTTAGGAGTCGTCCCGCCCCTTGGCCCATCAGTGTTCGAATGCGTGACATCGAACCGAACCTTCCTGAGTGCGCTTGGCGTTGTTGCCACTTGATCTTGAGATTTAGCCTGCGACCTGGTAACTGGAAAGGAGTAAACGTCTTCGGACGAGATGGCGTAAACGTCACCGCTGAACACCGGCTGATCGTCGCGCATTACTTCAATCGCGCTGCACGACAGGTGCGGCGGCGCGTCGCGAGCCTTCCCCTTCAATTGATCGATCCGCTGCTGGATCAACGTCGATATTCCGCCGGGGACGCCTCTCCCGTTCGGCAGGTCGGAGCCGTCTGCGTACGTTAGTCGGCCCTGCGGGCTATACATGATCGTACCGTCTGCGAGCCACTTCTTGGTGAAGCTACAATGCCCCATACCAAGCCGATGGTCCAGATCCTTACCCTCCTCCTTCGCGCACATGTAGCAGCAACGCGCTGGCTGCCCGTGATGAGTCGCGCACGCTGAGGCCTGAGACGATGAGCCCGCCGGCGCCGGTGTTAGTCGAGCGGCAAGCAGTTTCTCCAGTCGGTCGACTAGGTCATCCACATCGTCCTTCCCTTTTGAATGCTTACCCTTACGCTTGCTCTTCTTCTTGTCCGCTTTCTTGTCCGTCTTCTTCTTCTTTTTCTTCCTCTTCTTCTTCTTGTCGTCCTCGCTATCGCTGTCAGATGAGTCAGTATCGCTGTCCGACTCGTCGTCTGATTCCGAGTCCGTGTTGCTATCCTCCGATTCGGAGCTAGATGAATCAGCGTCTCGTCGGTAATCGTTCTCTGTGAAATACTTGCGGACTTCCTCGGCGCATATCTTGAATGATGCCGGGTTCGCGTGGGTGGGTGTCTTACCCATGAGCTCCTCTAACTTCGGCACGATGGCCCTCCTAACGCGTGAGTCTAACCCGTGGAAGAAGAGGAAGTCGTGCTCGTGCACATTGATACGTTCTAACTCCACCTGGTTGCCGGCACACTTCAAGAACCCGTGGAGGTACTTGTAGTAGTCTTCGACGTTCCTTATCTTGCGCTTCCTACGGTACTTGCTGCAGTAGGCCCGTAATTTGTCGGCCGAGCCTCTCTCCTTGACCGTGCCATCGCCGAAGCAAAAGACCATTTGCTCCTTCGCTTTATCCCAGTCGCTCCCTGCAAATTCAGTCATGCACGAGAGCATAACACTTACCTCTTCCGTGCAGTATTCTAGTACCATACGGCACTTCTCGGCATCGGATAACGCTGCGGCATTAGCGAGGTGTTCGAAAACGCTGAGGAAGCTTCGGAGACGTTTACCGTCAAACCGAGGCGAGTATTTGGAGGTCGGAGGCGGCATCGCGTGCCGGGACTGCGCGGGCGTAACTGTTGACGACGACGCATCGGCGCTTGGTGGTGGTGCTGTCATGTCTGCTGGTGGTATGTCAAATGGATTCTGAAAGGGTGTGTCAGGTGTGGGAGCGAAGGAGAACGGAGTTATCGGGGACGTCGGCGTGACTGAGCCCGAAGGGAACGAGGAGATGGAGAGAAAAGATGAGGTGCTTAGCGGGCTAGGAACGTCCTGTGAGGACGTTGGAAGGACAGATATGTCAAGGTCTTGATCGACTGCTTCGTCGATCTTGATGTTCTTCTGTCTTTGCTTGCCTTTTCGGGACGTCGCACGGTCTAGTGATACGTCAGTAGCAGTGCGAGTTGTACGGCGGAGTTCTGGGCGTCCTCGAGATGGTTCGCCTATGTTCGGGCGCGGCGCGCTCGTCGCGCTTTTCGATGTATTCTTGGGCGCCGTCCTGAAATAGAACAGTTAGCACACCGGGACCCTGCACACGTACCTGTGTGCAATGAAACCCCCTGCGGTGGTCACCACTTGTGGGAGAGAAAGCGCGCGCGTGATATCGACACGCGTACTGACGGCTCCGGGTGCAGGTGTTCAGATGAGTCAGTGTTTGGTGTTCGGGTTAGTGACTGGACGGCGAGCGATGATCTGTAGGAAGTAGTGGGGCCGCGCGGATACAAACAATTACTTATCAATCTCAACTACTCAACTGACTCGACTTGAGGTGCACGCGCGACGTCGAGTCGCTCGTCCGTGCCGAACCTTGCAGTACGCGTGAGCGAGAGGGGAGAAGCGAGAGGGGTACGATACGATCCCAGAGCGGGCGACACAGCCCTCTACAAATACAGCACGAGACCGAAGCAGACCGAGGCACTCGAGAGAGATAAAAACCTAAGGTGGAGCAAAGCGTCACAGATGAAAGCGTAGCAAGTTCGAACAGAAACGTGACTAGTGAAGAGCGATCGTTCGTTGACACATTGGGAAGGAATGATACCATATTAGGAAAGTACCGTATGGGAGCACCCGCCCGGGTGTCGACGTGCGTTGATTTCCCTTCCGGCTTCAACGGCGGACCAGTATCTCGGTACGGGGCTGACAGCGACGGAGCGGTGCTATTGGCGTTCGCGACCTGGCCCCCAACAGGTGCGGCACTCTGCTCGACGACGCCCGCCTTCGCCCTACTGTGGGTCCTCCATGTCCGCCTTCCGGTTCGTCGCAGACGCGTCGGTAGAGTCGATTGGAGTACAGTAAGTTTGGGGAATATCGTATGAGTGTCTGTCCGAGAATGTATAAGTCGTAGCAATAGAAACGGTGAGCGCAAGAATAAGAGTGATGACTTCTATAGTAGACGCAGAGCGTCGTTCCGGACCTAAGCCGGTTTTCTCCTCCACAACGGGGAGCTGGGATTCTCATGAATGCGAACCGTGCAGTGCGTCAGGTTCCGGGCCACTCATCCCTGGGTGTCTGACTACCCATCGAGGTAGTGCCATGCCTAGTACGGCCTTGAGCTGAGCAACCCGCGGAGTCATACAACCCCCTCAAGTGTCGCGGTTGTGACCAGAGTACTGGTGTGTATGTGCGGTATCGGAGTCTAGATGGGCGATGCGGAGATATCTTCGTTGCACGAGGACAAGTACTCGAGCTGCCTGGCGGCTCTATTCAACACGTAGGGATCGTGCGGCGCGTTGTCAGCAGTCCGACATCGCCCAATATCCCTTCGTTGCATTCGAGCATCGCCATCCGTGTTGGCATTCAATTGAACCGACACTCACTATGTACAGGGATCGTGCGGCTCTCATAGTCTAGTGTCCCAATTGGGATGACGGCTGCATATACGTACGGCAATGAGTCGAAGGAAGGGGAAGGATGGACGATATATCCAAACTACATGACCTAGGTCGTATTGCGGGATACCAGCAACACCGCAATCGAAGCGCATATATGCGGAACGAACACAAAAGAAGTGGAAGGGAGCACTGTTGGAGCGCGCTGGCGTACGGAGCAAGTGACAAAGCAGAGAGAATCAACGAAGGCTTACCAGTGACAATCGAAGACAACGGGAGCATCGCACCGAGCGGGTACACACGGCACTGCGTCGGTGGTAGCCTGTAACGCACGAGGTGAGCCGTCGAGTTCACTGAGACAGAGTGAAGCCATTTGAAGAGGCAGACACGTACCCATCAGTAGCAGTACGTCGCCTGTCTTGTCGCGTGGTTTGACGATTCTTTCGACGGCGTCGGGGAGGGCTGCACCGCGCCGTCAGAAGCGGACCTCTGTCGGAAGGGGCGAACTCTGCGCGATCTGCAATCGGAAGATTGGTGATACAGGCTGCCCAGAGCCACTAGAGTTGTTTTACAGAAGACGCGTTGTAGTGATGAGAGAAGGAGACGGTACGGCTTGGACACTGTAGTGACCAGTCGGCGAGTGGATGACCTACTACGAGACGCGTCTGTCACGTGTAGACCGTGTGTCGCGTTGTCAGCGCGCTGATATCATCCAGCTTCCTCTCTGTGCACACTTGCGCACTTTTCCTCGTACACTTAGCTATCCATGTATTTCGAATCACAATAGCCTAGGGGACTCGAAGACACGTCGCAGGACACCGTTGGCGCAGCAGTCTTCTATGTGCGCGGCCTGAGGAGTCACTGCCCCATAACTGTAAGTTCTGCGTTGTCGGGGAGACACACGGTGCGGAACTACTGGCCTTCTATCTCGAACCCAGTGCTCATACAACAGCCTTCAACCACTTTGACAGGTCTTCCATTTGACAAAGGGCGCTCCTGTGCCGTTGGCCCCACTATGCACCGTCTCTTGTGCGTAGCAGCGTACTATTAGTACGTGAGTATGTCTCATGGATATGAGGTACGTAAACGTCTTCATGCGTACAGGACGTACTCACAATTTGCCCTTGGGGGATGAGTTACGACGGTATGCGTATCAATTCCGAGCGCAACATATGGCGCAGCGTGTGGGTAATCGCGAACCTAAATGCACAGCTGCTTCTCAGCTGCCCTTGAACATAAGGCAGTAATCCCCTAATACAATGGCGCCGTTCGGCGTGTACCGACATCGCATGGACATGCCTCGCGGTTAAAACGGTGCCCTCTTCTCGACCAAGTCGACCTGACCCGCCGCGTTCTCGAGGCGCTACCTCCACTCCAGAGTAACATCCATCCACGTCTCGAATCCGAGTCCGTCGCGGACAACGCACCAATCGTCGATCCTGTCATTGTGACCGCATCTGGATCGTGTACATTCAGTCCTGATTCCTGTCTGAACGAACACCGCGAGCTAGCTAGGTAAGCTGTGTGCGGCATAATGAGTATGTGATCAAGTCTAACGTGGGTATACCCGGGACAGTGACTACATAACGCGCAAGCGGTTCGCTTTCAACCTCACTACAAGCGACGCTCTGAATCAACGGACGTCGGAAGACCGATAGTCCAAGCACTGCATTTGTATGAACATATTTCCAATGTGATGTGACCGTATTGACGGAGTCGCTATGTAGTTGGATCACAGCGGCTACGATGAAGTTCTCGGTGCATACGACCGAACGAATGGAGGATCAGATTGCTGATCAGGGCATCATCCCTGACAAGCTGACGGGCGAGGAGTCCGGGGAAGAGGAGTCCGGGGATGAAGAGACTGAGGACTCAGGCTCAGCATCCGAGTGGCGTCCTGGTATTGAGATTCTGTTCAGGCAACCCATATACTCAAGGTGCGTGACCCACGGCTCCTCCTCCCGGAGGATTGGGGTGAATACGTGATTCATGGCTTTGTGCTTTCTCAGCAATACGAGTCCGCAATTCCCGCAAGAGCTGATCGAGCGCATCTGCGAATTCCTCTGGGACGAACCGGTCCAGCTAGCGGTCAGCTGCACGCGCATTTGCCCCGCTTGGTATCATGCTGCACGGCGAGTTCTGCCAGAGTATGCGATCACCTGTCGAACCCAAGAGGCCCTGCGAGACTATGCGCATACCCTCACATCCCTTCGTAATGCGCCATATCGCAAACAGTTCAAGAAATTGTGGATCTCTGACAACGCCAGCAAGCCGTTCGCGCACGTTTGGCCGATTTGCATTCCTGGATGGATACTACCGAAACTGCGTTACGTGGAACTCGTTACCCTTGACTGGTCCACCAAGACACCGCACGATAGCTTCTTCATCTACCTGTCTTCTTACACCAGCGTCTCGTGCCTCATTCTGCGGGACTGCAGGTTTCGCAGTTTGCCGGATCTTCGCAGGGTGATCAATGCCCTTCCCAACCTTATGTCGCTGGAGCTCTACAATATAACATTACAGCACCCTCTCAGACCGGGATCGGTCCCCGACTACATCACTCTTCGAGCCCGTTCACACAGGCTCGAGTCTATTTATCTTCGCGGTTCCAAACACAGGCCAGAGTATTCTGACGTGTCCTCGGAGTATCAAGGAACAACGGCCCTCGGTTCTCAAGCTCAAGCTCTGCTGCACATGGTAGTCGCTAATTCATCCACTGTGACCCGCCTCGACCTTGACCTGCGATTCTTTACTTCGCTCTCAGCTCTTCAGCGATGCCTGGCGCATTTTCGCCGTCTGACCTCATTCGAGGCACGGTACCAATTTGCCTCGGGCCCTATGATCACACTCGAGGAGACAGTTCCTGCGCGTACGGAGAACACATATATACACTCATGGGAAAGCTTTACCCTTACGGACGTCCCCGATCAATCCGCTCTGCAGCTTCTGCAGCTGCTTGCCACTCCTAGATCATGCAGCAAACTGCATGAACTCCGTATCTGTCTTGCAGGCCGGCCATCCGCCGCACTTCTATCACGTACTAGCCGTTTCCTCCATGAATCCGGACATCGGCTCAAGGATTTGTGGTGGGAATGTTCGGTGGACACAGGTCAGCTTTCTGTGTGTAGTCTGCACATGTGTCTCACTGCCAACTGCTTCCCATTGTAGATCTCGAGGTCATTCCGTCCCTCGCAGGGAATACGACTCTGCAAACATTGTACATAAACCTTCGGGACATTGCCCCATCGCCACAGAAGATACACAGTGCTCTCACCGCCATACTATCAGACATCGTCAGCGTGGACCTACGGAAGGTGTATATTCATCTCACTCTAGCTCGCCTCGAGGTGCTTCCCCAGAATCATGGACGGACGCCCGTGGCACCAGATCCTGCCGAGGCCATCTCTGCTTTTCACATCATTCTCTCGCGCGAGATATTCAATGGGCTTCCGCTGCACACTCACTACAACTGCGTAGAGGTTGATTTCTACGTTGGAAACATACAGGACAATCCCGTCGTGGTAGCCACGATCAAAGCATACATGATCACTCTCTTTACGCCGTGGTTGGATCGCGGAATAGTAGAGTTGCGGTTCAATTGGATGGACAGTGTGGAGACTATTACTTGTGTGTCCACGTCTATGCTCAATGGTAAGTGGCCCAATGTCGTACCTCGCAACGGCGCACTCATGAACCGGCCCACTTGCATGTTCCCGCAGAGGACACATTGAGCGATCGCGGAGGCGAGGATGTCGAAGAAAACACACCCGTAGGAACGGAACAGTACAACGAAGCTCAGGAGGTAATTTGGAGGGAGACGGACACTGGCATGAAGGGCTCGGACGGACGTCGTTGGTGATCGCGCAGGACAGCGGCACGATGTTGTACGATACATGGTCAAATTCTCAACGACGGACATTGTGTTTAGGACAACAGGTATCACGACGACATTCTTGATCAAAAGCATAGTCTTGAGGGGATGAGCTTACCTTCGCGTCTCCTTCTGTGTCGTTCGCGCCGTTGCATATCCAGATGAAAGCCGTTGGATTGCAGAGATTCGACAGAGGAGGGACCCGGTAAGACGCTGAGTAGCCGTCGACTGGACTCGTCGGGCCCCCTGCACCATGCCTCGACGAGTAGCATATACCATCTACTACGACGATGACGGCTGAGTGTCAATGCGACGAGAAGGCAGTACTAGTGCTCACGGATGCGTACAAGCACTCTTCAGTTGTGAGAGAAGCACTGCCGGCGTCGCAGACAATTGGACTAGAAGAGACGGGCTGATCACGACGATCTTGTCCATCGGCCTCTCGACCGAGCCATCGTCGAACCCCTGGGGAATCGAAAGCGAGTAGGTGCAAGAGGTCATCGGTCAACGATAGACGACTAACGGGGTGTTGCAGCAGCGCGGCAATCCCAGGACAACGGTTGCAGAGCTCACCTGCGGAAACGGGAGCCTGACCACTCAAAAAGGAGGCACCTCCGAGCGTAAAGCGAAGAACAGTGCCGGTGTGAAGGTACGGCGTATCTCTGCAGCCGTCGCCCGCGCCTTTTCAGGATTTGCCCTATAGCGGAGCAGTTAAGCGCATATATGCACCTCTCGACGGGCCTCGGACCTTCCTTTGCGCCGTCTCACTGTGCTTGTGGAGTAGTTCGGGATCGGCTTCTGCGTGGCGTGAAACGCAGGTATTCATTATTGTAGAGACAATCTGGAAAGACCGAAAGACTTGAGCACGGTTCCCATGGGCAAAGGTAGGAGCCTAGTCGAGGATGGCGGCACATGCTGGGACGGGTCGGATGTTCCTCTGAATAGGACCTGCGCGTGACGGTGGTATTGCCTGCAAAATCAATTGAACGAGCTGAGACACGCGTGCAGCAATGCGGGACTCACGTTCGTAAGTGAGATGCGCGGTACGTATGTTGCGAGTGAAGTTATGTGGCGTTGGCGAGTGACAGAAATGTCGCGTGTATCTGCATATATACAAGACGAGCATGCATTTTGAGTGAGAAACAAACCACGGAGCACGGCGTAAGAGGCGGAGAGGGTCAGCCAAGCCTAAGCGTAGAAGCTCACCTGGCGGGGCCAGGTCCTGGATATCCCAGGTAAGCGGTATTGTGAGCGGGTGGATATGCAGGGTCGGTCTATCGTGCGGCGGACTGTGCAAGCGATGAAGGGATGAACGAAGGTAATGTCGCCTGGCAAGACAAACACACACCTTGGGATGATGAATCGCTCTCCTGGCGCACACCGTTTGTGGCCCCATACGACGTCGTGGTAGTATCTCGTCTGCAGAGATGGGCAGTTCATCGCCCAACCTCAAGTACTCAGCAGCGACCCTTGAGAGCATGAAGAGTTCGACTCGGTATAACTTTACTTACATACTTGGGGCGACCACTCTGACGAAGCTGCGTTGACTCATCCCTCTGAATGTCGACCGCCTGGCGTACGATGCGAGGCTGAAACAAGGGTATGCAATAGTGCTTCTATTATTCGGGGAGGTCGAAGATGGCGGATTCTGTCTACATGCGAGTGTTGTCTGTAGGTGTCTCGCCGGGAGTACGAGGCGATGAGGCGCGCAGGAGCAGGACAGTCGGACGACACTGGGTGTGGAGAGGGAACCCCGGCGGTGCGTCCATTGGGGGAGGTCAACACATGACAGAGCTCTTTATGCGTGTCCGGCGATCGGGAGGAGCGGGACGGAGAGGTTAGGGTTCCTGTACCGAACGAAGTCGCTCGAGCCTGACGAGGCATAGCAGTCAGCTTGAGCACCGATGGGAACGAGGGGGAGGAGGAGGGACGCGGCCTTGCGCGACCTCATCGGACTCGGTGATCGCGCCCATCACGTGCAGCAGAGCGCGCCGTCGAGCGCGTCATCTTCTCCTCCTCCTCACGCACGACCGCCTCCTCCTCTGCATACATACCATCCCATACTCTGCACTCGCATAGCCGTAAACGGGCTATCATCCCACTCGTGCCCTATGCCCCTCTGCGACGACACGCCAAGATCGTCTTCCTAGGCTCTGTTCTCCTCACCCTGCTCGTTCCACTTGCCTCTATGTGCCGAGTGTCCAGCCAAACATCCGTCGATGCATGGCATCCCGCTCCTGGTGGGATATCCTGAAGGCTGTACGACGCTCGCTGGACACTGACATTTGCGCGCACCGGATGCTGATCCCAGGGCCAGGCGCGCGATGTCATCACCTAAGGATTCACCGGTCTTCATAGATCGACGCGCTCGAAGTCACAGTGGTATAGAGTTCCATTGACAGTCCCATCTGAGAAAGGTACGTCTGATCACCAGATATGTCTTCGTGATACTTAGACCCTTCTCTTAGGCTCATGCCGGTGGCCCTTCAGGATGGCGAAGGAAGGGATGGCTTCGAGTTGCACATTGGCCAGCGTTCTGTGCCAGGTGCGTGTACTCAAAATTGTACCTCCTCCAAAATACCAACACATCGATTTCTTTGATTTAGCAATGCCTCGCCCGCCCTGCTACAAGAGCACATCAAGCTCGTCGCACGCCTGCCTCTGCGACGAGCCCGTGCTGCTCGCTCAGTCCTGCCTCGTATGCCGCCCGCCGCGATAGACCTCATGCGCGTGCTCATTCTCAAGCAACACGGGCGATCTTACAGTTGTGCGCGAACGCGAGGCCTCGGGCTACAGATACATCGCGCGTTTGCCCGGGTGCCGCCTTCCTGAGCTGGATCACCTCAGCACCTCGCGTTCGCGCTGCCTGACTGGGCGGCACCCCCGAGGGAGCCGCACTACACGTTCATCAGCAACCTCACATTTGTCATGCTCGTCACCCGCCTGTTCCTCTATCAATGCCACTTCCGTCATGCAGCCGTCCTCCGCCTCATCACGGGCGTCCTCTCGCGATTCGAGTGGTTGTTTCTGGACACAGTCACGTCCCGGTTGGCCCCGCGGGACACGGAAGGAGCCACGCTACCTCAAATAAGAATTCCTCTGAGTTATCGCTCATGGGCTCCGCCGGCCGCGACGATCACTCACCAGGTCGTCTATGTGCATCAGAGCCTCCTAGTCACCTTGGTCGCATACACTCTTACATACGCGCCCCTTCCGGACACGACTCATTTCTTCTCGTTTGCGCATTATTGATCGTTCCTCCGCGCATACCACGGCCTCCTACACGGCCATCTTCGCGACGATCCCAACTGGGGTGCTACGCCCAGCAAAGCTCCGTCCCATCGCGGCGGACACCGTTCAGCCGTTGTGTGCGGTATCACCGTCTGACGTATCCTCGGCATTCGGTCACGGAGTACTTCAAGCACCTTTCGCAAGAGTGTCGCGTCGTCGAGCTGCTCGAGATCCGTCTGTCGAACTCGCCCTCCTCGGTACTGCGTCACGCCTTCGTTGCAGCGCTGCGCAATCGGGGCCGGAACTGAAGAGGTTCGCATGGTCTAAAGCGCTGTAAGCCCACGCTCCAAAAGTGAGCGTCCGCTGCCCACACCGTCACTGTTACTTGGTCGCACACTAACATGCCAACGCCGCAGAGACCACAACGCCTGCCTTACAAGGTGCAGGTGCTTGAGCTGGCGTATCCTGCGTACTCGCTGTTGAGCAGAACGTCGATCTACGACACCCTCATCATGCTGTTCTCGTCGATCGATGGCACACAATTGCAGCGGCGCGCGATGCGCATTGGATCCACGTCCTCAGCGTCGACGTGTGTGCCTAACGTGCACGCACACGCGGCGGAATCGGGCACGGTCGCCGCCCTCCACGCTGCGCTCTCCCGCGAGCCATTCACTGCGCTATTGACGCGAGGTGGACAGCTCACATAGGCAGCTGGAATTCTGATGGAACGCGGAATGCCCTGCCCGCACGCTTTACGGCACCACATACCTAGACGTCTGACTGCCCAGCAAGCCAGCGTCACGCCAGGTACCGCCTTGAGCGGAGCAGCCAGTGGGAGCGATTGAATTCGCGCAAGTGTCGCGGCCATGCACCGGCGTATAGGCGTGTATATGCGGACCGAGGGGCGTACCGAAGTCCGAATGGGTGGAAAATGCGGAGACATCTTCGTCGTATGCTGGGGAGTCGCTCTAGATCTAGTGCTTGAGCTGCCTGGCGGTCGTGTTCGTGTATGGACTGGGTCGCACGAGGACCTGGGACAAGGCGCTTACATGTCCTATCCAAATACCCTGGGTTTTGGGCCTTTATGTCCGCACGGTTTTGACCCCAGTTATGTCCGCATCGGACTAGGACCTACCCTTTGGGGACCCTTTATGGCCGCACTATGGATCGGACCTCTAGAAATTCCAAGAAAATCGCGAAAATCGCCCAAAAGTTCCTACGTGCTACACAGAACGTACAGGAGCGATCTACTGCTCCAGGAGGATCTACGGTTCGTTTATGTCACCTTCGGAGTCACTCTGTGAGCCGTCAGATCCATCTCTCGCAGCGTCACCAATCTCCACCGTTAGCTGAGCAAGACAAGGCCTCGGCTGGGCCCTGCCCAGCACATACTAAAAGCAACAGAACGTAGTACTGAGTCAATTGTTTGGTGTATTCAAGAGAAATCGAACGTACCATCTGCGTCCGAGTCTCGACGCCCCGCTTGCTTCAAAGCCGGAGACTGCGAGGCCCAAACCGTGACGCAATCACCGCCTAACACGTCGTATTGCAGCGAAGTACGCTTCGTGCCAGTGTGTACACGAGCCCTATTGCGCAGCATGTAGAGGTCAGGACATGAAATTGAGACGTGAAGACAACACTTACCACGGGCTGGTTGTGGGCATCGACCTAACCGGCATCCTCCAAACACCTCCTTCGTGTTATTGATTGGTGCGTCCGCTGTCACCATTGGCGTGTTCACTGCCAACAACTCGCTCATGGAGTTATTGCATTGACCTGCTAGGTTAGAAGTGAGGCTTACCGTTGATGTAGAGCCGGAATGCGACTGGGATGGGAGTATTACAACCCATACCTAGCGCGTCGCGATGAGCCTCGGCACGCTTGAGACTGGTGAACGTCACCAAGGGAGCGCGATCCACGACGTGAGGTTAGGCAGCGACGTCTTCGCCGTCACTGGCCTGACACGGTCAGCGGCGACCACGAGGGTGCCAGTGGTTCATGTCCGCATGGCGATAGCACATGCGGACATGCCAGCCTGGACGTGTCCGCACAGGGATCGGAGGACCGGCACCATCTGGCGGGGTTATGGCCGCATCCGTCTAGGACATAGGCCCACCTTTTGGGTCGGTTCATGTCCGCATGTGGATAGGACATACAAGCGCCTTGTCCCGGGTCCTGGTATGACACGCCGGCAGCTTCTATATCCCTGTCTCGAAGAAGACAGTTTACTGCCACTGAATTAAACGACTCCAGCGGGCTCGGGTCGATTGTTGTACGCATGCAGCCCCCTCAGTGGTTGTTGCGCGTTGACGAAGTGACCATGCATATACCCTTCCGTACGCCTTGGTGCAATTGAGGTTTTTCTGTAGGTGCAGTGTTGCTGCCGGAACCAGATCATACGTACCGGCATCACGATGTTGACTCGCATTCAAAGAATTATACCTTCCCTCCCATGTCAACTGCGAGCTTCGGGACGTTGCCGACTTGACACTTGGTGATATTTATGTCCGTTGAACACCACTGAACCGGACTCGGTGGCATCCGTCCCCGCGTAGTCAACGTGCATCCTCATCCTGGTTGTGCTTCTGTGGACAGATCTCCCCCGCCTTTAATTACGTGCGGTTGTGCGTCCGGGTCCACTAGATATCTCTCAGCCTGCTCCGTCCTCTTGCACTCTCGGCCTACCTCATCTTCTCGATCTCCCCGCCCGTTTCTCCCTCTCTATACTAGACTGATCACGGTTCAACACCGTCATGGACTCATCAGAGGTACGCACCACCATTATTCACTAGTACAGCAGGGTCATTGATTGTACGCGCGGACTGGTTAGGAACCATCGGGGCGTTCGTCTATCCTACCAAACCGAGGTATCGGAAAGAACAATCCGACACCCGTCCCCAATGATCATGTGCCGTCATCACCAAACATCGCCGTCGGTGCAGCGAGCTCTAGCAAAGGCGATGGCTCCGTACCATGTGTGAGTCGATGCGATATTGAAGGGGCGTACAGGATCATTGAGTACATGTATACGCAGGTATTCAACCCGGTCGGCTCGGGCACTGCGGGGCCCTCCTCGTCGCCTTCTGACACCACGCCGGCAGCCCTAAATGAGGTGAGCGTGATCAGTGATTATCCAACTGCATGTCAAGGTCTGAAATACATCAGAGAGGTTCAAAGAAGCGGTCGGATACCAGCGGAGCAAAGCATTCACCTGAGTCGGCAGATCACTCGGCGAAGGACGTGACAACGCCTCCGGAAACTTTGGAGACTATTCTGACCAATGTATTCGAGAAGTACATGAAACCCAGGGACCCGCAAAAGGAAGAAGACGCGTGGCCGGTCATAGCGCAAAAAGTTTGGTCGTACGAGAAGGACCGTTTAGACCGATGGCGGAACGAAATCAACACGCTTCTCGTCTTTGTAAGTCGTGCTAATGCTTTCTTCAGTGTGACACTTGTGCTGATGCATGATGTAGGCGGGCCTGTTCTCCGCCGTCCTCACTGGCTTCGTTGGCCCGTACTACGCCGTTCTGCTGCCACCGCCTGACTTCAACACGATCATCCTCGAGCGCATCTCGGCGCAACTCGGGAATATGTCTAGCAACCCCGCCATCGTACCTGGCAGCTCTTCGCCATCCTTCCCCCCTGGACCCCCTGCACCCCGATGGATTGCTACCCTGTGGTTCGCTTCTCTGGTCTTCAGCCTCGGCGCGGCGTCAGTCGCTCTCGCCGTCAACCAATGGCTGAACTTCCATGCTGAGCAATGGGGACTGCTGACCATACAGCAGAAGGTTAGGACCTGGCAACTCCGTCGGGATTCCCTTAACAAGTGGAACGTGGAGTTCATCGTCAGCCTCCTCCCCTGCCTGTTGCAGGTTGCGCTCATCTTATTCCTCGTTGGAATGGTGGGCTACCTATGGGTGCTCGGACCCGACATCTCCGTCCTGAGCACGGTCGTCGTTGGTGTCTTGCTTCTTTTTCTGGCATCCACGTCTGTGTTGCCTGCATTGGTTCCCTATAGTCCCTACAAGTCACCCCAAGCATGGTGGATATGCCAGGCCTGCAGAGGGATGACATGGGGGGTTTGCTCGTTCCTCCTTCAGGTACATCACGCAATCATCTTCCTCTGCAAAATAAGGCCTCCGGACTTTTGGTCATCTCCGCGTGCGGTCCATATATACAAGTGGACGGAGAAGGTCCGTGTACCCCTCGCTCAGTGTCGAAACCTCGCACGTACCCTGATGAAGAAGAGGGACTGGCTCGCACACGAACAGGCGTGCCTGGATGGCAGCGAAGAAAAGGCACTGTTTTCGGACATTTATACCATCGCACAGGGCTTAGACGTCCTTCGCGCGATGGCAACCTGCGCGCGAGCGATGCCTATCGCTCAAGCAGTCAAAAATGTGACCGACATTGGCCAACTCGTTGCCGCCGCCTTGTCGAAACGACAGCATTCACGTTCCTCTCGGTCGACACCTGGCGATCACTTGCCATCCGATGATTTGGGCAGCACCGCTACTGCATTGATAGGTCGCATGGTGGCGGAGACATTCACTCGAGCACAGACAGAACGTGAAGACGACCTCAACTTGGACCCCATCCGTCGTGTATACATCGGGATTACCGTCGCCATGCCTGTCGCCGACGGGATCGACGCGTGCATGTTGCTGTTTCGGTGTTTGAACAGGCCGGACGGCGCAGAGCCCGAGACTGCTGTCTCGGGTGGCGAGTCGGGCCTCCGGCAGCGGCGCGGTGGACGGATAACCTGCGCAGTTGAGGATGTGACGGCAATGGGCGAAGCCTTATTCGGACTCTTGTCAAATCAGCAATATTCACAGTCAAGAACATCCGAGCCCTCTTCTTCGAAATCTGGTCATTCTTTGCAACGTGACGACTCGGTCGGCACCGCTATCGCGAGAATAGGTCGCATGGTGCTGGACACATTCCTTCGAGCACAGACAGAACTCGACGACGACACCCACGCTCTCAATTCGGACTACCATCGCATGTTGGCCGGAGTGATCCGCGCTATGCCTCTCGCCGATGGGCATAGGGCCTGCATGTCTTTGTTTCGGCATCTACTTGATGGTCGACTGTCCACGAACTCACGAAGAGCCACCTTGGATGTTATACAGAATGTCTACGTGACGATCGATTTCCTCGCAGAGGACGAAGAATATGATCATCGAGGAGAAATGCAAACAATCAGAAGATTTGAGTGTGCTCCACATGCCGAGCTGTATCGTCTACACGACGTTCGAGGTAAGTCAACCATCCGCCTGAGTCACTACTGGTGCAAGCTCAAGTTTGGCATAGACTGGGAGTGCGTGCAGACTGCACTCACGACGGTATACGCACGCCGTGACCCTGTATCCACCATTCAGATCACGACAACCATTCTGGCCATATGCCTGTTGTCCGTCGAAAACGAGCACACATTGCCAGCCGAGCCGTCGAGGGGAGCATACCTGGCCGACATGGTCCACCAGTTCGACGAGCACTTGGCTACCCTCCGCCGCAAGGAGCTGAGAGATACTGTACAGGACCTTCCTGCTGCGGCGATATACAGACTTGATTGGGTGTTGAAACACATGACCGGCCTCTGGGACATCGACAACCCCTTGATTACGACCGAGATTGGCTGGAACGTCATGATGTCCACAAATCGCATCGCGCGGCGACTCCAATGGCTGCTCGAATACGATCTATGGACGCCGCGAGGGACAGTCCAAGGGTTCAATATTCCCTTGCAAGGCTACGCGGTTTGGGCACGATGGTACCTAGAAAGCGCCGGGATAGACGCGACAGGCTTGTCAGTCATCTTCGACGCTCAGAATGTCAGGATACACTGACACTTGCAACAGGAACTTGGATGGATCGCTCCAATGCGCTCCAGGTGAGCCCCAGAGCGAAGACGATCGAAGCGTCGACTCCCGGGAGGCGGCTAGCCCAGAGCCTACGGAAGCTGGCGACGAGCGGGCCCGGGACCCACCGGCGGAGCCGCGAACGGACAGTCCGAAGCGATCTATTACCCAGAACCTGTAAGCAGTGAATGTCGCACTGTACTTGATCGCTGCTGACGAGCTTGCTCTAGCGTTGACGCAGTACATAGACTCACATATCGACGTCGGGCTCCTGACGTCGAGATGCAAGCCGTAGGAGCTGGCTCGAACGCAGCGCCATATGTGTCCAGTGCGACGGACACCGCACCGCCAGCCGTCAGTGGGGCCACGCCGGCGACCGTTACGACGCGTACGCTTGACGAATCCGAGTCGCCGCAAGGGTCGGATGCAGCCCAAACCGAGTCGGTACATCTACTCGAGGACACCGAACCGCACGCACACGACTCCGATGCCGCACGCGCGATAGCAGAGGCGGGCACGTCTGTGGACGAAGGTTGCCGGGACGAACTCGCAGGTGCGATTGAGCGCACAGATGAACACCAAGGCAGCGATGCGCATTCGAGTCTGGAGGGATTAGCTGCACTAGGCGACGTACCTACGCAGCCGTCCGCATCGCACGAGGAGCTGGGCGGGCAGAACCAGAACAACGGCAGATTTGGAGGACGGAGGATGGTGGATATTAACGTGTACGTCGTGAGCTGCTGAATAGACCATTGTCGCCGAATGCTGACGTTCACCGCAGGCGGCCAGTGTAGGACGATCTTGGACGACCCTTGACCGACGGTAGACGAATATCGCGGCGCACGAACGACTTCTTGGATTGATATTTCGTAGTCTTGTTGTGCGCGTTACATCTGCTCGTGACGACGTTTGTGAGTTATGGTCTTGGAGATCTTGATACAGACGGGCTCACTAAGTGTGTACTTATGTTCACCGACCGGATTGCCTGGAGCTTCCACGAACGCAGTATTGCTGTCCATTGTCGAGTCTGTATATTGTTGTGTATTAGTTCGCTCGGTACGAAACTGCCTCCCATACGTCTGCTTCGAATTGTTGTTATGATGATCGCACCTAAAGCTAGCACATGATCGCACCTAAAGCTAGCACATGATGTTCGACCGAGCAGATTGCGACAAGCGGGAGAAGACATGAATTGAAGCTTGAAGCCATATGTCTAGGTCCGAGCATACTTCGCGAATTGCGAAGACCGCTACACTGTTACAATCTGTGGCGCTGCGTTCACTAGACAGACCCCGCACAGGCTTGTACGCTACCCTTGAGATAGCAATGCTCGTACCTCGCGCCAGGCCGACGGGCATGCTTGTGCCACCGCTGCACCAGCAGCTGCGTACACAATATAAGCTGCCAGTCAGGACTATACGACCTTGATCGCATACAAAAATACCGCACTCACAGTATTGTTCCTCCGTCATCGCCTTCTCCCGCTCTCATGGGCCTCCCATTCCTCGACTCGGAGCCCTCCCGTCTTCTCTGCCTGGACGCCTGGCGGAAGACGCCATCATCGACGCGGTACCACTTGACGCGACTATCGAGTGGGCAGCGGGTTGAGTCGAAGCCCGTGTTCTGGTCGCGGCGACCTGTTCCGTCGTGCAGCCCGGGCGATACGTGTGTAGCTCATGGCCCAGTGTTATTGACTGAAGGTACCGCGCGCGTTATTTTCTTCTCGATGCAGACCGCCTGGTATACGATCAAGATTTCCATTTGCATATGCGAGTCCTGCCAGGATGGATTCACCAGGGGTACAAGACGTTGGGGAACGCTACGTAGGAGCAGCACACGAAGCTGGGAGAGTCTGGGGACAAGTAGACAGAGACCTCAGACTGAAGGCGCAGGCCGTCGGCGATCGATAAAACGGAGCTGAGAGGTTAGGGTTCCTGTACCGAATGAGTGCGCTTGAGCCTGACGGCAGTGACGGGCGTAGCAGTACTTAGTGCGAACGGATGCGGCGCGGAGGGGAACGACGACGTCGAAGGCTTGGGCGACGCGTCGGCGAACGCGCCCATCACGTGCGGCGCGCGTCATCTTCCCCTCGTCCTCACGCACGACCACCTCCTCTTCCGCATACCATCCAATACTCTGCATTCGCATAGCTGAGCCGGATACGGATCACACCCCTCCACTAGTACCTTACGCGCGCTGCGGTTCAACAAGACCGCATTTCCAGACTCTGCCATGCCCCTCGCCCTGCTCTTTCCACTGGGGTCGATCCGCCGAGTGTCTAGCAAGCCATCCGTTCATGCATGGCCTCACGCTCCCGGTGAGATAGCCTTGGTACTGTACTGCGCTCGCTAACTCACATTCGCACGCAGCGAATGCTGACCCCAGGGCCAGGCGAGCGATGGCCTGCTGATTGACCGGTTTTCGCAGATCGACGCGCTCGACGTCCTATGTGGCTCTCTTAGCAGTGCCATCTGGGAGAGGTAAGCTTGGTTACCGGACGTGTCTCTGTGATACTGGAGACCTTGTCTTAGATCCAGAACAGTAGGCAGAGTCCTTCCAGACTCGGATGTCCCTGGAGGAAGCAACGGTCGACAGGGTTGTATTTTGGCTAAGGATCTGTGCCAGGCCTAGGTACGTATACTGATCATTGTGCCTTACCCAAATAACCAACGCGTCGATTTCCCTGATCTAGCAATGCTGCGCCCGCTCTGCTACAAGACCTCATTGAAATCATTGCGCGCCTGCCTCTACGGCGGGCCCTTCCTGCTCGCCCAGTGCTGCCTCGCATGCCGCGCGTGACGATAGGCAGCACCGCCGCTCTGCACGACTCCATGCGGGTGCTCATTTTCAAGCAGCACGAGCCGTCCTATAGCTGCGCGCTCGGCGAACTCGAACACGCGGGCGCACACCTTCGCCGTGCGCGTTTGCGAGTGCCGCCTCCCGCGCTAGAGCACCTCACGTTCGCGCTGCTCGACTAAGCGGCGCCCCCGAGGGCACCGCACCCTGCCTCCTTCAGCTACGCCACACGCCCAATGCCCGTTGCCCCGCCTGTCTCACCGTCGGTACCACTTCCATCACGCAGGCGTGCTCCGCCTCATCGCAGGCGTGCTCTCTCTAGTCTCGAATGGATGTGTCTTGACACGGTCACGGCTCAGTCGAAACTGCGGGACACGGAAGGAGCCTCCGCTACTCCAAGCAAGAACTTTGTGAGTTATCACTCATGGTCTCGCTCGGGCGCGACTATCGCCCACTAGTTCTTCTCGCGGCGCGGCCGCATCAGATCCTCCTAGACGGTTTGGTCGCATACATGCACCCCTTCGGGACACGACTCACCTCTTACTTGCGCACTTTCAATCCTTCCTCCGTGCATCCCTCGACCTCCGACACGTCCAGTCTCCGCAACGACCTCGATTGGGGAGTTGCGCCCAGCGAAGCTCCGTCTAGCCACACGGCGAACGCAGCCCAAGCGCTCCGTGGGGATGCGGTGTCGCTCTGGGACGTCTCCTCGGTATTCAGCACGGAGTGCTTCCCGCGCTTTTGGCAGGAGCGTCACGCTGTCGAGGAGATAAACATCCGTCTATCGATCTCGCATTCCCCGGTACTGCGTCACGCCTTTGTTGCAGCGCTGCGGCAATCGGAGGCCGCACCCAAGAGGCTCGCGATTCTCAAGACCTGTACGCTCGTGCACCAGAAGTATGCGTCCACTGTCCAAGCCATCTCTTCGTCGCATACTAACATGCCAACGCTGTAGGCTCCGCATGTCCGGCCTTGTGCCGTTCCTCCGCTCGCCTGCGCCATCGGGCTGCAGAAGCTATGTTAGTTGCATATTGTCTCCTCGCTGTTGAGTACGACGTCGATCTACAGTACTTTCCTCTTGCTGTTCTCGCCAATCGATGGCACGCCATTGCGTCGGTGCAGGATGCGCGTCGCGGTCTACTTGGATCACCAACGCATGTGGGTTCAATGTGCACGCCCACGCGGAGGAACCGAGCCCGGTCGCTGCCTTCCGCGCCGCGCTCTCCCCTGAGCCATTCGCTACGCCAACGCGAGGTGCGCAGCTCGCATGGGGAGCTGGGATTGTCATGAATGCGAACCGTGCAGTGCGTCAGGTTCCGGGCCACTCATCCCTGGATGTCTGACTACCCATCGAGGTAGTGCCACGCCTGGTACGGCCTTGAGCCGAGCGACCCGCGTGAGTCATACAATCCCCTCAAATATCGCGGCTGTGCACCAGAAGACTGGTGTGTATGCGCGGTACCGAAGTCAAGATGGGCAATACTAGAAGGCGGAAGATGCGGCGATATCTTCGTTGCATGAGGACTCGCTCAAGTGCTTGAGCCTGGAGGACGCGTTCATCACGTACGGATCGTGCGGCGCGTCGTCAGCGGTCCGACATCGCCCAATATCCTTTCGTTGCGTTCGAGCATATCCACCCGTGTTCGCATCCAATTGAACCTGGACTCATTATGTACAGGGCTCGTGCGGCTCCTGCAGTCTTGTGTCCCAATTGGGATGACGGCTGCATATACGTACGGCAATGAGTCGAAGGAAGGCGAAGGATGGACGATATATCCAAACTACGTCGTATTGCGGGATACCAGCAACACCGCAACCGAAGCGCATATATGCGGAACGAACACAAAAGAAGTGGAAGGGAGCACTGTTGGAGCGCGCTGGCGTACGGAGCAAGTGACAAAGCAGAGAGAATCAACGAAGGCTCACCAGTGACAATCGAAGACAACGGGAGCATCGCACCGAGCGGGTACACACGGCACTGCGTCGGTGGTAGCCTGTAACGCACGAGGTGAGCCGTGGAGTTCACTGGTACAGAGTGCAGCCATCTGAAGAGGCAGACACGTACCCATCAGTCGCAGTACGTCGCCTGTCTTTTCGCGCGGTTTAACGGTTCTTTCGACGGCGTCGGGGAGGGCTGCACCGCGCCGTCAGAAGGGGACCTCTGTCGGAAGGGGCGAACCCTGCGCGATCTGCAATCGGACGATTGGTATTAGAGGCTGCCCCGAGCTGCTAGAGCTGCTTTACAGAGGACGCGTTGTAGTGATGAGAGAAGGAGACGGTACGGCTTGGGTACGGCATTGAAGTCGGCGAGTGGATGAGACGCGTCCGTCACGTGTGAACCGCATGTCGCGTTGTCAGCGCGCTGATATCATCTCTCTGTGCCCCATCACTCCTCCGCGTCCTCTAGGATACACTTAACTTAGCTGTCCATGTAATCCAAATAACATCAGGGGATTCGAATACACGTCGCAGGACACCCTTGGCGCAGCAGTCTTCTATGTGCGCGGCCTGAGGAATCACTGCCTTAGCACAAGTGATTTATGCATTGTCGAGAGACACACGGTGCGGAACTACTGGCCTTCTATCTCAAACCCAGTGCTCATACAACAGCCTTCGACCACTTTGACAGGTCTCCCATTTGATAAAGGGCGCTCCTGTGCCGTCCGCCCTCTCTGCACTGTTTTCTGTGCGTGGCAGCGTACTAGTAGTACGTGAGTATGTCTCATGATTATGAGGTACGTGAACGTCTCCATGCCTACAGGACGTACTCACAATGTGCCCTGGAGGGATGAGTTACGACGCTATGCGTATCGTTTCCAAGCGCAACATATGGCGTAGCGTGTGGGTAATCGCGAACCTAAATGCACAGCTGCTTCTCAGCTGCCCTTGAACATGAGGCGGTAATCCCCTAATACAATGGCGCCGTTCGGCGTGTACCGACATCGCATGGACATGCCTTGCGGTTAAAACAGTGCCCTCTTCTCGACCAAGTCAACCTGACCCGTCGCGTTCTCGAGTCGCTACCGCCACCCCAGAATAACATCCATCCCCGTCTTGCATCCGAGTCCGTCGCGGACAATGCACCAATCGTCGATCCTGTCATTGTGACCGCATCTGGATCGTGTACATTCAGTCCTGATTCCTCTCCGAACGGAAAGCGCGAGCTACCTAGGTAAGCTGTGTGCGGCATAAAGAGTATGTGATCAAGTCTAACGTGGGCATACCCGGGACAGTGACTACACAACGTGCAAGCGGTTCGCCTTCAATCTCACGACAAGCAACGCTCTGAAGCAGCAGACCCCAATCAAGCAATAGTGCAAGTGGTGCGTTTGGTATACTCATTCTTCCAATGTGATGTGACCGTATTGACGGAGTCGCTATGTAGTTGGATCACAGCGACTACGATGAACGAGTCGGTGCACAAGACCAAACGAACAGAGGATCAGATTGCTGATCAAGGCATCATCCCTGACAAGCTGACGGGCGAGGAGTCCGGTGAAGAGGAGCCCGGGGAAGAGGAGACGGACTCAGGCTCGGAATCAGAGCAGCATGAGATTAAGATTCCTTTCAGACAACCCATATACTCAAGGTGCGTGACTCACGGCTCCTCCCCCCGGAGGATTGGGGTGAATATGTGATTTACGGCTTTGTGCTTCCTCAGCGATACGCGTCCGCGATTCCCGCAAGAGCTGATTGAGCGTTTCTGCGAACTTCTCTGGGATGAACCGGTCCAGCTAGCGGTCAGCTGCATGCGCATTTGCCCTGCTTGGTATCATGCTGCACGGCGAATTCTACAAGGAGATACAATCTTTTGGCGGACCCGATACGACCTGCAAGACTACGCACACACACTCATATCACATCATAATGCGCCATATCGCAAACGATTCCAGCAATTGTGGATCTACGACCATGCCAGCAAGCCGTTCGCGCACGTTTGGCCTATGTTCATTCCTGGATCGATGCTACCGGAGCTGTGGTCCGTGCATCTTGTTAGCCTTGACTGGTCAACCAAGATACCGCACGATAGCTTCTTCATCCACCTGTCTTCTTACACCAGTGTCTTGCACCTACAGATTTACCGCTGCAGGTTTCGCAGTTTGCCGGATCTTCGCAGGGTGATCAATGCCCTTCCCAGCCTTACGTGGCTGTATTTTCGCAACGTAACACTACAGCACCCCCTCAGACCGGGATCGGTCCCCGACCACATCGCTCTCCGAGCCCGTTCACATAAGCTCGAGCACATTGATCTTCGCGGTTCCGACCCCAGGCCAGAGTATTCTGACGTGTCCTTGGACTACCAAGGAACAACGGCCCTCGATTATCAATCTCTGCTGCGTATGGTAGTCGCGAACTCATCCACTGTTACTCGCCTCGCCGTTGACCTGCGATTCTTTACTTCGACCTCAGCTCTTCAGCAATGCCTGGCGCATTTTCGCCGTCTGACCTCATTCGAAGCACAGTTCCAATTTGCCTCGAGCCCTATGATCACACTCGAGGAGACCATTCCTGCGCGTACGGAGAACACATATATACACTCATGGGAAAGCTTTACCCTTACGGACGTCCCCGATCAATCCGCTCTGCAGCTTCTGCAGCTGCTTGTTACCCCTGAATCGTGCAGCAAACTGCAGGAGTTCATAATCTCTCTGGCAGGCCGGCCATCTGCCACACTTCTATCATGTACTAGCCGTGTGCTCTATACATCCGGACATCGGCTCAGGAGTCTCAGGTGGATGTGTTCGGTGGACCCAGGTCAGCTTTCTGTGTGTAGTGTGCACATGTGTCTGACTGCCAACTGCTTCCCATTGTAGACCTCGAGGTCATTCCGTCCCTCGCAGGGAATACGACTCTGGGAGTGTTGCGCATAAGCCTTCGGAACATTGCTCCATTGCCACAGAAGATACACAGTGCTCTCACCGCCGTGCTATCAGACATCGTCAGCGTGGATCTGCAGCACGTGTTGATTCATTTCACTCTAGCTCACCTCGAGTCTGAGGTGCTTCCACAGAATCATGGACGGACGCCCGTGGTACCAGATCCTGCCGAGTCCATCTCTGCTTTTCACACCATTCTCTCGCGCGAGATATTCAATGGGCTTCCGCGGCACCCGCACCCTAGTAACTTCATGTGCGTAGAGGTTTATTTCTACGTCGGGAACATACAGGACAATCCCGCCGTGGTAGCCACGATCAAAGCGTACATAATCAATCTCTTTACGCCGTGGTTGGATCGCGATATAGTGCACTTGGAGTTCATCTCAGCTGACAGTTCTGAGTATATTACCTGTGTTCCCGCGGCTCTGCTCAGTGGTAAGTGGCCCAATGTCATACCTCGCAACGGCACACTCACACACTGGCCATTTGCATGTTCCCGAAGAGGACACGTCGAGTGACTCCAAAGTCGAGGATGTACAAGAAAACGAACCCGTAGGAACGGAACAGTAGAACGAGGCTCACAAGGAAATGGGAGAGATGGACACTGGCGTGAACAAGCCGGGCGGACGCAGTTGGTCGCGCAGGACAGCGGCACGATGTTGTATGATGCACGGTCAGGTATTCATGGACGGACATTGTATTTATAATGGCAGGTATCATGACGACAATCTCGTTCAAAAGCATAGTCTTGAGGGAATGAGCTCACCTACGTGTCCCTTCCGTGCCGTTCGCGCCGTTGCATATCCAGATGAAAGTCACTGAATCGCATGAATTCGACAAAGGAAAACCCGGTAGGCCGCTGAGTAGCTGCCAACCGGACTCGTCGGGCTCCCCTGCGCCATGTCTCGACGAGTAGCATCTACTACGAAAATGCCGGCTGAGTGTTGACGCGACCACAACGAGGTACTAGTGGATGAGAAGAGACGCACCGATCACGACAATTTTGTCCATCAGCCTCTCGACCGAGCCATCGTCGAACTCCCGGAAAATCGAAAGCGAGTAGGTGCAAGAGGTCGTCAATCAACGATAGACGACTAACGGGGTGTTGCAGCAGCGCGGCAACCTCAGGACAACAGTTGCAGAGCTCACCTGCGGGAAAGGGAAGCCTGCAAGTGCGACTCAAGACGGAGGCACCTCCGAGCGTCAAGGGAAGGATAGTGTTAGGGCGAAGGTACGGCCGCGTGTCTCTGCAGCAGTCGTCTTCGCCTGTTCAGGATATGCACTACAGCGACGACGCATACCTCTCGGCGGGCCTCGGACCTCCCTGTGCGCCGTCTCACTAGACGGGCGGAGAAGGCGGGGAACGGCTTCTGCGTGGCATGATACGCAGGTAATCATCGTCGTAGAGACGATCTGGACAGGCCAGGAGACCTCAGCACGGTGTCGATGGGCAAAGATATGGGCCTAGTCGAAGATGGCAGCACATTTTGGGACAGGTTCAAATGGTCATCTGAAGAGGACCTGCGCGTGACGGTAGTGTTGCCTGCGCAAGCAATTCAGCGAGCTGAGACACGCGGGGGTAGTGTTGCCTGCGCAAGCAATTCAGCGAGCTGAGATACGCGGGCAGGGCCACGGGCACTCACGTTCGTAAGTGGTTTGAGCGATATGTGTACAAGGGCCATGGTCTATGTTGCGAGTGAAGTTGTGGGGCGTTGACAGTCGACATAAATGTCGCGGATATCTGCATATACACGAGACGAGCAGGATATTCAGTGAGCAATCGCGGAGCATGGCGTAAGAGGCGGGGAAGGTCAGCCAAGCCCAAGTGTAGAGGCTCACCTCGTGGTCGACGGGGCCAAGTCCTGGATATCCCAGGTCTCAAGTGGTACCGCCAGCGGACGGGCATGCAGGGTCGGTCTATCGTGCGGCGCACTGTGAAAGCAATGACCGCAGGTAACCTTGCCTGTAAATCGGGCGGCGCATCTATTCGGGAGGCCGATGTCGTCTAGAATTCTCTATGTATGTGTACATGTCGCCTCACAGGTACCATAGAATCGCTGTGTGGGTAGGAGGACAGAACTGAACCAAACAGTCGGACGGACAGTCGGCCGTCGGCGATCGGGAGGAGCGGGACGGAGAGGGTAGGGTTCCTGTGCCGAGGGAAGTTGCTTGAGCCTGACGACAGGGACGATGCGCAGCAGTGAGTGAGCGCCGATGCGGCGCTGAGGAGAGCGACGAGAGGGAGGACACGGCCTTGGGCGACCCATCCGAATCGGAGTGAGCACGCCCGTCACGTGCAGCGCGCGTCGTCCGAGTCGTCTTCTGAGTTCTCGTCGTTCTTGCGCACCGACCGCCTCTTCGAGTGTGCTTTGCTGCATGCGCACTATCCGTCCTCTGCACACAGGAAGCCGGACGGAATCTACTTCATCGTAGTACTTCGCGAGTTCGCTTTCCTAGTTCGATGGACTCCGTACTCCCCCGTCTCGCTCTTCCCATGTGGATCTATCCGCCGGGTGTCTAGCAGAGTGTATGCGACGCCCCTGGTGAGACATCCTGACAAAGTACCAAGCTCTGCAAAAGCTGACTTTCACGCGCAGCGAGTTTTCACCCAAGGGCCAGAAGAGCGACAGCCTCAAACCTCACCGCGGCTTCAGTTCGCAGGTCGGCTCGCTAGCTGTATTGGCCGATCTACATGAGAACTGTGCATTGAGTCACGAGGGTCGTCTCACATATCGTTCAAGACCGAGCCTGCAGGATGCCGAAGGAATGGACGGGTAACAGGATCACATTGTAGTCACCCATCTGTTCCAGGTGCGTTCAATCCACATCGCTCTGCTCTTCCTCCACAGCTAACGCGTGTCGAGGACCTAGATCTAGTGACGCGTACCCGACCTGCCACGGAGATCGCTCAGCTGCTCACAAAATGTCCCCGGTCGCCTGGTGCTCACTCGTATGCCCGCGGGACCTCGCCCGGCGTGCAACGACAGGCGGCCCTCCAGCTCTGTAAACGACTTCGTGCGCAGCTCATGTCCGGCAGTCCGACAATTGTGCACTCGGCGCGCTCGAGGTCTTCGAGCGGGCAGGCACGCTGTACTGCGTACGTGCGTACGTTCTCCGTGCGTACCCGGCAGTCGCCTCCGGGCGCTGGATCACCTCGCGTTGGCACACTTAGGCTGGGCAGCATCCCCGAGGGAACCCCTCCCCGTTCGTCGGCTACCTTATATCTTCAAGTCCGTCACCCGCTTGTTCCTCTATGGGTATCGCCTACGTGGCGCGGAGACCTCCGGCCATCGTGATTGCTTTGCCCGGTCTGCAGTTGCTCTGTTTCTACACCATCACTTCCCAGTCAGCGCAGCGGGATCTGGACGATGTACACAGGAGCTCCCGCGACTCCGAACCAGAGGCTATCAACATTATATGGCTCTCGGGCCCTGCCTACCACGACTATCACTCGTCAGCTCGTCTCGCTGAGCACCTGCGCCGGGGCCTTCTCAACGTCTTGGTCGCGTATACGCGTTTAAGCACGCTCGTCCTCGGTGCGGTTCAGCTCCATTCGTTTGCGCCCCTCCAGTCGTTCCTCTGCGCATTCCCGAATCTCAGACGCGTCAATGATCTTAACTGGGCAGTACACCTGCTGGAACCCCGTCTCGTCGCTTGGGAAATGCCATGAAGGTGGCCAGCGCTGTGTCACTCCCGCACGTACTATCCTCAGCATTCGTTACGGATTGCCTCGATCATCTTTGGCAGGACTGTTGCGCCGTCGAGAGACTCGACATACATGATTAGGCACGGCCCTTGAGGGCTATTTACAGCACGAGCCGCAGGAGAGTAGACCGTCGGTGAGCTCATAGGAACCAGGAGTGAGTGTTCTGACACTGAGGACACCTTGAACTCTGGCCTTTATGCGCTTACGCTTCCTCACGTTCCTGTAGCCGCCCTCCAATGAGAGACAACCTCACTGCGAGTACTCAGAACGTGGACTTGCTCTTGTGTGTCGTAGTGGGTCGTGAGTTCACCATCATTGTTGGCAGAGTACACTTGATGGGGAGCCAGCACGATAGAGCGTCCAGTCTTTGTCGATTCCATGTTGAATATCCCACCAGTTGCGCGGGTGTGCACGATCTGAAGTTTAGCAAGTCAAAGCAACACAGCAGAGCCTCCTGCTCATAAACAACTTGCGGGGCCAGGTACGACGCGTCCATCACGTGGACACCGCGTAGCGCGTCCTACCGTGTCGTTCGCTCGTACCGAATCCCGATCGTGCCTTCGTTACTTTCGGTGGCCCTTTGGATCACCTACTATTACCCGCCTCTCCGTGCTTCGCGAGACATCACCGCATTCAATGGGCAAATCTTGCTTCCCTGATCTTACTCGACGTCGCGCTTTCTCCCCGCGACCCGGAAAGCAGGACAGGATTGAAGCTGCCGCTCGCACAGGTCGTTTGCCACTGCCCCAGTCCCATCCCGGTGGTCCATTTTGGGTCGGGCCACCCCGAGAGCTGCGACCCGCACTTGCCGCAGCTTCATGCTCACTCTAACCAAAGAGAGCTCTGTCACATCGCACGGCGACGATCTCATGTTTCTCCAGCGATACACTCTCGAATCAGCATGAATTCGAGCGTAGTATCCCGCTTGTGGTGCATCAGACTGATCTGGTCTAGGTCGGCCACATGCGCTTCGAGACTCAGTCGCAATACACTTGATTCGGACTCACAATGGCCTCTCAAACGCGTCCGAGACGCGACGGGCGGTCCGTCTATCATGTGCGTCCTGTGCGAAGAGATATCGACGGCGATCCACTGATCGCTGTACATCTGATAGATGTAGAACTTTGCATGACGATGACGGTCCTCTGAGGAACTGACGCCACTAGCCTTTGCTGAGTACGTCTCCCTCTATCCGGTGCAATGCTGTTTTACTGAGTCAACCAGCTGCGGAATGGACGAGATCGATTTTTCAACAGAGGCCGCGGACGCACCTCCGGAAGCCATCGCGCATGTATCTGGAACGGAAGTGTTGGACATCACGCATTCCGACCTACAGCAACGCGAACGGTCTGGAATTGAGCTGCCCGCGGGGACGCCTCCCGTTATGATTGTGTTCAGCCCACCCATGTAGGTATGAACACGGGCAACTTGGATCGCGAGGCCTACGCTCACTTGCACCTCCACCGCAGCGACGCCCTTGCGCGGCTCCTGCACGGACTGATCAAACACATCTGTGATTTACTCTGGGATCATCCGTTGGCGCTCCCCAACTTCATGCACATCCATTGCGCTTGGTACTACCCGTGCTCGGCAGGCCGTTCTCGCCAAGATTGCAATCTCGCGACGCCCTGCGAAGCTATCTGTACATGTGCCATGTACCTTTCCGTCCGGCACTTCACGCTGCGCTTGTCATCATTCTCGGCATTGTGCCTCCTGAGGTATCTGCGTCATCTTTCTCAGCTCCGTTCCTTGTCTGTAGGCGGTGCATTTCGAGCGGGCCTGGGCTCTGCTGGGTCGGAATATGCTACACCTCTGGACACGGACTACGTACTGGTCCGCCCGCTCTCAGAGCTCACGCTCCACGATGTGGTAGAACGGTCTGCTTCGCCGCTTTTACAGTTGCTGGTGACCCCACATGCATGATACAAATTGAAGGAGCTCGATCTGGATTTGGAGACCAATCGCCCCGCACCACTTCTCCGGTGTATTATCCGTCTTTTTCACTTGTGCGGACCTAGGTTGAAGAAGCTTCACGGGCTCTGCACTGTTGACGAAGGTAGCACCCTTCTCCGACTGAATCGATCTTCGGATGCTCACCAAGTATGTTACAGACTCTGGGATGATGGTTTCAAAGTTAACGGCGAACACATCTCTTCGACATCTTCACGTCTCGTTACATGGGATCACATCACCGACGCCGCAGACGGTTCAAGCGATATTCAGTAGATTGTTGCCCAACATGACGAGCATGGAGCTGACGACCCTCGGCCCCGCGACACTTCGAGGCACAGACGAAGAACCATACGACGAAGCGGACGCTCACGATTTTATCTCCGTCTTTCACTCCATTATCTGTTGCCGAATCTTTGACAGCGTCCCGCGAGTCGGTGACTTGGGTACGCAGGGCGTATTCATTGGCAAGAAGTGCAATCGAAGTGCATATAGTGTCGCTCTTTGCGCCGTGGCTAGACCACGGGGTCTTGCAAGTCCACTTCTACCCAGATCTAGGCTGCGAAGACTTCCGCTTGTATCCTCACCGTGGTACGCATGACATGTAAGTATGCACAGATAATTACAATAAACTTTGAAGCAACATTCTGTAATGACATATGCATAAAGTATTATTCCCGAGCTACTGAACGAAAGTTGAGCAAGCCAGAAGGTATGACAATATGCACAAGAGCTCAGCGAGACGCGAAGATCGATATGGCTGAGCCACAACGCCCGATGCGCCCGGCCTCGGACTACTTAACGCTACGCGGGCAACCCGTAGATGAGGAGCCTGCGTCAGGAGAAGCCAGACAGAAACGTGTACGGCCGGCGAAGCAGAGCGATATACATATGCTAACAACTGACATCGATGATATGCAACGCGGATTGTCTTCCAATCATCGAGTGAATCTGGTATACCCCCAGTACTCATTCTTGACGTTCAACCGTGAAGCTCTGTAATGAGTTAGGATCAGTCATATCAGACTTTGTTTCATCTGTGGAGGCACATACCTATGAGTCGTCCTAACATTTCATCATAATGCGAAATAAATCTGCTGTGTACCGCGTTCATTGGCGGTTTGGCCGCATCTAACGCACTCCTCGCAGCTATGCACACTTCTCGATACTCCACGTCGGCGAGTGTAGGGGTATCTGGGGCGTGTAGTATCATGTCATATGCGGTTGCTGCCGCGATCATCGCCAAATGCATACGGATCAGGGGTAGCCGGATCATTCCATGGCCATGCATGCGCAGCTCAATGAGGCAGCAGGAGATCAACTCGGATTTGACTCGTCTTGACTGCTCCAGTTCCAGTGGGTGCGGGATGCTGCCGGCAGCAATAAACCGGACGGCTGAGCTACCGACTCTATGATGGATGTCGTGGAGCACCCACGTCCCCTCCCGGGCCTGCCTCGAGAGCTCGACAGAGCAGCGCACCAGACAGATGACAGCTATCGGAATTCTTCAGTTAGGAACATAAACAACATTCGATTGAGACTCACTGTCCAACGAGGGTGTGAATACTGCACGAGAAATAGAGACGTGCTCAATGTAGACCACGACGTCCGGACGCTCCTTGATCACGCGGAGAAATAGCTCTGGACCAGTAGAAAATGCCACATCGCATAAGCTTTGCAGGCGGCCGTACATCTCGGGCCTCCAAGTGTGCAAGCGCTTGTCTCCGACATCGCAAACGATAATCTGGAGCAGCATCTCTACAATCGCTGACACCATCGCGGCCCTATAGACCTCGGTGTGTGAGTCGGTTTGGGCTCCTAGGTATGTGGATAGCTCGGCGAACAGTATATCCCATATCAACTGGTCGCGTTCACCTATGCATATGTTAGCATTGGAATGTAATGGTTGACCGAAGGCACGCACGAGTTCTTTCACGATCCTGGAGCCACTCAAGGAAGGGAGTGATCGCGGCGCGCGTCGCGGAATCAAGAGGTGTAGAGACTATGCTTGTACTCGAGTAGATGACAGACATCAGATTCGAAATTGTTGCACTTGACACGACACTCGACCCGTGCTCCAAGCGCCCCCTCGAGACCATGCTACTCCCGTTGAGAGGAGGAAATGAGTTAGAGGTGATGCTGGGCTCCGGAGTCACGGTGGCATGCTCGCGCGCTGTTAGGATTGTCTTCAGCAAGCTGACTGCAACTCGGCCAATGGAATCTCCACTGGCCGAATCCGCAATGATCTCGCATGTCGCCAGAGTAGCTCGAGCTTCAGAAGGCCCGTTGTGCTTGCGAACACGGATGACGTTGGGTCTGCTGTCTAAGAAGGCCTCAAAAAGTCCCTGTTCCTGACGTGCGTTAGCTATGGCTGCTTCGGAGGATCCTGCGGGGGCAAGGTCTCCACTGAGGAGTGCCTGCCACATCTGCTCCCTGTCCGTCCAGCTCCGCGGACGACGCGGCTGCGATCGAATAACCGTCCTTCGAGTACTCAGAAATTGTCGCAACCTGAGCACCGCTTGGCTACTCTTTGTGGTACATCTGTCTAGCCAAGAGAGGACTTGCTGTGTCATGCTGGCCCAGAATGCCCGCCAATCGTGCGACCGATTGCCGCCACGTCTCCACGAGCCGGGCAATATACCATTCGAAGTCCCTGCCAATGGACGGCTGTTGGCTGCACCATCGCTCGACTGCTCGAAGGCGCGCGACACCATAGTACAGAGCCACCACGACACTGGTGATTTGAACGGACAGTCGATCTCCACGAGCGGTATGAGCGCGGTTGCCGCTGTAAATGCCAGCAGCACAGATATGAGGACCATCATCAGGTAGGCAATCGCTCCGTTGAGCGTCCACAGAAAGAGGACAAGCCCGACGAGAAAGAGTGCGAGGGCCACCTGCAGCAGCAACGGGAGTAGGCCGATGATCTCCGGTACGTGCCACCGCGCCAGACCGCGTGAGCGCAGACGCCAGATATGCAGGCGGAGGCGAGCGTCGCCGATATCCGACTCTGAGGGGATGTAATGCGCCAGCCATTGCTTCACGCTGATACCCAGCGATGCGGATGTGATGCTGAAAACGAGCGCGACGAACCATAGTGCGTTTATGGCGATGGCTAACGCCGTTACGGGAGTGGGTGGTGGTGCGGGATAGGAGACGGTGAGGTTGGCGCTGTCGGGGGTCGAGATGATGACAATCTGCGGCTGCGCACCGCCGCTGGCTTGTAGAGTCGGGTAGTACTGGACGACAAAAGCCGTCAGTATTGCCGAGAAGAGACCCGCCTATGGAGTGTATATAGACGTCAGCATGAATGAGATTGGACTGATCTGCAAAAGGATACGAATGGGGCTACGTACAAAAACCAATAAGGTGTCAATTTCATCGTTCCATGTCTTCACGCGATCTGCTTCATCACTCCACACGTCTTTAGCGCACTGGGCCCATGCTCGATCCGTACTGATATTCTGTTTCGGCGTGTTCTGTGCTGAAGTATCCGAGTCACTTGGTCTAGCCATTCTTCCTACCGCGCTCCAAACCTGTCGGTGATGACTGAACCTTTCTAGTATCCGGTGCAATATCTGTTGTCATTGAGCGTAACGCACCACAGTGGAATCACAAGGGAGGGCGAGCTTACTACAGCGACGCTCCAGCGCCTCACTGAGCCTAATCAGTGAATAGCTAAGTTCAGTCTCCCTTAAGATACGCAAGCGAACCAGAACGGGAACTCACCGGACTGAGGTACTAGCAGCAGCTCAGATGTCACGCACACCCGGGAGAATTGCCAGCTCGAGGTTGAGGAATTGTCCCACTTTGAGCAGCTTATATATGCTACATACTACATAACATGAGGATGCAGTGCGGTCGCAAACTCACAGCCTTAGGGCGCAAGGATAACACGTACCTTATAGGCGCTAGGTACACCGCCTTTTTATGCACAACTCGATGGTGCTTGTCGCAGAAGCTATCAATTCCGGAACGACGTCGGACCTCCAGGGTTCACTTGCCGCGTTGAAGTGTCTACGTCGCTGCCCGTCCCGCACCAGACCGTTGGAGCATAGAAGCGCGATGTAGAACTTTGGCCATGGACAGCATGAGTGCGCGGCACGAAGGGCACAGTCTGTCTTGTGGACCAGCCGAAGAGAATGTGAAGTAGATCAGTGTGAATAAACCGACAAACGGGACTAACTCACGAGATTGATAGACCCCATATGATCGTGGTAGTGAGCGTGAAGACGGCGACTGATCCATTTAAGGTGTCCATTGACCTCGTTGATGTCATAGAGAAATAGACAATGATAATTCAGCAAGTCCAGGATAGGGATGAGATCTAGCAGCACAAGTGATCAGGGCAGGCTCGTAAAGGGATGACTGAAGAGCAGAACAGGACACAGGAGGGTTACAGCATTGAGCGCTGATGATGACATGGGCGATTTACAACCGGCGGATATCGAGGTGTATATCTCCTATACGCATGAGACGCACGAAAATCACAGGTGCCATCTCGTCTGTGCTCACCACAGCAATGCGAAAGGATCGGCTGATGTCTACTCACCTGGGGGCGAGGGATATATGCTTCCCATGCGTCGACCGTACTCGAAGCCCTCTCGTCTTCTCTGCCTGGACGCCTGGCGGAGGGACGTCACCTTCGACTCGGACACGGTATCGACGCGACTATGGAACGGACAGCTGGTTGAGGCGAGGCGCGTGTTCTGGTCGCAGCGACCTGTTCCGTCGTGCAGCCCGGGCGATACGTGTGTACATAGCTCATGGCCCGGTGTTATTGACTGAAGGTACCGCACGCGTTATTTTCTTCTCGATGCGGACCGCCTGGTATACGATCAAGATTTCCATTTGCAGATGCGAGTCTTGCCAGGGTGGATTCACCAGGGGTACAAGACGATGGGGAACGTAGGAGCGGGACACGAAGCTGGCAGCTGGGAGAGTCTGGGGACAGCCGGACAGAAACCTCAGACTGAAGGCCCGCGGAACTGAGAGGTTAGCGCTCCTGACGGCAGTGACGGGGATAGCAGTACATTAGGTGCGGACGGATGCGGCGCGGAGGGGAACGACGACGTCGAAGGCTTGGGCGACGCGTCGGCGAACGCGCCCATCACGTGCGGCGCGCATCGTCTTCCTCTCGTCCTCGCGCACGACCACCTCCTCCTCCTCTGCATGCCATCCCATACTCTGCTCTCGCATAGCCGGACAGGGGAACACCGCTCCACTTATATGCGCGCTGCGATGGTCGACCAAGTCCGCCTTCCTAGACTTTGTGCCCCTCGCCCTGCTCTTTCCACTGGGGTCGATCCGCCGAGTGTCTAGCAAGCCATCCGTTCATGCATGGCCTCACGCTCCCGGTGAGACCGCCTTGGTACTGTACTGCGCTCGCTAACTCACATTCGCACGCAGCGAATGCTGATCCCAGGGCCAGGCGAGCGATGGCCTGCTGATTGACCGGTCTTCGCAGATCGACGCGCTCGACGTACTATGTGGCTCTCTCAGCAGTCCTATCTGAGAGAGGTAAGTTTGAATACCGGACGTTTCTCTGTGATACTGGAGACCTTGTCTTAGATCCAGAACAGTAGGCAGAGTCCTTCCAGACTCGGATGTCCCTGGAGGAAGCAACGGTCGACAGGGTTGTATTTTGGCTAAGGATCTGTGCCAGGCCTAGGTACGTATACTCATCATCGTGCCTTACCCAAATAACCAACGCGTCGATTTCCCTGATCTAGCAATGCTGCGCCCGCTCTGCTACAAGACCTCATTGAAATCATTGCGCGCCTGCCTCTACGGCGGGCCCTTCCTGCTCGCCCAGTGCTGCCTCGCATGCCGCGCGTGACGATAGGCAGCACCGCCGCTCTGCATGACTTCATGCGGGTGCTCGTGTTTCAGCAGAACGAGCCGTCCTACAGCTGCGCGCCCGGCGAACTCGAACACGCAGGCGCACACCTTCGTCGTGCGCATTTGCGGGTGCCGCCTCCCGCGCTGGAGCACCTCACATTCGCGCTGCTTGACTGGGCGGCGCCACCGAGGGCGCCGTACCCCGCCTTCTTCAGCTACGCCATATGCCCCATGCCTCCTGCTCGCTTGTCCCACCGCCGGTACCACTTCCATCACGCAGGCGTGCTCCGCCTCGTCTCAGGCGCGTCCTCTCTGGTCTCGAATGAATGTGTGTTGACATAGTCACGGCCCAGTCAACACTGCGGGACGTGGAAGGAGCTCCCGCTACTCCAAGCAAGAATTCTGTGAGTTCTTGCTCATAGATTCGCTCAGCTGCGACTATCGCCCACCAGTTCTTCTCGCGGTGCCGCCGCATCAGACCCTCCTAGACGGTTCGGTCGCATACACGCACCCCTTCGGGACTTGACTTTGCATGTCTTGTTCGTGCCCTTTCCGTTGTTCCTCCGTGCATTCCACGACCTCCGACACGTCCAATCTCCCAACGAACTCGAACGGGGAGCTACGCCCAGCGAAGCTCCGTCTAGCCACACTACGGATGCAGCCCAGGTGACCCGTGCGTATGCGGTATCGCTCTGGGACCTCTCTTTGGTATTCGCCACGGAGTGCTTCTTGCCCTTTTGGCAGGAGCGACGCGCTGTCGAGCGGATAGACATCCGTCCGTCGGACTCGCATTCCCCGTTGTTGTGTCACGCCTTTGTTGCAGCGCTGCGACAATCGCGGGCTGCACCCAAGAGGCTCGCATGAGACGACCAATTCTAAGCGCTGTACGTTCATACGCCGAAGTATGCGTCCACTCCTCACGCCGTTTGTTCGTCGCATACTAACGAGTCAAAGCTGTAGGCTCCGCAGTGCCGGCCTTACGCTGTTCCTCCACTCGCCTGCGCCATCGGGCTGCAGAAGCTATGTTATTTGCATATTGTCTCCTCGCTGTCGACCACGACGTCGATCTACAGCACTTTCCTCTTGCTGTTCTGGCCAATCGACGGCACGCAATTGCGTCGGTGCAGGTTGCGCGTCGCGCTCCAGTGCTTGGATCACCAACGCATGTCGGGCCAATGTGCACGCCCACGCGGAGGAACCGAGCCCGGTCGCTGCCACCCACGCCGCGCTCTCCCGCGAGCCATTCGCCACGCCAACGCAAGGTGCGCAGCTCGCACGGGGAGCTGGGATTCTCATGAATGCGAACCGTGCTGTGCGTCAGGTTCCGGGCCCCTCATCCCTGGATGAGTTTGACTGCCCATCGAGGTAGTGCCACGCCTGGTACGGCCTTGAGCCGAGCAACCCGCGGGAGTCATACGATGCCCTCAACTGTCACGGTTGTGCACCAGAGTACTCGTGTGTATGCGCGGTACCGAAGTCTAGATGGGCGATACTAGAAGGCGGAAGATGCGGCGATATCTTCGTTGCATGAGGACTCGCTCAAGTGCTTGAGCCTGGAGGACGCGTTCATCACGTACGGATCGTGCGGCGCGTCGTCAGCGGTCCGACATCGCCCAATATCCTTTCGTTGCGTTCGAGCATATCCACCCGTGTTCGCATCCAATTGAACCTGGACTCATTATGTACAGGGCTCGTGCGGCTCCTGCAGTCTTGTGTCCCAGTTGGGATGACGGCTGCATATACGTACGGCAATGAGTCGAAGGAAGGGGATGGATGGATGATATATCCAAACTACATGACCTAGGTCGTATTGCGGGATACCAGTAACACCGCAATCGAAGCGCATATATGCGGAACGAACACAAAGGAAGTGGAAGGAACACTTGACTGTTGGAGCGCGCTGGCCGACGGAGCAAGCGAGGGAGAAGAGAGAATGAATGAAGACTCACCAGTGTCCGTAACCGAAGACAACTGCAACGAGCGGGTACACACGGCACTGCGTCGGTGGTAGCCTGTAAGGCTGTAACGCACGAGGTGAGCCGTCAAGTTCACTGGTACAGAGTGAATCCATCTGAAGAGGCAGACACGTACCCATCAGTAGCACTACGTCGTCTGTCTTATCGCGTGGTTTGACGGTTCTTTCGACGGCGTCGGGGAGGGCTGCACCGCGCCGACAGAAGGGGACCTCTGTCGGAAGGGGTGAACTCTGCGTCATCTGCAATCGGACGATTGGTGATATAGGGTGCCCCGAGCTACTAGAGCTGCTTTATAGAAGACGCGGTGTAGTGGTGAGAGAAGGAGACGGTACGGCTCGTGTACGGCATTATGATTGACCAGTCGGCGAGTGGATGAGACGCGTCCGTCACGTGTGGACTGCGTGTCGCGTTGTCAGCGCGCTGACACCATCCAGCTTCCTCTCTGTGCGCCATCACGTTTCCGCGTCCTCCAGGATACACTTAGCTGTCCATGTATTCCAAATAACATCAGGGGACTCGAATACACGTCTCAGGACACCGCTGGCGCAGCAGTCTTCTATACGCGCGGCCTGAGGAATCACTGCCTTAGTACAAGTGATTTATGCGTTGTCGGGAGACACACGGTGCGGAACTACTGGCCTTCTATCTCAAACCCAGTGCTCATACAACAGCCTTCGACCACTTTGACAGGTCTCCCATTTGATAAAGGGCGCTCCTGTGCCGTCCGCCCTCTCTGCACTGTTTTCTGTGCGTGGCAGCGTACCAGTAGTACGTGAGTATGTCTCATGATTATGAGGTACGTGAACGTCTCCATGCCTACAGGACGTACTCACAATGTGCCCTGGGGGATGAGTTACGACGGTATGCGTATCATTTCCGAGCGCAACGTATGGCGTAGCGTGTGGGTAATCGCGAACCTAAATGCGCAGCTGCTTCTCAGCTGCCCTTGAACATGAGGCAGTAATCCCCTAATACAATGGCGCCGTTCGGCGTGTACCGACATCGCATGGACATGCCTCGCGGTTAAAACGGTGCCCTCTTCTCGACCAAGTCGACCTGACCCGCCGCGTTCTCGAGGCGCTACCTCCACTCCAGAGTAACATCCATCCACGTCTCGAATCCGAGTCCGTCGCGGACAACGCACCAATCGTCGATCCTGTCATTGTGACCGCATCTGGATCGTGTACATTCAGTCCTGATTCCTGTCTGAACGAACACCGCGAGCTAGCTAGGTAAGCTGTGTGCGGCATAATGAGTATGTGATCAAGTCTAACGTGGGTATACCCGGGACAGTGACTACATAACGCGCAAGCGGTTCGCTTTCAACCTCACTACAAGCGACGCTCTGAATCAACGGACGTCGGAAGACCGATAGTCCAAGCACTGCATTTGTATGAACATATTTCCAATGTGATGTGACCGTATTGACGGAGTCGCTATGTAGTTGGATCACAGCGGCTACGATGAAGTTCTCGGTGCACACGACCGAACAAATGGAGGATCAGATTGCTGATCAGGGCATCATCCCTGACAAGCTGACGGGCGAGGAGTCCGGGGAAGAGGAGTCCGGGGATGAAGAGACTGAGGACTCAGGCTCAGCATCCGAGTGGCGTCCTGGTATTGAGATTCTGTTCAGGCGACCCATATACTTAAGGTGCGTGACCCACGGCTCCTCCTCCCGGAGGATTGGGGTGAATACGTGATTCATGGCTTTGTGCTTTCTCAGCGATACGGGTCCGCGATTCCCGCAAGAGCTGATCGAGCGCATTTGCGAATTCCTCTGGGACGAACCGGTCCAGCTAGCGGTCAGCTGCACGCGCATTTGCCCCGCTTGGTATCATGCTGCACGGCGACTTCTGCCAGCGCATGACATCACCTGTCGAACCCGAGAGGCCCTGCAAGATCATGCGCATACACTCACATCCCTTCGTAATGCGCCATGTCGCAAACGCTTCTGGCGAGTGAGGATTTCCGACAATGCCAGCAAGCCGTTTGCGCACGTTTGGCCTATGTTCATTCCTGGATGGATACTACCGGAACTGCGTGACGTGGAACTCGTTGCCCTGGACTGGTCAACCAAGACACCGCACGATAGCTTCTTCATCTACCTGTCTTCTTACACCAGCATCTCAAGCCTACAGATGTACGACTGCAGGTTTCGCAGTCTGCCGGATCTTCGCAGGGTGATCAATGCCCTTCCCAGCCTTACGTGGCTGTATCTTCACAACGTAACACTACAGCACCCCCTCAGACCGGGATCGGTCCCCGACCACATCGCTCTCCGAGCCCGTTCACATAGGCTCAAGTCTATTGATCTTTGCGGTTCCGGACATGGCGGGCCAGAGTATCCTGATGTGTCCTCGGACTACCAAGGAACAACGGCCCTCGATTATCAAGCTCTGCTGCGTATGGTAGTCGCGAACTCATCCACTGTTACTCGCCTCGCCGTTGACCTGCGATTCTTTACTTCGACCTCAGCTCTTCAGCAATGCCTGGCGCATTTTCGCCGTCTGACATCATTCGAAGCACAGTACCGATTTGCCTCGGGCCCTATGATCGCACTCGAGGAGACAGTTCCTGCGCGTACGGAGAACACGTATATACACGCATGGGAAAGCTTTACCCTTATGAACGTCCCCGATCAAAGCGCACTGCAGCTTCTGCAGCTGCTCAATACCCCTGATACGTGCAGCAAACTGGAGGAGTTGAATATCTATCTTACAGGCCGGCCATCCGCCACACTTGTATCATGTACTAGCCGTGTGCTCCATGCACTCGGACATCGGCTCAGGATTCTTGATTGGGGATGCTCGGTGGACCCAGGTCAGCTTTCCATGTGTAGTACGTACATGTGTCTGACTGCCAACTGATTCCATTTGTAGATGTCGAGGCCACTCCGTCCCTCGCAGGGAATACGACTCTGCAAACGTTGCACATAGACCTTCGGGACATTGCCCCATCGCCACAGAAGATACACAGTGCTCTCACCGCCGTCCTATCAGACATCGTCAGCGTGGACCTGCAGCACGTGTGTATTCGGTTCACTCTAGCTTGCCTCGAGGTGCTTCCCCAGGATCATGGACGGACACCCACGGTACTAGATCCTGCCGAGTCCATCTCTGCCTTTCACGCCATTCTCTCGCGCGAGATATTCAATGGGCTTCCGCTGCACACTCACTACAGCCCCGTAGAGGTTGTTTTCGATTCCGGGGACATACAGGGCAATCTCGCCGTGGTAGCCACTATCAAGGCCTACATGATCACTCTCTTTACGCCGTGGTTGGATCGTGGAATAGTGTCGTTGGACTTCTATTCGGCGGACAGTTCGGAGATTATTACTTGTGTGCCCATGGTAAGTGGCCCAATGTCATACCTCGCAACGGTGCACTTACAAACCGGCCATTTGCATGTTCCCGTAGAGGACACATCGAGCGATCGCGGAGGCGAGGATGTCGAAGAAAACACACCCGTAGGAACGGAACAGTAGAACGAAGCTCAAGAGGGAATTCGGAGGGAGACGGACACTGGCATGAAGGGGTCGGGCGGACGCAGTTGGTCGCGCTGGATGTTGTACGATACACGGTCAAATTCTCAACGACGGACATTGTGTTTAGGACAACAGATATCACGACGACACTCTTGGTACAAAGCATAGTCTTGAAGGAATTAGCTTATTAACGCGTCTCCTTCCGTGTTATTCGCGCCGTTGCATGTCCGGATCAAAGCCATTCAATTGCAGATATTCGACAGAGGAAGGACCCGGTAAGACGCTGAGTAGCCGTCGACTGGACTCGTCGGGCCACCTGCACCATGCCTCGACGAGTAGCATATACCATCTACTACGACGATGACGGCTGAGTGTCAATGCGACGAGAAGGAAGTACTAGTGCTCACGGATATGTATGAGCACTCGTCAGTTGTGCGAAGAGCACTGCCGGCGTCGCAGACAATTGGACCAGAAGAGACGCACCGATCACGACGACTTTGTCCATCAGCCTCTCGACTGAGCCATCTTCGAACTCCGGGGGAATCGAAAGCGACTACATAGGTGCAAGAGGTCGTCAATCGACGATAGACGACTAACAGGGCCTTGCAGCAGCGCGGCAACCCCAGGACAACAGCTGCAGAGCTCACCTGCGGGAAAGGGGAGCCTGAGAGTGCGACTCAAGACGGAGGCACCTCCGAGCGTCAAGGGAAGGGTAGTGCTAGGGCGAAGGTACGGCCGCGTGTCTCTGCAGCAGTCGTCCGTGCCTGTTCAGGATATGCCCTACAGCGGAGCATGTAAGCGCATTTATGCATTGTCAGTGCCGGCGCGCACCTCTGGACGGGCCTCGGACCTTCCTGTGCGCCGTCTCACTAGATGGACGGAGAAGGGGGGGAACGGCTTCTGCGTGGCATGATACGCAGGTAGCAACCGTCGTAGAGACGATCTGGACAGGCCGGGAGACCTCAGCACAGTGCCGATAGGCAAAGATATGGGCCTAGCCGAGGATGGCGGCACATGCTGGGACGGGTTCAAATGTTCATCTGAAGAGGACCTGCGCGTGACGGTAGTGTTGCTTGCGCAAGCAATTGAGCGAGCTGAGACACGCGAGCAGAAATGCGGGACTCACGTTCGTAGGCGAGATGCACGGTATGTGTACAGGGATCATGGTGTATGTTGCGAGTGAAGTTGTGGGGTGTTGACAGGTTGACAGAACTGTCGCGGATATCTGCACATACACGAGACGAGCAGGAGATTCAGTGAGCAATCGCGGAGCACGGTGTAAGAGGCGAGGAAGGTCAGCCAAGCCCAAGTGTAGCGGCTCGCCTCCTGACGGGGCCAGGTCCTGGATATCCCAGGTCTCAAGTAGTGTTGTGAGCGGATTGACATGCAGGGTCGGTCTATCTAGTCTCCCCATGCAGACGTAGACCATTCCTTCAACCTTCGTGCCTCAGGATATCCTTGTCTGACGTCTATCGTGCGGCGGACTGTGCAAGCTGACTGCAGGTAACCTCGCCGGTAAACCCGGCGGTGCAGCCATTCGGGGAGGCCGACGACAGAGTTCTCGATGTATTCGTTCCGGCGTATGTTGACATGTCGCGTCATGAGTACCAGAGAATGTAGATGTGCTATGTAGGTAGGAGGACAGAGCTGAACCGGACAGTCGGAGACAAGGCCGTCGGCGATCGGGAGGAGCGGGACGGAGACAGGGACGATGGGCAGCAGCTGGTGAGTGAGCACCGATGCGGCGCTGAGGAGAACGAGGAGGAGGAACGACGCAGCTGGGCGACCTTGGGGCGACCGCCTCGTCGGCGAACGCGCCCATCACGTGCTGCGCGCGTCGCCCGTCATCTTCTCCTCCTCACACACGACCGCCTCCTCCTCCTCCTCTGCACCTCCCATACTCGGCAGCCACAAAGCCGGATACCACGCATCATCAGACTGTTTCGCTACGCGCGCTGCAGTGGCTCACCACGACCTTCTCCTACAATCTGTGCTCCTCGTCGTCGATGCGCGACGTCACGCTCCTGGTAGGAAATTCTGAAGGCCGTACGACGCTGCATGGAAACTGACACTCGCGCGCAGCGGTTGCTGTTTTCAGGGCCAGGCGACTGGCGGCCTGAGGATTGACCGACCGGTCTTCGCAGATCGACGCGCTCGACGCAGTATGGAGTTCTACGAGCAATTGTATCTGCGGAAGGTGCGTTTGATTTTTTGTCGCTCCGTACAACCTGTCTCAGACGTAGAACAGCGGCCAGAGTTCTTCAGGGTGCCGGAGGAAGGGATGGTCGACAGAGTCGCAATCTGGCCAACCATCTGTGCCAGGTGTGTATACTCAACATCGTACCTCACCAACGCTTCGATTACTCTCCCCTTTAGCGACCTCTTACCCCCTGCTACAAGAGTCCATCGAACTGCGCACCTACCTCTGTACCAAGCCCGCGCTGCTCGCCCAGCGCTGCCTTGTATGCCGCGCACGATGACAGGCACCGCCGCTCCTCTGCACGACCTCATGTACATGCTCATGCCCAGGCATAATGGTCGATCCTACAATTATGCACTCGGCAAACTCGAGTACGTAGGGGCATGCCGACGCCTTCGCCGTGCGCGTTCCCGGATGCCGCCTCCCCGCGCTGCTCCCGTTCGTGCCGCTCGACTCGGCGACGCACGCGAGAGCGCCGCACTGCGCGTTCACCACATACTTCATACCCGTCATCCGCTAGTCCCTCTGTCGGTGCCGCTTTCGTCACGTAGGCGTCCTGCGCCTCATCGCCGGTGGGCGCCCTCTCCAGTCCCGAGTGGTTGTGTCTTGACACAATCACGGCCCAGTTGGCGCCGCGGTACATGGTATGAGGCCCCGCTACTCCAAACAAGAAGCTATGTGAGTGATAAGTCATGATTTCGGTTGGCCGCGACTATCGCTTACTGGGTCGTCTATCTGCATCAGACCCTCCTAGACGTCCTGGTCGCATACGGGAGACTATTTTTGGCTGGTGCGCCTCTTCCGGAAACGGCTCATTCCTCTCGCTTGCGCCGCTCCAGTCCTCTGTGCATTCCACATATCCCTGACACATCCATCTCCATAAAGATCTCTCTCGATTGGGGCGCTAGTCCCAGCGGACCTTCGTCTCCTCGCGCGACGTATACTTCAAGGCGCTCTGTGGATGTGTAGTATCGCTCCTAGGCGCATCCTCGGTGGTCGCCACGGAGTGCTTTTCGCGCCGTCGTGCAGATCGACATCCGCCCGTTGGACCAGGCCTCCTTCATACTATGTCACGCCTTCGTTGCAGCGCAGCGGCGATCCGGGGCGGCATTCAAGAGTTTCGTCTGAGGGCACCACTCTCAACCGTCGTTCCATCCGTTCGAAGTACCCGCTGCCCGCACCGATGCGTTGTATATTGTCATGCTAACGTTGGAAGCTACAGTGCCCGCCCTATGTCTTCCCGTAAATGCGCCGTTTTGCACGACATGGCTCTACTCAATGCTCGTAATGCTGTTCTCGCAGATGAGTGGCACCCAGCTGTAGCAGTGCGCGATACGCGTCGCGTTCTGCTTCAGCCCAGGTGCCCAGCGTTGACGCGTGATTCAATGTGCACGCGGGCACGGCGGACCCAGGTCCTGTCGCTGTTTTCCACGCTGCGCTCTCCCGCGAGCATTCGCAACGCTACCGATGCGAGGTGCGCAGCTCACATGCACAACTGAGATTCTCATTGAATGCTAAACGCTCTGCGCGTCCGCTTTTCGAATGTCTGACTACACGTCGACCTAGAGTCGCTCTGGGTACTGCCCTGAGCAGAGCAGCCAGTGGGAGCCATCCAATCCACGCAAGTGTCACGACTACGTACTGGGGCACTGGTGTGTATGTGCGGACCAAGGAGTGTACCGAAGTCCGGGTGGAGACATCTTCAACGTAAGTGTGAGGAGTCACTCTTGTGCTTGAGCGGCTTGGCGGAGGCACGTACCCGCTACATAGCACTACGATACCTGTCTGGTCGCGTGCTATGACAATTCTTCTCGACGGCGTAGGGGGGCTCGGCTTTTCTGGACCCGGGACTGTGCGTGCTTGACCACGTCAATCAGTAAGTCGGAGGTGGCAGGAGATACCAATGACGGGAGGGCAACTACTACCTTGTAACTGTAAGTGGTTTATGTGTTGTCGGGAAACACACGGTGCGGAATTACGTACTGGCCTTCTCATACAACCAACAACCTTCAACCACTTTGACAGGCCCTCCATGTGATTATGAGCGCTCTCGTGCCGCCCGCCCCTCTCTGCACTGTTTCTTGAGAACAGTGTATTAGTATGTGACCACATCTCATGGGTATGAGGTACGTAAGCGCCGTCATCTGTACATGATGTACTCACAGTATGCCCTTGAGGAATAGCTCGAACGCTATATGTAGCGATTCCGAGACTAACATATGGTATAACATGTGGGTAACCGCGAATCTAAACGCATGCGGCACAGCTGCTTCTCAGCAGCACGACATGAGGTAATCCCAGGCCAGTACAATGGCGCCGTTCGGTACCGGCATAGCATGGACATGCCTCGCAATCAAAATGGTACCTTCTTCTCGACCAAGTCTACCTGACCGGCCGCGTGTTTGAGTTGCTACCGTCACCCTAGAGGTACGTCTATCCACGTCTCCCATCCGTCGCGGACAACACACTGATCGTCAATTTAACTAGCGTGGACACATCCGGGTCGTGCATCAGCTTCGTCTTGCTACCTGTCCGAACGAGAACTGCGAGCTGACTAGGTAGGCTGCGTACGGCATAAACGAGTATGTGAACAGGTCTGACATAGCCATACCCGGGCCAGAGGCTGACGAACAAGCGGTCCACTGCCAAACCCACGACAAGTGACACATTGAAACAACAAACCTCGGTTGAACGGTTGTCCAAGCACTGCGTTTGGTATACCCGTCTTTCGAATGCGGTTGGATCGTATTGAATGAGTTGCTATTTAGTTCTATCACGGCGGCTCGATGGACGATCCAGTGAACAACATCGAACACGTAGGGGATCAAATTGCTGATCCGGACAGCATCCCCGACTCGGACAAGCTGACGGGCGAGGAGTCCGGGGAAGAGGAGAAGGGCTCAGGCCCAGCATCCGAGTGGCGTTGGCCGATTGAGATTCTGTTCAGGCAACCCATATACTCCAGGTGCGTGACCCAAGGCTGCTCCTCTCTCGGAGGATCGGGATGGATACGTGATTTATGGCTTTGTGTTTTCAGCGATACGGGTCCACGATTGCCACAAGAGCTTATTGAGCGTATCTGCGAATTCCTCTGGGACGAACCGGTCCAGCTAGCGGTTAGCTGCACGCGCATCTGCCCCGCTTGGTATCATGCTGCACGGCGAGTTCTGCGACGACATTCGATCACCTGGCGAGCCCGAGAAGCCCTGCAAGACTATGCGCATACACTCATATCCCATCGTAATGCACCATATCGCAAACGCTTCCGGGAATTGGGGATCTACGACAATGCCAGCAAGCCGTTCGCGCACGTTTGGCCTATGTTCATTCGTGGATGGATACTGCCGGGACTGCGTTCCGTAACCCTCGAGGACCTTGACTGGTCAACCAAGCCACCGCACAATAGCTTCTTCATCTACCTGTCTTCTTACACCAGTGTCTCGAGCCTACAGATGTACGACTGCAGGTTTCGCAGTCTGCCGGATCTTCGCAGGGTGATCAATGCCCTTCCCAACCTTACGTCGCTGCTTCTCCGCAACGTAACATTACAGCACCCCCTCAGACAGAGGTTGGTCCCCGACTACATCACTCTCCGAGCCCGTTCACTCAAGCTCGAGTCTATTATTCTCCACGGTTCCACACCAGAACATCTTGACGTGTCCGACGTGTCCTCGGACTACGAAGAAACAACGGCCCTCGGTTGTCAAGCTCTGCTGCGTATGGTAGTCGCGAACTCATCCACTGTTACCCGCCTCGCCCTTGACCTACGATTCTTTACTTCGCTCTCAGCTCTTCGGCAATGCCTAGCGCATTTCTGCTGCCTGACCTCATTCAAAGCACAGTACCAATTCACCTCGAACCCTAGTATGGTCACATTCGAGGAGACGAACCCTGCGTATACGGAGAACACATCTACACACTCATGGTCAACGTTTACCCTTATGGACGTCCCCGATCGATCCGCACTGCAGCTTCTGCAGCTGCTCAGTACCCCTGATACGTGCAGCAAACTGGAGGAATTTAATATCTATCTTACAGGCCGGCCATCCGCCACACTTCTATCATGTACTAGCCGCGTGCTCCATCCACTCGGACATCGGCTTAGGAATCTTGTGTGGGGATGCTCGGTGGACCCAGGTCAGCTTCCCGTGTGTAATACGCACATGTGTCTGACTGCCAACTGCTTACATTTGTAGACGTCGAGGTTACTCCATCACTCAAAGGGAATACGTCTCTGCAAAGCTTGCGCATAATCCTTGAGGACGTTGCCCCATCGCCACAGAAGATACACCGTGCTCTCACCGCCATGCTATCAGACATCGTCAGCGAGGACCTGCAGCACGTGTATATTGCCCTCACTCTAGCTCACCTCGAGGTGCTTCCCCAGAATTATGGACGGACGGCCGCGGTGGTAGATCCTGCGGAGTCCATCTCTGCCTTTCACACCATTCTCTCGCGCGAGATATTCAACGGGCTTCCGCTGCGCACTAACAACAGATGCGTAGAGGTCGATTTCGACGTCGGAAACATACAGGACAATCCCGCCGTGGTAGCCACGATCAAAGCGTACATCATTACCCTGTTTGCGCCGTGGTTGGAACGCGCAATTGTGATATTGATGTTCCATTCAAACTTTCACAGTGGCACTTGGGAGACTATCACTAGTGTTCCTACGTCCGGTAAGTGTCGTGACATCGTACTTCACAAACGTGCATTTACAATATCTCCCCAGAGGACACATCGAGCGATCACGGAGGCGAGGTCGTCGAAGAAAGCAAAATCGTAGGCGCGAGACTGTAGAACGAAGCTCATGGGGGAATGAGAGCGACGGACGCTGGAGTGAAGGGATCGGGCGAATGCCGTTGGTCATGCAGGACAGCTGCACTGGGTCGTACAATCCACGGTCAGGTATTCATGGACGCAAGCGCGGGTCTACGGATATGCGAAATGGAGACCAGGAATATCGGCGAGGGTCCAGGGAGCTGCCAGGTTTCAGGCTCGTAAATAGATGCCCCATCACACGTAGTATATCTTCATTTATCCTACATGTGCTGTCAAGAACGTGCTCACGACCTCGAGATACCGTCCTGGTTCCTCATAGAATGCCATGTGCGTCGACTTGGCGAACTGTACCCATTTACCATTCGGTATCTCCCAGAAGAGCGGCGCGGCGCACGCGTCGGTCGTCTCATCCTGCGCACCGTTGATGACAAGGGTGGGCTGCTTGATTTCCTTCAACCTATCGGTGACATCCCAGCTGCCCAGGTTTCCCCTGACGTCCCACTCCGAGTACCCAAAACTGCAGAAGCTGTGAGCGGTCTGAGGAGCGACAACGCGGTAAAGACTTACAGGGCCCGGTATACCGTATCATCCTTTCCCACCTCTGCCATAGTGCGCTGTACGCCAATTGGAGGAGGATCTAGCGAGAGCGCGTGACGCACGAAGAAGAGGTGCTCCGCCTCTTTGTACTCCTTCGAATCCGTTGTTCCCTCGCGCTCGCACCGCTCGATTGTCTCCCGCACGTCTTTTGGCAGCTGAGCCAACAACTTACGGCACTCCGCGTTCCACACGGAGATGGAGGGAGGTGCGCCAACCAGTACCAAGTGCTTCAGCCCGCTGGGCTGACGATCAAGCACGTACGCAAGTGCCAATATCCCGCCCCACGAATGGCCTAGCAGGTCGAAGTTTTCGCGAACACCGAGTTTTTCCAGCAGATTATCGAGCTCGGAAACGAACAGAGCGACGGTCCAGAAGTCGGTCGGTTTCTCGCAGAGGTGAGTAGGATTACCGCAGCAGAGCTGGTCGTATAGAATCAGGGGGATCCCTTTGGCCTCCAAGAGCGGCGCATGGCAACGCATGTACTCATGCGAGAATCCGGGGCCTCCGTGAAGGAGGACGAGAGGACGGATACCCGACTTTAGGTCGCCCGAAACTGTGTACCACGTCTGAAAGGTCTCGGACCCTACGGCGAAGTCGACGACTCTAGAAGCCTCGCCCATCGGTCTCTTCAGCACGTAAGTCTAGGACGCACTGGAGGTGAGCCTACGGTAGCAGACGTTTGCAATCACTTACGGGGTTACCGAGCAGCTGAGCCTGGTTCTGCACCTCCGGCAGGCGAATCAATTATAGTCTGTGAAAGAGCGTTCACCAGATTCGCCCATTGTCGTGATATGTGTCCGCATAACCCGGAGGGGTGTTCCGAGGACTTGATTGTGTGCACATCCTGTTGAATCAGTACATGAATGATAACGAACTCCTGCGCTTACTGCAGGTTCTGCGCTGTCGCCGTCAAGAAGTCGAGACGCGCGTGCGCTATCGGCCGGTGGCTAAATGGACCCCCTCCTCCTCCTCCTCCTCCTCCTCCTCCATCCCATCCGATGCGACCAGTGCTTCACGAGACATGCGTACGCGGCGGCCGGTGACGCTGCCTACTCCTGTTCCAACTAAACCCATCGTCAGACCCGTCCACACTAGCCGGAAGGCAGAGAGGTATTTGCATCTATCAGGAACACTGCCTCTGTTGAGGACGTCTTCTCGATTAGATCATGCTGCAGGGTCTTGATAAGTCAACACATGGCGCAAATACGTCCTCAATCCCTCCACTACGAGGGGCTGAGAGCTCGGAGTTTGGCGTACAAGGTCACAACGGAGTCCTGCTCCATGCAGATTAAGATGTGCTCCTGAGATCATGCACGGTTCTCTGCACCGCCCGTCAATAGTACGTATGATGAGGCAGAGCAGCATGCTTACAGAGATAGTGTTCAGCGGTCAGCCTCATGATGTCAAGAGATGTTGCGATGCGTGTAGAAGACAAGCCGGAGTGTGGAATGATGAGCTGCATATGTGACGCGTCGGGTTCTAGGTTTATGGGCTCTGCGGGCGCCGGCGCTGTACTCAGGAATATTAGAAGAGTGTCTTCAGCGTATGAGTCCGCCGCGGGGCATGAGGGCATGAGAACCCCAATTGAGGTCATTCCAGCCTTATGCAAGACTCTATACCGATTTAGAAGTCTCGAGGGCGTCGAGATTCTCGAGGACGTCCGGGTAGACGACTTGGCGACGTCCTTACCATCCACAATCTCCGGCACGATGCCCATCTTCCACTCCGGGTCTGCAAGCAGGGAGTCCTCTGCAACAAATGGCAGTTAGTGAGAGTACTCGGCAGCAGGATCAGTGACAAACTCTTCAGGTCGATGTTGTACACGTCCGCGCTGCCCTCCTTCACCTCGATGTCTCGCTCCAGCCGCCTCCTGTCCGGGTTGTTCTTGTCGTACGTTTTCCGATTCTTCGCGGCCTCCGGAATGAACGGTTTGCGAACGACGTCGTCGCGTGTCTTCGGCTGTGCGACTTGCAGCCGGTTGAGGATCAAGTCAGAGCTTGTTGCCCTTGAGCTTCAGGTCCACGCGTTGCTCCAGAAAGGCATCACAGGCCTTGTTCTTCAGCTCCATCACGCCCTCGCCCATGTAGCATGACACCTGCGCGTGCATCCAGGCGGGCCATGTCGATCTTGTCGCATCGTCACCTTGTTCGCGAAGAGCGGCTTGATTGTGTGGAAATGTTTGCACTGCGCCTCGACGCTGTAGCCGCAGTGCCCGCTCAGAGTCCATGAAGTACAGCACACAGCTCTGCAGGTACGCAAGCACGGTGATAGCTCCGCGTCTCGATCGTGTTCATGTCCGAGAGCGGGTGGTCCAAGATCCTCGGCGTGTCGATCACCTGCGAAAGCATGTACCGCTACTCGAGATGACCAACGAAGAGCGACTTGGCCGTGAATGCAAACGGCTGCACGTCGACGTCCGCGCGAGTGACATTGTTGATGAAGGACGACTTCCCGACATTCGGGTAGCCGCAGATGAGGAGCGTGCAGTGGAGTTGATTGCGGGAAGACGGGAGACATGCTGCCGGACAAGTTCCTCTACGTATGTGGGATAACCCTTCTGCAGGCGCATTATGGTCGCCATACGACCTAGTGCAGTCCGCTTGAGCTGCTTGCATCAATAGAGGCTGTCACTGAACTTGAGGAAACGGACGTACTTCTTTGTGACTTGGTCGATGAGGTGCCGTGCTGTTCGGAGCTGTCCGAGGGCGAGCTTGAAGTGGTTCTTGTCGTATAGAAGGTTCATATGAGGGATGCAAGACACGGATGGAGGTCCTGATGATGTTCGAATATCAGTACAACCCAAAGAAGCGCGAGGTTTCGAAGCGTACGTCAAGCATAGGAAACTCATCCAAGATCACACTCAGCTTCTCGTCGAAGTTGCATATCCGACTGTTCTTGACATTGTGGATGGCCTACCAAGCCGTTGTGTCAATACCACCTCCGTTTAGCATCGCAGCCTACTCACTGCTGGTTTCTTCCGCTGCGTTTTGGACAAGACAATGTCCAGGAAGTCCGACGCCGTCCGGCGAACGAGCGAGATCTACTTCAGTCCGCCCGCCAACGTTTTGGCTGTCGTCGGAGATAAACGAAAAAACAAACAGGAGAGTTCGCCGACGAGAGTGCTGTCGGCGTTGCAGACTTGCTTCGCGTAAGTACCAGAACAAGAACGAGCTGAATTCAGCAGACTGACGACCTCTGACGACCTCCTCCTCCTCCGGTGTGCACGTGATCGAGGCGCCGACAGACGGTTCCGAGAACTACGGGAGCGCCCTGGAGCAGCCGCCTCGCCTTCGAGGCCGTCCTCCTTCTCCTCCTCCTCCTCCTTCCTCGTCTCCTCGTTCCCCTCAGCGGCGCATCGGTTCACTCATTGCTGCGCCCCTTCAAGCTTCAGCCCCTCCACACACGCGCTACCGGAAGCGTCCCGTCTCAGTTCTGTTTCGTCCGAACACTAGGAATCCGTCTGAGAGTCTCTGTCCGACTGTCCCCAGACTCTCCTAGGTTATTTCAGTGTCGTGTCCCGCTCATACGTTTCCCATCGTCTTGTACCCCTGGTGAAACTCATGCAGGCAACACTCGCATACGAAAATGGAAACCTCCGTTGTCGACCTCCCGAATGGGCGCACCAGGCTGGGTTCCCTTCCTCCAGCCTCGCATCTACACTAGGCGGTCCACATCCAGAAGAATATAACGCAGGCTTTGTCCTAGAGTGGTCGCACAGTTAAGTAAGTGATGTTTTACCTCGGATTCTCGATGCTCTCCAGAGTCGCTGCTAGGTCGGGCGATGGACCCAAACCCGTAAAGGCGCCACGGCGCCGTATGGGGCTACACGCTGTGTGGCAGGAGAGCGATTCATTATCCCCAGGTATGTGCGTGCATTTCTAGATGAGGGTGCCCGCAGTTATAGCTTTCCCAGTCCACCGCGTCATATATATGCTGCGACCGACCCATCATGTCTGTCCACTCCGAGTCATGAAACCGCTCGGGAGCTACAATAGTCAGGTCCCGCGTGGCCGCTTCACCCGGCCTCTCCGAGAGGTGAGCTTTCACATCTATGCTTGCCTGATCATCCTCGCCTTTGACGCCATGCTTTAAGAATCGCGACAATACTCGATTCATGCACGCGCAAAGGCGCTCACGCACGGATGGCCTTTTTCTCGCATACATGCGTCGTTGATGTCGATTCACGAACGTTCCACATCTTCGCTCGTAATATACACATGGTCCCTGGCACATACCGCGCATCTGTTGCGAACGTGAGTCCCGCTTTCCTGCTCGCGCGTCTCGGCTCGCTCAATGGCTTGCGCACGCAGCACTACCGTCACGCGCAGGGCCTACCCAGAAAGGCATTCGAATCATTCCAGCAGGTGCCACCATTCTCGACTAGGCTCACACCTTCAGCTCGCCGTCACCGTGCTGAGGTTTCCAGGTCTGTCCTGAATCCTGATCGGGATCACAACGATGATCTCTTGGATATTGCGCAACGCAGAAGCCGTCCCCGGGTTGCTCCGCCCGCCTCATGATACGGTGCGAAGGAAGGTCTGCGTCCGAGGCCCGTTGAGAGGTGCAAGTCATCAACGGCAACGTATATGCGCGCTTACAAGCTTCCCGCGCGGACGGCTGCCGCAAGCCTCAAGGACATGCATGCCATAGCTCTGTGTTGTCTTTGGCACTCCTTGGCTCGCGTTCCCCGCCGATGGCAACTGCAGCTGCTACCATACGTCCTGAGGTTGCTGCGCCGCTGCATGTCAGTCATTCGCTGTTGACCAGCGACCCTTCGTACCTACTCGCTATGACGAGGGCTCGGCCGAGAGGTCAATGGACATCAAATGACATGTTCACCAACTCACGATCGTCTGCAACGCTGAGACGAACGTTGTCGAGGTGCGATACACGTTTCAGGCATACGTGGGGACTGTTCAATGAAGATAATACTTGGTATCTGTGAGCCATCTACTCGTGTATGCTTCCGCCGCCTTTGGAACCCCAATAATTCAAGCAATCACAAAAGCCAACCGAATGGATCCACTTGCTCTCTTGAGACACCAGCGTCGTCCGAGGAAGACGAGATCAAGAGTGCAAACAGAATCAAAGATGAAATGTCTCCATCACACCGTGGTCCTGCGCACCCGCCTCCGCCTCCTGGTTGACTCTGCCCGTCCTCGTCCTATGTCGACTCTCCATTCCCGTTCGCCCCGACCTCCTTGGGTACATCTTCCGAGACAAGTGCGTCATCCAGTGCTGCCTTCTCAGCTGTCGGGGTGGTCGGTCAGTCATCAGGCAAATTGGTCGTGCTCCTTCATGCAAGACGGAACTGCAATACTCACCGGTGGGTGCGCGAGTGATCCGTCCTTCGCCGTGAGGGTCTGGGCGGAGCCAGAGACACAAGACTCCACGATCCAACCATGGCGAAAAGAGAGCGAGTACGTGGGGTTTGATCGCCGATATGAAAGCAGGCTTCAAAGCTTCAATATCTGATGGGAGATCTTCGGTATTGCACGACACGGTGATGTGTACGCCTGTCTCATAGCCTGTCTCATAGCCAACGGTGGGAAGCTCGTCGAAGACGCTGCGGGAGAGAATGGAGTGGAAAGCGGAGATAGAATCCGAAGCATCCGCCCCCTCGAACGTCTCCTCGATCGCTGCTTGGAGCGGCTCGGGTACATCTAAATTGATGTTTAGATAGAGCAATCCTAGTCGTGTGCTTGTGATGTCGGACAGCACTGTCTTGAATATATTTTGAATTGTCCGTAGTCTCGGGGGAACGTGGTTCAATGATATTACGAGATCTTTGAGCGACGCGTTCGCCGTGAGTGGCGGGATGATCCGTGAGTCTACAACATGGTCAGCAGTGAATGACTGAAGAACGACTCGAAAGCGGAAGCATGTTACCTCCATCGACTTCCCACCAAAATCGCTTCAGGCTTCGACCACACAGGTGCAGAAGACGGGTGAGATACAGGAGGAGTTCCGCGGATGGCCTGAATTGGAGTCCAAGAGTGAGGTTGTGCAGGGAACTGCGTGCACCGGGGGTGGACAGCAGTCGCAACAGCTGTAGTGCAGGTGTTTCGGCTACCTCCTGGAGAGCAAATGATGACAGTCGGCGGGTAAGTGTATATTCCGTGTGCGGTGAATCGGCATCTGTGGGTCCAATCTCTACGTCCGGGTCGACATCACCAGACAGCCGCAAAGAATCCAATCGGGGGAAGTGGGCCAGATATCGCAGGAGATGCAACACCGAGGGGAAGTACGATAAGTCCACCCCAAGGGAAAAGACGGACGAATACGTAGCTAGTGTGTGCCGCAGTGCCGCCCTAGAAACTGCCTCTCCTCGCCCTAGCACGTCATTGCTCGATGACAGGGAATCCAGCGCTGTCAATGAGATTCGGTGAAGTAGCTCGCAACGTGCAGAGACGTGAGACGATAGAGGTTCCGGGTACTGCAATGTAATGTTCGAAAGCGATAGCGATGTAAGACGTCCTAGTGCGTTGGTTATTCGGCGGAGTTCCCTTCCGGTGCGAAATGAGCAGTGAGTAATAGACAAGATCGTGATGCCGGAGTAGAATGACAGGCATATATCGAAGGTATTATGTGGGTTGGTAGTCGTCCAATCAATACCGCTAAGCTTCAGTTCAAGTAAGTCTTGTAGATAACTCCCAGGTATGAGTATCGGCCAGACGTGTGCAAACGGCTCGCGAGGATTGTCATCGACAAACATCTGGCGGAATCTTCTGTTATAACCCGTTTTCCGGGTAGCGACCAGCCTGTCCGCGTGGATGCGCAAGTCTTCTCGGCTCCGCAACAAGAGCTCGCTTGACCTGTCTAGCGCGCGGCGTGCAGCGTGATACCAAGCGCAGCATACGTGCATGCAGCTAGCAAGCACCAGTGGGTCGTTCCAAAGGGACTCGCAGATGTGCTCGATCAGCTCATGCGGGAGCTGCGGACAGTCGTCACTATGACCGCGGCGCAAGTGAGTACAAGCCATACGATCAAGGCTGATAGTGTTCATACTTCGTATATGTGGGTCGCTTAAAGCGAATTTTGATGTCGCGCTCGAATTCTTCATCTGCATATTGCTCGGCCCTGGATTCTGGCTCGTTGGACTCCGATGTGTCGGCGTCCGCTTCCGCTGCCCCAAGGACTTGCGCATCGTCCTCCAACAGTACGCCCTTGTCTGCTACAGAGGTATCCATCTGGGTCATAGTACCGTCATTCAGCAGAACCATACCAACTATAAGTAGACGCACTTGACAAATGGCGCGCCCTGTGAACCCTTCAGCGTGCGCTTTCTCGCAACGTACGACCGGATTTCCGTCTCTCTTTGGGATGAAGTCACATCAGTCGATGGCCGTGGACTGTGCATGCAGAGAACATACATGGAAGGTGAGTTGCCCAGTTAGCTTTCGGATGCGTGCGCGGGGTGGATGCGAGCCAGCCCCAAGCCTCACGCGCCGATCCTGACATGGACATGATCAATGAGATGCTCCGCGAGCCGCGCATGTCATGGAGGCTGAATGAAACCTTCACTCACACTCTGATCGACGTTCAAGCGTTCAGACAAGAGAAGACGGAATGCCCAAAGTCGGAGTTGAGGAGCAGGGCTGAGAGACGGCGTGGCTCACTTTATCGATGGGTATCAGCCAGTATTGTATACGCTTCATGGGAGAATCTCGAGGCGCCGTTGTGTTATAAGCTCGTCGCCTCGTGGTCTACCTTTTGTTATTGAACGAAGCTCAAACCGCACAGAAGCCGGGTTCCTCGGCGAGACGTGCAGTGCACACCGCGGGCAAACCAGTTTGTTCGAACTCCGAAAACCCCTACGAACATCGGTCCCGCCTGGGAACCTTTACGGACTCCGAATATTGTCAGAACATGCTGCGAACATGATGCGTTTCAGCCGATTTCAGCATGTTCGGAGGCCGAACATGCGTGTTTTCGGCGAACATGCTACGAACATGAGACACTGCGGACAAAGCAGGTTGCACGGAGCGCTTACATCGTCAGAACATTGTCAGAACGTGTATATCATCTCGAAATCCGAGTATTATCTATTTTCCTGGACCGAACATTGAAAGGCAGCCAATGAGGAGCCGTGCCTTTCAATGTTCGGTCACCGATAATAATTCATGCTCGGATTTCGAGATGATATACTCATTCTAACGATGATCTGAGACTTATCCGACGCCAAACAAAGGGGTTTGTCCGCAGTGAGAAATGTAGGAGCATTTTCGGAGTCAGTCAAGCTCTCCGAAAAGGTTCCCATGGAGGACCGATGTTATTAGCATTTTCGGAGCCCGAAAAACCTGGTTTGCCCGCGGTGGCACGGGTGACGGCGCTGAGGTCCAGGACGCGCATCCCTTGCTCGGAGAGCAAGGCTCTCGCAGGTCGAAATGAACGCTACCCCTTTCGACCGTTGTTGTTCGTTGTTTGTATTTCTCGCCATACCAGTCTTAGGGTGCCTTGTGTCGTCATCATCGTCCAACCTGACACCTCACGCGACCTGCGTCTCATCCTGCTCGTACTTAGCTGCGCCATGACTTGCTTGACTGAATGATTTCGGCCCGCCTCAGCAGTGGAGAGTCGGTCGAGCATCATGCAAAAATGCACAAGTGAACGTTTGATGTCTGTGCGTTCGACCCGCGAGAAAGTGGCGCGCCGCGATGCCTCCTCTTACGTCGATCTGCCGCGGGGCAGCAGTTGAGTACTAGTGCGGGGGTGCGGATGCGCACGGGCAAGAGTTTCGGCTCCATATGATGCACGACCAATGTGAACGCATTCACAACAACGCAAGAAACGAAGAACGAAATTAAGACTCGTACGCTCCTGTACGCTCACGCGAAACATCCGAGCAAGGCTGGCACGCCATCGCTGGCGGCATTTCGAGTTGATAGGGTAGCGTGTAAAAGGGGCCTGTAAATTACACACCACTTTTTTACATGTATTTAACGTGTAAAATACCGGTAAATTACTGGACCGCAAGGCGGGCATGTAAGAAAGGGTAAAGAACCTCGGTCACGTGTAGCTGCGGCTCGCGCCTTCACCGGGAGTGCTACAGTAACTGAGTAGGTAAAGAAGTTTCGTGTGACGCATGTGCATGGATCCTTTGCGCCTCAGAACATTGAGCTGGATGTCTGCTTCAAATTCATTCATAAAGTTGGAAGTGTGGCGCTGCTTGGGCGCGAGTTGAAGTCAGATCTGAATCGAGATAAGGGCCCCGCCAAGCGACGCACGGAGATTCAGAACACGTCCGATGATTCTCTGCAGTGTACAGTACATGAAGACCTCTGTGTCGTCCATCTGTGCTCAGGCTTCCTTCCTCCATATGCGCCAGGTAGCAAATTGCTAGGAAGGCCCTCCCTCATTCCGCAGCGCGCTCGTATTGCGCATTGTGTCGCATGTGTTGCGCGTCGCCCCGTGTCCGCCGCCTGCCCGCCGTGTCGTCGACGGTATGACAGGGACACTGACTTCTTCAATCGCTTCGCGGAGCAGGCTAGGACGGCAAACACGGAAAGCAAGCACGGTGTATTGGATGAGCTGCTCAAGGCGGAGAACGACCCAATCTACTTCCTGACGTTGTCGGGCAACGGTGAGTATGCAAACAGCACGAGCCAGCATGCGACTTCCGTACCCTCTCCGTTACCCACGGGACGATCTATGCAGCAGCTGCCTACAATCCCGCTTGCTAGGTCTCTTTATTCCTCTCGAATACCATATGCTCCTGACGGACACGCTCCACAGACAAAACGTCCGCTTTTACTAAAACCTCTAGCGAGTCCGTCTCTGCATTGCAAACGCCGGCACATGCATGCGCCCATACTCCCCGTGAACCTGATCTCCGCAGTCGCCCAGTTTGCCGTGCTTGACTCTGCAATGACGCATGGGATACCGTTCACTGCGACGCCGTTCGTGCCCACGAGCAGCGAGCCGGGGCCCGACGACGACAGGGGGTGGAACGAGGGCTTGTCAAATGAACACGAGAGAGGCAACTCGGAACGCAAGAGTGCGCCTGGTCGGGAGGAAGGATATGGCGAGCCCGGTGTCACTGCACCTGTCCGCTGTGTATCCGCCTGCTGTCCCTATCTGCCGTCCTTGCTCCTCCCTGGCTCACTCACTGTTGCCAGACCACTGCTCTTGCCGTTTGCGTCCCTCATCCCTGGGTCCCGGGCTCCTCTGTACGTCGTGGCGCGGTCCTTCAGTGTCTGTTGTATCCGCGAGCGTCACCGTATTGCTGACAGCTGTCTGGTGTTGCGTCCGTGTTGAGGGACGTCGCAACGCGACTACACCCTGTATTGTGCGTGTCACACGTCATATTGTGCATTTACCCTTGTCCGTTGGCTATGGGTGTGGCGATTGATGGAGTGACTCAATTTTTGTGTACATAAATGCGAATGAGCTGACACACAGCAAGCCAATACTGGTTCTGCTACCTCTCGAGAAGTCTGTACTCAATCACCTGTAGATGACTGTCGCAAGTCATTGTTTGTTCCTCATAGTGTCCGCTGCAACCGAGTACCGTAAGATGTGTGTAGAGTAGTACACTTGATATGAAACTGGTTTGATACAAGCTCTGTGACTACTAGTACTGCCCACAGTCAATGCTACTATGTTATATGACTGTGTTCATATACGAGTGCAGTCAGCCACGGTCCACGGAGATGGGTGTCTGCAGTGCGCCGCAGGCAGCGAAAAATCACGTGACACGTGTATCTTACTGTAAAAAACGCATGTAAACAACCTACATCTGGGGGCGAGTTACTTACCTACCGTAAGTTACCCACCTCGAGTTTCTTACGCAACCTTAGCACGCACACTCCGTGTACTTGCCTAGCTCAGATGGCTTTGCATTACTGTAGAACATGTGGTAAGGGTCCCTGTGATGTATGGTTTTTATGAGGAGAGATGATGACGGACGCGGGTAGCGGTGAGCGCAGCTCGTCCACGTTCTAAGACTTCACAGATCATCGCTGACATCCCTCGTTCCCTACTAGCCTCGTACCACTGCTGTCGTGGTCGCTGCCTCAACTCAATATCATACACCACACGATATTAGCCATACTACGTGAGTATACCTCCGCCCAACCCGTCTCATCTCGAACAACACTCATACACTAGCCCTCAGGCCTCAGGCCTCAGGCCTCAAGGCTGGGGACGCTGACCGTTGCTACGAGTTTGTTTTCTTCGACATTCTCGCCTCCGTGATAGCTCAATGTGTCTTCTATGCAAATGGGCCGGTTTCTAAGTGCGCCGTTGCGAAGTAAAACATTGCGACGCTTACCTCGGAGCTCAGACGTGAGAGAAGTTATAATCTCCAAATAGTCAAAGTGTGAACGCAGCGACAACTGCAATATTCCACGAGCCAACCACGGCGAAAACATAGTGACCATGTGAGCCTTGATAGTGGCTACCGCAGTGGGATTGTCCTGTATGTTCTTGACATCGACATCAACCAGTACACCCGTGTCGTCAGCGCGGGGCCGAGGAAGCCCATTGAATATGTCGCGGGTGAGAATGGTGTGAAAAGCAGGGATAGACTCGGCAGTACCTAGTACTGCGGGCGGCGGTCCATGCCAACTCTGGGAAAGCACCTTGAGTTGAGCTAAAGTGAGAGAGAGTTCCACGCGTTGTAGATCCGTGCTGGCAACGTCTGATAGCACGGCGCTGAGAGCACTTTGGATCTTCTGTGGCGATGGGGCAATGTCTCGAAGGACTACGGCTAATGTTCGTAGAGATGTGCTCCCTGCGAGTGATGGCGTGACCTCGAGATCTACAAATGAAGGGCAATCAGACACGTGTGCATACTACACGCAGAGAAAGTAATTGACCTAGGACCACCGAGATGTGCCACGAGAGCTTCCTGAGCGTAGGTCCAGACAGTTGGAGAACACGGCTGGTACTTGATAGAAGTGCGGTAGATGGCCGGCCTACAAAGGAAATTGAGAAGTTCACCAGCTTGCTGCATGACAGAGGGGTAGCAAGCAGCTGTAGAAGCTGCAGTGCGGATCGGTCAGGAACATCCATAAGGGTAAAGCTTGACCATGATCGTGTGTATGTGTCCTCCATGGGTACGGGAATTGCCTCCTCGCATGTAAAGATAGGGCTCGAAGTGAATTGATATAATGCTCGGAAGGAGGACAGACTGCAAAAAGGCGCCAGATATTGCCGGAGAGTTGAGAGCGAAGCAAATATTCGCAGGCCTAATGCGAGGCTCGTGACAGTGGATGAGTTCGCGGCGACCATACGCAGCAGAATTGGGCATTCGAAGACCATCACTCCCCGGCATTGCGAGGACAGGTCAAGATATCTCGGCGTGGGACCGACGAGGCCAATATACTCGAGCTTGTGTGAACGGGCCCGAAAGGCGACGTAGTCGGTGATCAGTTGCGGTCTGGGAGCCTGGTGCTGTAATGTCACGTTGACGAGATCCAGGGACGTAAGGTTGGGAAGAGCATTGATCACCCTGCGAAGATCCGTCAGACTGCGAAACCTGCAGTTGCACAGATCGAGGCTCGAGACGCTGGTGTAAGAAGACAGGTGGGCAAAGAAGATATCGTGCGGCGTCTTGTTCGACCAGTCAAGTTCATTGAGGTGCACGTGGGACACCTCTGATAGCATCCATCCAGGGATGAACATGGGCCAAACATGCGCGAATGGTTTGCTGGCGTCGTCGTAGATCCACAAATACTTGAAGTGTTTGCAATATGATGTGTTACGATGGGATATCAGCAGATGCGCGTAGTCCTGCAGGGCCTCTCGGGTTCTCCAAATGATCCCTGGTCCTGACAGAACTCGACGTGCAGCATGATACAAAGTGCAGCAAACCCGCGTGCAGCTGACGAGCACGAGGGGTTCGTCCCAAAGAAATCCACAAATGCGCTCGAGCAGCTCTTGAGGGAATCGTGGGCCCTTTTCACTGAAGAAACGGAGAGTCATAAACCCAGTATCCACCGCGATCCTCCGGCACTCGGAGTTGTGAGTCACGTACCTTGAGTATATGGGCTGCCTGAAAGGGATTGTAATCCAATCCTGCTCGGATTCTGCCCCTAAGCCCTTCTCCTCTTTCCCGGACTCCTCGCCCGTTGGCTTGCCAGGGATATCCTCCGGATCAGCAATGTGATCATCTACGTGTTCGGTCTTGTTCACCGGATTGTTCATCATGGCCGCCGTGATTCACCTGACTAGCGACTCCGTCAATACGATTATACCACATTAGAAGGATGCGTATATACCACACAGTGCGACACAGCGCTTGGAATATCAGTCAATCAAAGCCGTTGCTTCAGAGGACCGCGGATGGGTAAGTTGCGGGCAAACCGCTTGCGCGTCAGTGCCTATCCCTCGGAGTAAGTTATGCCTAGCGTTAGATATGATCACACATACACTCATTGTGCCGCATATAGCTTACCTGGCCAGCCCGCAATTCCCGGTCGAAGATGTAGCAGAACTGAACTGGTGCACGACCCAAATGCGGCCGCGATACTACTGAAAGCGACGATGACTGCGTTGTATAGAATCTGGACGCAAGACGTAGATGAATGCGAGACTTGGTAGTCGCTCCTCTAGGGCGACGGTAGCGACTGAAAGATGCGACGGGTCAGGTTGACAACTTTGTCGAAAGGACGGCACCTAATATTGCACGCGAAGCATGTCCATGCACTGCTATGTTGGCACATGACTGCAAGATTGTGACGGTAGAGACTCAGTACTCAGTACTCAAGGACGCGATGGGCCAGGTCGACCTGGTCGGCCTGGTCGAGAATCGGTCAAGAAGACGGCAAGTATGTATTGTTCTGACCGCGTTGAGGCAAGTATCGGCACATGCCGAAAAGGCGCCATTGTACTATGGAGCGGTTCACTTAGACGCCGCTCTATGTACTACTAGGAGACGATGACCGGCTTGACGGATATGACGGTCACGGGTGTAGTGACGCGCGGCGAGGGAGCACACCAGCAGCCAGCCTCGTTATTTCCGAGTGAGCTTGGAATGTCAATTGCGAGAGAGCGAGAGAAGGGAATGAGCGAGGGTGTGGGGCGCAGCCCGCAGGGCTGCCCGACTCGAAGAGTGTGCCTGGACCTGAGGGGCAACGGGTGAGCCGCGAGGGCGGGTGGGTTGACACCGCAGCCCTGCGTATCCGTTGCCTCTGCTGGGCCGCAGGGTAGACACGTCAAGCCAAAGAAATGCACACATTGAGTTTGTCGTGGCGTGTGCTGCGTGAAGAGGGTGTGGAGGGTGGGGAAAACGAGAGCTATTCGAAGCGCGTAGTGGCCGCGGGGCCTTCGAGAGCGGTCGTCCGAGTGGGCGCGCAGAGGAGAGCGATGCGCGCCTAAATCTCCTCCTGCGTGCGTAGACTCACTTCTACGCGACGCTCGTGCCTCGCTTCGCTTAGAGTCACATCTATGTACTAGGAGACGATGACCGGCTTGACGGATATGACGGTCACGGGTGTAGTGACGCGCGGCGAGGGAGCACACCAGCAGCCAGCCTCGTTATTTCCAAGTGAGCTTGGGATGTCAATTGCGAGAGAGCGAGAGAAGGGAATGAGCGAGGGTGTGGGGCGCAGCCCGCAGGGCTGCCCGACTCGAAGAGTGTGCCTGGACCTGAGGGGCAACGGGTGAGCCGCGATACCCAATATGAAGACGTCGAGTGCGGCGGCGCGTTGCGGCGAAGCCGTTACACCCAGTCCAGAAGCCGACGACCCTCGTCGTACGTGCTGTGCTCAGTGTGGCGCTCAAACTCACTAACACTGTGCCCCTCTCCGTATTTGAGGGGCCACTTGTGCTGGCTTTTCCAAGTTGCCCCTTGTCGGGCTGCCGGGCATGCGGCGTGCCCCCAACCTTGGAACCGGGACCTGTCCTCGACGTGTGGGCGACGGTACTGTCGTCCACGGTCCGGGCCCCCTGGGATCTCGGTACTGGGTGATCGCCTCCGACGCCCCTGTGCATTGCCACTGTGCTGCCCAGAGCGTCTGTTGGTGGTGACGACCACACTTAGTACTTGTGAGATGGGTGGACTGCACCCCGCGGCCCAAGGGTTCCGGTTCGCAGAGACCCACCGGATGGGTGCCGCAACTGAGCGAACATCGCTCCGAGCATCGGCCTACCAATGCTCTCCCTGAGATAGTGCTCGCGCCCGTCATCGGTGGCGGTGAGCGAGCTTCAGCAGTCGGGTGGTAGGTATAACATCGCACTCACGAAGAACGACTTGATGCAGCGGCTCAGCGTTGAGCGTGCACTGAGCGCCGGAATGTGTTTGCAATGTTTGCGTGATGCGTGCTGCATCTAGCGTGTATGCATGTATGCGTGTATGCGTGCTGCGTCCAGCCTGACTGCGTGTGATGCGTGACACGAGCTAGTACGCTCGTGCCGACACGAGCCAGAGTAAGTGTGTTGCGTGTTGCATGCTGCGTCCAGCCTGGCTGCGTGTGCAGTGTATGACACGAGCTAGTTAGGCTCATGCCGACACGAGCCAGTGTAAGCATGTTGCGTGCTGCGTCCAGCCTGGCTGCGTGTGCAGTGTATGACATGAGCTAGTAGGCTCATGCCGACACGAGCCAGTGTAAGCGTGTTGCGTGTTGCATGCTGCGTCCAGCCTGGCTGCGTGTGCAGTGTATGACATGAGCTAGTTAGGCTCGTGCCGACACGAGCCAGTGTAAGCACCGTGCTGCGTCCAGCGTGAGCGTACTCGGCAGGGCGGTGCCGCCAGCAGCGACCGGTACGCAAAATTGGGCATAGATGGAGTCTGACTAGTCTGACGGCCCAAACGGACCACCGCTGGTTGCTCGGCTGGGCGCTCCCGTCGAACGAGCTTCAGGCTCACGAAACAGAAACCGTACAACTCACTGAGAGATGCGCAGTGCATGGTACGCAGCCTGCTCTGATGTCTCGGACTGTGAGTTACAGCAGATGTATTCTGCTGTGTTGGCTGTCCTCGAGCTCCACGCGTTCGTGCGCAGTACAATCGTCTGGTCGTTGCTCACATGATCTCAGGCTTCGCAGCCGTTGGGATTGATGAGCGAAGGTTGTACCATAGTCTCTTGTAAGCTACAAGTGTCGTAACCTAGTGGAAGAAAACGAGAGCTATTCGAAGCGCGTAGTGGCCGCGGGGCCTTCGAGAGCGGTCGTCCGAGTGGGCGCGCAGAGGAGAGCGATGCGCGCCTAAATCTCCTCCTGCGTGCGTAGACTCACTTCTACGCGACGCTCGTGCCTCGCTTCGCTTAGAGTCACACACTTTCGTACAAGCTAAGCGCCTTACGTAAGCTGGCCAACTCAATCGGTCACCGACATTCCCTGAGAACATCTGGGCAGTTTAGCATGCAGAAATGCTTCCTCTGTTGTGATTTAGTACGTAAGAGCTCTAGATGTTGTTTTTATTTGCCAGATGCCCCTCACAAAGGTTAAACCCATACGGAGAGTGATCACAATAGTATTAGTTACATAAGCATATTAGCGCTAAACATACTATGTATGGAAGGTGTCACGTGAGTGGCCAAATCGATATGCCCATTTTTGGAGGATTTGAAGCTATGGGAAATCCGTCTAGAGGTTTTGTTCCTCTGGTCAATTGAAGTCGTTTGGCAAGAGGAATTGTTGGCCGGCGCTCTGTACGGGTGCGTGGTTTCCTTATACAAAAGTAGCGGTGTCTAAGTGAACCGCTCCATAGTAGCTGTAATTACAACTGAGCATCTAGGTTCGTGGTTACCCATACGGTCTCATGTCACACCTTAGGCTCGGGGTCGCTCCGCCTATCGTTCGAACTCAGCCATGCCAAGGGCACGCGAGCTCAGCCTGCACATATACGGACGTTCGTGTCCTATATCCATGAGAAATGCCCGAGTACACCATACAGAAAGTACTGTACAGCGGCGCTCACGGAACGGGGTGCCCATTATCAGATGCTGGCATATCAACATGCAACGAACAATCGGCGGGGGCGGAGGAAACAACTGCTGGAAATCGTGCTCCCACGTGAGGCTCTGGAGTGCCATCCTGACTACCGCAGCGCTGCATCGACAGTGTGCTGCAGTGCGAGGTAGGGCAGGTCCGGCAGACGGATAGTCAACCTGCTCGACAGCGCGAACCTTCTACGAAGGGTGCTTGAAGCACTCCGTGACGACCGCCGAGGACACGTCCAAGAGCGATGATCCCGCACGCGTCCAGCGCCATAACGGTGTACATCGTGCGACAAGACGGAGCTCCGCTGGGCGTAGCCCCTTATTCGGGATTGTTGTGAAGATGGACGCGCCGGAGGTCATAATATGCGCGGAGGAACAACTTGAGGGTCGCAAACTAGAGATGAGTCATGTCCTGAAGGAGCACGTCTGCAACGGTGTATGCGATCAAGGTGACTAGGAGGTCCTGATGCGTATAGACGACCTGGTAAGCGTTAGTCGCAGTCGACTGCGATTACGAGAGCTATAACTCACAAAGTGTCTTGTCGGAATGGCGGAGGCTCCTTCCGGGTCCCGCAGCGTGGACTGGGCTATGACTGTGTCATGACAAAACCACTCGAGACTACTTAACAGGGCGCCCACGATAAGGCGGAGAACGTCTGCGTGACGGAAGTGGCACCGATAGGTAGCACAGGCTGATGGAGTAGATATCTGAGGTACTTAAAGAACGCGGAGTGCGGCGCCCTCGTGGGTGTCACCCAGTCGAGCAGCGCGAATGCGAGGTGCTCCAGCGCCGGGAGGCGGCACCCAGAAACGCGCACGATGAAGGTGTGCGCCCGCGTGCTCGAGTTCGCCGAACGCACAGCTGCACAATCGCCCGTTGTACTTGAGAATGAGCATGCGCATAAATTCGTGCACAGTCGCGGTGCTGCCTAACATCGCGCGCGGCAGCACTGGGCGAGCAGCACAGGCAAGTTGTAGAGGCAGACGCGCTATGACTTCGATGAGCTCTGGTAGCAGGGCCGGCGAGGCGTCCCTAGATCGAAGCAATAGACGCATTGGTGCTTTGGAGGAAGACCGATGTAGATTGAACGCACCTCGCATAGATATGGCTAGCCAAAATGCAACTCTGTCGACCATCGCTTCCTCCGTCATCCTGAAAGACTCTATCACATCTCAAAGCTTGTCTCAGATGCAGGTTAGTGGCCAAAGACACATCTGGTAATCAAACGCACCTTTCGTAAACGGAACTGCCAAACAACTCTATACCACGTACACGCGCGTCAATGACGACTCGGATGCCGCGCCGGCAGTGCTTCTTGCACAATTGAAAAGTACCCGTACGTGTCCGTGAGCATTAGTACTTCGTTATCGTCACATTGACACTCACCCAGAATTCGCGTAGATCGTGGGTCGTACAACATAGTGCTGCAACCAACGGCATTCGCCCGACCCCTTCACGCCAGTGTCCGTCTCTCTCATACTCTCGTGGGCTTCATTCTACTGCTTCGTGCCTACGGGTTTGGTTTTTTCGACGTCCTCGCCTCCGCGATCACTCGATGTGTCCTCTATGGAGATCTATGCAAATAGGCCAGTTGTAAGTGCGCTGTTGCGAAGTAAAACGTTGCGACGCTTACCTCTAGCTCAGATGTGGGAACACAAGTGATAGTCTCGTGACCGTCAAGGTGTGAATAGAACGTCAACTCCACTATTCCGCGTTCCAACCACGGCGTAAGAATGGTGATCACGACGGTTTTGATAGCAGATACCACGGTGGGATAGTCCTGTACGTCGCTGGAGCTGAAATTCAAATGAATCTGTGCACTCCTCTCTCGAGTGAGCAGCGGAAGCCCATTCAATGTATTGCGCGAGGGAATGGCGTGAAAGGCGTAGATAGACTCGGCAGTGTCTCGTACCGCGGATGGCGATTCATGATCGTGACTTTGAGGAAGCTCGAGGTGAGCTGCAATTAACTCGACGGCCAGGTACTGCAGATCTATGCTGGCAATGCCTGATAGCATGGCGGTGAGAGCGCTGGCCATCTTCTGTGGTGATGGGGTGATGTCCCGCAAGACTACGGATATCCCTCGCAGACATGTATTCCCTGAGAGTGACGGCATGACCTCGAGACCTATAAATGGAAGCAAACGGCAATCAGGCACTGCATACTACACAGAGAGAAAGGAATCGACCTGGGGCCACTGAGCTTTGCCAAGAGAAATTCTTGAGCCTAGGTCCGGATGCAAGAAGCACACGGCTGGTACACGATAGAATTGCAGCAGATGGACGGCCCACAAGAGAGATCTGGAGAGCCTCCAGTGTGTTGCGTGATTGTGAGGTAACAAGCAGTTGCAGAAGCTGCAGTGCGGAGCAGTCAGGAGCATCTATAAGGGTCAAGGCTGACCAAGAGAGTATGTGTGTGCCCTCCACATGCACGGAAACTGTCTCCTCGCTAGAAGTCAAGGCAAATCCGTACCATGTGCGAAGGGTGGACAGACTACGAAAGTGCGTCAGATATTGCAAAAGCGCTGAGAGCGAAACAAATATTCGGAGGTCTAACGCGAGGGCCGTAACGGTGGTTGAGTTCGCGGCGACCATATGGAGTAGAGTTGAGCATTCGAGGACCATCATTCCTCGAGAGTCCGCGGACAGGTCAGGATGCTTCGGAGACGGGCCGTCAAGGGAAATACTCTCGAGCTTGTGCGAACGGGCCCGAAGACTGTAACCAGGTGTCGTATTCTGTCTGAGGGGGTGCTGTAATCTGACGTTGTGGAGAGCTAGCAATGTAAGGTTGGGAAGGGCGTTGATCACCCTGCGAAGATCCGTGAGACTTCGAAATTTGCAGTCGTGCAATTGTAGGCTCAAGACGCTGGTGTAGGAAGACAGGTGGACGAAGAAGCTGTCATGCGGCGTCTTGGCTGACCAGTCATGGTTACAGAACGCCACGAAGGACAATTCTGGTAGCATCCATCCGGGTACGAACATGGGCCAAACGTGTGCGAATGGCTTGCTAGTGTCGTCGAGGATCCAAAGAGTTTTGAAGCGTTTGCGATATGGCGCATTGCGATGGGATATGAGTGTATGTGCGTAGTCTTGCAGGGCCTCGCGGCTTCGCCAGGTGATCGAATCCTCTGGTAGAACTCGCCGTGCAGCATGATACCAAGCGGGGCATATGCGCATGCAGCTGATCGCTAGCTGGACTGGTTCGTCCCAGAGGCATTCGCAGATGCGCTCGATGAGCTCTTGCGGTAATCGTGGACCCGTATCGCTGAGGAAACGGAAGGTCATAAACCAGGTATTCACCCCGATCCTCTGGGAGCCGGAGCCGTGAGCCACGCACCTTGAATATGTGGGTTGCCTGAACGGAATCTCAATCTCGCGCCGTTCGGGGTCTGAGCTTGAGCCCTTCTCCTTTCCGGGATCCTCGGCCGTCAGGTTGTCAGAAATGCCCTCCGGATGAGCAATCTGATCCTCTACGTGTTCGGTCTTGTGCACCTGGTCGTTCATCGTGATCACACTAGATAGCGGGTCAGTCAATAAGGTTATGCCGCATTATAGGGATGAGTGTATACCGAACATAGTACTTGGAAGGCTATTGGTCAATCAAAGCCGTTGCTTCGTATGCTCACTGGTGGCGAAGTTGAAAGCGACTCAACCGCTCTATCCCCAGTATGCCGCGCCTACGTTAGACTTGATCATACACTCATCGTGTCGCACATAGCTTACCTCAGGCTAACCAGCTCGCAGTTCTCGGTCGAATAGGTAGCAGGACTGAACTGCCCAAATGCGGCCGCAATTTGGAGGCGGTCGTGCGCGAGGACGAGGGGAAGGTGACGCGCGCCGCACGTGATGGGCGCGTTCGAGGCGGTCGCCCAAGGCGTCCTTCCCTCCTCGTCCTCCTCTTCAGCACCGCATTCATGGCTCTCACTCACTACTACGCTTCTCGGTACTGGAGACGTCGCCCTCAATCCCACTTTTCCCGATCGCCGACGGTCTGCCCAGTCAGTCTGAGGTTTCAGTCTGGTTGTCCCAAGACTCTCCCAGCTTCGTGTCCGCTCCAACATTCCCCATCGTCCTGTACCCCTGGTGAACTACGGACAGGGAACACTTGAATGTGCAGATGGAAACCTCACAGTTACATACTGAGCATAATCCTGCCGCATCTACCGCTCTCCGGTACCCTCAACCAATAGCAACCTGAGCTACACACGCATCTTTTGGACCACACGACGGAACAGGTCGCTACGACCAGAACACGCGCTTCGCTTCAACTAGCTGTCCGCTCTATAGTGCCGTCAAGTGGTACCGCGTCGAAGGTGGCGGCCTTCTGCCAGGCGTTCAGGCAGAGAAGATGGGAGGGCTCCGAGTCTACAGCAGGAGGCGGCGACGGTGAAGGGATGATACAGTCAGTGCGATTCGTTTGCATGCGATCAAATAGTACTGACTAGCAACTTACCTGGCTGTGCAGCTGCTGGTGCGGCAGTAGTGGCAGAACCTTGCTCGTCGGCCTGGCATGAGGTACGAGCATTACTTTCTCAAGGGTAGCATACAACTATGCGGGTAACGTCTAGTGACGTGGTATGACAGATTGCCAGTGTAACAGTCGTCGCGCAGTATGTTCAACCTGGAAATGTCACTTTCTATTCCCTTCCGCTTGTCGCAATTGCTTGACGGAACATCTGTGTAATCCTAACAACATTCTGAAGCAGACGCACGGCAGCCGTTCTCGTACCGACAAACTAGTACACAACACGACACAGACAATACATAGACAGCAACACTCCGTTCGTGAAACCTGCAGGCAATCCAATCGGCGGCGACACGAGCGTATCGTATAACACAACCAGTAAGCTCGTATCATGACATCACAGGGAGTAGCTTACAGAAGCACCACAAGCAGCTCTATCGAGAACAAGAATATACGACATATCAAGGAAGCGCATTTCAAAGGGTGTTCATGTATCGATAGGTTCGCCGAACATCAGTCCGTCGACCGTCCGTCCGTCTGTCGCTGCATCCCTTGGGTGAGCATCCAGCGATGACAGCCTATACAGCAACGTACGACGTACACGTCAAACCCGTCATCCTCCAATACACTCAACTGCTCCTCTCATTCTCGCTGCCCGACTCCGAGCGTGACTCAGATTGCGCAGGTGCGTCTCCGGTGTCTGCTATTTCGTCCTGACCCGTGTCGCCTCCTTGATGTTTGTCCGCGTCCTCGATCGCGCTTCCGACCTCCTCGCGAGGGGCCTCGACCGTGTCCGCGCCTGCCACTATTACTTCGTGTGCGACTTCGGAGCCCTCTGCTGACTGTGAATGCTCGGTATAGGCCGTTTCCTGCCCTTGCGGTGATTCATCAAGCAGAATAGCGGCCGTGGCCCCGCTAGCGGCTGGCGCACCGGGTGCATCTGGTGTCGCGGTTGAACTGGCTGCTCTGACTTGCATCTCGATGTCGGGAGTCCGACGTCGAGGTGCGAGTCTATGTGCTGCGTCAATGCTAGAGCAAACTCGTCATCGGTAATCGAGTACAGCTGCAGTGCAAGATGCATTGCTTACAGGGACTGGGTAATAGATTGCTTCGGAGTGTCTGTTCGTGGCTCCACGGAGTCCCAGGGCCGCTCGTCGCCAGCTTCCGATGTAGGCTCTGGGCCAACCGCCTGCGGGGAATTGTCTCTTCGATCACCTTCGCTCTGGGGCTGATCTGGGGTGCATTCGAGCCATCCATCCCTGTCGCAAGTGTCAGTGTACTTATACTCCAGGTACTCTGTTGTACTGGGCTCTCAGAGAAATGCGAATGAGGAGACTCGGCGGGCGGACAGCGGACGACAGACCAGGTGGCAGCGTTGGGCCATATGCGAGTTGTCAGACGCGCTGACGACGCGGTCGACGCGCGACGCGGTGTGCACGTGATAGGCGAGCCGGCGGACGGTTCCGAGAACATCGGACGCGCCTGAGGAGGAGGAGGAGGAGTTCGTTGCCCCTCCACTCGAATTCTGCTGGACAGTCGCACCGGTCTCCGGTTCAGCTCTGTCCTCCGACCTACACAGCACATCCCGATCGCCTGGTAGTACCTATGACGCGACACAGAGTCAAGCGAATGAAGAGCTCTGTCATTGACTTCCCCAATGGACACACCGTCGAATTTTCCTCTTCAGACCCGGTGTCTGCTCGACTGTCCTGCTCCTACGCGCCTACTAATCGCCTCGCACTCCTGGCGAGATCTACGCAGACAACGCCCGCATATGAAACCGAAAACCGCTACCCTCGACCTCCCCGAATAGAAGCCCTGTTGGATTCCCTTTTTTCAGCCCCGCATCGTACACCAGGCGCTCGACATCCAGAAGAATTTAACGCAGCTTCGTCAGAGAGTCGTCGCACCAGTTATGTAAGTGATATTATACCTCGCACTGCTCTTCATGCTCTGTAGTCGCTGCTTATAAGTACGGGCGATGGACCGTCTCTGAAGGTCAAACACTACCACGGCGCCATATGGGGCTACAAACGGTATGCGCCAGGAGAGCTGTTCAATATCCCAAGGTGCGTGTTTGTGATTCCACACGAGCTTACTTGTAGTAATTACTTCTACAGACCACCGCGTGATGCGCATCATGGTGTACATTGTACATGCTGCGATCGACCCCTGTCTGCCCGTGATACCGTTCAGACCTGGGATAGGCAGGTTCTGGTCTCCGGGAGGTAGGCCCTTACACTTCCTTGGCTGACGCCCACCGTCCTTGCGCTGTGCTCCGAGAGTCGTCTTCCTACTCAGTCATGCCGTTCTCGCAGATACATGCGTTGCTGCGGCCAATTCGTCAACGGCCCAGTTTTCTTGCATGCAATAATACGAATGACTTCCAAGTGGACGCGTCAGCATACAGGGTTCTTCGATGTGAAGCTTCGAGGGTGACGTCGCGATATGTACTGTGCGGTCACCTTGCCCTCGACAAAACATGTTCAATAATATCATGATGTGACTGCGATCAGTACAAGGTCGTACCACTGTCCTCTGCGACCAATGACATCCACCCGACGCCCTGCATGCCAAGTTCTATCTCTCCCATCCCTCGTGAACCTCGTTCTACTGCTTTCCTACAAGTTTGTTGTTTTCTTCGACCTTCTCGCCTCCACGACCGCTCGATGTGTCTCCTACGGACATGTACAAATAGGCCGGATTGTGAGTTCGCCGTTGCGAGGTACAATGTTACGATACTTACCAGTGAGCTCAGTTGTGGGAACAAAAATGAGTCTTTGGAGACATATTCAGAACCGAACCACAACAGCACTATTCCACGATCCAACCACGGCGTAAACAGAGTGACCACGTAGGCTTTGATAGTGGCTACCGCGGTGGGATTGTCCTGTATGTTCTTCACTTCGATTGATACACCCGTGCTGAGGGTGAATAACGGAAGCCCTTTGAATGTCTCGCGCGAGAGGATGGTGTGAAAGGTGGAGATGGACTCGGCAGTGTCTCGTATGGTGAATGGTGTTACATGACTCGGGGGAAGCTCGAGGTAGGGTGCAGTGAACCTGATCCTCAGGTACTGCAGATCCATGCTGGTGATGTCTGATAACACGGCCGTGAGAGCACTGTGGATCGTCTGTGGCGATAGGGGAACGTCCCGAAGGTCTACGGCTAACTCTCGCAGAGATGTATTACCTGCGAGAGTCGGCACGACCTCGAGATCTACCAATGTAAGCAAATGGAGATCAGGTCCATGTGCGTACTAAACATAGAGAGGAAATTGACCTGGGGCCACCGAGATGCACCACGAGAGCTTCCTGAGCGTACGTCCGGACAGTTGGAGCACATGGCTGGCACAGGCTAGAAGTGCGGAAGACGGCCGGTCCACAAGATTGATGTCGAGAATCTCCAGCTTGTGGCATGGCAGAGGGGTTGCAAGTAGCTGTAGAAGCTGCGATGCGGATCGATCGGGGACGTCCATCAGGGTAAAGCTTGACAATGAGTGTATGGAGGCGTTCTCCGTGCATGCAGGAGGCGTCTTCTGCACCGTCGGAATGGGGCTCAAGGCGAACTGGGACGTTGCTGTGAAGGTAGACAGGCTGCAGAAATGCGCCAAAAGTCGCCGAAGACTTGGGAGCGAAGCAAAGAATCGCAGGTCCAATGTGAGCTTCGTGACAGTGGAAGAGTTCGCCGCTATCATATGCAGCAGATCTGGGTAATCAAGGGCTGTTGCTCCCGCATAGTCCGAGGACAGGTCAGAATGCTTTGCGAGACCGCTGAGAGAAATATCCACGAGCTTGTGTGAACGGGTTCGGAGAGTTATGTGCTTGGGCACTGAATCTCGTCTGAGGGGGTGCTGTAACGTAACGTTGGAGAGATTGAGCGACGTAAGGTTGGGAAGGGCATTGATCACCCTGCGAAGATTCGTTAGACTGCGAAACCTGCAGCCGGATATGCTTAGCTGCGAGACGCTGGTGTACGCTGATAGGTGGATAAAGAAGCTGTCGTGCGGTGTCTTGGTCGACCAGTCAAGGCCACTGAGCCCCACGACGCTCAATTCCGGTAGCATCCATCCGGGGACGAACATAGGCCAGACGTGCGCGAACGGCTTTCTGGCGTCGTCGTAGATCGACAAATGTGTGAGTTGTGTGCGATACGGTGCATTACGATGGGATATCAGTGTATGCGCGTGGTCCTGTAGAGCCTCTTGGGTTTGCCAGCTGATCCATGGTGCAGACAGAACCCGCCGGGCAGCATGATACCAAGCGGGGCAAACACGCTTGCAGCTAACCGCTAGCTGGACCGGTTCGTCCCAGAGGCATTCGCAGATGAGCTCGATCAGCTCTTGAGGGAATCGCGGGCTGGTGTCGCTGAGAAAATGGGGATCGTTGAACAACATATTCATTCGGATCCGCGACACGCACCTTAAGTATACGGGTGATCTGAAGTCAATGTCCATGTCCCAATGCTTGGAACCTGAGTCCGCGCCTTCATTCCCTAGCTCCTCGACCGTCAACTTGTCAGACTTGTCCTCTAGACTAGCAACCCGATCCTCTGTGTGCTCGGTTGTTTGCACCGAATCGTTCATCGTAGTCTTCAAAGACGAGCTACATGACGAGTCTATCATTGATAGCAAACCGCACCAAGGAGATATGTCTACCGTGACCAAACACAGGGTCAGAGGGCGTTACTCCTGACTGTTCTACGCCGTTGAAGTGATTGGGAGCCTATTGCGCGTCGATTCCTGTTCGAGGTATGCCTACGTCAGAGTCAGTCATCTCTTCATCACGTAGCAAATCGCTTACCTAGGCAGCTCTTCAGTTTCGCACACAGTGGGACTGAGCTAGTGCACGACCCAGATGTGGTTGCACCTGCAATCAGTGTATAGGTGCGAGATGTGGATATTCGACTCTAGAGTGATGCGAGCGACTCAGGGATGCGATGTTGAGGGGCAGGACATCGAGTCGATGAGGATTCGAGGAAGGCACAAGGAAGGCAGCACTTGGGCAGCACCGTTATGAATGCAAGGCATCGTTGTCGGCGCATCACCGCAAGGCGCCTAGGACTTATCACCTCGTGTGGGATACTGTAGGGCAGTGCATTCGGAGTTCGCGTCTACCCGCACGCTGTACCACACGCAAGATTTGTGGTCACTCCACGCGCTGTCCACGCTTAGCCCCAAGTCGATCAAAGAAACATAACACAGTACTACGACCTGACGCGCCGGAAGCTCTGGTCTCATTCTCCGATACCGGTGTCTGACTGTGATGCGGCACGGTATGTTCCACCCTCGCACTAACGATCGCGTGGGCAGATGATGAGCTCTCCAGTGTGAGACAGAACGCCCCGAGCCAACCAAGGCGCGAAGTGAGGATCCAAGAATGTCTTCAGGCCAAACGCCAGCAGCGCGACGTTCGAGTCTTCAGTGGATTATCGCCTGACAGTCTGGGCCGTGACTGGAGAGCCGAGCAGGTAAAGGGCGTGTGTCAAGTGACCAGTCACGGTGGAAGAGCACGGCATGGAAGCGGCGAGCGCGTCGGGATCGGGGTCATCCGCATTGACCCTGGGTACCCTCCAAGTAGATCGCAATGCGCATTCCGCGCCGCCGCAGTTGCGCAGTGCTCACTTGTGAGAATAGCGTTAGGAGCATTTTGTAGAGCCACGTCACGCTCAGCGGCGAGGCTGCGGTATGAGGTACTTCCAGCCCCTTCAGCTCAGTGGCGTGCGCGTACGCAGGGAAAGCGCAGGGAGTCACAGCGCTCGAATGTAAGTGGGCGGTGTAGTAGCGACGAGGGCGGTGGGCACTCACCTCTGCTAGAGGGTACAGCGCTTGGGATCGTTGCTCCCGCGCGAACCTCTTGAGTTCCGTCCCCGACTGCCGCCGCGCCACACCAGCGAGGACGAGCTGCCATGCAGCTGGGGGCGGATCCGACAGACGGATCTCGAGCTGCTCGTCGCCGCGACACTGATGCCAGACGTGTTTGAAGCAATCCGTGGCGAACGAAGAGGATACGTCCGGGAGAGACATCGCGCAGAATGCCCTGACAGTGTCCGCCGAGTGACGAGTTGAATCTCCGTCGGGCGTAGCGCCCCAGTCGGGATCGTTGTGAAGATGGACACGTCGGCGATTCGATCATGCGCATAAATGACTGGGGGTGTGCAGATGAGAAAACTGGTGTCGTATCCAGAAGAAGTGCACTTACATTAGTGTATGCGACCCGATGCTCTGAGAGACGAACTGGAGGGCGACATGTAGTCGCGGCCGACCGAACCCATGACCCATGTCTCGCAGAGCTTCTTGTTCAGATCAAAGCGGAAGCTCCCTCGCACACCATTTGGCTCCTGCGATGCTGGCCGGAACGTGAGCGTGTTGATGGACAGCTTTTTGGGACTGAGAAGGGCGCCAGAGATGAGGCGGAGGGCGTCCGCACGACGGAAGCTGCACCCGCAAAGGGACGGACGGGTAACGGACGCGAAGCACGCAAGGTAACTGAAGAACGCTGGGCGAGACGCCTTCGTAGGGTACTGTGGGCTGCTCTAGTGCCGAGAGGAGGTACCCTGGTACGCAGATGGAGGATGCCTGCGCGTACGGCGCACCCGGGTACTCAAGCATCTCGAGCGTGGCGACCGCATGACTGTAGATTTGCCAGTTGCGCTTGGACAAGAGCACGCGCACCAAGTCGCTCAGAGCTGCCTACCGTCGCGCTCCGGTCAAGGCACGCGCGACATACGAGGCAGCACTGGACGGGCTCGTTCCAGAGCGACTTAACTCGCGATGAACTCGATGGTCTCTTTGAGAGGACTGGATATTCTTCGCTGGATCGGGGCGATCAATGTGTTGGCGGTTGGACGGAGGAATAACATGTGGATGCAACGCACCTGGAATAAATGGCTGGCCGGAATTAAATCTTGTTACGCGTCCCTTCATCCAACATTCTGAGCGGTTTCTTGTGACGAACTGCATTCAAGCCACGAGCATCGCGAGGGCATATCCGGCAGTCAACTCACCTGTATAGCTCGATACGATGTTGATAGGGGTATTGAATTATCTAAAGCTTCCTGGAGTCAGCCCGCAGATGTTAGCTTATACCGAGCTTGATCAAGGCAGTCTCACCAGCAATGTTGCGCCGTGCAATGGCCGGAGATTGGCTGGCCATCGGACGGACACAACTGAACGGAAACCAAGCAGGACGAGGGCTGCCGAGCACTGATTCTAGGAAGTCGGTCTCACAGCACTTGCGATGCACTCCATATGCGCACATGCCCGTTCAAACGTTAATGCTCATTAGATGAGCCCCCGCGATGAGGATGTTGCAGTGGCTATGCCGGACAGAAGGAAGACACCTAGTCGTACACTCCGCGCGATTCATAAAATGCTACAGCTTCGATGCGACAGAGTCCTTCATACCGGCGCATATCTGAGCCAGACCTTCCCGCGTGCGGACAGCCATAGGCGTGCTTTTCCTCGTCTCGCTGTCCACGAAGACGTGCGTGTACCCACCCACCGCACCGGGCACGTCCTGTCCCTCTTCGAATACGGCTACCTCGTACGTCACGGAGCTTTTCCCGAGCTTCGTGACGCGTAGGCCGAGATCCAACACGGCAGGGAATGATACTGGCGAGTAGAATCGGCACGAGGACGAGATGACGAGCCCGATTTGGTTTGAGCGTGTCGGAGACAGACCGCAATGCGTGATCAGGTAGGTATTGACGATGGAGTCGAATAGATGGTAGTAGATGGAGTTGTTGACATGCGCGTACTGGTCGTTGTCGCTCCTGTAGACATGTGCGTTAGACAGAGACGTGCGGGAGGCAGTGATGAGCTGACCAGCGCGTGCGGTAAGAGAGGAAGTAGGCATAGTCAGATCGGCGGAGTTGTTTCAGTCCGTCATTATCGCCCATGTCGAGGATGGAAAACAATCCCAGGTATCGCTCCAGGACCTTTGTGGAAGGAGGCGAAGCAGGTGGGGAGCCGCGTCCCACGTGACCAACGCGTCCCACAGCCGTTCGCGCGACGCGCGGTTCAGCGCTTCGAAGGGTTTCTCCTTAACCACCATCTACCCTGCCAGTGCTCTCCGACTTGATCGTTCGCCGCACAGCCCTTCTCACAGCTGCTCGTCTATTTGCTTTCTGCCCCATCATCTTCTCTGCTCGCAAAATGAGTGCTCGTGTTCCGTTCATGCCCCAACGGCCTGCTTCTCGTCAACAGCAAGCTCGCTCCGAAAGCTCAGCTCCTCCGCCTACTCATGACACCTTCCGCCCGAACGGGCTGCTCTCTGTCAGTACCTCTTCCCTCCCGGACCCCTCTCACGACTCGGCGGCCTCGAAAGACACGCATATACCCAGCCATCGCAGCGCCGAAGCTGCTCTGAAGGCCGCAACCAACAAACCGCTCAACCTCGCCGGACTCGCCAAGCGGAAGCCCGCTCCTCAAGCCAACGGTGCCTCTATACCAGGTTCAAATCGCAAGTCGTTTGACGCAGGAGACTTTCGCTCGTCCAAGGCTTTCCTGGCACCGAGCGAGGCCTACCGCCTGTCCACTACAGGCCCTCGTCCGTCCTCTCCGTTCTTCCCTGGTAGCACCGCCTCTGGTCCTGGCTACGTCTCTACCAATGAGTTCCGCCCGCCGATGCTCCCTGCGCCGTCTAAGCTGCATGCTGCTTCTTCTGCCGACGACCTGAACGCAAACCACGCGCATACAGCCACCTCCGCTGACGCTCCCGGCGACGGCAACGTGCCCTCCACCAACGGTGACAATTACGGAGGACTGTACTCTTTGGGCTTGAACGCCTCCGACCGTGGCCATCTCCGTCGGCGCACCGCTTCTCATCCGTCTCTCGAGAAGATTAACGAAGCGGACGACGAGGACGCTGGACAACTTGCTGGCCATGCCCAGGATCCTCGGCTCTCTCATGGCTACCCCGAGGACGGCCCTACAGGCTCGGACGACGGTCGTTCTGAGGTGTCCCAACATGGCCTGCGTCGCTCGACGAAGCGGATCCATCAACAAGACTTCGAAGAGGACGAGTTCACATATGGGAACCAGGCGAAGCGATACAAGGCCAATGGACATGGCGCGCCGGTGAGTCAGGTACCTAATATGATCTCTTGACTCGGCGCGGTGGACTTCATCGCACTTCTGACTTGCCCTGCAGGACGACTTCGGGACTCGCTACTCGCGCGGGCCCACCCCCGACATCCGCGGCTTTCCCGCGTCCGAAGATTATGACGATGGCGCTCTACCTGCCTCCAGGGCCCCTTCACAGCACCCCGAGCGGCCGTACTCGCGCATGTCGGAGGTCCACGTCCACCCGCAGGGCGCGCCCTTGGATTCTACAGGACGCGGAGAGGCGCTTTACAAGCTGCTCGGGCAGGATTTGGGGGCGTTCGTCGATGGGCATGTGGACGCGTACGAGGAGGCGAAGAAGAAGTGGTCGGAGTGCTCGATGGACGAGTGGAGGGCTGGTGCGGACGGTGAGCTCACGCGTATTCGGTATTGGTCGTCGAGGATGGCTCATCAAGGCGGATGGACAGAACTCACGACGAAGTTTGCGAAGATGCTCGACTTCGTATGTTGTCTGTTATTCTGACGTGGCCATCGCTTCTGACATCTGTCAACAAATATAGGTCAAGGACCATATGACGTACGTTTCTAGGCCGCTGTCTCGGATTTGTCTGCTCGAGTGCTATAGCTGATATTTCTGCAAAGAGAAAAGCTGTCCCTGTATGCCTCTCTCCATTCTGCTGTCGCTTCTCACAAGTCCGTGCTCGCCGAGCGAGAGAAGACGCTGGCGGAAGCCAGGGAGAGCTTGGTGAAAGAAGGAGGTGCGGTTGTCGGTGGCAGCGCAGTCGCCTCTGCTGTCCAGCCAGAGAAGCAAGGCGCGGAAGATTAGACACGGACACTACTCGCGCCTCAGTCTGTGTGCTCGATGTGCTGGGAGTCTAGGACAGTACAATATGGTATATCGCTGCGAACACGTAGATGGCTGTTGTACACACGCACGTAGATTCATTCCTCGCCACTCAGGGGCCTCACGCCGCCTTCTCAAGGAGCTCCTGCACGATCTTCACCGCCCGCTTGAACTTCGCCTTGTCCTCCTCCGTCGCCTGCACCGTGCTCCTGCCCGTCCCGCACCCCGCAGGCCCGCCGTTCATCCACATGAGGTCGTCGCTCCCGAACGCGATGCTCGTGTCCAGCCCGTAGATGTCCTCGCTCCCGGGCGGCTGCTCCGTCGGGATCGACTTGAGGATCCCGTGCAGCTCGCCGACGAGCGTGGTCGCCCCCGCGTCGGTCGCGGAGAGCGTCTTGCGCTCCTCGTCGGACAGGGAGGGCGTGCCGTCGGGGCGCACGGCGGCGGTGATGTTCCAGGCGGGCTGGGAGGGTGTCCCGGTGATGGTGTAGATCGCGCTGGGGGTGGGAGGCGCGAAGCCTCCGGTGATGCCTGCGTTCAGAGACGGATGGATAAGTCAGTTCTGTGCACACGATGAGGGGCGATGGGGTGGTACCGTGCTGGAGGCGCAGCGAGAATTCAGTGGGAGCCATGGCGGTCTCGGTGAGAGACTGAGCGGTGTGCTGGATGTGTGGGTGGATGGCGGTGGGATTGGGACGCGATGGTTATCTGGGCCTCTTTATAGAGGGAAACTGTGCATTGTCGGGTTCCGGATACGTGCTCCTCGGCACGACGCGCTCATGCGCGGTTGTGGCGGAAGCGCCGCGCCAGTGGCGCTGCGTACACGGTCACGTCATGAGGTACGCCTTCGCTGCGCCGCTCTTGAAGTTCCTCCTAACTTACTTAGTAGATATGATATGAGTACTTGGTACTACTTCTTTTTCTCGAGCCAGGCCCATAGTGGCTTGTACATGTCATTGCCCTGGCACCTCTCACGGCGCGATCAACGATGCACGAATGGAGGTACTCACGTAGTTCGGACAACGAACAGCCCGTGGTGACAGAGGCAGGTCCATCGCAGCATTTGTCATTCCAAGGGCAGCGTGTCCATGGTGTGTGGCCAGGGCGATTGTAGGTACACTGATTCTGAGTTCGAGATAGGTCGCAGCCCCCCTGACGATCTCTCGGATCTGCCGGGTCATCATGTCCCTGCTCGCCCCGCCGGCACCTACGCTTCCTCCACGTCCGCCTGCCCCTGCTTCTGGATCCCGACCACCTCACAGCCTTCATGCGCGAACTGTCCTAGAGCGCGCAGTGCTCACACTCCTTCCGCGCCGCCGCCTCCTGGTTCGACGTGCTTCCAGAGGGATGCGTCACCGTCAATATGTTCACCGAGGAAGACTTCATCCAGGGCGACGCCATGCCGCTCGCCGAATTCTCCGCCATCCAGTCGATCATCGTCCTTCTATTCGAGCCGTGATCGCGGCGCGGGATCGGGAGCGTGGCCGATCACACAGCACCCTCGCCCCGCCAGCGGCGCACAATCGAACGCGCAAGATCGAGCTCATAATAGACCATGACCTGTGTGAGGTCAACCCACCTGTCATACCGTCGGAATATGTCTTGCCTGCTGCTGCACTCGCTGGTCTCACTCCGAACGACGCGATGGTAGTCAGCAAATAACGCAGTCCTCCTTGAAACTGAGATTATACATCGTCTTATCGACTGTCTTTTCGATCCTCTTCCAGTCCGCCCGTCGCTGGATGAACTCGTATACGTCCTACGGTAGAGGCGTCAGCGACCGGCAGGACTGACTACGCATTCGCATACCTCTGGCTTGTAGGCGCCTCCGTAGCGTGTCACATCGCGGACAATCTGCGCAAGGTCTTTCGCATCTTCGACGACGTAGACGTGCCCGAGCATCTTGAGGTACGAGAACTCGGATGCAATGCTGCTGACCTGCGTCCAAACTCAGCACGAAAACGACAGCCCGATACTCCGCACCCCGTACCTTTAACGACGCGATGAAGGTATGGTACGCATTGAGGTCGGCGATGACCTGGAAGCCACCGTTCAGCGAGATGATCTGCCGCTTGAGGTGTTTTTGGAGGATGCTATGACCATGCTCAGACTGTGCTTCCCCATGTAACGTGTCGCAAGACAACTCACGCGATAAGTCGGATACCGATCTCTTGATAGAACACCTCGAGGACTTCCTTGCTTGTGCTGCCCTTCAGCAGCTGACAATGCATCTTCAAACACTGAATCGCCTCGACGCAGCCCTTCGTCGGACCAAGCTCGAGCGGAGCGCCCTCTTGCGGGTAGTATGCTCGAGGTCCCGTGAGCTTCGAGATGATATGCTCAACCTGTGCGATTCGATGACGGTAAGAGGCCGTAGCAGAGGTGCCGGATAGACTGCTGCGTACCTGGTTCATCAGAGCATCCGTGCCCGCGTTGAGGCCGGCAGCGACGCAGTCGTCAAGGACATCCTCGAACCGCTTCTTCTCGCGAACGACCGAGTTGAGGAAGTCCGTCCGATCAATGTGCGGAGCCTAACCCATTACCTTGAGCCATCCGCTTCAGTGAGGTCCAGAAGAGCCACGCACCAGTTCCTTGTCGAAGTACACCTGAACCATGCTCTGGATGGTGTCTCCCATGTGCACGAGCTCGAAGAACTGCAACAGCGGCGCGACACTCCTCGTCTCCTCGTGTTCCGCAGGCTGGTACGTTCTCATCTGTTGCGTCGCTCTATCATACGCGCATCAACATCCCTTCTATCCCGGTCAAGCCAATGCGGGACCCACGAGTCGAAACCAGGTTTAACATGTCGCTCGCCAAGTGCCTGCAGAAGGAGCACGAAGATCTCTTCGATCGTGTCACGCACCCGGTGGCCGTACTGCCCCGGGTACCCTGAGAAAGTCTCTGCGCGCTTGAGGGACTCGCGGTCCGCGTGGATGAGCTCGAGCGCAACATCGATGGACAGCAGGAGGTCAAACTTGTCGAAGGACGTCGGCTGCGGGGACGGTAAGGGCACCGATGTGCGCGTCGAGGTGGACGTCGATGAAGAAGTGGTCTTGGAGAGGATCGACGGTGCAGGCTGCGAGTGGGCGGTAGTGCTCGAGGATACAGACCCTAGCGCATGCGTCAGTACACCCACCATCCCATCCCATCCCCACTCACATTGGTCTGTCTTCTCGTCATCAACGTCTGCGTTCACGAACTCCCCCTCGTCTTCGCCATCGCCGTCCGCCTCCTCATCCGCATCCCCAATCTCGAACAACGTGCTCCCGTCCTTGCCCTTCTCAAAGTCCTGCGTGTACCCATTCTTCTTATAGTCCACGCTCCCGCGGCTCTGTCTCCACGGGCTGAGCTTCGAGAACCGCTTTCCAATGCCCCCGCCGCTGCCGCCCTCGACGCTATTCGGGGCTCCTGTGGCAGTACCGCCCCACTTCTGCGGGTTCAGCATGGATATGCCCTGCACGGCAGCGGATCCACCAGCTACGACGGCCTTGCCGACCGTTGCCGCTGTGCGCGGCACGATTGTGACGGGCAGGAGGAGGACGTCTGCGAACGACGCGAGGACGTTGCGCTTTACTTGCGCGGGATTTGACGACCCGATGAAGCGCACATGTGCGTGCTCCGCTGTTTTCGATTGACCCGGGATGGCGGGACCGGACTGCTGGAGGAGCTAGGGATAGGGTGTGAGCAGAGAGAGACGTCAGGGCACAGAGGACGTACCTCTACTTCCCATGTTCGGCACGTGCGTTCGAAGCACCCTTTGACGAACTCGATCTCCTCGTCGAGATATTCGTCCATGTTCGGCTCGAACATCCGATATCTGTACACGAACATCAGTTCTGCTACGTGCATTGCCTCACTTAAGGGTAAGGGTATACTAACACAACGTCCTCGGCTTGAGCTTTCGTGACGCACGAGTCGCTCCGCTCCGCCGCGGTTTCGAGTATCACGTCAGCCATCCGCCATGCCTCCTTAAAGGATGCAGCGCACGCCTTGAGGAACGTCTCGTTGCTGAGCTCGCGAGCACGCGTCAATAGCGGCGCGGTATACTCGCCTACCTGGTACCCACCACCTTCAGGTATCAACCGAAGAGGGAGATTACATCTCACGTACCACATCCCCCGCAAGCCGATCTGCAAACGCGAGGAGCACGCCCGTCGCAGGCGGGAACACACGCACCGCTCTCGCTCCATGTTCCCGGAGGGCGCCAAGGACCTCACCCACAAACGCGTCCATCGCGTCAAAGTCGAGCTCCCCATCCTGCGTGAAGTTGTCGAGCGGCCGCCACTTCGACTGCTCGTAGAAGATTTCCCGCTTCTCGATCCACACCGTGCCGAGTTCCCAGTGAAGCTCGCCCCCGCTGCTGCCCCTGTCGCCGAAGGTACTGCTCCTCCCGTCGCCCCCGCTTCGGTCAAACACTTCCCAGCTTGCTTCTGCGGCTTCACGCATCCCGGCTTCATCTGCCCGGCCATCCGCGACATCAAATGCGGTGAGCAGCGCATCTTCGAAGCGGTCCGTCGCAGCCCGCAGCGCAGCAGCAAGCGCCGACCATGAGCGGAGTGGTTTCACGCGTGAAGAGAGGAAAAGCGCGAGTAGGCGGAGGGTGTGCGCCTGCTGGAGCGGCGTCTGGAAGGGTGAGGGAGAGGGAGACGAGGATGGAGGAAACAATGTAGAGAGCACGGCATGTGGTGGTGCATACAAAGCTGGAACGAGCGGTTTGAGGAGGGTGTGGGCGCGGATGTACTGCGCACGGAAGGTCGGTTTGGACGGCGCACTTGGGGTTGGTGGTGAGGTGAAGGTGGGGAACGCAGAGCCTGGACGGGGTGTGCCAATTGTCGTATTGGAGAACGCACCTAAGAACAGACTTAGATCCTAACTGTTGTAGAGGACATGCCATGCTCGCATGGGCTCAGACCATAGGCTCAGACATCGCCGTATGTCCCAACTGCCAGACATGCACTGACGAGAGAACAGTACTCACCAACGAAGTCGCCCATCTCGTCCGCCGGCGCATTCAGCACCGCAGAGCCCTCCGCGCCCGACGCAAAGTCGCCAAACTCGTCGTCGCCGATGTCCACCGTCAGCGTCGGCGGCGCCCCGCCCTTGGTCGCCCCATTCCTCTCCCTGCTCCGTTCCTCCAGCACACCCAACACCTCGTGCAGATGCCCCTTCCCCTTCGCACTCGAGTCCGTGCTCGCTCTCCCATTCGCACTGGCGTTCTTGGCGTATCCCTGCACGTCGTCCCCGAGCCCGTCGTCCAGCCCGAACATCCGCCAGCGCTGCTCCCACACCCGCTCGTCGCGCACGAGCGCCCCCGTCGCCCGGCATGCCCGCGCGTACGCAGGCAGGTCGGGCACGGCGACGTGTGTGAGCAAGAGAATGTGCAGGTCCGCGGGGAGCCGGCCAATCCGCTCGAACGGCGCGGGTCCGCGCTGGCGTAGGTGCGCATTCGCGAAAGGTGAACTTGACGACGCTGCAGGGCGTGGTGTGAGAGGCGAGAAGATCGAGAGGCGTTTGCTGGAGGACGATGGTGTCGAGGAAGCAGGAGAGTTGTAAAGCCGGACCGGCTCGAGGGTCGTGAACTTGTCCATCGGGTTGTAATCGCAGTCAAAAGGCTATCTACGCGCGAGATAGGTCAAGTGCTAGCAGAAGTCCATCCAGAGATTAAGCAAGAGTTACTTAGAGAGAGGATGAAAGCCTCGTCAGTGCCGTAGGTGACGGTGCGGACCAAGTGCAGACGGACGCGGGCTCGCGAGTCGCGACCGAACGCGCTTCTAGTGCGCAGTCGTGTCGCCGGCTATTTCGGTGATGCAAGTACTGCGCGTGTACTGTACTTACAACCGTGTGCCAAAGGCTTGCGCGTGTTCAGAGATTACAGCTCGAGGGGGACGAGGATGAGGACGAGGAACTTGAAGAGGAAGAGGACATGTAAGTTAGTAGCCACCGGCCGCAGGTGCACGTGCGATCCTCGGCATCTTGACGGTGACACTGACAGTGTTCATTAGTTCACTACTTATTTACAACACAACCTGGCCATAGTAAGTACTGCCGACTACACTATGATCCGTTGTACACTGTACAAGTATTCATTTAGCCACCGGCTGTAGGTGCCCGTGGGAGGAATGGGTCCGTTTGAGAGCGTTTGAGAGCGTCTGAACGACTGGGACACACAAGTTGTCACCAAGTGTGTGCGCACGAGGCTTCACATGCAGAAACGAACTTGTACATTATTATTGGGGTCATCGTATAGACCCAGGACCATTACAATATACGGAAAGGTACAGCCAGAGACAACGAACGAAAGCGAGGACAGCGATGAAGGCAGGAAGGTTCGAAGGGGTAACGCGATGGCTTGTAGGAGACCTATGGGGTGATGCTTGAGTTGCAGACGGTATCCGATGCGTGTGGGGGAACTTGAGGGGAAGCAGACAGGGTCGCCGAGATCAGAAGTAGCCACCGAGACCGAGACCACCGCGCCTGCCAAATCCGAGCTCGGACCTTCGCGGGGCTGTCAGCAAGAACGCGCCAGAGCTCTTCCGTACGGGGCAGGGAGAAGGCAGGGGCGAAGAAGCGAGGGAACGGATCTTCGCGTCCACAGGGACGTCGGCGACGACCCTCCGAGTGTCTTCGGGGATCGTGAGCCAGGAGGACTCTGGGGATGGTGCCTTCCGCAGCTGGAGAACGCGCGGAGGGGGTAGCGGTGGGGAGCGATGAGCCGAGTTGGAAACAGAGGGAGCGGGCAAGTGTCCCGCTAGCTTGTCAAGACCCAGAGAGGACGACGCAAGTGCAGCAGCCGCGAGCTCGAACGCAGGCTCAGGGTCGGATTCCAGGAAGAGTTCAGATGTGAGACCGAAGCCGAGTGAGCCGGCGGACGACATCGTAGGGAGGATATCCGGGTCTTCGTCCAGGTTCGCATCGACGTTCAACTTCTTGGTGAGATCGGCTCCGTCGACGGTAGGGTCGAACCGCAGAAATGCCGAGAAGTCGCCAGGCCAGGAGGCCTGGGAGTAGATGGAACAGGTAGAGACGGCGTCCTGGAGATGCTCGGGCTCCGGTGTGCTCCTGCAGCTTGTGCCGATGGTGAGGGCGGGGGTACCAGGCATCGAGAGGGGGGCCTCCAGCAGAGAGCGTTGCCAGGCAGGAACAGGTCCGAGTTCGCTGTTTTTTTCCCGAATAATGACGGGCTCCGGCTGAAGGGCATACATCGTACCACGTAATGGTCGTTCAAAGTACCGTAAGGACGCACCTGGATCACGATCACCCGCATGCCCGCCTCGAGATCTTCAGTGCTAGCTGTGGTGTCAGAAGAGACATTGGTCCCCGCCTTGTCGCCGGTGAGCCCCTGGTTGTCTCCACCTCGATGGTTCTTCCAAAGGCGAGGGTTACGAATCCACGACCAGTTACTGCGAGGGTCCGATGCACTTGTGGTCGTCTTCGTCTCTGGCAGGTCGACTGAGATTATCTTCCGAGCGCGAGCCGCCGTTCGACGGCAATGAACGAGCCAGATAATAAGGAGCAGCGCGTTCACGAGTATGATCGCAACGAGAGACCAGAGGAGGGCCGGTGACAGATGAGCGTGCCGAGATGTCGTCGAAGCGAGTGTTGGAGCCATGTTCTTCGAGAATCGAGTTGAGGAGACGATGTAGGATGACTTGATGATTTCTGGTTGGAAAGAGAGACGAGAGAGACGAAATCTGGTCTGAGAGAATATTTACAAGGAACCGCGTCGAGCCATGCGTTAGGTCTTTGACCGACGATGACCGTGAAGGACAGACCCAAGCAGAAAGTCCGATCCACGGGGAGAGCCGTTGCGTGCAACGACTTGAGGTTAATGTCCCACCACGTTTGCAGGGCATTTCGCACTCCGCTGTGGCGGCTGTGGCGCGGGTCGCGCGACCTCCCCGGCCTTGCGTTCAAGTCCAGTCTGCGCGGATTCAAACACTAGTGTAGTTACTGTAATCCACTGTATGACTTCTATTAGAATGCCACTAACTTTTCAATTCCCTCAGTATTATGTGATGTTATGACATTAGAGTCGTACTAGTGACTCAGTAATAAGAACAAATGATATATGTTGAAGTCGTGCAATAGTAGGGTTGGTAACCGTACTACTCCGAGTCAGCGCCGCGCGATGTACTTGTAGCCGATAACGTTCGAAGGGAGTGCTTGGCCACGTTCCACAGCATTTGTAATGGGCATGGTGCGGCGATGCTCGTGCTTGTCAATATCCTGCGCCCACTTCGCGGCTGAACGCGTTGCGCGCATCGCGTTCTTGATGAAGCGCGGTTCCGCTAATTCGTGTTGCTCCTCCAGTATGTCGGCTGCACGGCGCAGCAGTCGAGCCTGCTCGCGAACGTCACCAGCGTCCTCGTCATCGAGCTGACATCGGGCGTATCAACCTTGTCAGCGAGCATTTGCATCCAGTCAGGTCGATATTACGTACCGCGAAGCCCCCGCTCCCGCCTGCGCGTGTGCGCAAGAGACCATCGCGGCCCGTCGGCGGCGCTTTGTTAGGTGACGAGTCGATCTAACAAATAGGTGGCATGAAATCAACCGTCTGTGATACGGTTTTTCGCAGTAATGCAGTGACTCACCGATGGTAACGCAGACTCCTCCATCTCTGTCTCCGACTCCACACCATCGTAAACCAACTTCGACTTTGAGCTCTTGACCGGGCTCGGGGTCTTCGGTTCAAGTTCTGTGGCCGCGTTTGGCATTCTATCGAGCCACGCGTGCTTTGTGCTTGATTCCGGGGGAGAGGCGATCGTCCCGTTGATGGGAACTGTGTAGAACGGTGGGACGTGATACCGTTGTACTTGTACCCACCACAAGGCCGGAAGATCCCCAGTTGCGTGGACCAGATGCTTGCAGAGGAGGTATGCGTGGTACTTCTGCGCGCCGCAGTCACATGTCCACTTGTTGATGTTCGTGATGTACGTGCCTTTGATCGGGACTTTCGCAAGCCGCTCCCAAGAACGCTTGAATGCCTCTTGCATTGTCGTCAATGCTTGTGCTCGGCCTCCGCGATTGCTCCCCAAGAGTCGTCGGAGCGTGAGTCGGTAGGGCGGAAGCGCCTTTGTGATGATAGCATGAACAGCGAGATCGACAGGTGGGCGATTGTACATATGGAGGACGAGCCGCTTAAGATTTCGCCAGAGTGCTTCGACCATCATGGTTGTGCGCTTGCAAGGGATACTTGTCGCATAGGCGCCGCGCGCCCACAATGGCCATCGTTTCCGTGAGTACCATGACGTCCAAAGGTAAGCCCAAACCTCACATAGGTTGTTTACTTCACAGTGCCGGTACATCTCCTCAACCGCATCACGGCGAATGTCGTCCTTGGTTCGCTTCTCGCCGTGGCGCTCTGGGAGAAGGGGGTGCTGCGATGCGTGCTTGGCGAAGAGCCTGAGGATCGAGATTCGGTGTGCCGGCGGACAGAACTGGTAATCGGCCTTCTTCGTCTTCTGTCCAATTTCGGTTTCATCGCTCGGTGCGTCCTCGTCAATATTGCTCTCATCCTCTGCGAATTCATCCACCTGCCGCCTCAGATCGTCCTCAACACTCTCCCAATCATCCTCTCCATCCCAGCCATCACCATCCTCGCCCAATTCCTGCCTCTCGGCCCGGTCACCCCAGTACGTACCATGGTCACTGCCATCTGAGTCATCATCATGACTTGTGGGCTGTTCTGTCCCCGGATGCAAACCCTGTCCCACGCTTGCTTCAATATCGAACGCCTCTGAGTCTGGTACGGCTGTCTGCCGCTGGGCCCGCGAGGGTGCTGGTAGAACGATCTTCGGGAGTGATGGTGTGATCACAGATGGGCGGCCATTGATAAGGAGGCGTACACGCTTCCGAGGGTTTGCCGGCGGGTCTGGAATCTGTACAAGGTCAGTACAGCCGTGCTTTGTGAGTTGATAGCAGTCATGACACACCGGTGCTAACACGGACTGCTGCATGTAAGGAACAAATTCGGGCTTGATGAATTCAAACTCGCGGCGGGCTCCACCAATGTCGTAAGGAGCCGGTGTATCCTTGTTCTTCGCGAGGCGCTGCTTGAGCGCTCGCAGTGCGTGCCAGAAGCAGAGTTGGTGCTTCGATCTCGGCCATGTGGTACGCATCGCATTGATCTCTGACCAATCTTTGTCGGTGAGCGTATACTCGGGATCCACGCCGAGTTTCTTGAGCTGAGCCAGGAACCCGGTAAGCACCGTCTCCTTCGCGTGTTTGGCTGCATCCTTAGTGGTCGAGATGAGTAGGAAGGCAAGGGGGATACCCGAACCCTTGGCATCTGCAACTGCTGCAAAGAGTTCGAAATTGGTCCCATTCGTGTTCCCTGTCAATGTCAAGATTAAGGTTTGCTAAGTTTGCTTCCGTTTGGGGATAATCCGGGTACTCACACGTCGAGTCCATTGCAAGTTCTTGGGTATTTGCCGCCCATTCGCGCACAAAATCGGTAACTTGAAATGCAACAACGTCTGTACCCGGCTCTGCCTTCACGTCCAACAGCATGACGTGATGCTCTGTGGCAGCCTTGTCGATGTATGCCCTCGCCGAATCAAGTGGGTTATCTGCAAGCTTCCACTCTCCTCTGCTGACTAAATGCCAATAATAGTATACAGCCTTCGACCGGTACGGCAGATCAACCTCCGTGACGGACTGTCCACGAAGCTCCTCTCGTACAATATGTCGCCAAATCTGGTCAAATTGTACATCCATATGAGTGTTCAATGCAGTGTGAGACAGACGTAAACCGCGTGAGTACATACTTCGCCAGGGGTCTGGTTCCGAGCATGCTTCTCGATGTATTGCTTCCAGTGATCCGGGAGATCAATGCCGACATATGCAAGGTGCTGTACAGCATGCTTGACCGACAAGATCATCTCCGTGGACCCACTCGCAACGGTAACGTGCAGCCACCCATCACACGGAAAGCGTTCCATACGGCGCGCCGCTCGAGGCTTTGACGTCTTTGGAGTCTTCTTTTTCTGTTCTCGCTCACTGGACTGTGCGCAGCTGAAGCGGTACACGGTATCAGCAGTGCGAACACGCTCGCGCTTAACCTCATAGCTTTCACATGAGGTGAGAAATAATCATTTTACTTGTGTATGCAGTGAACTCACGTCCAATGCAGCATCATACGCTCGCCCGCAATCTCCGCAACTAAATCCGCTCGCTTCCGTGTATCTAGATGGACCGGGGCATGGTTCCCGACATCTACACGAGCCTTCATCTCAAAATCCGGCTGCTCCATTCCTTCGACAGCGGCTTCAAGAAAATCCGAGAGAGTGTGTACATTGCCGAGTAAGTCCTCGGCTTCCTCGTCTTCATTCTGCGGCTGCTGTCGCTTCTTGGAGTTGTTATGTCGTCGCTCATTGGCCTTGTCCATGCAGGATCGACACAAAGACGTGGGCTCCCCCTTTTTCCCGAGGGCCGAGTCCTTGACCCGAGCAGGAAAGTCGGACAGTGGTAAGTCGTTGTGGCAATCCTTGCATATTTTTGTTGACATCGGCTGGGAGAGCACCAGCGCAAGAGACCCACAGGAGCGGATGTAGGGGGATGTAACAGAGGGCACCCCCGGGCGGCGGCGGCCTTGGCGCAAGGACTCAGGAGGTGCCTGACGGCGAGTCATACTAGGAGGTACAGTAATGTGGATTAGTATGTTGTTATTGACTATACTAGAGCATTGCTAGAGTCGACCTATGGCTTGTAACAAACCGGTTAAATGGTACATTAGATTCTGTCTTACTTGTACTGTAACAGGACGCAGACTGGACTTGAACGCAAGGCCGGGGAGGTCGCGCGACCCGCGCCACAGCCGCCACAGCGGAGTGCGAAATGCCCTGCAAACGTGGTGGGACATTAACCTCAAGTCGTGCAACGCGTTGCGCGCAACGCGCAACGTCACGCAAGTCACGGTGTGGCTCCCCTGTGGCCTAAGCGGCGCCCGGGCCAACGGTACACGAATCTTTTCAACCTTGGGCTACAAGGGATTGTTGGAGGTTATACTGAGAGGTATATCCTCTAGTAGAACGAATGTCGCCTCTGTGTGCGTAGTTCGAGTGCTTACTCCATCAGGAAAATCCCATGTGAGAATCACAAGAAATTATCGAAAGTTTCAGGTAAAAATTGAGAATCAGGATCACTACTACATTATCTCGTTTATCTCAGATGAGCTTACCTCGAGATGTCGTCTGAGAAATAGCAACAATTATAGACAATGAACGCTCAATACAAGCACCTTTCACGCATTTGCACCTCATTTGTAGCTGATCTCATAGTGTTTCTCACTTATTATCCGGTCTATCTCTCATCTTTCTGTTATTCTGGGGATTTAGGAACATTGGATATATTGAATGTAACAGTACGACAATGTTCTTGTAGACTACGACTACTAGCGAGCCTGTACCTACATCCCTTCCCACTGGGTGTTGTTTGTCGAGCATGTTTGCACGCCGAGCAGTTGCCCTGCATGCTCATGCTCGTCGTGCAGCGCCCGCGCCTGCTCATCCATACCCATGCCCGCTGCATTCGTCCAACCCCACACTTGCCCCGCTCATCTGTTCATTCACGCCTGCACTCACTCCTACTTGGAGAGCCGGTTCCAGAGGGTATGTACATCCTCTTAGGCGGGAAGTCTTTGAGCAGCTCCCTGTACGTCCACCATCAGCAGAACTCACCACATACGGAAAGAGAACGGACATACGCTCATCACATCCTCACTACTCTTCTCCATCCGCCGACGCACCTGCCACTCCGCGCGGCGCGGGATCCATACATCGCGGCGCTCCTCAGGGTGCAGGCCCTTGAGCGACATGAAGGACTTGAACTCGGCGAGCTTCAGGCCGCACACGGACAGGTGGCCGTAGCGGCAGAGTGAGGTGAGCTGCTGCCCACAACTGTGTAGGCAAGTCAGCGTGGGTATCAAGAGCGAATGAGGATGGAGGGGAGGGGAGAGGAGGGAGGGGACGTACTGTTCCTGGAGAGAAAGTCGTCAAAGGGCAACATGCACCCGGGATGTCGTCCAGCGTCGGGTGCGCCTTGCGGAGGTACGCCTCCTCCGTCTCGAATTCTGTGTTTGACACGTTTGCTGTCTGACTTTGCGGTCGGCTTCAACAGCAGACGACTCGGGCTCGCACAGTGGGCGCCCGAGGTCAGTCTGCTGGTCCACGGCGGCTCCAGCGGGTGATAAGTGGGAGGGTGCGTGCTTCAGTTGGAGAAACGAAGCAGACGGGACGTATCATGATGGTCGACGATGGTCGGACAAGAGGGCTAGAGGTTCGCGTTGGGGCGGAGGCAAGTTGAAGGAGAAGGCAAGGAGGAGGGAGAGTCACACGGAATACATGACGTGGCGCCGAATTCGGGCTCGGCCGAGCAGTCATGTGACATGTTTCCCGCTGCAACGTTACTGGGTCGTTCTGAACTTCTCGTTCTCAGCCACAAAGTATGCAATGCACCTCCCATGTGCCCCCGCCCACCGCCGCCGCCAACGGACACGACAAGACGGTCGCGCGACGGTCGAGACACCGCCCGCCTCTCCCACGTTCAACCCGCACCACCGCATCCTCGCGTGCTGCGCGGCCGCCTGTCACAGACTACAGTGCCACGACCTGCGACAGTACTGCGCTGTCGTGTCCCCGCCGCTCCGTCACCGCGACGTACCGCCCGCCACCGCCCTCTGGTGAGTCATCCCCGTCCCTTGTCCCTCTGTGCGTCGTACCCGCACCGCTCCTTCCCCGTCCGCGCGCCCTCTCCACCCTCTACATGCCGTGACGCGACCTTGCCCCGCGCCCGCACCTCTCTCTTCCTCCCATCACCTTCCCTGCGTCACTCCCGCCATCCTCACTGCCGTCTCCGCACCTCTCCCGTCCTCCCATGCACCAACGCCATCGTCGCGGCCTCCGACTTCTCCGTGGCTACCCTCGCCTCTCGCACACCCTCGCTGCCTGCATCCTTACCTGCACTGCCGCCCTCGTTCGACTCGCGCCCAACACTGCTTCCGGCCTTGCGTGGGTTGGCATCTGCAGAGGCCTCCACTCATGGTCGTGACAATGGGTTCCACAACGAGGTGAGTGGCGAGACTGCACTGAGACACTGACTGTTTGTTCAGCGTGCCGGCACATCAAACATTCACTGGCAGCCTGCACGCACACCGAATGTCCAGCCCGCCCATGCTTCACGCGTCCAGCCCACCCATTCCTCACAACTCCAGCCCGTCCGCGCATCGCGCGGCGCATGTACGGACCACTCGCACACCCGACGTCTGGCTTGGCGCGTTCCAACAATATCCTCGCACACGTCGGACAGCTCGAATGGGCCTTCGTCTGTCTCGTGCGCCCCGGGTATGCCTCCACAGATGCAGCTCAAGCTCAGCATGCTCGATGAGCTCGCCGACGCTGCTCGTCCCGCCCACACACATCGGCTGTTGGCTCGCACGGTTCTGTGCCACCATCCTCATGGAGCCGTTTGTCTATCACTGGGTCGCTGCTCCTGACGGCGTGCAATCCAAACTGACCGTTTACTTATGCTGTTGTGGACCACGGCGAACGTGCCCCCCGCCTGCGCGCTTGCTGAATGTGGCACTGGTTGTTGTACAGTACTATAGCTAATTATTGCAATCAAATTCTGTTGGCTCTCGTTCACATGGTTAGCATGCCCGAGTACTGAATGATAATCTCGTGTGATAGTGTCTCCCTCAGCATTTTCGGTGAAAACCTGCTTTGCAGCAGCTTGGACTGAGATTTGGCCTGATTACTAATGCATTCTTGGGTGCACCGAGATTTCTCACTAATGTTCTCAAGTTTGAAGGTGATTCTCAACACTATGTATAACGATGTTCGAATTAGCACGAATCGCGCGCGCTTTCCACATTATTGGAATTTCTGGTGAAATTTGGTCAAATGCTCAAAGGGGGTTTTCCTGATGTCGATGCACCGCGGCCCGCCACCGCATACTTACGTAATCTCCCGGTAGATTCATCGCGGCCACCGGCCACGGTGGCGACTGTTGGCGACTCAGAGACTAGAGTCGGTCCCCGCAATCCCAATTGAGCTAAAAACTGGAATGTAAACCCGATTATATAGGAACTATCACACATCTAAACGATGTTCAGAAAACAGCTGTAAGTATGTTTGGAACGGACCGCGTCACAAGGCACCCGCCACATGCCCCGATTAGGCAAGTGGTCGGTCAACGGTAATAAGTTAGTCGGAATCTATGTACAAGTAGACGTCAGCTAGCCGTGCAGTATTCACCAGCCAATCCTATGACTTCTCAAATAGTGCAGCTCTCTACTTAATTCTCATCGCTGCGGCGGCGCCGAGGCTGGACTAGCACATAAGCAACTGTCTGAAAGTGTATGTCACAGCGTGATGTGTGTGACTGTTGCACGTTGCGCGTTGCACGCAACGCCCCTCCCAGTCGATCGGACGTTCTCGACCCAAGACAGACCGTCGGTCACCGTTCGGTTCCGCCGCGTCGCGTCACGATCACGTGCGAACCAACTTGAACGGGGCCGTGCGCTTGGTGCTCCTCCATCTTATGCCTTACCGGTACCTGCCCGTAAATACTAAACACCTCTTCTAGCATCATTTCAAAGGTCTTCATAGTCCCTGCCTATTTTACTCACAAAGTGTAAAGCTGCCATCATGAAAGCTTCCGAGTCCTCCGAATGGGTATGTTCTCATGGACCATGTGGGGCTGTAGGTACGTATTGACTGTTTCTGGTCCGACCTAGGCGCCACGCTCAGCTGATACCGGATGCCGCATTTTATAGTTGTGGAGGGAAGGCATGAATCAAAAGTCGAACGGATATCCAGGAACTCAGGAGCACTGAGTAGTACGTGTCGGATACTGCAGGTGATATACATTTTTTTTTTACGCCTCAGAAGGCACGCCCTTGACCAGCGTGCCTTACATGCCCGACTGAACCGGCCAGAAGACCCGATTTCTGCTGTCTGAAGGTGTGGATGTGAAGTTACGTCTGTTTGCGAAGCTTGTGCTGACTAGCACGCGCGTGAAGCCGTATACACAGAGCGCCCCTCCGCGGTCCACGTTCCCGTCGAACTCGCTACCCATCTTCGGCCAGAGCTCTCCTTCGCCATCCTTCTTCGCGACCACGATGAACCCCGACAACGAGCTCCAATACGACGGAAGCGATATGGACATCGACTCTACTGTCGACCTTCGTGCTAGCCAGTTCGGCCAACCGAGTCTCCTCCCTCGCAGGGACCGCCCGGACCATGCCCAACCTAACGACAACCAGACTCACCCCTTCGTGGCTAACTCTCCGAGGCCGAGCTCGTCTTTCGCGAAAAAATCTGGGGCTAAGAACGCAAGAGCGAGCATCTCGTCGCATGCTGGTAAGACATTGTCTAAACGAAACGAGGCCGTAATTAACACCCAGCCTCGTAGGAACCGACGTCTCTCCATTCCCGCTACGACAGCCCACGTCATCCTCGCACGATCCACGCACACCGACCCAGTCTCGAGGCCAACGCGCTAGGACCGCGACGCCGGCAGCCCCATCGAGACCGTCAACCAGGGCGAGCCGTAAGAGACCTGAGGAGAGATCCCCCACGCCGCAGCCCTCTCGCTTCGATCACGAGACGAGCGACGAGGAAATGACACCTCGCAGCACAGTGGCTCGCGACTCGTCCCCGGAGAGCCACTACCCGACCCCGCCCCATCATAAACGAGGTCGCGGTCGCTACTCCGTCGCACGCGCTACGAGACGACGCTCCCAGCCGACGCCTGCTAGGACCCCGTCCCCAGACCCTTACGATATTATCATGCAAGATCCCGACATCGTCGTTCCCCCCGCCGGCTCCTTCAGACGTGTCCAGGGCGACCGCGTTGACTGGAAGAAGAGAAACATGGACATGGAACAGATCGAAGCCTGGAAGGAAATTTGTATGGATAGACCAACGGTAGCGGTGCAGGTCGGCGAACTGGGAACGGAGGCGCCTGGAGTTAACGAACGCATTGACGACATTGGCTCGATCCTGTTCCGCCTCTCCCAGACACCGGGCATCCTAGTCACCCCCGCGCATCCACCGAAGCCGATACAAGCCCAGGCCCTACCGATAACACGCAACGCTCCTCCGAAACCCACGAACAAGGACCCGGTCTGGTATCTGGTCGACGGCCTATCAGAGAAATGGTGCGCCGCGCTCATCCGCGCCGCATGGCTCAGCACTGTAAAGCTCTCTCTTAACTTCGAGGCCTGGACTCATGAGATCCCTAACTTATGCGCGGCATTCCGCCTCATCTACCGCTTCCGCGCCAACAACAAGGACGAGTATGATGTGATCGTCCGTCGAGAGCTGCTCGACTCTGACCTCAACAAGGTGGTCGTGGATATCCTCCTCAAGGACATTGCGAGAGGCGGTCGCTGGAGGCGCTACACGAGGGACGATGCCTTCGGGGAGATACTAGACTCTGTCGACGTCGATATTGTCCATTGCAACGTCACTCCACACCTCTCCGAACCAGTCGCATTCCTCCATATCTCCTCGCCCACATCTGACTGGCAAGACTGGCTAGTCTTCTGCGATGCGATCAGGAAGCACGGCTTCGGCTCGACCGCGACCGGACACCCTGTACTCTTCACCAACCGTGTCTACTGCGGCTACTGCCATTCTCTCGGTCACACGTCCGGCCGATGCCCAGTACGCCTCACACCTGGTTGGCACCAGCCACCGCCGCACATACTCCAACAGCAGCAGGCAAACAACGGTCGCGGAGGCCCTCGTGGCGGCAGAGGACGCGGCGGAGGCGGACGAGGACGTGGAGCTAGAGGTCGCGGTATCTAACTCGCGAAGAGGAATGTAAGCACGATGTAGACGATCTTGTCCAGTACCCTTTTGCACACATCTACGCTCCGATTCACTCGTACCATCATTCCTAAAGCAACGCTTCGATACGCTGTTGACTCACCATGTAACACTACGTCTACAAATGGCACCCCCTTTAGACTACACTATTCTGGACACCGGAACCAACTGAAGCCAGCACATTATACGGTGTGCCCACATCTACTGACCGTTCTGCGGGACAGGAAAGCCACCGCGTGCACGGCCTCAGTTAAGAGAACACTGAAGAACATTGAAGGGCACTCCTAGACTTGCCCTGCCGAGAGGCTTAAGCGACGTCTTCGCCCATGCAAAGACTAGCATGTCCCCTGAGAGACTCAGGAGCAGTCTCCGCTTGCCGTGGATCGTTGTAGCGGCAAGTTCGATTAGCAACGGCGCCAAACGAAACACATAACACACATATGGATGATTCACCGACACACGGCCAACACTCTTCCGAATGGCGAGGAGCTGAAACGCCCCCTGCCCGTAGAAGCTCCAGTGACCCCTCGGAAGGAACGGAGAGCAGGGCGACCCTCCGTGGCGCAAGCATGCTGGGCGCGGAGGGTAGCGTACACCTCCCCAGCAATGAGAGAGTAGACAATATCCCTACGCCAGCACGACAAAGAGGCCGAAAGACGAAGGCTACACTGACGATTGCCTCATTGAATGTAAACGGGAAAGGCCATCTCACTGGGATACTGAACAATAAATGGAACTCTTTGAACCAACTGCTACGTGACGATAGAATCGGCATTATCGCCCTACAGGAGTCACATCTGGATACAGAAGCAGTAGCTACGATTCAAAGGTTGTATGGAAGACGTATGCACGTCGTCAACGGGACCCCAGGTAAAGGAACGGCCTTCGTCCTAAACAGAGAACTTGTAGACGTTACACAGACGGCTACAAGGATAGTCGTCCCAGGTAGAGCCCTATCGCTAACCACCAGATGGCACAATGAACGATCCATAACCATCCTCAATGTATATGCCCCGAACGATCCAGCAGCAAATAAAGACTTCTGGACCAATATCAAGGATCATTATGTGAGACACCGTGGAGAACGTCCTGACGTCATACTAGGCGACTTTAACATTACAGAAGATACGATTGACCGCTTACCTCCCCGAGAAGACAACACAAACGCGGTTGAATCACTCCGCTCACTAATGTCGGACCTGATCCTTCAGGATGGATGGCGCATGTCAGAACCTAACCGAAGAGACTACTCTTTCCCGCAACGTGCCTCGGAATCCAGGTCGAGAATAGACCGTATATACGCATCTGAGGACATACTGAACTCGTCGCATACATGGCAGATAAAGACAACACACGTACCTACAGACCATCGGCTGGTACTGGCGAAGATCAGCACAGAACATGCCCCATACATTGGGAAAGGCAGATGGTCGATACCCCTACACCTGATGGACGACGCCAACTTCATCAACACGACGAAAGTGATGGGAAAGAAAGCCCTCCTAGAAGCCCAACAATGCGTTGAACAGAATCAGCGAAGCGCGACAATTAACCCACAAACGATATACAAGAAGTTTAAATCCGACCTTGTATCGTCGGCCAGGGACCTGATGAAGAAAAAGGCTCCAAAACTCGACGCAGCCATCAAGAAACTAACCAGAGAAGTTAACAGGATACAAAACCTCCCTGGTTACGAAGAGAATCACGAGTTACTGACTGAAGTCGAAGTGCTGCTAGACCGCACAATCCAGCTAGAACGAAAGCGGTACCAGCACATTCGAGAATCAACAACGGCACGGTATGCCCTAAATGCGGAGTCGATCAGTAAGTATTGGTCGAACATTAACCGAGAGAGGAAGCCGCGCGATATTATATACTCACTAAGGCTTCCTAACTCCCAGGAGACAGTCCACCGATCAGATAAGATGGCTGAACTGGCGAGAGACTATCACAACAGCCTACAGGAAGAGGATGAACTAACGTACAATGACGGATCCGCGGCAGAACGTATCCAAGGAGCGACCAATGAGATGACGTCGTCTCTATATGAACACGAGAAGGAAGCCCTGAAAGCGACAATAAGTAAAACCGAGATTGAGTCAGCGCTGAAGAAGTCCAAAACAGGGAAAGCGAGCGGACCAGATGGCATCCCGTATGAGCTCTGGAAAACCCTATACAATGACGATGGAACGTCAGACCAGGACAGTGCGGAATTCAATGGTATAGACCTACTGCATATAGTATACAAGGACGTAGAGAGATTCGGGGTCAATAAACACTCAGGCTTTGCCGACGGCTGGATGTGCCCAATATATAAGAAGAAAGACAGGAGAGATGTCAGTAACTACAGACCGATTACAGTACTCAACTCAGATTACAAGCTATATACCAAGATCCTTGCATCCCGCCTAGCGTCTGTAGTGAAGACAATAGTCCACCATAACCAGGCGGGATTCATACCAGGTCGTAAGATAACAGATCAAACGCAGACTTGCAGGACAATGGTTGATTACGCGGAGGCAACAGAGGACAATGGAGTAATAATAGCACTCGACCAAGAGAAGGCGTATGACAAAATCAGACATGAATACTTATGGGCCGTACTACGGAAAGCAGGCGTACCTGAGGCATTTATCCAACGAGTGAAGGACCTGTATAAGAATGCATCCACTGTTGTCATCATTAATGGGGAATCTAGCACCTCGTTCAAAGTGACACGAGGCGTTAGACAAGGCGACCCATTATCGTGCTTACTATTTGATATTGCAATAGAACCGCTGGCCTGTGCGTTAAGGAACTCTGGCCTGCACGGATTCAATATCCCTGGATATGCTGAACGCCTAATAACGACCTTATTCGCAGATGATACGTCAGCCTTCCTATCTAAAATGGATAAATGGACTGACCTGTGGGCTGTCCTTAATAAGTGGTGCACAGCCTCAGGAGCGCGCTTCAACACGGGTAAGACAGAGGTGATACCAGTAGGCTGCCGAGCGTACAGAGCGGCAGTAATACGATCGAGGAGAATAAACCCGGACAGTGTCGATGACGAACGAATCCCCGACCAGATTCACATAGCGAAGGACGGAGAGGCTGTCAGGATCCTGGGAGCCTGGATCGGGAACAACACTAACAACGCAGCTATATGGGGACCGACCGTCGAGAAAGTTGAGAAATTCCTGCGGAGGTGGAGCTTCTGCAGCCCGACAATGACCGGCAAGCGGAACATAATCCAGATGGGTCCTGGTGGCATGACACAATACTTAACGGCAGTACAGGGCATGCCGAAAGCAACGAAAATGACACTCACCCGTATGATAAGGGACTTTATATGGGGGAAAGGTAAAATTCCTCCCATCAGCATGGAAACCCTGTGCATGAAAGCGACAGACGGTGGCCAGGATATCCTGGACCTGGACAGCAGGAATGACGCGATAGAACTAATGTGGTTAAAACGCTACCTTCAGCTCGGTGCAGACCGTCCGATATGGGCATTCATAACGGATGTGATCATAGCAGTAAACGTCAGTAAGTCTGCTGGGACGATCGAAAGGTCAACTCAACTCAACATGTTCTTCCAGAACTGGAAGCCGAGACTTGACGCGACGTCACCGCTACCACCCTACATAAAGACGATGTTGAGGACTGCAAAGAAATATAACGCGAGCTTCGCTGCGATAAAACTAGATAAGAACCTGAAAGGGCAATTACCGATATGGTACCACATTAGTGCGACGAAGCACCTACGCCGACTAGATAACACAAGTCTGAGTAAGTGTCTACGTGCCACACACGGAGTAATAACGGTAATTGATTTGATACAAGCGGCCCGACACGAAGAGATAATCGCAGTACATGGTGAGGACACGGATGCGATATGTATCTGTGAGCAATGCGTCGAAGATAGATCCATGGGATGTGCGGACCCAATCAAATGCCGAGACGCCGCAGGTAGGATACTGAGGAACGTACAGGGAAAGTGGGACCCTGAAGAACCGTCCCCAAATGATGGCCTGACGCTCACCAAGAGACGGAAGGAAGCCAACGTCAAAGCACTGGACAGTAAGGGCGCAGCGGTAACTTTTGACCCTTCAGTAACTGAACGAGGGGGCATCGCTGAAGCAATCAGAGTCTTCGTCGACGAGAATAACATCAATAACCCACCAGCGATAAGACCACGTAGAGGAATAGAAGTCATGTCTGAGAGGCGCACTGCGTATATCCTAGCGAACCCGAAGCCGGATCCAACCAGAGGACGCAGAAGATGCGGGAGGCCAGATGGAAGCGGCCTACTAGTCATGAAACTTGACTCGATCCACAACGACTTAGTGAACCTCGAAACGCATCTAGTGGATGACAAGTACACAAGCGGTGAGCTGGCAGCAGCAATACGTGTCGTACAACTAGTGCACAAGGACGTACCTGTACATTTCATCTGTGAATCCGACAACCTGAGTATAGTCCTCACCCGTGACCTCGAAAAGTGGGAAAGACTTGACTGGCACGGTATTAGCAATCGCCTTGCATGGAAGGCATTAGTGAACATCTTAAGACAGCGATGCGCAACAACGACATTCCGCAAAGCAGACGGCAAAGAAGAGTGGTCCCTAATGGATAAAGGCAGATCAGTGGCGAAGCAGCTAACTGAGCGGAATGAAGTGCAAACCATAACTCCGATAACAGATCAACGCTTCAACCTATCCGGAGTAAGACTATCAGACCTATCCCAACGTCTCGCATATAGGATGATACGGCTAAGACACAAGTCTAAGAGACCGGCCACGAGGCACAACCTCGAATCAATAATTGACAACTTGGTTAGTAAAGGAGAGGGGGGCACCAAGGAAGATGAAATATGGACGAGCCTACGAGTAATAGAAATCCGCAAGCCAGTACAAGACTTTCTCTGGAAATGTATACATAACGCACACAGGTGTGGGGCATTCTGGAAGAACATACCAGACTATGAAGACCGAGCTCTATGCTCACACTGCGGCGACTTGGAGACGATGGAACACATTATGGTCCAATGCCAAGCCCCAGGCAGAGACACTGTCTGGGACCTAGCAGGAAAGATCTGGGAGATGAAACAAGCTGAGTGGACGAGACCAAGTTACACTGAGATAATAGGTGTCGGCCTACAAAAGTGGTACACCCCGAAAATGAAGCGTAGACCGACGGCTGAACGCTTCTGGCGGATCCTAATATCGGAGTCGGCATACTTAATATGGTGCCTAAGATGCGAGAGAGCGATAGGTCACTCTGATGATACGAACTGGAAACACACCGAGAAAGAGATAAACGCTAGGTGGACGTCAACTCTAAACAAGAGATTGCACCTAGAGATGGCGATGACTCATAGACGATTCGGAAGACAAGCCCTGAGGAAGGACACTATCTTAGGTACCTGGAGGGGAACACTACGAGATGAGCGAGCGTTGCCCGACGATTGGACAGGCACAAACCGGGTTTTAGTGGGTATTGCACCCTTCGTGAGACGAGCTCAAGGCGAAGGATGATAGAGTCCCACACTGGCTAATGAGCCGTGCATAAACGCATTTTACTCCCTGGATGCAACTGCGGGGGAACCCGCTGGCTGGCTGGACTTCGGGTATAACCAATTGTTATATGCCGGAGCCCATAAGAGCCCTCCAAAAAAAAAAAAAAAAAAAAAAAAAGCCGTATACAGTATTGTTCTCCCACTGTTTACAACGACTACTTATATCTCGGCACTGTAGCTCCCTCTGCTCGCTTCAACTCGCTGGATCATACTACAGTATCTGCGCTGGTGGACATGGCCACCATCGATGCTAGGCTTCCTCCCTTGGACGGATCCTTGAACGGTTTGCCCGGTTTCGTCGACTTCCACGCTAAGCACAATCCGAACCGAGCTCTCTATGTCTTTCCGTACACCGACCTCAACTCTGACGAACTCCGTACTACGTCCTACAGCGACTTCGCTCAGGCCACCCACCGAGTCGCGCACACCCTCCGACCGAAGCGGGAAGGCCCAGACGGGCTTGTCGTCGCCATAATTGCCAACGTTGACTCGGTCCTGTACCATGTGATGCTTGTAGGCCTCATCCGAGCAGGATGCGTGCCCTTCGCTATGTCTCCGCGCAACTCAGCGCTGGCCATCGCAAGCATGATGGAGCGCACGCAATGCCATCATATCGTCTCGCAGCCAGCATTTACCGGGATCATCAGTGAAGTGCGTTCTGCGCTTCCGTCTGGCTACTCCGTCCAAATCGACGAAGTGCCGTCTCTGTCCTCCGTCCTCCCGTCTCTCGCGCTTACTCCGCCGGACCCAGTCACCGAGCCTGAGCCGTACCCGTCGCCTCTGCAAGATCTCGTACCTACCTCTGTCGCCCTCTACTTGCATTCCTCCGGATCCACAGGGCACCCAAAGCCCGTGCCGCAGACACATGAATTCCTCCGCAATTGGTGTCGCTTTCCTGTCGTCCTCCATGGCCGACTTCATGCCGTGGGCTGGGGTGCGCACGCGCTTCCGCCGTTTCATACCATGGCGATAGCTGTCCAGCTGCTTGCGCCGCTTGTGTCCGGATGCCCTACCAGCCTGTTCCCGCCACGCGCCGTGGAAGGCGACCCGCCGGTCATACCGACACCGCAGAACACGATATTGAATGCGAGGAAGACGAGCTGTGGAATCCTGGCTACTGTTCCATCGTTTGTGGAGGTGAGGGAAACATGATGCTTTGCGTCTGGTTTCATTGCTGATGGGTCTTCGAGGCATGGGCCCATAACGATGAAGACGTCAAGTATCTGGCATCGCTGAAGTTGCTTGTAAGAATACAGCGGCGTGCTACATAGCTCCGCTTTTAGTCTTTCTTATCATGCTTTGTTAGATCTTCGCCGGAGGCCCACTGTCAAAGGTAAATGGCGACAAGCTTGTCGCCCGTGGAGTGCATCTCTCCGCAGGTTACGGCGCCACAGAGACGGGCAGCATCATGAAGATGCCATTCGTCAACACAAACGTGCCTGATCCCGACGCCAAATCGCCCGAAGATTGGGAATGGATCATCATGCCCGACGAATGCAAACCGAGATGGGAGGACCAGGGAGACGGGACGTATGAACTACAGCTACTGGTGCGCCTCTCACGCAATTGTACTGTACATCTTCAGTATTCATCAGAAAATGATCGCGTCGCTGCCTTTGCAAGACCTGTCCAACACACCGACCTGCTGTCGAAGATTTGACTCTGTCAAGTGGCGAGCGTGGCTGTTCCACGTCTGATCTCTGGATCCCGCATCCCACAAAGCCAGGTCTCTGGAAAATGTCAGTCACATACTTTTTTCCATTCGCCCACCACATACACTGAACTTCGTGCATCGCGCAGAGTGGGACGCAAGGACGATGTCATCGTGCTTGGGACAGGTAAGCCACGTTCTCCATTTTCTTGCCTTGTACTGAGTTATCCAAACAGGCGAGAAGACTGTGCCGATACCGCTCGAGGGGCATATCGGAGCGCATCCACTCGTCAAGGGCGTGATCGCATTTGGACGCGGGCACCAGCAGGTTGGCATCCTCGTCGAGGCTAAGCCCGGCCCCGAAGTCGACCCTACCGACCACGCCGAAGTCATGAACTTCCGCAACGCCATGGAGAGAAGGGATGGATGGATGGCAGTGTGGTCGGATGACGGCGCTTAGACAGTCGACGGTGTCGCCGAGAGTTACAGGCGGCATTGACGGGCCTCGCAGTGAGTGTTGGGCGACCTAGGCATGGCGCACTGATTTCTGTGGGTTAGACAACCTTCGACGACGACGCAGTTCTACCAAACTGTCGTGTATCAAATACTCCAATTCCCACCCGGCACGAGTACATCGCCTACGCTGGCGTACTCTACAGCATGGTTCCGTCAGGGAATCCGATGTGTGATGTACGGGATTCGAAGCACTTCGGGCCAGCTGCCAAGCCTCTCGTCAGTCGACTCTTGCGACGCAGTACGATGCTCAGCTGAGGGAACCTGTTGTGTGATGTCCAAAGGGACTCGAAGCACATCGGGCCTGTCGAGTCCCTCGTCCGTCGACTCTTGCGACGCAGTACGATGCTCAGTCCGTCAGGGGATCCGATGTGTGATGTCCGGGATTTGAAGCACTGCGGGCCTGCTGCCAAGCCTCTCGTCCGTTGACTCTTGCGACGCAGTACGATGCTCATCTGCCTTGTTGTGTGATGTCCAAAGGGATTCGAAGCACATCGGGCCTGTCGAGACTCTCAGTGTCCGTCGACTCTTGCGACGTAGTACGATGCTCCGCTGCGGGAACCTGTTGTGTGATGTCCAAAGGGATTTGAAGCACCTCGGGGCCGCTTTAGTTGAACCTCTCGTGTGTCGACTCTTGCGACATGGGGGGAGCTGTCTCGACAAAGGAGTTGCAGAGGATGGACGGGTCAGTTGCTGATGACAACGTCTTCAGTACTCTGTACGATGGCGGACTACTTTGCCTGTACGAAAGGGCTGTGTACCAGTGTTGCCCGCTGGCGGACTGCGCAGTGGTCTGAATGATAATGTGGCTGTATACCAGTGTTGCCCGCTGGACGGTGTTGTTGCTTACAGCGACGGGCCTATTCTTAGGCTCTTGCTCGCCGTTTCTCTCAGCGGGCATCCTACAGCGCCCAGCGCTGCCTCTCATGGCTTTGGCTGAGGCTCGGGCAATGGCCCTGTCTGGAATTGCTTCATGGGTAGGAGACCTCTGCCTTGTTCTATCCAAGCTGCTGGTCCTTGTCAAGCACAGAATACAGGGATCAGTTGAAGACGACGTGCACATGTTACTACTACAGTGCTCATCTGAACATCAGCGTCATGAGCGGGAAGTTGGAACCCTTCGTCAACGATGGGAAGTTTGCCCGCACACCGCAATGGCGCGTAAGCCGGGAACACATGTCGGAGCACTTCCTCGCAGACTGCTTTGTAGATGATGATGATGTAGTCGCTCCACGGCTCACGGAGTACGCACATACAGTCCTACAGCTGTACGATACTGTCCCCATGGCAGTGGTCTCCTCCGAGGAGCAGGTCTAGATAGAGGCCTAGTGCGGGCCCCCCAAAATCATCCCGCGTGCGACTATATCATCGTCGCGGGCTATGGGACCCACCAAACGGCTACCAAGACAAGCTACTACATAGCTCTGCGATATGGCGCCCTCCATCCCTGCCCACCCGTCAGCCCGTCTGGCGGATCTTGAGGACAGCCCAAGGTTGTCACGGAATCATGTTATTCAATGGCCTGGCGCTCTGTGAGTTTTGTCAGATGCCCGGAGGACCGGCACTGGCTCCTGGGGGGTTTTTCGAGTTTTTCCCCCCAGGTTTTAGCAGAGTGTCCCGCCCCGCCAAAGCTTGGTGAGAGGGCCAGGGCCGAAAGAGGTGACACGTCTTGGGAAGAGTGTTTGGCAGGGATGGAGGGGAATTGGGGGCCGTCTAATGTAGTAGCAGTGAGGTAGTCTAGTACGTAGTCCTATGGCTTGCGATGTTGTAGCTAGTGAGCGCTGTCACCGTCAAGAAGTCGAGACGCGCGTGCGCTATCGGCCGGTGGCTAAATGGACCCCCCTCCTCCTCCTCCTCCTCCATCTGGTCGGAATCAGCCTCCTATGTCTCATGTGTGAGGCGCTCATCACATTTTATAGGCCCCGCGTGGAGGAGGCGAACCATGACGCACCGGCGTTCTCGAGGATATTCAAAGAGATGATTCTCATTGTGGACCCGAGCCGGCCACTGCCTCGCGCCGGGAAGGGCACCGTTCAGCGCAAGAGGGCGCTCGAACTGTATGCGCAGGATATCGAAGACTTGTGCGTCACGTCGTTCCGTAGCAGTGAGATGCCCATCATGACAGCGGTATAGGTACGAGGTCGTCGAAGACAGCGCAAGTGCACATAGTATCGCCCCGCCGCGTTCCTGGGACGTCCTAGGAGTGCAGAACTGGTTGGCTGAGCACGCTGCGAGCATACACGGGGGAAGGGCGGTTACTCCAGAAGCGGACATGTTCGAGCAAGGGTTTGACAGGTACGGCGTGCGTCCTATACTTGATGTCAGAACACTCATTGAGACACGGACTATCGACAGTCTCAGTGCAACGTTTCTCCGGAACCGCATCATCGGCGCGCTGCGCGGTTCATCCGATGCCGCCGTCAATGCGACTGCCCGCCAGGTCCCGCAGAACTTCGTCTTCCAGTATCCGACGCTGGCATCGCTTGCAAGGGCAGTTACTGGGCTCATGCGTTCTGGCCAGCCCGTAGAACTGTCGCGATCGGAAGAAATTGGGCAGATGATACGCAAGTACACTGCGTTGCTGCCGGAGTGCGCCCCGGATGGTGGCATAGAAAATAATAACCGCGAAAGGATCATCCTGCTCACGGGGACCACGGGGAACCTCGGCGCGCATGTGCTTGCGTTGCTGCTGAAGGACGAGGGGACGCAGCGCGTGTATGCGGTGAATCGTGGAGAGGACCTGGTAAATCGCCAGAGAGCTGCATTCAACGACGCGCAGCTGCCGTTGGGTTTACTCGATAGCCCGAAACTGTCACTCTTGTCCGCAGACTTCACAGAGGACAGTCTGGGCCTACCTCAAGAAGATATTGACGACGTGAGTGGAATGTCTCGCTTACTACGGTTGCCCCAGAATACTCACTGTTCTTATAGATTCGCAAGACGGTTACGCACGTCGTACATGCAGCTTGGCGGGTAGACTTCAACCTCGCGCTGTCGTCCTTCGAGAGCCTGGTAGCCGGTGCTGTCCGTCTTCTTAGCATGGCGCCTGCAGCACACTATCTCTTCATGTCGTCCATCTCTATCGCTGCTGGCTGGAACGTCCAAGGATACCAACGCGATACGTATGTGCCGGAGGCTGCTCTGCACGAAGACATCGTTGCAGCTGCTACCTCCGGCTACGGAATGTCCAAATACGTCGTGGAAGAGGTCGGTTGTGAATGATGCGTCTTTCTGCTACTCGACTAAATCCGAAGTTTATGCCGCCAGGTCCTGTCAAACGCATATCAGAAAGGATTCAAGACAACATCGATTCGCATCGGACAGGTCTCAGGGACGTCTCAGAGCGGCGCATGGAATACTTCAGAATGGGTGCCGAGTATCGTCAAGTCGAGTCTCGCTTTAGGTGTCTTGCCTAATTCAAACAACGTACGTACCGATGCTAGATCTCATTCTCAGAGGACGCACTGCTCACCTGCAGGACAGGTGGTTTCGTGGGTGCCGATGGATGTCGTTGCCCGTACTGTCGTCGACGTGGTGCTGGGGCCCGAGTCACCCGAACTGATCAACGTAGTCCACCCGCATCCCGTCAAATGGATTGTTGTATTTGAGGCTATCCAGGACGAGCTCGGCGTAGCACTTTCATTTATATCATTCCATGAATGGGTGAACCAGCTAGAAGCTGTCCCAGACACGACTACTCCGTCGGATCTGGAGAGGATTGTAGGTTCAGTCATACAGCACGGGCTTCTAGCATGCTCACCCTTCACATTCATTAGCCCGGCCTCAAACTACTTGAAACCTTCCGCGCGTTGGGCACTGCGGAGATGGAGGCGCGGCCAGAGGACGAGAAGGAATCCGAGTTCGGTGGACTTCCGCTATTCGAGACGAACAAGGCGTGCGGCATCAGCCAAACCCTCGCTACGATTACCCCGCTCGATGAACACGATGCCAGAGCGTGGGTAAGATACTGGAAGAAAGTCGGGTTTCTGGCGTGACAAGGCGTCAGTACTTCAGTACATGGTACGTCTCTTCGTCCACCAGCGATCAGTACACGTAGACTAAGGAAATAAGTTAGTAACAGCAGAACAATGCATATGGGACGTACATGCGCTTGCGGAGCAGCTTATTGCTTTTTGAAATTTCAAGGTTTGTAATCTTACTGCGATCCTACCTCCACTACAAAGGTTGTCACCGGGAGAAAGTCCGCCGTTCCAGTTATACGGCTAACGCACTGATAACTTACTGTCTACTTCGACATGGCTTATGTCGAGCGTATCGTCATCGACTTAAATACAAGGATTTTGGTCCGCGCGAGCCGGTTGTGCCCATTGCCGGTACGTTTGCATACTGCCACTGGATGGAAGATGTGTGAGTTTCGCCTCTCCGAGTAAAGCGCATGCGTCGTACTTACCCAGTTTCCATATCAATTGTCCACAAAGGCGTTCCGTGGCCTCGAGCAATGCATATATGCAGCTTTGTGGAACACCTGCGGGTGGGAAAAGACGCACCTCGGACAGTCGCTTGTTCATTGTATGCTGACACATCGCGCATTTGCATGACCGGCGTTGCTATTCCATCCCCAGAGCCAAATTGTCATTGTTCACAGCAGACTGGCCTACATAGACCGTACTGGGGCGAGCCGGCGGTGTATACAAGTTGAGACGAGACACGAGTCGCCGCGCTATCCAGCTGAACTCGTTCAGAAGACCCGGACACTCGGTAGAAAGACAGCTAGGGGAGAGCGGCCGGTGATCCACAGGTTCTGCGGATCTAATTCAGCGATACTACCTGCGGGTGCTGCGCAACGGCCATCGGTGGCTGCGCCATCCCGTCTCGGCGTAGAACGGTCAGCCGCTGTGTCCCTGAGCGCATCCAGCTGAGCGCCACGGTACTCTTCCGACTTGAGGACCGCAGGCGACGACAAATGTGATGGCGTCAGAATGCCCTTCAATAGGGGGCTCGCAGTGGCACGCACCTCGTACTCCGCCAGACTTCCCTCGAGATCCACCTCGGCTGACTTCTCTCCATCACGCTCCGCGGCGCACGGCTTCTCAGACACAGTTGGCGAGCGTTTCCTCTGCGGCGAGGCGACTGAACGAAGCCAGAGCATCATACGCCGGATTCCCGGAAGGTTATCCGCCATGTTCGCAGCTGAGTTCCCTTCGGTGATAAGCGGAAGGTCGGAGGGCTGACTAGATTCCTTGCGCGAGAGTAACCAGCGTCGGACATACAGAGACAGTATGACGGACAGGATCGACACGACAAGTCCTATCAGGTACGGCAGCAGAGAAACAAGCGTGGACGGGGTCGCTGTAGGCGGGATGACCGACGTGGTGGTCATACTTTCTGAAGGCGTAGCCTAGTAGAGCTGGATGGTGTGAGTTCAAGAGGATATAACATCGAGGGCTGTCAGCCTCTGGGTTTGACCTTGTATCAGAAGACCGTTCGGTGCTGACTGCGAGTGGCTAACCGCTAGGAGCACGGTCATAGGAGTTGATTATCCTCAAGTTGTGCGTGCGGAGTCGCTGTGCGTTCTGCCAAACCAATTAGTGTGACTGTGTCAGGAGTCAGGACTGGGTACCGCCTAAAGCGTCGTTGCGGGCGGATCTGTCACTGCGCTTGCATGCCATTAAACATACGCCGCGGGAGTCACTGAGAGCGGATCGTCATGGTCACGAGTTAGGAGCAGCTGGAGGAGGAGAGCCAGCTTCCAATATCGCAGCCAGATCCGGGGGAGAAGGGGGACAAGATCCTCGCAGTCAGTGGTCGCTCAACGCTCAAACCACCACACGTGCTTACGTAACGGTACCGTAGACACCGGCGCCTCCTCTTCCTCCTCCTCGTCGCCAGCTCTCCTCCTCCAGCAACTGGTTCAATGGACCCCCCTCCTCCTCCTCCGTCCGCGCCGCGTTTCCTCCTGCCCGTTCCCGCTCATTCTTTGGATCCCGTTTTGCGCGAACGTAGCTACCTCGTTTTGCATCAATCGACCTGGCCCGTACCGGTGAACCGCCACTTCGGCCAATAGGGTTGTTCAGAGTAAGGCTGTCCGGGCAGCTATCCCGTCCAGATGTCCGAGGCTCGACGCCGGCAAACGCCGACAGCGAGCCTCAGCTGTGATCCTGATCGCTGTCGCAGGGCGCTCGCTGTCGGTGCGCACCGGCGGAGTTTGAACGGGTGGCGCGCGCGCTTGATGACTCGATCAGATATCATTGCGAGCGATCTCCCTCGCCTTCAGTTCCCCCCCGTTCTCGTCGACACTCTCCGGCTCTACGATGCCTAGTCGCACTGAGCGACAGCTTGCAGCCGACGCGCTCGAACGCGCATTCCTTGTCGAGTACATTGCGGAACTTGAAGAGAACCTCTACGCAGATCAATATGAATTTGACGATAACAACCCTGCAGGACGCCATCGCCACCGCAATCCTGCACCCGCAGAGGACCCTATGGCTTCATCCAGTTCGTCTTCCTCTTCCTCTGGCACCCCCCCTTCTTCCTCCGATGAGGAGGAGGGCCTTCTCGGTGGCTCTGTTGCAATCGACAACTATCTGTTGTTGATGGCGGAGCTGTTTTCACGTCGCTACCTGGCGGATCGGGAGGACATTGAGAAGTCATCTGGGCTTCTACACCTTGTGTTGGACAACTACAGGGTCAACCGGCCAGAGATCTTCCAATCGTACGCACGCATGTCCCCAGCATGTTTCAATGATCTTGTTGCGATCCTCCGTGACCACGAGGTCTTTCATAATAACTCAAATAATCCCCAGCTGCCAATTGAGCAGCAGCTTCTCATCGCCCTCTTCCGTTTTGGCCACTACGGGAATGCTGCATCTACGATGAAGGTAGCTTTGCAGTTTGGGGTCAGTTACGGGATGGTCCACCTTGCCACAGCACGTGTCATGAAAGCATGTTGCTCGGATGAATTCCGAAGTGCGACTGTTCAGTGGCCTGGGTCTCGGGCACAGCAAGCAGCAAAGGAGTGGGTTGAGGCTCATTCATGCGCGGAGTGGCGGAATGGATGGCTTATGGTGGATGGCACGCTTGTCCCAATATTCCGCCGCCCTGGTCATTTTGGCAATGCCTTCTATGATCGGAAGTCTAACTACTCTTTCAATGTCCAAGTATGTGTCTGTTTTATCATTGAGTGAAACTGGCACTTATTAGCCTGCAGCTTGTGTCCACACCAGACCTGCGGATTATCGATTACGCTGTTGGTCTCCCTGGCAGTCAAAACGATGCTGCGGCTTGGGAGAGCACTCATGTAGCAGCTGAGCATGACATGCTGCTGCAGGATGATGAATGGGTCTGGGCGGACACAGCGTATCCACTCCGGAAATGGTGCCAGTCACCATACAAGAAGTAAGTCAATCTCATGCTAACTGTGCATTTATTCTGACACTTCTTAGGCCCGAGAAGCTGATTCCTGAAAACAAGACGTACAACTATCACGTGTCAACTGTCCGTGTACGGTCTGAGCACTGTGTTGGATTCCTAAAGGGTCGCTGGTGCTCTCTCAAGGGCCTCCGTGTTGCTGTTGACAGTCCTCGTGGACTTGCATATGCCACGTTGTGGATTACTGCATGCATTCATCTGCATGCCTACGCAATGGAGCATGAGGATCGCAATGTTTCAACAAACACATTCTATCGTAATGGCCTAAAGTACCTAAAGAAGCAGCGCAGGAAGGAACGGGCTTGGCGAAGGGAATGGCGTGAGCATGCAGCTCAAGTAGAGGCAGAGGAGGCAGAAGAGGTAGAACTACTGGAAGGGAGGCTGAAGCGAGCGGAGTTAAAGGAAGCGATATTAGGGGGACTATAGTATAAAAATTTACTGGAGTGAAGGATCAAACCATGCCGGCGGTTGAGCAGCAGGGGGACCATTGCGCTGAGTTTCTGCAAGACGAATTTGAAGCTCTAACATGCGCTCTGCATGGAGACGTTGAGCTTCGCCCTCTTTGCTCGCGTGCTCACGACGCTCACGGTCAAGAAGTAGCTCAGCATCAGCCTTGAGCTTGGCCTTCTTCACATCGCGCTTGGTCCTCTCCATCTCCTTCATCTCAGCCATCTTCTGGCGTTGATCACGGTTCTCAGCAGCAAGTTCTGAAACTTGGCTGAACAACTCGTTGATCTTACGCTTCTGAGCAGACTGAGGTGGAGCAGACATAGAGGGCGCAGGTGCCTTGGAAGCAAGCCGTACAGGCATATGAGCTGGCTCATCATCGTCAGATGACGAGGAATCGTCCTCGTCATCCGATGACGACTCATCGTCGCTCTGCTCACGATGACCACGGGTCCCAGTCTTGCAAATCATAGTCAGATACAACAGATTTACAAGAAACACATATTTACTCACATTTGACAAGGAGGAATCAAGCACACTCGTGTTGGCAGACGTTGTGCTGTTAGCCACTGAGTCCCGACAGACAGACGGATGGTTGCGCATGAGCACGTCCATCCGCTTGTACCACGGGAAATTTGTCTGAATTTGTTCTACAGAACATGTGAGTACATAGAACATGAGAGGATACCGGACATACGCCACATGTTGTCCAGCTCAGAGCCCGGAATGATCTCATTCTCCTTGTCACCGCTGATGAGGCCTGCACCTGTCTCACCGATAGCCTTGCGGTGACCACGGTACATCTTCTTCAAGCTTCAAAGGGTCAGTCCTAAGCATGTACAAAGGATCAATACTGACATACCTGTCTACCCGGTTCTTCACTGACGTTCCAAGCTTCGGAACGTGGGCTTCTGTCTTGTTGAGCGCAGGGTACTGGTTCAAGAACAGTTCCCGGGCGAGCCGCTCATACTGCGTGTCGACAGAGTCCCCGCCGCCGGTTTTCGAAGCACCGGTGACATCATCGCCCTTCGCGAAGCCAAGGGCCATCTTGATGGAAGGGCGGTCTTCAATGCTGGTGAGCAGCGCGTCGGTGAGGTAATGGTTCTTCTTCGCAGCCCACCTTGAATTCTGTAAGCACCATCTACACGAAAGCAAGAGATTTTACTCACGCGACCTCCACTTTCCGTTTGGGACCCGCCGGCGGGCTCCCTTTCTCGCGCGCCTTCCGAGCTGCTGGCTGGGGATTCTCCTTGGCGGCCGAGGCAGTGGTCTTCCCCGGCTTTGAGGTGCCCTTCGTCTTCGCCATCGCGAGCCGTTGGAGGAGCTGTTCACGCTCTGTTGCCGGGGGCATTCGCACGCTGCCAGAGCGAGCCAGAACAGAGAGGTCGTAGAGGTACAGGACGATCGCAGAGGCGCGCTGGCACACGCGCGCCACCCGTTCAAACTCCGCCGGTGCGCACCGACAGCGAGCGCCCTGCGACAGCGATCAGGATCACAGCTGAGGCTCGCTGTCGGCGTTTGCCGGCGTCGAGCCTCGGACATCTGGACGGGATAGCTGCCCGGACAGCCTTACTCTGAACAACCCTAATGTCGCAGCAGCACGCGCGCACAGTGAGCAGCAAGATGGAGGTGATCGTTCCGCCCGAGGTTACAGCAGATGTCACCCAGATCATCTCCAACTCTTCCTCGGCGACAACCAGATACGCTCAAAGTGCGTACCCATTGCTCCTTCATTCTGTGCCCAAACATCGTGAACGCTTTCCCATGCATCCAGTGCAGAACAGATTGTCGACGACCGACTTTCCCAGACCCCGGAGTTGTACATACTGGCGCTTGCCCAGTTCTCCACGCATGCGGACACGGAAGTGGTGAGTCTACATTAATCTGGTCGTGTATATACTACGCTAGGGACATCGCCTAGGAGAGTGAGCCACACTGTGAGTTGCGTGACGTTGTGCGTTGCGCAGCAACGCGTTGCACGCGATGATTGTCTCCGTGATCGATTTTTTGGCGAATATGAATGCGCACTGCTCGTGCGGCTTACCGCCCAGGTAAGGTTCAATGTGCAATGGGACCTTTAGCTGAACCCTATACTTACTCAGAAGTGTTCGCAGCATGTTCTTATGACAGAGAAGGCGAACCTAGCCGTTGGAGCGTCGAACAGTGGAGCCGCGTTCGAAATTATCTTTGGACATCCTCGTCGTTACGCCAGCGTTGCATTACTGGTCAATTGCGCGCACGGATTCACCATCTAGAATCAAGGCTGCGCGTACAGCGGCTGCAAGCGATTTCAAACGCGGTGCAAACCTGGAGATCGAGCAGAGGGGTCATGGTTCAGGAGGTCCGACGAGTGTGCGCCTCGTACTTCCCTGTTGCGCGGTGCTGCCGGAGAGTCGTGAGGTAAATGATCCAGAGGATTCTCGTAAGGCAGCGGCTACTCAGTGCGAGGGTCCGGGGGCGAGCGATGTAGGCCGCAAATGGGAGAACGACGGTACGTGTGGAACGACAAACCGTATCGTGACTCGGTCGCAGTGTGACGGCGATGACGCTGTTTTCTGTGCAAAGAGGGAGAGCGGCGCGGCCGTGAAAAGCGTGGACATGAGGCCGCCGAAGCCGTCGCTCAGGACACCCGCTCGCTCGCGCATCTGCGCATGTTACTAGTAGTGTCGACAGTAATATTGCAATGTACATAGCTTGTTTAGATCATTTTTACTTGTTTCAAAGCATCTCGTTACAACCAGCCTGAATGCCTGAATCCACTGACACACCGAGGCTCACTAACGAAATGTCTCTGACAGAGTTGGACCATCCACAATCGAGGTGCTGAGAGCTGGACTGCTAAAGCCCTCTCAGGGAGCACCGCTGACGGCCTTCTGAAACGGCTGATGGGCGCCCGTCAGTGTTTTTCCACTTTTACTGATGGCCCGGCCATGAGTTGAGATGTCCTGAGACGACAGGAAACGACTTGCAGCATACTCAAGACCAACCAGAACAATCAAATCATCCGACGTCTTTTCAATATTGAAGATGGCATCGCCGGACGGCCCTAATGATGGGCGAGGAGACACCGGACTTGAACCGCAGACTGGATCAGGACCATCGCTTCCGGTGCAGGGCGACAAGGGGCCGGAACCGTCTGCAAAGTACATAAGCCCTGATCAAGCATGGGCCAAGTGCGCCCAAGACGCGTGGAGCGACGAAACAGGTCGAGTAAAGAAATGGGACGACGAAATAGACAATCTACTCGTTTTCGTGCGTCGTTGGCTCTAGTTTATACTTGAGCACACTCACACCATTCATATCATATAGGCTGGTCTTTTCTCAGCGATCCTGACTGCTTTCGTCGTTCAGTACTACCCGACGCTACAAACGGATGCAAACACGCAGCCTCAGATCGTTGTGACCATGGCCTTCAACCAGACAAACGTCACTACGACGTATTCTACCCCCGACTCTTCGGATACAGCTCCGGATGCATTTACGGTTGCAATCAACGCGCTCTGGTTTCTGGCCCTCGTTCTCAGTATCGCATCCGCGTCGCTGGCAATCAGTGTCAAGCAATGGCTGGCCCATTACGTTCCTTCCGACTCGGACATAGGTCACACTCGCCTCCGTCTACACATCTGGCATCTGCGTTCCCGCGGGTTGGCCCGTTGGCATGTGCCTGAAATCGTCGGGATCCTTCCACTACTGCTTCAGATATCGGCGACTCTTTTCCTCATTGGAGTCGTGCTCTTCCTGTGGACGTTGAACAAAGCGATCGCATGTCTGATAATCATCCCCGTCTCAACGTTACTGTTCTTCACCGCGGGGAGCACCCTTGTTCCGCTCGTGGAACTCGACTGTCCTTACAAATCGCCAGTGTCGTGGTGGCTATGCACTATCGTGTCACACATTTTCGACCATTCGAACGCTCAGCCTGACGCCGATCCTGGTGGCATACCTCCCGTAGGGGATGGTGCACTTCCTCAGGCATACGAAAGCAATTCCCATTCACGTTCTCTTCGATTGTCCCAGTGGAACAACATGCCCTCCCGATTTCTACGCTTGGTTGGCGACTGGGCCAGCATGTGCTGGAACGTGATCCTCTGTTTGCGACAACTTCCCGACGCATGGATGATGACCATCCAAGCACAGTCTCATCGCGCGCGGAGCTGGGCAGATAGAGAACAACAAATCTGGCGTGCGAACACTACCGGGGATCTCGTCCTCAAGGCGGCCTCCATGACCGCGGACGAGGAGCAGGCGATCTTCCACAACTTTTTGCAGAATCGACCGAACATAGTTCGAGTTCGCACAGGCCCCGGTATCAGCGGGCCTCATGCGGCCGCGCCGTCCTTGGCGGTCTTCGAGTTCCTCGCGGACTCGGCCAGCGCGGACTCGTTGCGTGCTATAGGCGGGGTCGCCGCCAGTCTGCTCAAGACGACACTGGCAGCTCGCGAGTATTTGTATCCGGAGAACGACACGGAGTCGATAGCCATAGATCAGTGCGATGCAAATGCCAAACTGGACGCGAAAATATCGGAGATGATGTCTCTCGTCTACTGGTGTACTCGTACAATATCGACATCGACCGATGCAGCTACGCAGGCTGCGATCACCCCATTTCGTGAGTGGCTAGATGTACCTGCCAGGACCTGTGAGTCCCTTTGAACGCATTATTCTTTACACTATTTCTAATGTTGAGAATATAGGCAAGCGTGACAAGATGATATGGGACATCTTGTTGGCCGAACTGTCCAAATATCTAGAAGCCCAAGTCGACCCGCACACCGAGGCATACAGGGATTCCATGGTGTCCGCAATAATAGAATCCCTGTTGGACGTGCTCATCATTTTCTCACATGGTTTTCCGGAGTTCACTCCATGGGCTCTAGACTTGCGAGATCGCTTCCTTGCATTATGCGACAAGGTACTCTGCCCTCATCAAACACATATAATGGCGCAAATTGTCAAGGAACGTCCAGAAGTAGCTGCCAGGTTGGAATTCGCCAGTCGACTGTCAGCTCAAGGCATGCTTGTTCCAACGGACAGTAAGCTCAGCCTATTGACTTCCACGTTGCCCATCTCAGATCATCTATAGCTGTTACTCTTGTCGTTCGCGTCTCACTCGAGCTCTTGCACCAGTTGCGGGGGGGAAAGACGGTGTTGGACACATGGCATCATCTGCTACCTCAATGCGCAGTCAACTGGATTGGTGGATGTATACGCCACGCTCGTGACACAGGAAAGCTAGACCAGCCACAGGTCGTGGCTGACATCATCTCTCCCTGTATTCAGGAGCTTCACGCACATAATAATGCCAGCGATGACTGGTCAGTCTTGGACATTCGTATGCAACTGGCCATGGTCGCTGCGACTGCTATGCACGACCTGCGCTCACATCCGACACCTTCCGCGGTTTCCCTCCAAGACTTCCAGAGCGCGTGCGCACTAGCGCAAAGTGCACTAGACTTAGCAAAACTAAGGTTCGACCCCCATAACAACGTTCTACCTCCCCATGTCACAAAGCTTCAGCACTTCAAAGGCAAGTGCCTCATTATGTCACAGACAAATCGTCCCAGGAGCTGACATGTTCAGCTGGTACAGAGTGCTTAGGACCTGAGTCCCACATGTTCGCAAAGACCGACGAGCCATCTGCTACCAATGGTTCCCGTGGCGCAGAAGGAAGTGCATGAAGTGTTCCCTTGGATACGGCTTCACCACGGCTAGACCTTTCCGTTCCCGTATATATTCGTCGTCGTATTTAGATCAGAAGGTATACCAGAGTTCGCTGTAACATATGGAATTTCCATTCTCCGTGCGTCATGAGAGGCATTCCGAACGCTGTTCCTGAGTACAGGCTACTGTAGACCGGTAGCTCTTACCTTCGCGAGAATCATCCGCACATTGTAGGCGAGCAAGATTGAGACGATGTCCAGCGCGGCGTATCTCATAAGTCATTCCAATCCAGATCCATCAATCGTACATACAATATCATCAAGTAATGGTCGAGGTACACTAAGTCACGCCTCGCCTACAGCACAGTACACGCGAAGAACCGGAACCGCCTACACAGGGCTGTTCTCCACCACCGACGTGCTCACTGGACTTGCACTCCTCCGATCCCTAGTGACGGCTTCGACGGACACTCCCCTCCCCCACTTATATCCCTCGTCGGCGAGCTCACCACACCGCGCCTATTCTGGCTACGTACCCAATGCCCTCGCTCGCCGTCCGATCCCTCACCTCCTGCCACCCCATCGTCCGGCGCGCGTCCAGGTCATGCCGCACGCCCTTGTCCATTGTCGTCCCCTCGCGAATACGCAGTCTCCGCGCGCCGTGCACCTCTTTGACGCGCTCGACCCCGGAGGAGCTCGCTGTGCGCCCGCACAACGGTGACCATGGCCATGAGGAGCGCCCAGAGCCATGAGACCCGTAGCCGAGCCCGTAGCCCGTGTCAACGTTTGCCGCTCAACATGTTGCCAGCAGGCTGGCGGCGACGATGAAGCCGGAGGCGCCCCACCAAACGGAGAGCTGGTGGATGCGGTGCCGAATCACTTGTGACTCCTCGTAACGCGTTCGCCAGGCCTAGTAAGATCGGACAGAATAAGACGATAGGTATTAGATGCGAGCTGCCCTGCTTCATCGCACGGGCCTGCGAGCTTCAATTTTGTAGCCCTGAGACGTGCGATCCATCCGGGAGTTCGAGCTTTACGACACCGCGAGATAACCACGGATCGAAGAGAGGACCCATGAATGACTTTAAGATTGTAGACGATGTGTCGATTGGCGCTAGCATCAGGAAAGCGACTTTCGCGTCTAACTCGTCTAATCCAGGCATTTAGGTGATTAGACTCGTCAGACCGGGTGTCTGGGTTAAGTAGATCCATTTCTAAGATTAGACAGCAATTAGACACCTGCGAGATCATTAGGCCATTAGGCTGAGAGGCGTGCATGTAGACGTCCCAGAGCTCGGTTGAATCACTCAAGCAATCAGGTATAAGCAACAGAAATATATTCCTTTCAAACTATACAAACACAAAGTACGGTAACGATCCCTGCTAATAGTGCTAATGGGCCTCGAGAGTATGTTCGCGAGCTGCGTAAAGAGCACCACTGCCCACGTCGCACTTGTTGTGCTTGAGAACCCACGTTGACCCACAAGCGACTCGTTCATGTACTTCAATCACAGCCGCGCTTGATTGTACACGAAGACGTGGCCCTGCTGTTTCCTATGTAAGAATCAAATTATCTTCGGACAATCTGTGAATACTCACCGCACTAGCGTAGGATACGATGGTGTGCGAGCTCAGTGTAGCCTGGGATCTTAGACAGGAAGCTCAGTATCAACGACATGCCAGTAGAGCTCCTTCAAGCTCACCATGCTCATCTTTGCGAGTGTGCAAAGAATAGCGTTGCGGAATGTGTCCAGCAGCGATGTACGGTACAGCTGTCATCGTGTCAGCTAAAGGTCAAGATTCAGGAGAAGGTGACGCACCTAAGTGGGCCTGTCCTCGATTGCCACCGTTGTGTTCGTAGTCAGGTCGCGGTACGGACCAAGCGTTGACCTGAGTCAACATCGTTATGATCATCGCAGCCGAGCCATTCGAGGGCACTGAGAGAACACATACCTCATCCCTCTCATGAGGGGCTTCTGCCCCTAACGTCGTGATCCGGTTCACTTTCCATCTCAGTGCAAGGGACAACTGGTGCTCCGTGAGGAACATCACATTCCGAACGCGCTGACGTTGCTCGCGCTGCGGCCTACGATGCTGTGGCTGACACTGTTGATGAAGAGGTAGGCCTGGGCGCATTCGACGACCTCGTAGATATTGAGCGAGTGAGCCGGTAAAGCCGCGATGCAGGGTGCGAGGGTGATGTGGAACGTCGCCCGTCGTTGTGAGGGAGAAGAAGGGAGAAGTGCCAGCAACGCAGGCCGCACGCACCGTGTGACTCAAAGCGGAGTTGCAATTCGCTTTAGGGCAGACACGCGGCGGCCTTGCGCGAGTTTGCGCAACACGCATTGCCAACAGCGCCGTCTCCAAGCCTAGTCTCAACGTTCAACAACGATGTAAGTAAAATCCTCGCAGCCATGCATGCTCTCGGTGCTCACATCGTCGGGGTCTACATCCCGCTCATCCATGCTCGCTTCGAGGAGCTGTGCAACGACCTGTTCCCCTCAAGCCCGTCCAGAAGGCCTCCGTGACTCCAAGATCAACAACAGCCATGGCCGAGTCCACGGAACCGTCCTCGTTGGCGGTTCGGCTCGCATCCCGCCGCGCGGTCCAGGTCTTGCATAACGCGTATGCAAGTCCAGTGCCGAGCAACAAGGCCGCGCGGAACATGAAGAATGCGGGGCAAGCAGGAGACACGCAGAACGCAAGGACCGCGCAGCATGGAGGACGCGAGGAGACCACGAAGAGGAATGAGGAGGAAGGGCACGGGGTGTACAGGCAGAACGAGCACAGAGGCTTATTACTCAAAGGTACGCCCTTGCCGAACGCACCTATCTCGCCCCCACCCCCTCTCGTGTCTCGGCGAACACAACGTTCGCTGTGCGCGCTACTGATCGCGTCAATCGCGTGGATGCGCCCGGGAACGACTTAAAGGTCGTTCCCTGTCCAGCATGCCCTGACCCGCGGCCGCTGCTTCCCCGATGCGTAGTTTGCCCTCTCCCGCTCCGCTACAGGCACCTCTCGCACCCCATTCTCGCGCGGCACCTCTAACGGCCCGCTAGCCCTACCATCATGCCCGACGGCCGCCCCACTATCTCCCCCGCCAATGCGCCCATCGGCTGCACCGCCCGCGCCCCCCCTCCGCCGACGCATCCAGTGCACCTCCAGCGCTGCCTCCACCTCCGCCCACCAGCAGAGCGCCTCCCGCGCCCGGCGGCGGGTCCAGCGCGCTCGCGAGCCTCCCCGCGCCGCAGCCCAGGACGACGTAGCGGTCGTAAGCGCTACTGCTCGCCTGTCCACCCAAACACTCACTCGCGTATGTAGGCACAGTTGTCCGCCCGCCCGATTGACCGCGCGCCCGTCCTGACCCATGTATGGCAAGCCTTTAGATCTCGTCAACAGAAGTTTTTGTAGCAGGAACACAACACAACTTGTGCGGTAGTACGTATTTGCCTCGCAATGCTAGCGCTATGCCGTTTGTAATGATTTGTTACTGTGCTGTGTTGTATAATTTGTATTGGTATAATATACACGGATGGCTGCTCTGCTGAAGGTATGTAGCCGGCCGCAGAGGCCAATTTTGTTAGACAGTGAGGTGAATTAGGCACAAGTTAGGACGGTTAGACCGGTTAGGGGAAGTTAGATGCGGTGACGCTTTCCTGATGTACAGTCGATCGCGATGAATGGGCATCTGGATTGACGGTGGCTCGAAAAGATATTGTGACCCCGAGATAGGGAATCTGAGCGAACACGGCACTCGAAAGTACGGCATGGAATAAAGCGATATTCGTTGTGCTTGTCTGGATGTCATCGTCTATGACTTCAAAGTCTCGGAACTGAATGTAGACGGCTTGAAGATCCTCGCTACTGATTTGAGCGAACAGGAGCAAGAGGGTTTTGTAGAGCCAAGATAGGCTGGGTGACGTGTGTGCCGCGAACTCGACTGTCAGAGTTATGAGCTTGGTGTTGTGGGTCAAAGGGGGAGGGAAATGGTTCAACATGGGCTGTGCGAGAAGAGCCCAGTTAGTGTCCAGTGACAGTGGCATTAACGCGCGAGACTCACATGTAGAAGCGTAGCAACGTCGGAACCCACATTGTAGGCCATTTCTAGCTCTTCCAGTGCTGGCCCAGAGTCTCGTAAGCGTTGGTTGATCGTCGATAGGACGTCGGAGGAAGGCGTGTCCAAGGTAACAATGACCATCTGGTGTAGTTTGCAACACTGCCGTGCAAACATCCGGAGGAACGTAGAAGCGAAGGCTGAGGACACACGTGTTAGGCGGACGCTGTCCCAAGTGTGAGGAACAGCGGGACCCAGCCACAGTGCAACGTCATCGGATGCGAGGAACGGAGGGCACAATTCTTCGGGCAGGAGATCGCTTTCTATACGTAAGTGTCGAAGTGCGGGAAACGCGTGGATGAATGAGACGAGTTGATCGTCAGAGAGAAACCCGGTAGATCGAAAGGAGATGGTGACCACGGTCGAGTATGCGGGTAGTACGTCGAGTAAACTTGCAGAGAGGTGCATCCCGTCGCACATCCCTAGGGGGCATTGGCAGGGCGCATAACCCCGTAGTTCAATCTCGTGGAGCTCCGGGTTAACTAGAGGAAGGACGTTGTATTTCTCCGTGTCGTCACGAGGTGTTGAACTTTGACTATTTCAGGTGTTATCACACGGGATAGGACTTATCCTTACCCATTATGGACTTATGTTCTTCATTGCTACATAATTACGTACATTCTTGATGGACTTGATCCAGACCTGTAGCACATGACTTGTTCTAGACCTTTATGGAACATTCCACATGGTTCCATCATATTCCAGATCATTCCTTGATGTTCCATCACATTCCTTGATCACATCACTTGGCATCATTGATCACATCATTGATCTAGGCCTGTCCAGTCCTTTCCAGTGCCTTCCAGCACGTTCTATCTATAGTGCCATATCGCATCATCCTGATGTATTCGCTCATTGCACTATATTGCATCATCATGACACGACGTGTGTACGCCTTACTCATCCTGCTACAGGCTTACACATAACGCTTACTTACGCTTACTGTACGATCATGTGATGACTCTCTCATGTGTATATATACTGGGCTGGATGCCCCTGTAATGTATCGGTCTCTCCTCTTGTCTTACGCCTGCTGAGTCTTCCCTCTCAGTCTCTTGAGACCTTGCAAGCCCTCCATTGACTGCTGTCCTTAACTGGTCTTGTAGTCTGTTAAGTGTTGCCTTCACACTAGCCACTCCCTTTTCACTCCTTGTTCAACACGAGGTAGAGAGTGAACCGTGATCGACCTGAGGTAGAGTGTCGCTAGATTGCGCAAAGCGCGAGTTGTCATCCAAATCTCTGCAGCGCGGCGGAACTGGCACCGGACGAGCGACAAGCGGGTGATGGCCGTGAACTGGGACAGGTGGGTAAAGAAACAGATGTGCGGCCGCGCCCTTGTCCAGTTCAATTGCAAGAATTTGAGGCTTTCCAGCTGCGACAACAGGCGACCAGGCACCCGCACCGGAAACGTATGCGCGAATGGCCTTCCTGGGTCGTCTCGAATGCGTAGAGAGTCCATCGCTCGTCCATAGCATCGGTTGCGAGTCGACATGAGGATAACTACGAGTTTGCCTAGAGCTGCCACGTCGTGGATCGCATCCCAACGAAGGTAGCGCGTTGATGCGCAGTACCATGCTCGGCACACCAGGCAGCATCGAGCGAGTTGTACAGGTTCGTCCCATAGGAAACTGGCGATGGAGTCTATCAGTTCCTGAGCAAGACGTGGTACTGCGTCGCTGTTGCATGATCAGCAGAATTGAATATTGATATCTAGAGATGGAGATCACCTTGCGTATACAGGTGGACTATAGCGAATGTTGAACGCCGCGAATCTGGCCAACATGTCTCGGATGAGTATGCCGGAAATGGTACTAGAAGTCAAGGAAATCGGGTCAGTCGTAATGCATACTCTCACGGCTGTACTTACAACGAGTCAGCTGGAACGTGTTCATCTAGCATCTGAGCCATCGGACCTTCGATCGACCGCTAGCAGGACGGGAATGTCGGTCTGCACTTGACGAGCAATGATAATGGAGAACGGATGAGAAGTAGTGACGTGCTAGATGCCTTGTCGATGACGGGAATACCTGGATGAGCGACGTGAGCAAGGAACGAGAGAAGCCCTCTGCAATCGTGAGGTTCCGCATCGCCACGAGGCAGTGCTTCGTTCGAGCAATCCACATACAACGATAGCACAGTACCACGGCCCAAATCCATCGGTACGTGATGGTGGTCCACACGCGAGGCCGCTGTGCAAAGGTTTTATGCACCGAGCGTCTTCTAGATACCCAGATGCGGAGTGCCACAGTAAGGAACGTCTGGCTCAGTGGTCAGAAGCGCAGACATCGTACATATGTACGACTATGGGACCCGTCCGACGTGCGTACCAAGAGGACCGCCCCATTTCTCAGTGCGAGAGCAAGCTCATGCATACGTAGAGGCAGGATCCCAGACGCAATCTATCGTCGCGCGCAGAGCCCATCGTATTGATTGAAAAGATTCAGACGCAGCTCCCAGCAGTCGGGTGTATGCGGGCGTTCCGGAGCCTCGGACAACGCATATAGGCAGCTTCGACGCCTGCAGAGGAGAAGAGACGCACCTCGGACGGACGCTTGTCCGCTGTATGCGCACACATCGCGCGTTCGAATGACCGGTGCCGATACTCCATCCTAAGAGTCATTGTTATTATCCATGACAAACTGGCACAAGTTGAGTAGCAGCGAGCTGGTGGCGTACAAAAGGTGAGACACGAGGCATCACACGATCCGGCTTGTCTCATCCAGAGAACTCAGTCACTGGGCGGCAAGCAACCAGGGGAGCGTGGCCGTTGATTCAGAGGTTCTGCGGAAACCAGCGGTGCCTGCGGTTGCTGAGCGACGTCCATCGGTGGTCGCTATAGCCTTGGGCACATCCAGATAAGCACCACAGTCCTCTTCCGACTTGAGGAGGAGCCGAATGTCATACCGTCAACATGCTTTTCTAATAGACGAGATCACTTTGGTGGCCGAGTGGGACGTACCACGACAGATTCCCTGCACCTTCTCACGAAGACGGTGTACGATGCGTGGCGAACAAAGAAGGTGGTCTCAATCCTCTTCCTCGATGTCGAAGCCGCCTTCCCCAGCGCCATCCCAGAGCGCCTATTCAGCGAGATGCGAAAGCTTGGCATCCCAGAGGTAATCGTCGACTGGCTGCGCAGAAAGCTACAGGGTCGAAAGACCCGCCTAAGCTTCGATGACTTTGTATCTCACCTCTTCGAGATCTTCAGTGGTATTGACCAAGGATGCCCCCTATCCGTCCTACTGTACAAGATCTACAACCTCGTTCTCCTAGAATGTGCTGATAACACCCAGAACGTCTCCGCCCTCGGATTCATCGATGACGTCGGTGTCCTCGCGGTTGGCAAGAACCTCGGCGAAACAAACGGCAAGCTACGTAACTACATGGAACGGCGAGGCGGCGCAAAGGAGTGGTCGCGCACGCGCAACTCCAAGTTCGCGCTGAACAAACTCGCTCTCCTCCACGCAGACCCCCGACTCAAGGGTGCAGACATGGGCCCAGAACTCGAACTACGAGATGGAAAGGTTACGCCCACTGATGTCGTGAAGTTTCTAGGTGTGAACGTCGACAACAAACTCACCTTCAAGCAACACACGGAATATGCGCTCCGCAAAGGAACAACCTGGCTGCAGCAATTCAGCCGACTAGCACGACCCAAGAACGGTTTGGTGGCACGTAACGTACTCACACTGTATAAACAGATGCTCTTACCGGCTATGCTTTATGCCGCAAGTGTCTGGATCACGCCACAACGCGAGATTGAAGGCCGCAAACAGACCTACGGGTCTGTGGGCAAGATCAAGAAGCTCGCCCGCATTCACAGGCAGGCATGCATCCTCATCACGGGAGCAATGAAGACGACCGCGACAGACATCCTAGAAGCTCACCTGAACCTCCCCCCCTTCCACCTCCTTGTCGACAGATTCATCGCTAGGGAGGCTACTCGCCTCTGTGCCCTCCCCACGACACACCCCCTGCACTGGCACGTTCAGCACGCCTCCACGCCTGTCCAACACAGGAAGAGTCCGCTCCACGAGGTCTTGGCGGCCTACCGTCTCCTCCCGCACGATGTCGAGAAGATTGAAGCGGTCCGACTCCCCCCCGGATGGACGCCGCCATTCCCAGTCCACATCGCAGACAGCAAGGACGATGCGGCAATCAGCGAGAGGACCTGGGCTCGCAAGCCAGGGTATCGCGTCTACACTGACGGATCAGACATAGACAATGGTATAGGTGCCTCTGCGGTCCTCTACAGACCGGGCGCCAGGGAGCCTGTGGTGCTACGGCACCACCTCGGCTCGTCGACCCGTCACACAGTTTACGAGGCCGAGATTGTAGGTCTCATCCTAGCAGCCCATTTACTCATCCAGGAACTCAGCGCGCGAGCTGCCTCGTGCGCAGCAGACAACATGCCGTGCTTACTCGCAGTACAGAACCGCAAGCCGCACCCAGCGCATTACCTCATCGACTGGCTCCTCCGCGAGATCAACGCGGTCTTGCGACGCCACCCCGGGATCAAATTCAGCCTATGCTGGGTCCCGGGCCACCGCGACATAGAGGGCAACGAGAGAGCTGACCAGGAAGCAAAGAAGGCGGCGCGAGGCGAGGGCAGCTCCGCTGCCCTCCTCCCTAAATGCCTAGCAGAGACGCTCCCGGCCAGCCTCTCGAAGGTACGACAGACTCTGAACGAGACGTTCACGTGCGCAGCGAGGGATGAGTGGAAACGTTCGCCGCGCTCCGCGAAGATGGATCGCATAGACCCGGATCTCCCTTCTAAACGCTACGTGAAGCTGATGCACTCTCTCCCACGAAGACACTCTAGCCTTCTTATCCAGTTGCGTACTGAACACGTCCCCCTGCAGGCCCACCTCCACAGAATCGCCAGAGCGGACTCCCCCCTATGCCCCTCGTGTCACCTGACCAAGGAAACAGTTCATCACTACCTACTGGAGTGCCCGGCGTACGACGAGCAACGCGCGCAGCTTGCATTCACCCTCGGACCCGCCACGAACTCCATCCAGTCGCTCCTTACCCATCCGCGAGCCATCCGACACCTATTCCGGTACATCCACGCGACGGGCCGCTTCGCGGCCACCTACGGCAACCTCGGTCTCGACGACCGACCGACATAGCCTCCCTCAGGCTCCCCTCTCTATTTCGTTCACCTGTTACTGCATTACTCTACCTGACCTACCATACTATACATCCGACTCTACCGACATGCCAGAGAGAAAGCACAAGGTGCCTGCGACGGTCACTGTAGGAGCCGGGAAGGGTATCGTGTTGCCGGGGCCGCACCTGAGGGCGGCAGGTTGCCAGTATAAACAGCCCCGTGCACCGTGCTCATGCCTCGCTCTGAGCCCGACCGCTCGTCCAGCCCGACAGCCGTATCGAACGTATGTCGTCTCCCGGGCGGGAGTCCCCCTTCCGTTGTACGTGACCACACCCCAAACATCGCTCTGATTATCACACTCGACGCCACACTGTCGTCTACACGCGTCCCACATCCCTACTCATCTCTCCCTTACTGTACATACACTCGCTCTAGCCTCGGCGACGAGCACATGCTAAGATTGATTATGATAGCACGGACCCGCATTCACTACGTACGCTAGAGCTTTGTCTACATAGGGCTCGGCCCTCGCGGACAATAAAGGGATTCAAAAAAAAAAAAAATAATAGACGAGATCACAGCAGCACGCACCTGGTACGCCGCCACGCCTCCCTCGAGATCTACATCGGCCGACTTCTCTCCATCACGCTCCGCGATATACGGCTTCACAGACACTGAGCGAGTTGAGGAGCGCTTCCTCCGGGGCGAAGCGATTGAACGAAGCCAGAGCATCATGTGCTGGATGCCTGGAAGGCTATATATATCGGCCGTGTCCAAAGCTGCGTTCCCTTTAGCGGCGGGCGGGAGGGCTGACTAGAATTCTTGCATGAGCGTGCCCAGCGTCAGACATACAGAGGCAGTACGCCGGACAGGAGTGACAACCAGTTCTGTGATGGATGACAGCAGAGAAATGAGCATTGACGGGGTCACTGCAGGCAGGGTAACCGACGTGATGATCATACTGTACTTCCTGACGGAGTAGCCTAGCATAGCTGTCGGACTCCGATGTCGCGAGTCCGAGTGGGTTTTGTGTAGCATCGAGAGCGGACTTTGAGGTTGTTCTGCGAGTTTTGGTCTCGACTGCGAGTGACTGACTGCCAGGGCCAGATTCATCAGTCTTAAGCGTACCAGTGTCGTGCGTGCGTAGTCGTCGTGCGTTCTACCAAACCATCGCGACTGTTTCAAGACCAGTGGGCGCCGCCTGAAGTTGGCCTCAAGTGTCGTTGGGGGTTGATCTGTGACTGCACTTGCGTTGGAATATACTTAGTAACTTACGCCGCTAGAGTCACTGACAGCGCATTGTCATGGCCGCGAGTGAGGAGGAGGAGAGCCAGGTGGTCGCTCGAACCAAGTATGTTGAAGTATCCTGCTTTGATCACGACGGGCAGGTCTACACGTGCTTACGTAACCGTACCGTGGTACTGGCGCCTCCTCTTCGCTCCTCCTCGTCGCCTCTCCAACGCCAGCAACTCGTCCGCACCGCGTATTGTCTTGCCCGTTCTCGCTCATTCTTCCCGGTTTGTGCAACCGCAGCTCGTATCGATCGCCTCGGCTCGTTACATGCAGAACTCGAGGATACTTAGTACGTGGCACGTAGTCTGATCGGATCACAGCCACTCAGTTGGATCACAGTAACGTGCAGGCGGTCGTCGAACATACCGTCTCAGCGCCCTGACGTTGGGACCGTCAATATGCGGCCTTGCTGATGCAATTCTGCGGCAATATTGCAAGCGAAAGGTGCGTAACTAGGGCCTTTCAGCCTAAGGAGAGAGCATCTAATGAAGTATGTCACTAGAGCGCGACAGGACAGAAGTCGCGCGCGAAGGCATCACTGTTTCCATGGTCGTAACTAGCGGGTCACGCCAAAAGTATGCAACTGGGATGCTTCACGTATGGAGGACGCTGTTGGCGACAGGACGTGACTCCAACCATACGATAACGACACGAAGAATCCCAACGCCGGGGGTGAGTCTATCTCTAAAGCCAGCGCATTGCTCAACCGATATGTGTGTGTCCCGTACAATAGGAGTGACCCCGTCTTGGATGCCAATACCTCCGACGTGTTGGTGAAAATGAAGCTCGCAGCATACACCGGATGCATGGCATGTGCGGTGCGGTGTATGGATATTAATGAGCGTACATTGCAGTCAGCGGACGTATCTCTCAGAGTAGTGAGCTCTGATCATCCTCCGTTTTTGGCTTGCAGACGACATTGACGTTCGTTTCTCGTACATACCACTACATTTGCTGATCGACAGAGGCGCAATAATCAGTGCTGTACGGTTGTGGGGTTCAATGAGAAACGGGCGCACTGTCGAGCATAGGACGCAGATGGGTCATGACATTGACCTCGGGCAGAGGGCCAACGCATGCATCATCAGCCCAATGTACACTCACTACACCGCAGTGTTCGCCCGCCGAGTGCGCTACCTGGACACGTGAGCTCATGCTCACCTTGGCCACGCTCGCCCTGGCATGTTCATGTCCACTGCTATGTATGTATTCATCGTTGTCTGTGGTGCATGTCTAAACGTCGGCAGCGTCAGAAAACAGGACCACTCACTCGCACCTACAGGACCAAAACATCGTGCTTTGCCGCCTGCACGTAGAATCACTGTCTCGAATATAACAGCACTGACACCTCCCACTACGGACTTGAAATGTGAATGCGCACTCTTTGTGCGGCATATCGTTCAGGTAAGGTTCAATGTGCAAAGAAACCTTCAGCTGAACCCTATACTTACAGAAGCGTTCTCAACGTGTTCTGTGACAGAGAAGGCAGACCTAGTCGCTGGAGCGTCCAACAGCGGAGCCGCGGTGAAATCTATCTTTGGACATCCTCGTTGCTGATTCAGACGCGCTCTCAGGGACGTCTTTGCCATATTATTGATCCGCCAGTAGGACGGCGAACTTCCTGGATTGAGCGGTCACTCTGTGCTCTGTCCTGCGGAATGATCATCATTGCGGAAATGTCCAAAGTGCGACTGATATCACGCCTTGTTGGCGAGGTCTCCGGATCCCGGGCCCATGGCTTCGATGCGAATTGGCTGCCAAACCGTTGTTCCACGCAAGTGATCCTTGCGATCGTGACAGAACTTGGACAGCACGCATACACGTGCCGTCCGTTCTATTGTACATAGCTTGTAGCTCCTTCCTGGCCCTAATTCGGCGGCTCATTGGCGTGTGTGGCAATCCCGACCTATGTTCGGCGCGTATGCTACTCACGGGAGAACATGAGGCAGCGGTCCACGGCAAAATCCGTTACAGTGCGTGGCAGGTCCGTGTGTCTAGAGTCTCAATGACCGGCCCTCTATAGCTCATCAATTACACACCTTCAAACGCACAGCTCAACGTCTGGCGGCCTATACTACCCGTCTCACTTATTCATGCTCACCTCTGTCGACTGATCGCTGCGCTAGAGTATGTCGTTGGATGTACATTGTGTGCAATGCGATGACACGAGGCACGAGGATACGGTGCTCGTTACAACGAGCTTTGGCATTACTACACCCCTCGGCATTTATTCACAGTGACCTCGCCACGCATCACATGAACCCATGAACTGTTGAAGAGTGACGTGAAAGGGAAACCTTGCGTACTTCGTTGCCCGGGCGTGGCTTTCAGTCCCTACGCGAACATGCGCCAGGAGTGCTATGGACCCAACTCACCGTTTAAATACATAGTGCTCACGCAGGCCTTGTCGACGCCTTCCCATTGCACTAGGGCAGCTCTACCTAGAATACGGTGAGTAATCGATATGCTCTTCAAACGCGTATCGAAATGCTGACTACAATGTGATTCAGGCGTCGTAATTACCCGCGAAATCTGAACACTGTCTCTGGGTTCCTACTGCGTTGTGTCATCTTCAACCGATATATGCAAAGGGCTCACAAACTAATATGTCCTGGTATAACAGGGAACGCTTTGCGGGTTACAGAGACATTCTCATATCAGGATACTCGATCGAGCTCAACCAGAACAATCGAATAATCTGACGTATTCCCAAAAAATGGCATCATCGGACAGCGATAGGGATGGGCAAGACCCCGCCGCATCGCAGACCGGATCAGGATCGTCACCTCCAATGGAAGGCAACCAGGGCGACAAGGGGCCGGAACCGTCTGCAAAGTACATAAGCCCTGATCAAGCATGGGCCAAGTGCGCCCAAGACGCGTGGAGCGACGAAACAGGTCGAGTAAAGAAATGGGACGACGAAATAGACAATCTACTCGTTTTCGTGCGTCGTTGGCTCTAGTTTATACTTGAGCACACTCACACCATTCATATCATATAGGCTGGTCTTTTCTCAGCGATCCTGACCGCTTTCGTCGTTCAGTACTACCCGACACTACAAACGAATACTAACACGCAGCCTCAGATCGTTGTTATCACGGCCTCTCACCAGACAAACGTCACTTCGACGTATTCTACCCCCGACTCTGACACAGCTCCGGATGCATTTACGGTTGCAATCAACGCGCTCTGGTTTCTGGCCCTCGTTTTCAGTATCGCATCCGCGTCGCTGGCGATCAGTGTCAAGCAATGGTTGGCTCATTACGTTCCCTCCGACTCGGACATTGGCGACACTCGCCTCCGTCTACACATCTGGCATCTACGTTCCCGCGGATTGGCCCGTTGGCATGTGCCTGAAATCGTCGGGATCCTTCCACTACTGCTCCAGATCGCGGCGACCTTTTTCCTCACCGGAGTCGTGCTCTTCCTGTGGAAGTTGAACAAAGCAATCGCATATCTGATAATCATCCCCGTCTCAATATTACTACTCTTCACCGCGGGGAGCACCCTTGTTCCACTCGTGGAACTCGACTGTCCTTACAAGTCGCCAGTGTCGTGGTGGCTATGCACTATCGTCTCACACATATTCGATCATTCGAACGCACAGCCTGACGCGGATACCGATGGCACACGTTCTGCTCCAGGGGATGATGCGCTTCCTGGAGCATACGAAACCGATTCCCTTCCACGTCCTCGTCGATCATCACATGGGACCGGGATACCCTCGCGAATTCTACCTTCGCTGTACAAATGTGCCGACACGTGCCGGAAAGCACTCCGCCCCTTGCGACGACTTCCCGACGCATGGATGGCGGCCATCCAAGCACGGTCTTGTCGAGCGCAGAGCTGGGCAGACAGAGAACAACAAATCTGGCGTGCGAACACCACCGGGGATCTCGTGCTCAAGGAGGGCATCATGACCGCGCACGGGGAGCAGGCGATCTTCGACAACTTCTTGCAGAATAGACCAAACATGGTTCGAGTTCGCACAGGCCCCAGGATCAACGGCTCGGCCTCACCATCCTTGGCGGTCTTCGAGTTCCTCGCGGACTCGGCCAGCGAGGACTCGTTGCATGCTATAGCCGGGGTCGCCGCCAGTGTGCTCAAGACGACACTGACAGCTCGCGAGCATTCATATCCGGAGCACGACACGGCGTCGATACCTTCGGATCCGAATCAGCGCGATGCAAACGCCAAACTGGATGCGAAGATATCGGAGATGATGTCTATCATCTACTGGTGTACTCGCACAATATCGACATCGACCGATGCAGCTACGCAGGCGACGATGATTCCATTTCGTGAGTGGCTAGATGTACTACCTGTCAGGACCTGTGAGTCCCTGCAAACGCCTCAATCTTTACGCTGTTCCTAATGTTGAGCGTACAGTTGAGCACGACAAGATGGTATGGGACGTCTTGTTCGCCGAACTGTCCAGATATCTAGAAGCCCAAGTCGACCCGCATACCGAGGCATACAGGGATTCCATGGTGTCCGCGATCATAGAAACCCTGTTGGGCGTGTTCGTCAATTTCTTCAACGGTTGCTGGACTCCATGGGTTCTAGATTTGGAAGATCGCTTTCTTGGATTATGTGACAAGGCACTCTGCCCTCACCAAACACACATAATGGCGCGGATTATCAAGGAACGTCCGGAAGTAGGTTTCGGGTTGGAAGTCGCCAGTCGGCTGTCAGCTCAAGGCATGCTTGTTCCAATGGAGAGTAAGCCCAACCTATCGACTTTCACGTTACGGATCTCAGATCATTCATAGCTGTTACTCTTGTCGTTCGCGTCTCACTCGAGCTCTTACACCAGTTGCGGGGGGGAAAGACGGTGTTGGACACATGGCATCAGCTGCTACCTCAATGCGCAGTCAACTGGATCGGTGGATGTATACGCCACGCTCGTGACACAGGAAAGCTAGACCAGCCACAGGTCGTGGCTGACATCATCTCTCCCTGTATTCAGGAGCTTCACGCACATAATAATGCCAGCGATGACTGGTCAGTCTTGGACATTCGTATGCAACTGGCCATGGTCGCTGCGACTGCTATGCACGACCTGCGCTCACATCCGACACCTTCCGCGGTTTCCCTCCAAGACTTCCAGAGCGCGTGCGCACTAGCGCAAAGTGCACTAGACTTAGCAAAACTAAGGTTCGACCCCCATAACAACGTTCTACCTCCCCATGTCACAAAGCTTCAGCACTTCAAAGGCAAGTGCCTCATTATGTCACAGACAAATCGTCCCAGGAGCTGACACGTTCGGCTGGTACAGAGTGCTTAGGACCTGAGTCCCACATGTTCGCAAGGACCGACGAGCCATCTTCTACCAATGGTTCCCGTGGCGCAGAAGGAAGTGCATGAAGTGTTCCCTTGGATACGGCTTCACCACGGCTAGACCTTTCCGTTCCCGTATATATTCGTCGTCGTATTCAGATCAGAGGGTATACCAGGGTTCGCTGTAATATTTGGAATTTCCATTCTCCGTGTGTCATGAGAGGCATTCCAAACGCTGTTCCTGAGTACAGGCTACTGTAGACCGGTAGCTCTTATCTTCGCGAGAATCATCCGCACATTGTAGGCGAGCAAGATTGAGACGATGTCCAGCGCGGCGTATCTCATAAGTCATTACAATCCAGATCCATTAATCGTACATACAATAATCACCCAGTGATGGTCGACGTATACAAGGTCACGCCTCCCCTACAGCACAGTACACGCGAAGAACCGGAACTCTCTACACAGGGCTGTCCTCCACTACCGACGTGCTCACCGGACTTCCACTCCTCCGACTCCTAGTGACCGCTGGCTCCGGCCTCGACGGGCTCTCGCTACCCTCGCTCATCTCCCTCGTCGGCGAGCTCACCACGCCGCGCCTCGCCCGACTGCTCTGGCTACGCACCCACCAATGCCCATCGCTCGCCGTCCGATCCCCCGCCTCCGAGTCCTGCCACCCCATCGTCCGGCGCGCGTCCAAATCATGCCGCACGCCCTCGTCCATCGTCGTCGGCAGCGCAGGCGGGTCGTACTTGCCCTCGCGAATGCGCAGTCTCCGCGCGCGGTGCACCTCCTTCACGCGCTCGACCCACTCGCGGCGCTCCCGGAGGAGCTCGTTGTGCACCCGCACGACGGTGACCATCGCCATGAGGAGCGCCCAGAGCCACGGGACGCCGTAGCCGAGCCCGTAGCCCGTGTCGACGCTTGCCGCCCAGCAGGCTGCGAGCAGCCCGGCGGCGACGATGAGGCCGGAGGCGCCCCACCAGACGGAGAGCTGGTGGATGAGGTGCCGGATCACTTGTGACTCCTCGTAACGCGTTCGCCACGCCTAGCGAGATCGGTCAGAATGAGGTGATAGTAATGAGATGCGACGACTTACCTGTCGGAACTGTGTGCAACCACCTCCGTCGACTGCGACGATATCTTCGACGTAGCAGTAGCCTAACGGCGGAAGAGGCTGGCGCGGGGGGAAAGAGGAAACGCGCCAAGGTACGCGGACTCGGTAGGGGAAGAGGCCGGTAATGAGTAGCGGTAGCGTCAGGACAAGCATTACGCATGGCAGAGCCATCGCGGTGATCCGCGGACTACCAGGCGTTCTGCACGCAAAGGTGAATCAAGGATATTGAACGAAGATGCAGAGGGTAACGTACACAGAGGATCCAATGATTAGTGGAATGAAGAACGCAGCCATGGCAAGGCTGAGAATAAATCTGCAATCATAGTTTAGACAATCTACAGACCCGGGTAGGTTATGTTACGCACTGGAAGAAGTCGACGCCCCATCGCCCCGCACCAATCGGTCTCCGACTAACGTGGTCGCGCGTGAACCACAGGAACCACATCCGCTGTGCGAACTTGTAGCCGGACACGGTGCCGATCAGGCTCGTGATGATCGCGAGGTTCTTGGTGGTGCTCAGATGTGCGCCCCAAGACAGCGAGTAGAAGAGGATGAGGGGAAGGATACATGACTCGGCGAAGAGCAGAGTGAACCAGATGATTATGGCACGCTCGCGGCCACCGGTTTTGACAGTATAGTTGAGCGGAGGTGGCTCGTCGTAAAAGAGGACGGCGCTTGCCGCGTCGTTTGAGTTTGGCTGCTGAATGGCGACGGTCGGCCGCTCCTTCTTGACAGACGACGACTGCTTCTCTGAGCTATTTCGTGAGTCCTGGTGGTCGGGAGCATGGTTGTGCCTGCGATCGTCGACGGCGGTGGGCGTTGTGGACGTCTGCGAGCCCGGACGGTCGGCCATGGCGAATATTGCGGGGTATAGCGTCGATTGGTCGTTGCGGGTCGTGAACAGGAACGGGAACGAGCGAGAAAGAGCAAGAGCAGGACTTGGGTTGGGCCGTGTGGGGCCTGACCCCGCCTATAAGAACCACGACCACATCGTGGAGTGCACTGAAGCGCGTGACGTCAGCCCCCAATACAAGTATGTCGAACGCCCACACCGCAGCTGTGATGACTTCTTGACATGGCGTTCGCCTCCACTCAGCAGGCCGCCGAGGAGGCAGTGAAGAATGCGTACGCGTCGATGCTGAGGAGGAGGCGGGTCCCGGGAAGCCGTCAATGCACCGCGGTCACGTGTTCGACGGTGCTCACCGTTCTCGTTGTCCATTTTGAAGCATACAATGCCCGGCGGCGTACCGTCGAGGAGAGATGGAGGTAAGAGGGGAACGAAGGCAGAGCCTTTGCGACGCGACAACGTCCTTTAAGTATGAGCGCGACTCCTGACGTGAAGCATGGAAGCATCCGCGTATTGCCAAATTTGGACCGGTGCGCCATCGTGGGCGTCAAAGCCTTCTCGCCCCGCTTCGAGCGACCACCCTCCTCCTCCTCCATCTGGATGCGGTTAAACAGGCTAATTATCCACCTCTGATTTTTTTACTCGTTAAAATGGAAGCTCGTCGTCAGTGGAACCAGGGGCGTATGTTGAAATGGCATGTAAGTACAGCCACGACAAATCCGCCCGCAACGACCAGTCCTGACACAGCCGCAATGGTTTGGCAGAACATACATTACTTAACTGCGCACGCACGACACTGGGACGCTCAAATCCTATGAAGCTGGCCCTGGTAGTCAGCCACTCGCAGTCGATACCAAAGTCGCACAACGACGTCAAAGACTCAAAGTCAGAGGCTGACGGCTCTCGATGGTACATATATAATGCCCATCATCCTCTCTGAATCGCGACATCCAGCCCCAAGCACTAGGCTACGCCATCAGGAAGCATGAACACCACGTCGGCTCCCCCGCCTGCAGCGACCCCATCCATACTTGTTTCTCTCATGCCATACATCGTAGGAGTGTTCGTGTCCATCCTGTCGGGCGTACTGTCTCTGTATGTCTGACGATGGTTACGCTCGCGCAAGAAATCTGGTCGCCCCTCCGACCTTCTGCTCGTCGCCAAAGGGAACGCAGCTTCGAACGCGGAAAATCTTCCAGGCATCCAGCGTATCATGCTGTGGCTTCGTTCCATCGTCTCGCCGCGGAGAAAACGCTCGCCAATTGGTTCTCTGTCTGAGAAGCCGTACATCGCGGAGGGTGACGGAGAGAAGTCAGCCGAGGTGGATCTCGAGGGGGGCATGGCGGCGTACGAGGTGTGTATCGCGCTCAGTGTATAGAACAGCCTTCTGACGGCATAACATCCGTCGTCACCTGTGGTTCTCAAGTCGGAAGAGTACTGTGGTACTCATCTAGATGTGCCCAAGCTAGCGACCGACGGCTACTATGCTGGCCGTTCCGCGCCGAGACGGGACGGCGCGACCACCGATGTGCGTCGCTCAGCAACCACGAGTACTGTTGGATTTGATCCGCAGAGCCTCTGAATCAACGACCACGCTCCCTTGGCTATCTTCCCGCCCAGTGACCGAGTTCTCTGGACGAGTGTAGCCGGATCGCGCGACGCCGCGTGTCTCGCCTTTTGTACGCCGTTGGCTCGCTGCCACTCACACTGTTCCAGTTTGCTATGGATAATGACAATATGGCTCTTAGGATGAAGTAGCAGCACCAGTCATTCGAACGCGCGATGTGTGCGCATACAACGAACAAACGTCCGTCCGAGGTGCGTTTCCTTTCCCCTGCAGGCGTCCAGCACCGCATATATGCGTTGTCGGAGGCCACAGAACGCCCTTGTGAAGCCCCGCGCCCATGCGCGCATACAATGATGCATCCGATTGCCGACAGTCGTCCCATCTTGTTGTCTCTTGGTCTCAGTACGATGGGCTCCGCGCGCGACGATAGACTGCGTCTGCTATTCTGCCTGTACGTGTGCACGAGCTTGCTCTCGTAGTGAGGAATGGGCCCCGTCCTCAAAGTCATTTATGCGTCGCATTGGTAGCTGTAGCGTATGTAAGCACGATCTCTGCGGTCCCGATCATTGAGCTAGTTGCTGTAGAGTAGCAAATCGCAGCTAACCATATGGCTAATGCTCTCAGGCAGCACAGCGGCCTCGCGATGTATTCGCGCCGTGCTACTAATTGCACTAGCCCGTTCGCCCCGCGAGGTATCCTACGATCGCGAGTGGATTGGTTGACTCGATAAATAGCTCTCTCGCGGACGATGCACGTCGTTACAGTCCTTTGCCGTCTCCTCTAGCTCGCCCAGCTGTTCTTCCAACATATCTGCATCCTCACAGCACATGCCTCCTTCCCTGCGCTTCCTAGTCGTCTGACGGCGTCCTACTATCGGCATTACACGCCTACTACTCGCGCTGATCAGCAAGCAGCATGTATCAGTCGTGTCGTTACGAAGGTCGAACTGATTCACTCACTGGAAATTCAAGATGTAGGAGTATGGGTGATGATCTCGGGAGCGTCAGGGCCGATGTAGAATTCGAGGTCTAGGATATCGCGATCCAACCACGGCCTAAAGAGGTCGACCATGTGGAGCTTGATCGCAGAGACCTGGGCATCGTTGTCCCGTAACTCCTTCATGTTGATGACGATGAGTGCACTAAAACCCTGCCAGGACTTGAAAACGCTCCGGGACAGAACATCGTGGAAAGCGGATGTAGAGACCCGCGTATCGACTGTCGTGAGCGAACACCCGCTTCGGCTCCGAGGTGCTGTGAGATGAGACAACTTGACACCAATAGCGATCCTCCGCAGATGTTCATTTGTGATGTTGGATAAAACGTGCAGAAGAGATCTGTGAAGTATATATCGCGATGGCGCGAGGCACAAACTGACTTCGAGCCAAGTGAGGGACGTATTATGCGCGGTGCACGGCACAGCATCCAGATCTACGTATCATCGAGTGAGCAAACCCAGTGCAGAACCCGCTAGCCAAGAATAATCAGACGTTACCGTTTCCTTGTAAGTTTTTCCAATCAAGATATTTGAGGTGGGTATTGAATTGCTGCAGGGAACACGCAAAGATTCGCAGTTCATCTGCGGATGGGCGATCGGCCAACGAGATACTCAGCCACGCATCCGTAGTCATGAGTATGGATCGCCCGACCAACTGCAGAACTTGCGTAGCACACCCTGCCGGCATGTAGTCGAGGACCAGATGCGAAACAGACTTGGAGTGGCGCCGAGGATGTAAATATGCAGGGGGCGTGCCGGTGTCGAATTCGCGTTCCGGCCCTGAATCGGAGTTAAACATGTACCCCAAGTTCAACACGGAGAGCTGGTGAAAGTAAAGTATGAAGTGCTCCAGGTGTAGAATGGAGGAAAAGTACCGTAAATCCAACTCGAGAGAGGTGATAGTTGAGTATCTAGGACACAGATTGAGCAGATTCTGTGAATGAACAGGCCCGACGATGTCTGTCAAGCCATCAACAGTACTCCGGAGCCGAATCTCTTGGAGCCGTCCATGTGTGATCGTAGATGATGTACTCAGGCTCGGAGGGGATGATGTCGGCGGAGTGTCAAATGTTATGTTTCGCAGCGAGATACGCTTGAGACCTCGCAGCGAGTTGATGATTGTTCGAAGTAGTGATACGTTGCGAAAACGGCAGTCTGTGAGACCCAGACGTTCGACGTTGGTGCAGTACGAGAGACGCTGGAAGCAGGGTTGTAGTCGGGTAGATCTCCAATCCACGGCCTCTAACTCGAGGTACAATAGCTTGGCGAGAAAGCTTTCAGGAAGGCGCAGCGTCCACACGTGCCCAAATCGGTCCATGGGGTCGTCCACAATTATTAGAGCGTGGAAGGCGGATCCAAAATACGGTCTGTTCTTCTGTGAAGTGACGAGACGTGCGAATGTGTTGAAAGCACTCTTCTGATGAAATTTGTATGTCCGATCTCGATGAGGGAAGTGTCGGAGTGTAGCACCATACCAAGCGCGACAGACGAGGGAGCAGGTGGCAAGTGCGGGGAGGTCGAACCGGAAGAACTCGATAACGAGCTCGACAAGGTCGAATGGGAGGTGCGGACAGTATGTGTCGCTATACATCCACAAGTATCAGTTTCACAGTCTGCGTCCAACACCATACATTGATTGACCTTTGATCATCACGGTGGCGGGTCAGTTTGCAGACCCAGCCTTGTACGGTCTGGTGGTAGAAACGACCTCGTCATGTGATGCTACCATGCATAGATAGAGACAAACCTTCAGCATACTCGGTATACTTGTTGGCGAATGTGCGGTCATCGTAGGTGGTAGCTCCTGGGCTTCATTCTTCCGCCCACTGTCGGCATGAATTAGATACAGCTGCTTATGAAAGCTTTGCGACCGTGATGACGTTGAGATCATACCTTCGTCGGGTCTTGTCTCTCGCTCTGCGGCGCGCAGTGCCAGGAAACAGTCGGATAAGCATTTCTCGAGCCATCCCAAGCAATAAGCTCTGGTGAGTAGTGAGGGGGACGAAAAGAGCTACGGGAGTCAAGCCTGCATGATCATAAAAGCTGATCCTGTCCGCGACCTAGACGGCCGACCGGTTCTGTCCGGCAATTGAGGAGTACTAGTGATCTCGCTGTACTTGAACCATATTGCACAGTGTGGTCGTATCTTCCCCCGCTGCGCACGCTCTCCAATTGCTACGCTTCTGAATTTCTTGTGAATGACCAACGTCAGGCTGCACTGCCCCAGGCGCTATGAGTAAGTTTTGCGGCGTGATTCAGATGCAGTGCAGTGGCAGATGTTCTTAACCAAAGCTGAGCGCTGAGCGCTGAGCAGTTGCTGAGCCTATGTAGCACAGCATACTACTAGCGCCGCGCTCGCATCGCAGACACGCATACATGCGCGTATGTAATTGTGGACGTCCGGACAGTCACATTGAATCCATGCGACAAAGTGAACTCGAATTCAGAACCACTGAGCTCGGCAACAACACGAGCGACACCCCGACAACATACGATGGAGCGCCAATACCCCGCCGTTGACCTGGGATGCATGATCGTGCTCGCGGGGCTGAAACCCGAGAACGCTAGAGACAGTCTAGAGACCTGAAGCCGAGTGACGCAGAGAAGCGACGGCTCCGCCGCTCAACTTCACGTCACGAAAGGGCTCACACCTGCCTCTTGAGCGCGCCGCAGAAATGAGGCGAGCTTCGCATGTGGGGAGGCGCGCTGGACCACGGCGGTACTAAGTACATATTCTGTGAAGACGAATGTTTGACCAGATACCCTGGCTCCGTTGACTGTGCAGAATCAGCTATACGGGCTTATGACGATTATTGACGCTCACCACTTTCGGCGTATATCGGAATGACCACTGTTGTATTTCGGTTCAGCTTCAGATCCCGGTGTAGTCGCAGTACGCAGTTTGGAAGCAGTGTATACATGCGCCATTCTCGAGGCAGACAGGGCCTAATCCGTGCGAGGGCGTTCATAGCAAGAGAGAAGTTTGGATGATGTCAGACATGCTGACGGGCGCGCAGCGACTCGCACGTGATATACGTGGCTGCGGTCGCTGAAACTGACAGTACATACTAGTGACCCGCACTCCGCTCAGCGACCGCGCAACCTTATGCATCTGTCTTCATAACAGCTCGCACGAACCTCACGGAACGAGGAGTCTGCAATCGACCTCCATCCGCGTCCTGCCTGATCGGCCTTCAAGTTGACGATAACCAGCTCGAAAGCCGAGGGTCGGACGCGGTCCAGTCATGCTACGTGTCGTGCATGGGTTCGTCGGCCAGGCCTATGCGTGACCCTTTGCATACTCGTATACTTAGTCTCATTCGTCTATCCTTCCCGTGTCCGAAATCTCGCGCTCCCAACACTCCCGCTTCGTTCAGTGTCGTATGTCTCTGATTCTTCGGTACACCTCTTCGAGCAAATCAGTAGGATCAAGCAGTGTACTCGCCTCGTCACAGAGGAAGAAGGACTCACTCGAGAATGACGAGGAGAAGGATTGATTGGCATACTGCGACACATCACGCCTACCCTCGAAGTCAAGCGCGAGGAACCCGCGACGTAACCACGGCGCAAAGAGGTCGACCATATGGGCGTGGATCGCGGAGACCAAGACAGTATCTTCCCGTATCTGCCGCGTACTGACATGAATTATGATGCTCCTCGCGCTTGAAATATTGTCTGCGAAGTGGTCGAAGACTTCTCGCGCCAGCACACGGTGGAAGGCGGACCTCGAGTGCCGTGCGTCGTTTGTCATGGTCATAGGACGATCTTCGCCTGGACTTGAAGGTGACGGGGGCTGAAGAAAGTTTATCGAGATGATAAGGCTCCGCAGATGCGGGCTGGTGATGTTTGCCAGCACTGCCGTGAGACATCTCTGGGTCGAACCTGGCGATGGTTCAAGGCAGAGCGTTATCATGAGTCGTCTCAAGGAAGTGTTCGAAGAGGTACACGGCACGGCATCCAACACTATGCAGCGTCAGCAAGATTCAGCCTCGGTCTGAATGGAGCAAACGTTTACCATTTCCCTTCTCGTTCGTCCACTTCATGCGCGTGAGGCCAGGTCCAGTCAGCTCTAATACTCGTGTGACGCTCCGCAGAAGCGCCGCAGAGGGGCGGTCGACGAGCTCAATTGTCAGTTCATACAGGTTCCGGGATATGTACGGAGTGATGAGCCGCAGGATATGCAGCGCACAGACTGTCGACGTGTCTTGAAGGGTGAATACGGACAGCGTGCGAAGATGTTGTTCTGTATGTTGTCCGCCGAGGTCCGCCTCGTCAAAAGGAAGCCCGCCTTCAAGTTCAAGAGTGGGGTCGAAGGCGTTGTTCAGCCACAGCTCTGATAGACCGTGATAATGGCGCAGGACGCGCTGAAGATGCGAAGGTGAAACGTAGCGTAGGTCCAAGCCAAGAGTTGTGATATTCTGATATTGGATACAGAGACTGAGCAGGTTCTGTGAATGGACAGACCCGAAGCTGTCGGCCAAGTCATTACCAGATGTGCTCCGGATGCGGATGTACTTGAGACTTTGATGCGCGATCGTGGGCGGTATGAGCGAGAGCGATGTCGGCAGATCGTCAAATCTCGTGTCCCAAAGCCAGATGGCCTCGAGACTCGGGAGCGAATTGATGACATTTCGAGGCACTGATGCATTGCGGAAGCGGCATCCCGAAAGCGTGAGCTGTACCAGGGTAACACAGTGCGAGAGCCGCCGCAAGAAGCGAGCATGCGGCCTCGTCGTCGTCCAGTTGAGTTCCGCCAGCGCGAGGACCCGCAGCCCGGACAGAAAGTACTCGGGGACCTGCAGAGCCCACAAGTGAACGAAGCGATGTGTTGGATCGTCCACCAGCGTAAGCGCGAGTTCCGAGAACCGGAAGTACGACCTGTTCCCCCGCACGCCGATGAGCCGCGCGAATTCTTCGAACGCATTCCTTCGAGTGAACCTGAGGTTGGACTCTCCGGTCAGGAGGAAGGGTGGTAGGCGCGCGGTGCAATACCATGCGCGGCACACGAGGCGGCACCGCATGAGCGCTGGAAGATCGAGTCGGAGGTAATCGAGTATGAGCTCAAAGAGCTCCAGTGGAAGGCGTGGGTACGTGTCGCTGTGAACCCATACACAATGTAAGCGCATGCATATTGCGTCAACGCCGACGGCGGAACGGACAGAAGCTCACCTGACGTACGTCGGAGGCCTGAAGTCGACACGAGTGTGTGGTGGTTGTTCCTGACTTCTGAGGTCAACAACCCCGTATCTCTGAGCTGAGATGGACGAACCTTCTGTCCGCCGCCATGTATCCCTACGACTCGAAATCGTGCTGCACCCTTCTTGGGCGCACCATTGGCTGCGCTACATCGGTTATCGGCCTAGATCAGATCACAGGACTTATGCACAGTTGTTGCAAGCTCACCTGGGCGGCGCGTCTTTGTGCTTTGTTTGACGGCGGGATATCAGTCGTTTGAGCAGTCGACCGAGCAGATCGTACGCCATCGCTGGCCGTATGGCTCTGGACGACAATGTTAGGAAGCAACGAAGTTGAATGCGCCTCGTCCTGTTTAACGCTAGCCTAGTAGTCACCGGAACAGTGCGATGCTGCTATTATGCACTGCCTTGCAACTCAAGTGAGACCTAGAGAGCACAAGCCGCCGTCGTACGTCGATCGCACGGCTGAGCGAAGCCCTCCTAATAGTCAGTAGTGCTCTCGCCGAGACGGTCGTCACCAGGTACCAGTAAGCACTACAGCTAGATCCACTACCACTGACATGCACGCACTGCGCGTCATCTGTCGCTCAGCGCCTTATGTACACGAGGGCAATAGTCACAGTGGGACGGCTTTCACTCGCGAGGCCCATCTCATCGTTAGAAGGAACACGGAATTCACATCCGATTCCCAGTCTCGAGAGTTGTCCACTGTGAGGTACTGAACAACCGACGCCTCATCTCTCTGCATCATAGTAAATGAGCAAGGGTCCAAGATTGCTAAATCACGCACTACTTGATTTAGGAATTCACCACGTCAATCATTGCCACCCAGAATCGCCTCTCAGGCTAACGTGAAGAGATGTGAGGTAGCCACTATTGTGATCTTCCTCTGTCCCTTCATGAAGGTCGTTCACAGTAGGGAGACTGGGTGGGCACGCAAGCGCGGTCAGCATTCGAGCTTAGCAACTAATAAGACGTACGTACTTGCAATAATGAGAATAGCACCTGACAGTGCCACGGAAACTCGAAAACGGGGCCTTGTGCTGAAGGGCCCATGACGGGCTCACGTGAAGGCTGACGCACATGAGGTTGGACAGTGAGCTCCGGACCGGCGGACTGTGAGAGGACACTCAAAGAGTTGCTCACTTGAACGCGACGCGACTTTGGCCAATGATCGGGCATGGTCGAGCGATGACCAGGGGCAACCGACGGCGACACGGGACATCTTGCTCTGCATACCTCGGGACTCCGTCGAGCTGCAGGTTCCTGTCCCGAACGAGGAGTTAAATAAACAAGGCGCATGGTATGGCGTCGCGGTACGTGTCGTACGTACCAAGCCAAGTCGGAGTCCTCATTGAACAACGCCGGCCGGTGATAAACTGGTTATCTCTGCGGATTGCACATGAAGGGGCGATATACTTGCGAAGTCAACTTTTAGTCGGTCTCGTTCAATCACAGGCGATGAACCGTTGAGATGGAGACCTGTGTGTACCAATTAGACCTCACTGGTCGTCCGTGATCGGGACACGGCATGGTCGGGCTTACATATCGATTGGCTGCGTCTGCGCAAAGGCGTTCGGGCGTGTTCAGGCGTGTTCACCTTGAGTCAGTCTTCGCGGAAGATGGGCGATGCGAGTACTAGTCTCCGTTGCATATCATAGTATCCGGCAAGCGTCCGATGCGAGATGCATACGAAAGCTTGTCAGACAACCAAGAGTACATGTACAATTCAGTACAAGGCCAAGCGAGGAGGACGAGTCCAAGTTGAACTTACGGTGGCGACGGCCGCTTTGACATCACGTGCGGTCGTGCGCCGCCACCGTCGCCACGAGCGGCACTGGCAGCCTACTTGCCGTTCCAATCACCGTTTTCTGTACATACATACTCAGACTGCGTATCCCGCAGCGTCGACTCTCTGCCAAGCGTCGGACTCACCGCACTCCTCGAAAAATGCCGCGGTCCTCCGTCCGCTCGCCCAAGGGCCTCCCTCACGCGCCTCTACACCACCGGGTGACCGTAGATATTGAATCGATATTGAACGACGACGAGGGATAATGGATAACCAGGCTGATATTCCGTCGATGTTGGCCAAAGGGCGCACGTGCGTAAACGAAAGATACCGTACTAGCGCTCGCAGCAACATCGATCCGATATCATACCATTGTCGCTCCCTCGTTCTGCCCTCCGACTTTGATACCTCCTCGCAACTTCCTACTAATGGCCTTGCTCACTCTGTCGACTCCACAATGGCTCTCGACCATGATATGTGCACAGTGAACATGGTCACGAGACGAAGGTCAGGCTGTCTTCTGTGCGTATCTGACTTGCATCTGCACGCAGACCTCGACTCGAAGTACAGCGCCGCCCACCATGGACTACGATGAGTACTCGCCGACCCAGATTCTGGACGACGTGACCGTCCCGTGTCGTACTGCTCCCCGTCGACGCGCTGCGGAGTCCGCTCGAGTACGAGGTGCCCAGTAAGTCACAACGATGCTCGTGTCATAAGTTGTTCTGTACTGAGTGTCCCGAATAATGGTGGACTGACATAGACAGCTCTCCGACGGAGGTGCTCTTGACTCGCAAGTAACCGATTCCCAATATGTACACAACCTCCTAGCATCGACGGCCGATTCCGAAGACTACAAGCTGGATGGAGGGTCTGAAGATACCAGTGATATAGAGAACGTCTCGGCCGTGGATCACGGTGCGTGCATAGCTCCCTTTTCTTGGAGGATGTCTGACTCAGCAGCACTCCGAACGTACTTGAAGGCATGTCATTGCATGGCACTTCGACAACGGCTGAGTGTCACCCCTGTGCTGACTCGCTTGTGCACATGCGACGAGAACTCGGTGACCTGCGGCGTGAGCTTTCTCAGCTCCGCTCCACGGTCGTGTTACAAGCAACTCAGATCAAAATCATGGAGCAAGATATAGCATTCCTGTCGCTTGATCCAAATGAACAGACACAGGTCATCCGGGTGCCTGTTCGGCGGTGAGCATAATCTTCGATCTGTTTGGGCTCCAGACAAACGAGGCTCAATACTGATCTATACTCTTCCTTCTCTTGCTAGGGGTGTAACCTACTCCGACAGAGAGAATTCAGACAGCGGCCATGAGGAGTCAGGTAGTTCTCAAGAGCAGAGTGAAGTGGCGGGTCGAAAGCGGCGGCGGCAGGATGGATAGCAATTGTAGACCGTACTTGCATGCCAACTGTCTGAGTACTCGGATTCTCCTATAATGATTGCTGTATGTCTGTGGTACATGTCAGTCAAGGCTGCCGGGTGGGATGTCTGCTGGAACTGGTTGAACTGAGTTGCCCCCAATGTGGCGCCACCATTGAGCCGCGCTCGTCTTGAAGGTCGTCGCTGAACTGTCTGTTGCTCCATCCGCCCATTCTCTTCACGGTCTCATACACACCTATAATAATGCCAGCATTCACACGTCCGCAGGGTCAGTCACAAGTGTATGCTCTGGTGTCTCAGCGTGCACTCACCTGACTTGGATTGTGGGCAGACTTCGAAGTTGACGGCCAATACGGGCGATGTAAAGTCTGTAAAATTACCAGTGGCAAGAGCTGGGCCAAATTGGCGCATTTGCATCATCATGAGACATCACTGGCACATCGAGAGGCTGTCGCAGCACTGATGCGCACACAGGCTCAAGCAGCCACTGCGGCAGTCCAGGCCGTGAAGTCGTCGCACAAATCACGGTCATTACACACGACCGTCGAGGATGTCCCAGATATCGATGACTTTCCTCAATACCAAACGCACGCTGAATGGGATCATGCCGAGCTGTGGAATGCCGGTATTCATGACACAGGTGAGTCAGAAGTCCCTTCACACCGTCCCCGAAATCCTGATGCCATGTACCAAGGATCAAGTACCGAGTCCGCCGCTTCGAGACGCCAAACTGAGGCACCCCAGGCCGCGTCAATATCTCGTGAGCTGCAGGATGTATTGTCTGGCAAACCTCTTTTCTCTGCAGGCGAGGAATTCGAGGATTCACTGGCTGTAAGCTTGCACGAGGTTCTAGATGGTGCGGGGCTCTTCGAGGCAATCACTAATCAAGACGAGGCTCCTGCATTGATGGACGCTTTCGATGTCGGAGAGTTGTTAGACAATTCGGGCATGGCGGGATCCTCATCGCACGGGGATATTACTCAGTGTACGTACTATTCCATCCGGACCGCTTGTCGGTGTGAGTCCGAGAAGTGTATGCAATTTGTATCCTTACGTGGTATTTGCAAATCAGTTAGTGCAGCAACTGCACAAGAGATATCCAAAGCGATGTTCGGATCCGATGCAAGCAACACAAGCGAATATTGGCCATACCCAAACCGCGCGGTCAGTCGTGATTTCGCCGTGTTTATGTAGCTTCTTAGTGACCTTGGGCGCGGGCATACCAGATGATGAAAACAGATGTTCTCTTTAGCTCTCCGCGCCTCCGGTTCTCGCGTGCACAACAGGAGGCGATCCTTGCCTGGGGAAAGGACTTGGGAGCTCGCGATGTACCCTCGCTCTACGGAGTGGAGAAGTTTCAGCGTGAGGCCCTTGAGTCGTTAGGCAATCCGACTGTCAAGGTCACGGCCACGTCAGGGAACGTGTATTACCGTAATACAATCCGGGATACCATTGCGAAGGTAAGCCCTGGACCGTGTGAGCCATCAACATTGATGCAATAACTCAACTCTGCAGGACTATGCACACCCGGACACACGACGGGAGATACATTGCCATCCGCAGCTCGTGCAGACAAAGGCTGTGTCTCAGGCATGGCACTCGAAAAAGTGGCTTGTTGACGCGCCCGACTTCCTCCTCACGCCAATGGTTCGTCTCAAAGGGAAAGACTTCTATGTGGACGAGCTTGTGCATTGTGCCGATGGGCGGTGGTTCATACCGACTCGCTTCTTTGAGATGGAAGACCGCGCTTTGTGGGCAGTGGGCTATGTCGTCGAGAGGCGTGCTCATGTGGTATGCCATCAACTTGTTCTACACTCCGTGGGGCATCCTATTGAGTGCCCACATTTTGTACATTGCAGAACGGTCTATTCGTCACGGACACAAAGGAGATCATGGCGTGTGAAAATTTTCAATCCAATTGGCTTGACATAGACAATTGGAATGCCGGCCGCGACGTATTGGCATGTGAGATGCTTGTCTTCCTCCATCTCATCAAACTTTGCACTGACATGTCTCCTTATTTTGGCATCACCGTCAGCTGAGTCGGCAGAATTCGCAAAGAAGATGCCAAATCCGGATCGACTGCTCGCTGACGGACTTGAGTGGGAATGCCCGCCTGTCATCGTCTTCATTGACGACGTCTCCGGGAACAGTACGAAGCAGTGGAACGTTCACTATTCATGCTACCTGTCGAATGGCGGACTTCCTCGTGAGATGCTGGACCAGGATTGCCACATCCGTTTCGTGGCGACATCTCCTCATGCATCCCCAATGGAGATAATTGAAGGTATTTGCTCTGAGCTCCGGTACGTCGATAATATACACTATATACCGTCCAGAATCTCAATCAATGACTCAGGGAAATCTGCAATGGCGAGCCAATCAAAGCCTGGGACTCGGTTAAAGGATGTCATGTCCTTGTGCGTCCATGGCTGATGTTGCTTCCCGGTGACAACCCCATGCAGGCAGAGCTCTGCAGCCACATTGGGCTTGGAGGAAATTTCTTCTGTCGTTGCTGCCATGCTGGCGGAACCAAAGAGTTTAGGGAGTCAGACGAGGGCTTCAAAACACTCATGGAGGTGTGATTCCAAAGCCCGGCGGCCAATATGCCATCAGGAACCTTACACTGACTATGCAATACAGCCAGGAATCGCTCGCACGGTCAATGAAACCCGAGATGCAATCCTTCAACATTTGATCATGGCGACTCACGCTGCTGCGGACAAGCGGCTAAAAGACGCAATCTCGACGTCAGGAGTGAAGGATTCTTTTGCGATGCCTATCATCAACCGGCTTGTGGCAATTGGCAAGGCTCTTCGCCGTTCAACACCAACACGGAAAGCAGTCAGCCCGGAAGAAGTCAACAAACATCTGACAGAAGAGCTTCTGAAGAAAAAAGATACGACAACCATGAACCCTTTGCTCCGTATGGAAGGTATGCACCGTCCAAATGCCATCTACGGACATCATATTGTTGGATATCTGAGTAACATGCATTCAGGTTTCGACGTCCACAAGGACACACCAGTTGAACCGCTTCACACGGTGATACTGGGAATAATCAAATATTTCTGGGGCCAGACCGTCTGGATTCTCGAGAAACAGGGAAAGTTTGCCGAGTTCCGCGCCAAGCTGAGCTCTCTCGGGCGGTCAGGCTTGAGAATCCCAAACATCATGGCTGACTATCTATGCCGTTATCGCAGTAGTTTGATCGGAAAGCACTTCAAGACCCTCAGCCAAATTATGGCATTTGCGGTCTGTGGACTGGTCGACCAGGATCTTCAGGATACATGGTTCGCACTTGGTCGCTTGACGGTTCTCATCTGGGAGACAGAGATCACAAACATGTCGGCCTACGTGGTAAGGCATAACTAATATATGAATCAATTCTCAAACAAAGATCTGACGCTGTTGGCGCTATAGAAAGACCTGCGTGATGCAATACGCGATGTCATGGACTTTGCCGCGAAACAATCCCCATCGCTGATAACTCTGAAGAACAAGTTCCACATACTCTCACACCTGCCCGATCACATCGAACGTTTCGGCCCCGCGCTGTTGTTCTCTACAGAGCGCTATGAGTCGTTCAATCGAATATTCCGGCTGTGTTCTATCCACAGCAATCGCCAGGCACCTAGCCGCGACATCGCTATGGCATTTGCAAACCAAGATCGCTGCCGGCACATGATCACCGGTGGTTACTGGCTAGACAAGATGTCAAAGCAGTGGGTCCGTGCTGGTGCAGCTGTCACAGAGCACTTCAAAACGGACCGACACGACGCACACCTTCTTGGCGTAGACATCCCCGAACCTCCTGAGCCAGGGCGGATGACGTTTCCTGCGCAGCCGCGCGGCCCACGCATACGCACAGATTCTAAGCAAGACTCGGACCGCGTACTAGATTGGACGGACACAGAGGCTGGTCGACTCGGTCTGACCGCACCACATGGCGATTATCATTGGCAAAGTGCTGTTTCGGTGGTTGCTACTGAAGGAGACGTTGTAGGCGTGGGGAATGAAGTCCTCGTTCGTCAAGAAGGGGTAAGCCGCACATGTTTATTCAAACATTCTGACTTGATGCTCAACGTGACGTTGCATATAGGGGCAATACTCACCCTTAGGATTCGCTTCCGTCGTCGAGATCTTATTTGGAACCCCGAGTAACACTTCAGATCACTCGTCAAGATCACTCCGAGTTGTTGTGGTCCAAATGTCCCAGCTTGACGATGCTCCTCACCAGAAACTACGCATGCCTACTCTTCACAGAACTGGTGATGTCCGGCTATATCCAGCACAGGTACCGTCTTTGTATTCTACTCTCAGACATGCATCAGTCTTACTGATTGCACGTGTTGCGGCCCTTCTAGGACATAGTCTGTGCTGTGAATATCCAGCACGATTGCAGCAAACATGGCTGCTCGGAAACGGGCACGGAGTCAATCCGACAAGAGCGCGAAGAGACGACCCGCACTCGTGCCATCACTAAACATCATGACAGTACTGATTATGTTGTCAACGTACTCGCACTGCACAATCAGCGACTCCTGCGAGAAGCGTTGCCAGAACCGCTGCGGGTCAAACCCGTCTTCTTCACAGACCGTGCTCAATTGCATAAGGACGCTGCGGTGTCCTTGCGCGACCAGAAACTACAGAAGAAACTCACAAAAGATGCCGCAATCCGTAAGCGTGCAGAGGATGCGTTGCGGCTCACCAATCAGCCCGCCTCCCTGGATCTGCTCGCCGAAGATGATGAAACACCCAATGATACTACTCGAATGGTGAGCATCATATTTCCTATTCTGATTTGGACGCACCATCCTGAGATGAACTTCAGACTGCTGAAGCCGGTGACTTGAATATGCCTGAAGGCGACGCTTCCGAGCCCCCGAGTCTAGACTCGCTGATTGTCCCGCGCGGCCCGCGACAGCGACGTCAACTTGGTACGCCGGCCTCTTCAAGTTTGCACAATGTGTCGACTGTGCCAGAGCCTCCTGTACATGGGAATGGTCGCGGGCGCGGGAGTGCTCGTGCTCGTGGGCGTGGGCGTGGGGGCGGGCGCGGGCACCGATCAGAACATGGGCGTGGAAATGGGCATGGACATGGACGTACTGGGAATGACGAGCACGCCAGCTCTGAACCGCCTCAACTACCGCAGGGACCACTTCCCGTGAATGCAGCAGACACGAGTCATGCTATGGTAGCCTCGGTGTTCCCAGAGCTCGAGGTACACGCCGATGAATACCTCGACAATCCCGATCCACCAGCGGCCGCAGATGCTGCACACCCTCGCAAAAAACGGAAGCGTGTGACGGCAGACCCTGTCGCATCAGCGGCTCGAGAGGCTGATATTCGTACTGTATTTTATTAATAAATGTATGCTTTGGAACCGGCTGTATCGCACCTTCAACGTTCGCGAAGCACAGTGACCCCCGCGGCGCATCAGCACACAGATCTGGATCTGACAAAACCGTTTCGGTCAGAGGCCGACATGCGCCGTGCGCGGCCTTGGACACGTGAGGAGATAAGAACGCAATGGCAAGGGGGTTGCCACGGCATGGTTGGTTGCCAGCCATCCCCCGACATTTTCCTCGACCTGCCACGACAGCTCAGCATCGCCAACCGCTCCGACAACATGTCAAGCAGCCAGCAGGTCAACTCGGCTGCTCTCTATGCAGCTCTTGGCCTCGCTCCTCCGCGCACTGTGGCACCGCCCCAGGTCTTGTCCTCGCAGAACAATGAGAACCCGTCGAATCAATCCACACCGTTCGACTTCAGCGGCACTACCGGCCTGACATCCATGCCCAGTACTCCCCGTGGTGCCTCGCCTGCACCAGATATGGCCCCGCCTGGGTCATACACCATGCCAGGCCCTAACGATGGTATGGGCCCTGTACAGCCGTCGGGATCGAGCGCCGAGTTGCCCGTCAACCTCGGTGCAACGATGGGCTTTCAGCCACCCAGTGTTCTGGGCCGACGCCGTTCGCGAGAGGATGATGATTACGCACCTCCAACAGGTCCCGCCCGGCAGAGTATCCCAGGCCAACTGTTACGCGCCATTGCTACGGAGAAGAGCATGAAGGCTGGGCTGACATCTGCGCAACTCGAGGAGGTGCTCACCTATGTTGGGGTATGCAAGGCAGACCTTCTGTGATACAAGCACGTTGTTGATGACGTCCTGTTGATTCGCGTGCAGCTGTCAGTTCCAGAGATGCTGATTGACCTCAAGATCCACCTCATTAAAATGGGTAACGACATACTGAATAGATACTTCAAGATCATCTCGAGGCATCCGGACTTTCATGTGCGTCCCCAGTGCTTCGGAGGACATTGAGGACGACTTGTGCTCACGGATTACTTATAGATCCGTGTACGCGCCGTTGTCGCTGCAGTGTTGCTCGCTGCGAATGTCCCTGCTTACCAGAGCAATGTGCTGAACCACATCATGGTCAGTCCGATCCTCCACATCAGAGCTGTACAGCGATTGACAGCACGGAGTCAGACGCACCTCGAGCGCAATCTTCACTTGATCAACCTTGACGCTGCTCATCGCAACGACCCGGCCGACTGGGCTGCAGTGAGGGCGGTCGTCTCGCATGAGCTGGCGATGTTACGGAACAGTTTAAAGACGAAGGCACGTCACGTTGTCACGCTGAAAGTTTACGTACAGTGTGTTGATGCATTCCACGCTGTCCGTGTCTCACACGGTCGTACAGATTGAGTTGTCAATTAAGAACAAAGATAACATCTATCAACTCACGAAGACACTGATGACGCACGATATGAAAGTCGTCCATGCACATTGGGGACGCTTTGCTTTCTTGGTTCGTGTCCTCGGTTTGATCATCAAGCCTATCTCGGACTGATCATCGCGCAGCGCCTGTTGACGAGCCAGATCAAGAAGCGTAAGAAGAAAGGCAAGAAGAAGCTCAACTTCTGGAAAGAGATCGACATTGCACTGCTGAACATTCGTACGACGTTCGCTCCGATCACAAATGTTGAAGAGAGAAAGCTGGCAATCAGCGAGTATGATATATTCCTGCAGTATGCTGATGAGTAACTCACCTGTTGTTCTCTCTCGTAGGGTCTTCGCTGGCGCGCTCAAGGGTGATGTCGCCCAGTATGGCGAGAGCGCCTCGGACGTCGCGATGACGAGCTACTCGCAGAACGAGCTCAGCCTTTTGCAAGCTACAACCGCGAACGTCGTAGAGTCTTTCAAGGTCGACATTCAAGCGGTGAACGAGGGAGCCGATGCAGACGCTGACGAGAACGATGAGGACGACGAGGAGTAAGGTCGCTTGCATCCCAATGAAATCTTACCTGGGTTCTCGTCTTGCTGGTGGAGCTCATTACCTGTCCTCGTTGATATGTCTGTATCGTATCATGTCTATTACAGTATGTTGAATGCCGTTTAGACGATCGATGCGCAGGGCGAAAGCCTCAACTGTCCATTACGAGAATCGCATGAATCAGCCATTTACGGGGAGCGGGGCCACGTCGCTGGCCCGAGGCCGCCTGACCGCCCATGTCACGTGCCAAACCGCAATATCGATCCAAGGTTCATGCGAGCCTGCCTCGACTCTCGACGCAAGCCTGTTATGTTATTCCTTCCGGTAGGTCATTTCTACTATGGTCGTAAAATTATCAGATCAAAGATGATCTCAACAAAGCTTTTATATTCCGACCGATGTATGATACATTGTTACGACCAACATTTCACTGAAGTCGCGGCCACCCGGCGGTGTAGCGGCAAGGGTACTGTATCTCCACACTATGATGTCGGCGCTAAAGAACACGGTTCACTGCAGCTAGCATTCGCTGGCAAGACTGACTGATTTTATTCGTCACTGATACCGTGTTTATGGCATTGACCGCCAGTTTGACAGAACCATACACACCGAAGCGAACATTCGCAAATTGTCCCAGCCTACCTTCAATGTGCGGTCCGCGATTCCCAGTAGGCCCGAGTCGACTCGCATTCCGTAATCCCGACGCGTTGCAACTGAATGTGCGGTATGCTTGCGGAGAAATGCGGTAGTCAAAGTCGTTCTGATACAAGAATGCCGTCATTGCGGTGCAGATCTGTGTGTAGAAAGAATCTTACTCTCTTGCCGCAATATAACTGGGACGCATGGCCGGACTTGAATTCGGTGACTGCGTGTGAGCTTTGGAGTAGGTTCACGTCCTTAAATGATCTTCGTAGGAAACGAACAAGTACTACGATACCGCAGGACGCTCCATATCTGAGTGTTGGATTGGTGCGTTGTTGGTAGGCGCGCCAATAGCCCCATATACCACACGGAAGCTCATCCATTGCTCCCAGCGGCCACGAGGATTGCAGGTGGATAGACGATCATGTTTTATGTCTACATAGGGCGTTGCCCTCAGCGACACTAAATGGAATCAACAACAACAACAACAACAATGCAGGTAGGCTGTTTGCACTGATCACTCGAGGTCGCAGCGTCCTCGGATTTGCCAACGAACGAGATTTCGTTTACAGAAGGGTGTGGTGCACATGTAAGCATGTACATTGCAAGCAGTCACCTTAGAAGACGAATGTACATCACGGTGTAGATAAGTTCAACGCGTTCATGTGTACGACCATCGACTCACACGGTACTAGTACATGCGCCGCCGTCGCCTCCTCCACGTAAATGGATCCGCCCCTCCTCCTCCCGTACGGCGCCGTTGCAGCGACACGATACGTAACGCCGGCACACACCCTTGGCATCTGGACATACGAGTGATGAGGCCTGATGCCTTACGGAATCCGCATGCATGACGAGTTCCCTCGCCGACAGCAAGGTTCGTAGCCGTCAACAATATCTACCAAACCCCATGGAGTATCTAGGAGTCCCGCAGGAATCGCATGTGTAAGCGAAACACATATCGCGTATGGCTTCACATCGGTGTTTTTGCGCTATACGCGTACTCATGGTAGCGCCCGGCTCGAGGCCTGTAACTCTCTTCGTCTTTCTTGCGCACTACCTGGCAATGGATACTGTCTGGGATAGTCTCACTCGACTAGCTCTTGGTGCTGCACGCTGCTGCAGAGCAAGAGACAAGGACCAACGAAGGTGAGACCTCAATCCACTCGCCGTGACGGCCGCGAACTGTCAATGTCTCGGAGCAGCTTCATCTGATTCACGCCAACAGTGACCAGAGCAGTGTAGCCAAGAGCCTGCCACCTGCGACGACAGCGCCTTCACTTGTAGTCATACCGAGCATGCGCGAGGTTTGTCTGTATCTGTACATGGTAACGTCGCATGCCGAGGTTGTTTCCACCGCTAGACCGTAGTACAAAGCCGGGCGTGTGAACACACACAGCAAATGCCCTTGGACACTAATGAGGACATGTCTCCCACATACACGATGTAAGTCCTCCTTCTGCTTCAGCCATAAGACATTGATGCAGAGTGCATATACTGATGATATGCGGATGTATAGCGACACATATGTGCGCCTACTACCGTTCGAGCTTCATGAGCTCGTTATCGCTTTCCTTTGGGATGACCTCCCCGCACTTGCTGCGTGCTGCCTTGTCTGTCGTGCTTGGAGTCGCGCTGCACTCCGGTACTTCCCTCTGAAAGACTGGGAGTTCCAGTTTCGTCAGCGGAGTGCCCTCAACACGTTTGCACGTCTCGTCGTCTCAAAGAAGAACAGGCCATATTTTCGATCCCAAACGTACAAGAATCTTCGGATTGCCGACGACCCTACGGATCGATTCGGGCACTTGTGGACTCTGCAGCTTCCTGATTATGTTCTTCGCAGGCTATCGGCGCTCGCGCTGGAGGCCTTGGACTGGAGAATTACCCGACCACACCCCCGCTTCTTCCAGCGTCTCTCCTACTGCACTGAACTCTCGTCTCTGTATCTCACTGATTGCCACTTTGGCAACGCATCGATACTTCGAACAACCATCAATACGCTGCGACGTCTCACAAAAATGAGGCTGCGGAACGTAACATTCGATGCTTTGCCGACATCATCTCTGCAGACGTTGTCCATGACCGCACGTTGCCAACTTGGATCAATTTGGCTCGAGGGTTTGACGGGCGGTGTCGGGCATGTCAATTCGCAAAGTCTGCTCAATCTGTGTCTCGGTCACCCAAATCTCACCTATCTTGACATGGACCTGCGGTACTTTTCCTCAGTTCTGCACCTGCACCACTTCCTACTTTACTTTTGCAAACTCTCCTCGCTGAGATTGGAGCACACGTTGAGCTCTGATCCAGGGCTGGAACTTCACTTCGACGCCGGGACCCACCGTACACATTCACATCACTCCCTGTCTGTTGCATTCCTATGCTTTGCACACATGTCGGCAGATTGTGCATCGCAGATCCTGCGCCTGGTCGGGGTTGGCATGCCATTCAAGGTCCCCACACACTTGGAGATTTCGTTGGTCGATCGACCATCTGCAGATCATCTGCGGAGCGTTGCGAGTTCACTCAAACAATGTGGATCCCACCTCAAACGTTTCGAATGGTATAACGAGAAGGGAAACGGTAACGTCTGTTTGTTTTTGGCTGGCCGGTCCTGCAATGGGTTTACTCACTTGACGATTGGTAGACCTGGATGCTGTGCCGTGCACCACGGCCAATACATCCCTTCTAACGCTCGACGTCATTCTGGGCCTCACACCATCACGACATATACTTCAAGGGTTTCTTTTGGAAGTATTATCCAACGTTGCAAGTCCACAGCTGCGGTGGCTCAGAATCGATGTCACGCTGTTGCATCCAACAGCGTTTCGAAGCCGAAGTGAGGATTCGTTCACGACAGTCGATGCACAGGACCTTACACGCGCTTTCCGCGATGTTCTGTCCCGGAGTGTCTTCACCCAGGCGACAGATCTGTCTATTCAGATCGAGGTGCGGGGAAACAACGCCCCGCTCTCCGATGGGATCCAATCCGACATGGTCAACCTCTTTACGCCGTGGTTAGATCGCGGATTTGTACAGATCGATTTCTACGAGCTTAGTTTAAAAATCTATAGTGAGCGGATCACTCAGTTATTTGTAACGATGCCACTTCAATTCGTTCTACATGCTAATCACACGGAGTAGGGCGTAGAACGTGGGGGCATTGAGGTTGTCCGATGAAGAGCGCGCACCATTGGATGCAGATGAGGAACCCGCGATGCCGGATGAAGAACACAGGCCGTCGGATGAAGAACACACGTTGTCGGATGAAGAACACGCGTCGTCGGATGAATCGGAAACGTAGGGAGGGAGATATATGCACGAGGACGCAGATACACCGGAATGACAGCTAGGCGAGACAGAGACGACCACGCAGGACTGGATGTACGTCTTCCTCATATTTATCGACCCAAACAATCCACTCGTGTGATGCGTCGCAGAACGAATAACGGGCACGGCTATCACGAGCGCAAGCCCGTATACCTGTTGAAAGTCTGGACCATTTGCACCGTAGCTGCGATGACCATTGCGTATTCTTCATTTTCGAGCCTAAAATCGTTAGGCGCGACTGATGACTAACAAGGCTGGATTGCCTAGTAGCGAAGGACAAGCCAGCGCAGTTCGGGCGGAATCGTGATGCAGGCCCTCGGCGACGTCACGAAGGATGGCCCACAAGCGTAGTGTCACTCCCTCGCGCCGCTACCAACGCCGAGCGATGTTCCGGTCTCGATGGACGGTGGAGCGGTGTGTTTCATGACAAAGCAAACGTGTGCTGCATATTAGTCTAGATAACCCCGAACTGGGTGTACACGTAGTGAACACGACAGTGCAGGATGTGCCTGGTTCGCACCACAGGCTACAGATTGTCTGACGACTGACAAGAGGGCTCTGCGAGCGGAATAGCATGTGAAAGGAACGACAGTACGCATCACTCACCACGACCTCTGCCGGAAACAGGTGCAGCCGTCCCTCAGTCCATCCAATCGATCAGTCGAACCATCTAGGCTGCGGACAGTGAGGAAGATCCTGCTGAAGATGAGCAGGAGGACGTCTGGCGGTAAGTCGTTGATTATCGGGCGCGACTTGCGGTCAATGGGGCTACGTTGCATGGCGTGGACAGAGGGCAGCGATGTCCATGCCGCCAGAGGGTGCGGGACACGCCAGAAAGGCATCCGGACAGAGATGCCGCAGAGAGCGCCTCGACAGTGTCCATTGAGCGGCGAGAGGGAGCTCGGCCATGTGAAGGTTCTCTCCGCGGGATGGCTGGGTACAGTCACGTCGGAGGTTGAGGATGCATGCAGGGAGGAGCAAATATTGAGACGAACGGCGTCATTGCCGTGTCCAGCAGCAGCGCGTCCATGTTGGCGTATAGACCTGGACGTCGATAAAGCCATAGTGGAGGAAGGGAAGTGCTTTGAGAGACGACCTTTGCCAGTGATAGTGGAGTCCATGAGCCATACACCCAAGCTCCTACGCGGACCGGAGCACGGCGATACAGTCGCTTCAGCTCAAGTAGGGCGGTCTTGACGAGGCAGATGAGTCCCGCGCTACAAAAGCGGCGCCTGGAGAAGGATAGGCGAAGGTCGACTGCGAAGTAGACGAGGTAACTGAAGACCGCTGGGTAAGGCATCGGCGCCTAGTCGAGGGGCTTCAGGGTCGGGGAGTACGTGACCGCGAGGACCACCCGGAGCGCACCTAGCGTGCTTCTGGGAAACAGCTCGTGGGGCTTCGGCACGAGTGCGCATCCAGAGGCATGCAGGGCCGCAGCGTTGCTTACGCGTCCCGATCGAGATGCGCGCGGGCGGTATGCTATGCGGCAGACGATGAAGAATCGCGCGAGTTGGACACGCTCGCCCAGACACCGCGAGTGATGAGCAAAACATGCAGTAAATCACAGCAGGGCAGGCTCGTGGAGCTCAGACTGGGTGGTTGAGCGGCTGGGCGCGGGTGAGGAAGCTGGGCGCGGGTGAGCTCGACGAAGCTGGGCGCGGGGTGGGCATCAGTGGCACGCATGGCTGGTCGCGATGATTCATCCCTTCGTCAGACACTCTACAGACAGACACTGATCACTCACCTGGAGTTCGTTGACAGTGAGCGGGCTAGTTGCAATGAAACGGTAAGTAGGGCCGATTTGTGAGTCCGACGGCCGACCAACAAGAGACTATATGCGTGCAGCTGGGCATCTAGGAATATTTTGAGTAGACGTTGCAAAAAAAAAAAGAGAGAACCATACATATCATGCAGTATTTCTACGCCGCGACGTCTCAGAGGAATGCACTCCACAGGTACCACCAGTTTGACGCGACGTCCGGGGTAAGCCAATATATACCGGTGGTATCTGATAAGGTCAACAATGAGCAGTGTGCCATGGACGGACGGCGCATTCTGGCTGCAGAGAGAGCGAGACGAAAACCCCGTACGTAGATGTCTAGTAGGTGTCGGGAACATACACTGACTAGTCTCGATCCAGACGTCCTGGAGGTGTCACGTGCGTACGTCAGCGGAGATCGAAAAACCCATACCACACACACCTCCAGAACGTCTGGTCATTTTCGTAGAGAGGGGTGGGGGTCACTCGGCCCCGTGACGAAACGCGCCGCAAGAGAGGCACATACGTCGCGGTGCACGACGCGTTGCGCACTCACAGATGAGGTGTATCTGCTGTATACATCCGCGCTATACTATCACCTCGAGCTCTGCAATCTCCTCCCGCCGGCAGCATGGACCATGTTAGGTCCGGAATGTAGGGGACGTGATACAATGTAAGTCCAAACGTAGGGTGAGTTCTTCTGTACCCTGCAAACGCAGTAGACCCTGATACAGCCCATCAAGATAACCCACAGGGTCCATGTGCTCCACAGTTCGCGCTGCTCGACGCCCTTCTGCAACCTCGCCGCGCGAAGACCTCCGTACGAGCCCTGCAACGGAAAGCACATGTCCACATACAACGTCAACAGAAACGTCCAGGAAGCCCGTGTCGAGATTTGAGGCTGCCCTGCCCGACGTGACTAGCGGGCGCCGTAGACGATTTTGAGATGATTGTGAGCGTGGAGGGGTTATTATCATGGTTTAAACTTCACAGTGTGCTTACCTGATCGAGGTCGAGCTCGTGAAGCGGTGATAAAACAAGCATTATTTCGTGCTTTGTCTAGGCCCCCAACAGTGCCAGTAGCATTGCGAGAGGCATCATCTTCCCGGCGCCAGTTCCCGCAATTACGATGCAGTCGAGCCCAAAATTGATCGCCTCCGTAACGTTGACCTGCGGTCCAGTCGTACGGAGTCATGCCATTCTCGTCGGCCTTCGCGGAGTCAGAGCGACGAGATGCGTGAGCATGGGCGTGTGTGATGTTCAGTATCCCGTTAACAGCGAGAGTTGCCCTGACATTGAGTTTGTGAGACCAGCGGCTGGTGTAGCGTCAGAGCCGCGGTAGTAATTTGGTAGCATTGCTGAGGTTAGCGAGCACAGTAGAGCAAGTCACGGTATGTACTTCGACCGTCGGCGCGACAGAGACGAGTAACGTTGCGCTGCGCCCCCCGCCGCCGCCTCTCTCGCGGCGCGTTTCGTCACGGGGCCGAGTGACCCCCACCCCTCTCTACGAAAATGACCAGACGTTATAGCAGTGGCTGTGGTATGGGTTTTTCGATCTCCGCTGACAGGCACACGTGACACTGCTATAACGTCTGAATCGAGACTAACACTGACAGCAAATGGTCGCGTTGACGGGTAAGCGCACTCGGGGAAAGCTCGGACATTGTCACGTGCGCCCGCCGCGCGCCTCTCGAGCTCAAGGTCGACGCCTTCGCCAGCTCGTCCCGCCCGACCTGGCGCGAACGACTTCATTATTCCTGAAACTCGACACTCCTGTTCTATGCTGCGTCCCTGCCACTCCCAAGCCGTGACGTACATGGGTACATACGGCCACTCTAGTATCAGCCCCCCTTTGCGCAGGCCCGAGTTGCCGGCTTGAAGAAAGCTGTCAAGGATGGATTCTACGACATACCGCGCTCCTTTGGCATTCGCCCTGGAAGCGGGGTAGAAGATGCGGGGCACCGGGTGCAAAGGGAAAGGACTGGAGGAATACGATGTGGCAGTTGTGCAGCGAGCAAAGCTGCTCAAGTCTGACCGCTCCTTGGACAGCTTGATATCAGTGAAGTACTCACCATCCTCCGTGTGTTCAAAACTTCTTCATATCGCCGCGCTCACTCATAGCATCCTGACAGTACAGTCATTGTGCCCCTGGCGCGACGCTTTGCATGCACACGGCACAAAGTAAACGAGTCCGCTCACAAATCCGTCAGTCCGCGGTGCTCCTCGAACGTGACACTACCATGCTCATACGCCCCATAGGTCGCGAAAACCATTGCTATGGCTGCCCGGCAACGGCGAACCCCGTCGGCCGGCGGTATCATCGAGCAGCGGTGCGCGATTCAGACGCAAGCCCGTCCGAACCCCACGTACACCGACCGCCCTCCCTCCCTCGCGCCCACGCCGATCACCACCCCGTCTTCGCTGAGCTCCTTCGCATGTTGGAACATCCCCCGGAAACTCGTGAGGGCCACGAGTGGGCACGGGAATTCATCAGCGAGGCCATTACACTGGACCTAATCGAGTGCAGGTCCTCACCGTGATGTGCGACACGGTGCATAGATCTTGCGGGAGGCGTCTATTTCGTATGCCTCCGGGTCTCTGCGTCGTGCACTCGGCGAGCACTCCCAACGGCTTCGCCACGTTCGCCACCATGACTGTGGTGAGGAACGAGATTGGGGAGGGCGGTCGCGGAGGCAGAGTGCGCCTACCTCGCTGTCTACTCGTCCGTCGAGGTATGGAACTTGCATTGTGGTGTTATACGTCCCGAATGCTGATGTCTCTTACAGGCTTGGCCCGTACGAGAGCGACTATGTTGTCCCGCGTTTCTCGTGGCGATGCCCGTATATCATAGTCATCGGCACTGTGTTCGCTGATCAGTTCATCGCGGTACCTCTCACGGGTTACATCTCCCTCGTTCCTCATGCGGCCCACGACCCTTCGCTGCTAGACGGGTGTGTCTCTCGCATCGAGACACGCTGCCAAGGACTGAAAGTATGTCTCGCGGACCTCGTCGAGTACTACAAGACGCCGATGGAAACAGAGCCTCCGGTTCGGACCCAGCCTGCGCGTGCTTGCCTTATGGGCAGCCAGCCCGAGCCCCTGCACCCGCACTCCACATACGGCCACCTCCCATCATCGGGCTCTCATTCGCGTCGTAACCCGACCTCGCACGCACCAATGCTGCGCCACTGCGCGAGGGAAGATAGCGTCGGGATGTGTGTCATCTTGATGGACTGCGTCGAGCATGCTTACAAACCCTGTCCACGCTGCGTCGTTCCGGCGGGCAGTCAAGTCGCTGCACGACAATGGGCTTGTTCATCGTGGGCGACACGGCGGTGCTGACTGTGACTGGTGCGGGAAGGACGAGCAGGTGCGGTATCCAATCGACATTCTCTTGAGAGAGATTATGGGCTGGCATAACAGTGTGCTCATCACGAAGGAACAAGATGCACACCTATTTCGTGTGCTTGGGTTCGAATGAAAGTTGTGATGGCTACGAAGCTCGAGATCCGGGCAAGGAACCTAACCATGCGCGCGCACTTTCGTGACATGAAGCTCTTCCAATTAAGTCTAGGCATGCGCTAGACTCATCTGTATAGGATGCGGCCCAATGAGTGTCGTTTTTCTTGCGCGCCGTCTTTGCTCCTCACGCTGTCCACGGCGCTGCATGCACAGGTACGTCGACCAGATACGCCTGCCATGTCACGACTGGCGAACCGCTTAACACCTTGTGGATTCATTGCCACCAAACTCCTTGCAAAGGCATCGATTAGCAGCACAGGCATCATAGCAGTACGTGTCACATACACGACCTGCAGATATCGGTGCTTCTGGGCTATATGTGTACCCATGACTTCTCCGGAACGAAGCGCGAACTCAATACTTACTGGTGAGCAGCGCCACTCCGTAGCTACTGGGCGAGCCTGAGCGGACAGCTATATGGGGCTCGGTGAGCTGATACGCATGTACTGCACGTGGATCTAGACGCCGCGGCACGCCTTCCGTCGTAGAGTATCTGTAGTTAGTGCGTGTACTGCCCGGCTTGAGGGCCTTGGGCCCTCTTCGTCTGTCCCACCACCCGACGGAGTATACTGTCTGGAATATTCTCACTCGACCCGCTCCTGGCACTGCACGCCATTGCAGAGCAAGAGACAAGGACCACCGAAGGTGAGATCTCCCATTTTCCGTGACGGTCGCGAAGTTTCAATGCATCGGAGCAGCTTGATCTGAAAGGTCGCGCCAACAGCGACCAGAGCGGTGTATCCAAGAGCCTACCACCTGCGACAACAGCGCCTTTACTTGTAGGCATACCGAGCATGCGCGAGGTTTGTCTGTCTGCGCACGGTAACCTTGCATGCTGACGTCGATTCTATCGCTAGACCGTACAACACCGGACTCGGGAACAAAGGTCCTTCCATACTCCTGGCTCTAGGCCTCCGAGTCCCACACACACGACGTAAGTCCTTCAATCATAGTTGTTGTATGCAGAGTGTATATACTGATTCTTTGCGGTGCATACTAGAGGCATATGTTCGCGCCTTCCACCCGAGCTCATCGAGCTGATTGTCGGGTTCCTCTGGGCTGACCTGCCCGCACTTGCTACATGCCGTCTTCTCTGTCGTGCTTGGAGTCCCGCTCCACTCCGGCACTTCCCTCCGCAAGTTGCCTTCCTTTACCCACTTAGGTTTAGACACCGGAGTGCCTTCAACAAGTTTGCACGTCTCCTCGCCTCACAGAAGAACAGACCTTATTTTCATTCTCGATACCGAGACTTCACAAGTCTTGTGATTGAGGACGACCCTATGGATCAATTCGGGCACTCCTGGACACACCAGCTTCCTGACTACTTTGTTTACTGGCTAAGGGAGCTAGAGTTGGAGGCCGTCGACTGGACATCCACCCAACCACATCCCCGCTTCTTCCAGCATCTCTCCCACTACACTGACCTCCGTTCGCTGACGCTCAGAAAGTGCCGCTTTCGCAACACGTCGGTAGTTCGAACAATCATCAACTCACTGCGACGTCTCAGCACAATCACACTGTGGGACATAACATTTAATGCTCTGCGGACGCCATCTCTGCCGACGTCGTCCGTGATCACTTGTCCACAACTTGAAATTCGGCTCCGGACGGACGGTTTCTGGCCTGTCAGTTCGCAGAGTCTGCTCAATCTGTGTCTCGAATACCCACAAGCTACCTGTCTCGACTTGGACCTACGGTACTTCCCCTCAATCCTGCACCTACAGCACTTCCTACTTTATTGTTCCAAAGTCGTGGTTCTTGAATTCAGGAACACGTTCAACTCTGATCCAGGGCTGGAACTTCAATTTGGCACTGGAACCAACCCTACGCATCCACATCCTCTCTCCCTGTCTATCAAAGAACTACGCTTTCACGACATGCCAGCGGGGTGCGCATCGCAGATCCTGCAACTGTCCAGGCCAGTCAAGCTCCCGGGAAGGGGGGGTTCATTTAGCCACCGGCCGCTACCGCACGCGCATCTCAGCATCTTGCCGAGGGAACTGAATATCGGATTGGTCGACCGCCCATCTGCAGATGATATGCGAAGCGTTGCACGTTCACTGCGACAATACGGATCCCACCTTAACCGCTTTGAATGGTGGAACCGAGAGGGAAACGGTAATGTCTGATTTTCTACGGCTAGCCGGTCCTGCAATGGGTTTGCTCACTCGACGATCGGTAGACCTGGGTGCTGTGCCGTGCACCGCGGCCAATACATTCCTCACATCGCTGTCCATCTATTTTGGCCTCGCTCCATCACGACATACACTTCAAAGGTCTCTTTTGGATGTGTTGTCCAACATTACATGTCCAAGGCTGGAGCGGCTCATGATCGATATCGTGCTGTTGCGTCCCACGGCATCTCGAAGTCGACATGACTCGGAGGTTTTGCTGACGACAATTGACACACGGGACTTTACATCCGCTTTCTGCGCCGTTCTATCCCGGAGTATCTTAACCCGGGTGAGCAACTGGTCTATTAGGATGCACATGACGGATTCACGGAGCGACGTTAAATCCGACATGGTCAACCTCTTTAAGCCGTGGACAGATCGCGGAACCGTACTGTACGTGGACTATGGGCTTAGTTGGAAATTCTCCGGTGAGTAGCTCACTCCGTCCTTGGTAACGACGCCACTGTAGATCAAACTGCATGCTAATCAGTTGGAGTAGGAGGAGTAGATATAGCTGAAAGAACGGTGGCTGAGTAACCCACGTCGTTGGGTGAGGAGCACACCTCGTCGGATGAGGAAGGCATGTCGTCGGACGGGGAACCCCTGCTGTCGGATGAGGAACCCCGTTGTCGGATGAAGAACACACGTCGTTGGATGAAACGGAAGCGCAGGGATGGAGGTATATGCACGAGGACGCAGAGACGTCAGAAGGACAGCGAGGCGGGATAGAGAGGACGACATAGGACTGGATGTATATTTTCCGCGAGAGAACACCTATTCATCGAGCCTGACAATTGACTCGGGTGATGCGTCGCAAAACAAATAACGGGTACGGCTATCGCGAGCACGATCCCGTCTATTTGTTGCCTGCCAGGGCCATTCGTGCCGCAGCCACGACGACCGTCGTGCATTTGGTATTTCTTTCTGAAGACCACCAGCTCCTAAGTCAGCGACGTTTCAGGTATGGTCGCGGAAGAAAGATGACTGCGACGCAGCGGATTCGAGCACTCGAGAGTCCGACGTCCACTCGACATCCCCATGAGGTGATACACTCACAACGGAACACCAAGCACGAGTTGTGCAGCAGAGCGTGCCTACAGCGACTTGGACGTCTGTTATGGGATCTCCTCAGGCTCTCTGCTTCGCACCATCTCCGCGTCGCCGGCGACCCCAATGAGTCCCCAAGCTTCGCTGTATTGTGGGTGGCGACGGAGACACGCACAGTACGCCACTCGCTCGCGGGACACCAGGAATGCGCTACGTGCGTGGCTCCGCAATCGCGGTCAGCCCCGGGATGACTGCTCACATCTGGGCGATTGCCCGAGTAGTGACGAAGACCTGGAAGAATACGATCAAAATAACTCTCAGTACCATGGAAGATCGCCGAGCGGGGGGTCGTGTGCTTCAGCATGCGAGAAAACCCATGGGCCTACTGTAGCTCGCGGAAAGGACCAAGACTGACGCGGACGGGACCGACCAGTCTGGGGGGATCCAAGCCCGAGCTTCCGGTAGTCGCGAACTCGAGGGCACCGCCGATACACGCACTGCTCCGTTCCTTGCGTACGACTACCTCGTGCATATGTTCGTCGTTCCTCCAGGCTCGCCCCAACTTCATCGCCTTGAGCAGCAGCAAGCCGGACCCTTTGAGTACGCACATCGACTCCCGCTCAACTGAGCCCGCTGCGGCGCCGCCATCTGATGCGTTCAAAGCCCAGCGCGCAACGGTCGGTCCTTCGGCATTCGGGATGAAGAGGAATCCCGCCCGGAAACGAATGACGCCTGTCCATCACAGCAACCGAAGCAAAAACACCACAGATTGGTCCACCGCGGCAAGACGTTACGAAGGATTCTCCAAAGGCGTACTGTCACTCCCTCGCGCCGACGCCAACGCCGAGCGATATTCCGGATGGATGGTGAAGCGGTACGTTTCCGACTCACGCCCGTAAAGCAGCCGCGCGCAGCATCACAGCTCCAGACTGTCTGGCAGGTGTGACAAGAGGGTTCGGTGAGGAGAGCAGCATTAGGAAGAAACAACAGTACACGCACGACTCACCACGGCCGTATGCATGAAAGGAATCCCAGTGGTACGGACGCTGAAGTCGACGTTCATACGCAGACGACCGCGGACAGTCAAGAGCAGCAACTGTAGAAGGTAGCGTTAGACCCGACGTGGCTCAGACGCGGACGAGCTAGAGGAGGCTCGGGGCGCAGTACCGCGTACGAACCGCGCACGCCGCACGCGCGCGTAGTAGGCGCGGCAAAACTTCGGTCATAAGTATGTGTGACAACGGTCGTTTGGATACATACACGTCGCTCCGCCCCACTCAGCGCAACTGGGACCGTAATACGAGTTTACAACCTTCCGTCTGTGAAGGTGTACCTGCGCGTACTCGTATGCCGAAGGCGTCCCTTTCAATAACCTAGTCCACTGAGCTTGATGTCGGGTGAAGTGGTCACCATCTAGCATCATACATGTATTAATACAACAGAGCCTTCATATGCCCAACCAACCAGGCTAGTCATAGAACACGAGCATACGGAGCTCGATCGACTTCCTGGGCAGGGCGTCCTTGGGCGTGCTCGGATCATGAAACGCAGTGTGGGGTGTCATGGTCGCGGTATTGTCCTCCGTCTTCGAGTCAAAGCTATACAATGCCATCAGCCAACCTAGTGCAGGCACATGTCACCAGCTATACTCACCATTTGATCAAGATGAACTCCTCCGGCGTCAGGCCCCGCAGATACTTCCACTGGTGGCTCGGGTTGAACCTCACACTGTCCGTCTCGCCCTTCCTGTCCACGGTGATCAGGTCCGTGGGCACAAGGTCCGTCTTGCGGTCCACGCTCTGGTAGTCGCATAGCGCGAGCAGCCAGTCGTACGCCGGGTGGAGATGGGCCGCCAGAGGTTGATGATCTGTAACCGGCGCTGGAGGAACGCGGGGGCCTCCGCCGGCGGGAGGTGTCGGTGCACGCGCGCCATGGCGGAGGCCTTCGTCTGGTCGACGTGCACCTGCGGGACAGGCTAACGCTTCCGGCGTAGTGGGCCCAGTCTCGCCTGGGCGGCGGCGCCGGATCCCTGGACGGAAGGCAAGTCAGTGTACGTCCATGCGAACCAGACATGCCAGTGCATGACTTACTGTGATCGAAGACAACGGCACGGCTCGCACCGGTGATCTTCTTCATGAGCTCGATGCTCTCGGGGTAATACTCCGCCTTGATCTCAGCGTCGCTCGTGAATGTCTTGTGTGCGGCGGCTCCGCGGCCGCACTGGAAGCCCGCTGTGTCGAGCGTCACCGAGCCTTCCTTGCTGCGGAGGTTCTCGACCTCGACAGAGTGCGGCTCGGGGTTCCAGTTGTTGCGGGGGTCCGCATTGAGGTCGGTGTACGGCTTCGAGCCGTCCTCTGGGGGCGTGAAATAAAATACCTCAGCAGTGACGGATTGTGGCTCATCGGACATGGTGTCAACTGAGTGAAGCGTGTTGGGGTTGTGTGACGAGGACTTGTGAACAGCGATGAGCTCTGGATCTCCTCTTTATACGTCTGAGAGCAAGGCCTCCTAGGGATGGTACGCTCTCTACGCATGATGAAGTTGGCTGACAAAGCTTCTTCAGCCTCCGTTTCTCCCCCAGGTAGGCTAAGTAAGGATGTCCGGCAGTAAGTCCAGGTGAGGGGGTAATTCCGAACAACCACGGGCGACTGAGTCTAGTCTACAGGTAGATGATGAAGCAAACGTACCGTGCATTGCTGACGGAGACCCCATACAGTACATCCAGCTCTGCGTGCCGTAGTCATGCAAGCTGCTTGAAGCTGATTCATACACTGCCCTCCGCTGCCTAATGAGCGTAGGCAGCGTCGGGGACGTGTCGACAGGGTTGTGCAGTGATACGATGGTTTCAGAGGCTGAAGCGTACAGTCAGGGTGATCACCTGCGCAGCGCGTACAATTGACAGAACGCACCGGGCACAAGATGCATGAAGGACAGAATTGCTTGCGTCGGGTTGTTCTCCAGAGCTGTGCGCGTGCAACGCTTTAGCCCTCGGATATCCTCGCGCGGGTCGACATTCGGAAATCGTGGGTGGCTCAGCTCGTCCAGTCAGCATTACATCCTCGTCACCGCAATCTTCTCCACATACAATGGGACTTCCACGGAACTGTAACAAACGGCGTGCGGGAGATAATCGGAAGGCCGGGCCTCAGTAGGGCGTCGCGGTACGTGTATCAACTACTCACATGACATAATCCGACCCACTGAGCGGCCCCCCCTCAGTACTGGAGATAGTGTAGGCCCGGTATGGATAGCCTCAGCAGCGACATCAATAAGGAATGCTTTCCCAGCGATCTCGCGACCAAACAGTGCGATCGATGACGCGGTGGATGACAAATGTTCCCATCCGCAATGGATGCACTCGTCAACGACCGCTCGATGACCGAACGCAACCGGTACGCACGCCCAATTCAGTATGACGTACTGCGCCCCGAGCCTCTTCTCGATTCGCTCCTCCTCCTGTCATGCATATACCAGTGGTCGTGGTGAGTTATGCGTGTAGCGTTGTTCCTTCAAAAACGCGAATGTCAAGCAAAACGAATGCGCGTCAAATAACGATAATGGGGACAGTACTCGATATCGGACATCGCTTCGGACGAGAACACTGGCGCCGCGAGTTGCAGAGTTGCTCCCGCAGACGTGAGCTCCAGGCAGTATCACCAGACGTGGTGTTCGTGAAAGGAGCTGCCGGGTCAGTGACCGGCCTCCGTGCAAGATGCGTTGGATCACTACGATTGGACTGGAGCTGCACGGCACGACATCACAGAGCGCGCTGTGGTACCCAAGCGCGCTATGTGGCGGGCTCGGTGGAGGAGAGTGGATTGCGGAAACAGCGTAGACCTTGGGTGGATGAGAGAAGTCGTAACGTTGCTTCGCTCCAGTCAGAGGGCAAAGGTCTGTGAGTTCGCCACGGGAGCACTTGGAGCCAACCGACAATGAGGGACATCTGGGATCTGCGGGAGAGCGGCGGAGGGTGTCACCGGATGTATGCGCATCCATGTATCGTCTCGCGTATCCTGGGTAAATGGACGAAGGGCTCCATTTCCAGGAAGATTGGATGTACTTGGAGCGTCGTCAGCGCGCTGCGGGAATAAGGCGAGCTTCGCGGCGGTACGATCCGAATCGCAAGGAGACGGACGTCTCGCACACAAGTACGCCAGCTTCCAGACGTGCAGGTGGAGGTTCCATGTACCCGCCGGGAAGTCAAGTTTGCGCGTACGAGGCGAGTATACAGCACCCTATTGGTTCAATATGCTACGGAGGACCACGAGTAGGCCTGGGCGCGGCGTATGACGCGGCGGGTACGGCAGGCCGTGCATGCTTGTACGTTCGAGTTAAACTAGCTTGCAGTGAGCAGTGAGACACTAGGTAGGACCATCCGAGAGACGGCGGATGCACATCTGGTGACTGGGACGGCCATGGGAGAGCGGCACGGCGAGGAGTGTCCCGACGTTGCCCGGCAATGGGCCAGGAGGAGAGACTGCATTTGCGCACTTCCTCGTTAGGACATGCCTGGTCCCGCGTCCGCAAGTGAACCCTTTTCTAAGTTTTACATGTGGATCGCGCGACGTACTCAGGCGGTCAGCTTGTGCAAGTGAATGTGGTCTGTAGCGTTCTTATGAGCTTCGAAGGTCGTGTTAGCGAGCTGTGCAGAGGGCAGACGTACCTCAAAGTCGTGTGGGAGGGAGACGCGGACACGGATGATATGGATACGAGGAAATGTCATCGCACTACGGGGTTGGTATATGTACACCCACTGTGATGCCACTTCGGTGAGTATCTCGGGGCTCAGAGCGTGCGAATGCGGGGTTCACTTACGAGGCCCGTGGTCCTCCTGCTCAACTCGCATACTGCACGATTCCTCAGGACGCGGGTAACGCACACCGATACATTCTGTATAATGAACGCTCAACGATGAGCTCATGATCCCAGACCTTGTGCATGCGGGCCGTCTAGCGGAAAGACGCATGCCGCTGGGCGATGATCATAATAATGGCGCGAGAAGCCACGAGCGTTGTGCGATTGCGTTTCTGAGAAGGAGGAGGAGGAGTCCAAGTTGCATGCTAGCCTAGTAGCGACCAGACCTTGTTGGAATGCGATTCGGGCGTTGAGGGAGAATTCGGGGGCGGAACGTTCGAGTGGTGCAGTGTGTCCGAGGTTTAGCAGAGCGTGAACACCATGGCCTATGCAGGAGGAGGAGAGGATCCATCTAAGGGAAGAAAGCTGATATCGAGGCGGAAGCTGAGGGCACTGCTGGCCAGGAATGAATTCGAGGTCGCTCGTCGCGCGGCGGGAGGAGGGCCCGTGACCATGTCCGACGACTCAAGTTGTCCGACGACCGCGACCATGCACTACATGTTCCCGAGTCCCGACACCTACCCCTCGTCGGATACCACCGGTACAGGTTGGCCTACCCGCACGTCGCGCCAGCAGAACTGCCGGTACAGTGGTACTTGTGGAACGCATTCCTCTGGGACGCGGCGGCGTAGAAACACCACATGGCCTGCACTATCTCCAGCACTCTCGCCGACCCATCTATCCCGCCGACTCCTATTCTACTCACAACAGTGCCGCTTACCCGCATTTCCCGGAGGGAGGCATCTTTCTCGTTGCCGACAGTCTCCAGGACGAGCCAGTGCAGCTCACGAGGTGCTGCCTTGTACCGTACTTCGAGGGGCGGCACTATCTCCCGCAAGAGACCCTCCTGACGCGCACGCGAGAAGCCGTGCATAAGTATTGTCGTGTCGCAGGACAGCAAACGGTGTTTCAAGCCGGAGCACACGCACACCTTCGGCGACCCCAGACGGCCGTTCGCGCACAGAGCGGTATCCTCCGTGCGCGTGCCCAGACAACGTTCCTCGCCGACGTGGTACCTCGCTCTCGTCAACCTGGACTGGAAGAGCGTTCGCCCGCGCCCGGACAGCTTCGACCACCTCGCCGGCTTCGTGTCGATCACTTGCTTGGCGATTCTGGGCTGTCTTTTCCGTCGTACCCACCAGGACCTCAGATCTCAGACCTTGTCGAGAGACCTTCTCAATCTGCTGCTCAAGTTCTCGCGTTGATCGTGGTGTCGCTGCACAGCTCAAAGACTCTCGATTGTGACCTCGGCGATGTCCAACCACGATATAGACATACAGCGCCTCCGCGAAAATGTACTCGACGTCCTCGCGTGGTGCGCTACATGCACCGTCCACTCCGCAGCGATCCCTCCAAGCTGCGGACGGCGCACAGTGGGTCTTTCCATTTGTCATATCGTCCACAGTCGTTCAACTTTGCGTTTGGCAGCGTGTAGCTCATCAGTCTATGCCTCCTGTCGCGCCCTGACGCGATGCGCAAGTATGGGAGCTAGGGGCACTCATAGTGTTGATGCGAGAAGACCTCGGGTTGTGACTGGTCTGCCGGTAAACATGTTAAGCTCACTGAACTCCCCCGCGAATAAGGTTTGCACACGTGCGAGGACTGCCATGCCCTTGCCGCACAGCACCAAGTCGAACCGTGAGGACGATGTGCGGCCTTCCTCTCTTCCTGAAATCATCCCCTTAGTGCGTCCAGTGACTCAGTGCTACTCGGTAGCATCTCTGATATCTTGTTTCTGGCCCTTTGGGAATACAGGTTCACTTGAAGTGTTGTCAATCGGGTGCAAACCGACCTCGGCTAGCAAAACGCCTCCACGCAGCTCGTTAAATGGTCGTGGTGAACGGTGATACATATCAGGCTGAATGAAACCCGGGTTTAACATCGATACTGGTCAGGACCCGCCGAGGTCGATCACGACGATGCAGGATGAATGGATCGACATACATTTCAGACAACCTGTGTACACTAGGTGCAGTCCCGTTTACACTACCGGTACGCGCTCCTTGACTCACCATCCGATTGCAGCAACACCGTCCCGACCTTCGCGCAGGAGCTGATCGATTTCATCGCCGACTTTCTCTTCGACGAGCCTGTACAACTCGCACGATGCTGCCTCGTATGCCGGGCATGGTACTTCTCTGCCAGACACCACCTTCTCGAGCGGACCGTCCAGAGCACACAGGCCTTGGACGACCTTGTCCGCATTCTCATGTCCAGGAATAACAGAAGCTACGGACGAGCATTACGTCACCTGACCATCCGGGAGCATCCCACGAAGGCCTTCGCTCATACCTTCCCGCTGCGCGTTCCGGCAAGCCGCCTGTCGCAGCTAACTATGCTCAGCTTCTCACAGCTGGATTGGACGTTGAAACGGCCTCATGCGTGCTTCTTCAAGCACCTCGCCTACTTCGCATCCGTCACCAGCTTGATACTCGAACGATGTCGGTTTCGTCACACCGACGAACTCCGGACGACCATCCATGCCCTCCCTAGCCTTGAACTGCTCTCTCTGGACTCGGTAGTATTTCACACATTGTCCCCGGATGCTGTGCGGCCCGCATTTCAGTTTAGGCAGACGCTCCGTACGTTGGAGTTCTGGCATGTTGCGGCGTCAGGAGACCCTATGGCAGTAGCCGACGGACAGCACCTGCCTCAATGTATGCTCGACCTGCTGGCCTTGTACCTGACTGTGGTCAAGCTCTCACTCCGCCGGACCAGACTTCTCTCTACATCGCAGCTGTTCTCATTCATTGACGCATTCCCGGCCCTTCGCCATTTACACATAGAAGGTGACCCGTTACGCAGGTCGGAAGAGCCGCAAGTCTTTCGTAAATCCGCAAGCTCTGACCAGGTCATTGGGACGGCAGAGACGGAGGTCGCCACTGCATTGACGACCGTCCGCCTGTCCGAGGTGTCTTCCGCCTTCGCCCTGACTTTGATCGAGCTCCTAGTCAACCGGAACTACGCGCTAGAGGAGCTGTACGTCACCCTCGACGATGCACCGTCCCCGGCACTGCAACTGGCCATTCGAGAATGTCTTCGCCAGTCTGGGCCAGCACTCACAGAGTTTCTCTGGGGCTACCGATCAGACATCCTCACGTTCTGGCACGTGAGTCCCATTCCATTCCGTTCGTGCGGCGGCTAGAGGCTGACACACCGACTCAGCCTGGACGTGGGGACTTGGACCTCCTCCCTCCTCCACTCACGTACAACACCAACCTCCATCGTCTTACCATGTACTTCGCCACGTCTTCGTCGCTCGGCATGCTATGGGTCCTCGGAGCCCTTCTCGCCCTCTTCTCGCAAATGAACAGCCCGAACCTGCAGGACGCGCACGTTGCCTTCATAACGTACGACAGCGTAGACCCCGCCCTATATACAGTGGCAGATCCCGCGCTGACCGGTACAGTGGCCACGTTCGAGTCGATCCTTTCTCGCCCCGAGTTCTCAGACTTGCCTCCTGCGTCCATCACAGTCTCCTTCCGAGTGTACAATGATTTGCACGCAGATGGAGACGAGCCAACGAGCCCCGCTAGCACTGCGGAAATGCTCCACACATCGTCTGAGGCCGTCAGGGCTATCCTTGTTCCTCTGTTTAGCTCTTGGCTGGCCCGCGGAGTTATGGTCCTCGAACTACCGGATGGGTCGCGCATCTCGGACCATCCGCCACACCACAATGGAGGCGAGGGTGCTGTCCCAGGCGGCCCAGTTCCTACTTCCTCATCGTTATTAGTTCTGGCCACTTTCGCGATCGGTCACTTGCTCGTCGTGGCATTCGTCTCACTTTTCGTACTTTCTGTCTCGTGTGTAAGCAAGCGTGCACGGTGAAGCAATGTCATCTGTACGAGTACAATCCGACTCATAGCATGCAGCTTGCGGGGCATGACACAATGCTGAGCACACTCCCATAGCTACCTGTATAAAACCAGTCTCTCCGTTACGTAGTGAAACACACAAGAAAATTTGCTTCACGCGCGATGTCTGTCGTAGAGGCTAGCGCCTTTCGCAAGCGAGTCCGCTGCACGTCTGGTCGCGGGGTTCGCTAGCACTTCGATCTGCTGTGCACTTTGAATGCACGTTACCTGAGCGAACTGAAAGCCCCCAGTAGACGCAGAAAGGCTATGGTGATTGACCGTGGTCATGGTTAGGCTTCGCCAACAGGATCACCCTTTGATCCACCGAGAAGATAGTGTAGGCTGCCCGCATGAACCTATTCGACTCAGCCAGGACGGCATCAACAACACAACCCCCCCTTAGTACGCAGACACGACATGGCACTCACGCAGTACCAAAGTTCCAGTGATTAGCCGCGCGGTCGTCCTTCAGCAACATGATCTCAGACTCCCAGACACACTCTCCGTCGACGGTCACTCGCGAATATAGGATGCTGCCGTAATTGCGCGTGAGTCCAACTCGCGAGATACAATGGAACAGACGACGGTACTGACAACTCGGAGATGTCGAATTTACTCATGTTGTCCCATGATACCTCGATGGACGGGCGCCCCCCATCCTTCGCGCACGGGATGCCCCATACCCCAGGCTTGATCACACACGCACCGGGTACCCTCCTGTAGAAGAACGTCAAGGCACCGAGCGAGCAGTATATGTAGTTCGCGGCTACGTCGCACAACGGGCATAGCTCGGCGTCAGCATCACACAACCTCGCGGTCACGCCGGCATTGCGCTCGCTCACCGCTGTCAATCGTCGTGACTATATCTTGAACGACCGCTTTACCGTCGACGTAGATGCTCCCTCCTGGGATAGTCCAACTGCGTTCCTCGCCAACGAACGCGGTCAAGTGCTTCTCCGGCTCGCCAATGTACTTGGACGGATCGCGCCCGCCAATCTGCAGCTCTGACCCAGCGGTGCTCCCGCGGGGCGCAAAGTAGAAGCTGAACTCGCCCGGCGTCGTCACGGCCTTCTGTTCGACTGCGTTCCAGAAGTAGCCCACGGGGCGCTGAGCGCAACCAGACGTGAGCGCGTTCGGAATAGCTACGAGTCGTAGACGTACTCCTTTCAAGCGCGAAACGGAAGGAGATGACAGGGCGAGCATGCCATCCCCGGGAATGTCCATCCTCCAGGTCCCCTTGTCCACGTTGGTCGCCGAGAGGAGCGCCTGTTCATGAACAGCGATATCTACTGTAAACTGTAAACACCGTCCCCGTCAGTGTACTATTCGCTGTTCGCGCGTTTCACTCACCAGTATCGGTGCATATGTGCCCCTGAATGCCACTCCGATCTCCGAACTGCAGTTTGTAAACCCCGTCCTTACAGTGCTTCCCTAGCGATTGAGAGCGGGAATATACGGAGTCAAGGACCCAGGAATCCGCCGATCCCGTCGAAAAGATGACGGCGATGTCGAGTGCTGGGGTGCCGACCTGGATGGTGCCGACAGGCAGGAGACTGTAGCCTTCATACGTGAACGGCACCTTGTGTCCAGTCGCGACACGCGCCTACTCCAGACGTGAGACAGCCGTCCCTCGCACATACTCTGTGGGTCGTGATGAAGCTTACCAGATTGCTCGTACGCCGGAGAGGGCTGCTTTGCCCTGCATCCCGTTCCACCGGACGTGCGTAAGCAAGCACGGAGAGTATGAATATGAGGATGTCGCCCAGTGCCATGTTGGCGGGTTTGAGAGTCAATGGAATGGAGGTGGTCCTCGTGCTCAGAGACTGTGCGCTGCATAAAAGCTCTGTGACTGAAAACAGCGCAGGCGTGGATCAAGACACGGTGGTAGGATCGCCGAGACTACAGTGCTCACCAAGGCTCAGGCTAATGCTGTTTTTGCAGGCAGGATGAGCTCACGTACCCATGTGCCTGTCATCTGAGTCCGACTCTGTCGTATACTGGGAATGGGGCAAAGCTTTGGAGCCTGGCGAGTAGGTGTGTGATGGCTGTTGACGCGCCGTACAAGCATAATGGTCACTTCATGGCGCCTCCAGCCCTCCCTGGTAGACACCTGTCGGCGGGTTGAGCCAACCTGGATGGCACCGTGAAAAGGAGGGAAGCCTCTTCGGACGACCAAGTCTAGCCCATCGTCTTTCCACGGACGTCTCAGACTCCTCCGCGAGACCTGAGGCCTGAGGGACCAATCGGTTTGAACACGAGCCATGCCGCGATAGTTGTTCATCTCGAAGCCAGTCCCAGTTCCATGTTGCATTGTACACGTCACAGTGAACGTAGTAGTGAAGAGTAGACATTAGCTTAGCGCTCGGAATCGATCAGACTGTCACGGTTTAAGCTTAAGACCTATGTGCCGGTTCTATCCTATCCGGAGTCGGGTTCGAGCAATGCAGCGACATCGTGTACTTTGTTGCCATAGACATAGTTATATGTGGGAGAGCAGATCCAGAATTGCCAGTGGGTCCTAGATGGAACGAGATAACAGCACCTTCCTCTCGAGTTCTCGTTCAGCTCATGAGTCTTCACCATCAGTGGTGGAACGCGCCTCGTCCCCGTCCATCCCAACGACCCGCTCCTCTCGTTGTACTCAGGGGGCTGTCGTCCTCCGGGTGGGGAGCGACGGGGACGGGTCCTTCAAAGTCGATGAGAAAGTCAATGAAGTCTTGGACCTTCCCGATGACGACCTTATCGCACGTAGCTGCGCCCTGGCCTCCATTTCCAGTGCTACGTTCGTCGTCGTTCGCGTTTGCGCCTTGTAGAGCACCACAAAGCCTTCCTCGATGCGAGGGACTATGTCCCAAGCGATCGCGCTACGGAGCACGTGTTTCGGAAGTACGAGACCGTGTAGATGGAGGGCGAGACACATGCGACGTCCAGGAGCGAAGCAAGCGCGGACACGGAGAGCACAACGAGGGGTGAGGGAGGCTGTGGTGCGAGAGCGCTGTGTACGAGAGCTGCGGAGAGCTAACCATGTTTCATTGTCAGTAAATGAATCAACGATCCACTTTCCAGCGATCACTTCGCGTACTGCTCCACCGCACCCTCCCCGCCCACACCCAACATCTCCCTCACCGTCTCATCGAACGGCGTCGGCTCCCTCCCGAGGATCTCCTTCAGCGTCGGGTCCGCCACCGCACACTCGCCCCGCACCAGCGCGCGGTACGTCGTCGCCCACTTGCGGAGAAAGTCCGCCTCGCCGCGCGGCCCAGGACGCCCGGTGTGCGCCGCGACGTACTCGTCCTCTGAAACGACCTTCAGGCGCACAGGCCGGTTGAGCAGCGCGGAGATCGTGGACGCGAGCGCGGACAGTGTGATGATGCGCGTGCCGGAGAGGAGGAGCGTGCGGTTCTCGTAGCCGCTCTCCTGTTAAAACGGTCAGTCGCAGTACAGAATTGAACGAAGAGCACACACTGCCGCGATGATCCTCGCCGTGCCCTCTCCCAAGTCCGGGCGGTTCACCCACGCAATCCCGCCGTCTCCATGCGGGACAACTACCTCGTCCGAGCTCTCGCTCGCGCTCCAGAACCCAAAGTACAGCGGGTAGCTCTCGCTGTAGATGCCCTCGCGGATGATCGTGTACGTCAGCCCGCTCTGCTTGAGGTACGCCTCCGTGTCAAGGTGCGCCTGCATCACCTCCGCGACGCTCTCCTGCTCGCCGGGCGGCACGAGTGCGCGCTGCGCCCCGAAACCGAACGCGAGGCTCGTGTAGTAGACGTGCTTGATCCCGACGGCCGTCGCGGCGTCGATCGCGTTCTTGTGCATGCGCACGCGGAGCTCGTGCGCGATGGACGGGTACGACACGAGGAAGAGTTTGTCGGCCCCTGCGAAGGCGGTGCGTAGCGAGGCAGGGTCGGCATAGTCGCCCTTGCGGACCTCGACACCGGACGAGACGATCGTCGGGGACGCACCGGCGGGGTTATGCAGCGATACGATGATGTCAGATGCTGAGTAGAGTCAGGGTGGTCCATAGCGCATACAATGGATAGGACGAACCGGGGACGAGATGCAGAAGGAACAGCAATGTTTGTGAGCCGAGCCCACCTGTTGCACCGGTCAGCACGTATTTGGTCATGTCTGTAGATTGACAAGCTGCTGTCAGAGTCGTCAGACCCGTGCTTCACGTGTATCAGACACTGTCACAGCCCACCGAAGTGCGTTCCCGCTGTTCGAAGACAAGCCCGTTGATCGTATAGTAACAAGTTGTCCTCCGCAACGGCGAGGACATTTGTCATCGTCGAACCTCCTCGACGTTTGTCAGCGGCCGCGACGTCATCGATCGCACACCTTGATCGCAAGAGAGATCGCGGAGGGTAGACCATTCTGCCGGGCGGGAGCGATCTTGTGAGATCGGTGACCACTCAAGCTAGCCATACAAGGCAGGCGTAGTGTTCGTGTGGCCGCGTGTTCTCAGACAAACGGCTCCGTACCTCATCAGCCTGCAGAGGTGGCAGCATACAGCTGGTGTGACGAACCTTGGCAGGTACGACGACCCGTAATTTTCGACGATGCCATATATGTTCCAAACAATAAATGCAGTCCAGTGTGCGAGATTACAACTTGAAGCCGGATTATGAGACAACAGGCAAACCATACCTACCGCTTGCAAGTGATGTCTCGTGCCGCCCATCTTTCCTCAACACCCTCAAAGCAAGACATGCAGGCCTGGGAGGTTTCATTGACCTCCCGGAGTTGAGTCTGCCATCACTCCGAGTCGTCCCACTCGTCCAGTTCTTTGCAAGTTATGTATAGGGAGTCATCCAGTTTGATAAGGTCAGCTTGCATTTCCTCCAGTTTGTGTTGTGTTGCCTTGAGCGTCGCCTCAGTCGTAGCCAAGCGATCCTCCAGATCCGCAGCAGTCGTCCCTCTCAGCCCGTGGGTTGCGAGGTGCCTCTCAAACACTGCTTGGCGGCTGTCCTGTTGCCGTAACATGGCCAGCAGGCCGGAGACAATCCCAACGAATTGTGCGACGCATGGCGCATGCAGTTGCGCAGATTGTATCTGCAGCCGCAACTGCTCCAACTCCAAGCCCGGCAGGGAAACGACAGGCAAGGGGGCCACGAGTGGCGCAACAGAGGCGAGGCGAGGCGAGGCGAGGCGCGACTTTCAAAGTCGCAGGACCGCCAGTAGCGGTTGTGGGAGGCTGCCTGGAATCGGCCACGGCGGTCACTGGCCGGACCCCATTAGGTTGATTGGCAGTCACCTTGCCAGGCTCGGGTTGTGGGTCAGACATGGTCGCGCCCAGTTCATTGAGCTGAGCGCATACAACAGTCAGTACTAGTACACGTTTGGGAGCTAGTAACTTACCATGGGCAAAAGCTGCATGCCATTGACATTGACACCGTTGTCGTCATCAACATAGCCATCGCCACCGTCATCTACGCCGTCGGCCCGCGGCTTGTTGCCCTTTGCTTTGGCAGCCGCCAGCGGATGTTCGTCTTCATCGGACGTCTCCATGTGGTTTGACTTCAGCTTTTCCTTCGCTTGCCGCGGCCGCTTCGTTGCACCTGGCTGACGTGTGTCTTTATCGTCCTCGGCCGCTCTTGCACGCTTCTTCCCTGCTTTGCTGGCCGACTCTGCGGGGCCAGGCTGATAGGCTGTTGGGACGGTTTATCAGCTGCAGATTCGCAGAAAAGCGGAGAGGTACTTACCGTTCGACGTGAGGGCATCCCGCTTCTTCCCAGCCGTCCAGGCTGGTATCGCCGCAGTATATTCCTCAGCTGTCAGCGCGATAGGTTAGCTGGGGATCTGCAGAGAAGCAGAGAAGCAGACGGTTCATACTCTTCACCGGTGTGGTATCCGGAGCTTCCACTTGAGTTGCCCCAGGGTCAGCTAGAAGCGGAGATGCAACATGAAGCACTGTTCACCGAATTGAATGAAACACACCTTGCTTCCACCAGTTCTTCTCCCCCGCCGCCTGTTTTGGACAGTCCGCGTGCTGTTTGATATGGCACATGGGGACGGTAATACCACACAACGGGTCGTCCTCCTGGATGGCCGAGAGCTGGAAATCCTGTCCATAATGCGACACCTGCTCAATAGCAGAAGCCAGAAGAGGGGGCAGGTTCAGTTCAACCTGAGATGCCAAGTCCGTGATCCAGCCCCAGCTTGCGTGCTGGGTGATACTTGTTGGTTGAGGAAGGCAGACACTTCAGACAGGACAGACGTACGATCTCGTCATGGAGCGCCGCCTTGGCGTCGGTTTGGTCCGTAACGGATGCTTGCAGGACCGCATGTACGCGTCCAGCAAGCTTCAGAATGCGCTTCTCGCCGGACTGCCGTTCCTTCATGCGTGAGCCAAAGGCGGGCACCGACACATCGTTCAAACCCGCAGCTTGCATAAGCGAGTCGAGTGGAGGAGCGAAGCAGAACACTGGTAAGAGTCAGAACAGAAGGACGATTCCGACGTTGTCTTCAAGTGTCGCGCGCGTTCCCAACCTTGAAACTAAGTTCAACTTGAAGCTTGATGACTAAGCTCTCCGCGCTCCGGGGTCAAGGAGGAGGATCGCTCTCGCATCAGGGTACCGGGACTGTACATCGCCCCTAGAAGAACTGCAAACCAGCACCGTCAATCTAGCGGAGGAAGTTATGTAGGAACTTGCATGATGCATCAAACCCGCCACGCCAAACGCCGAACGCTTGGACTCGCAAGCCTTGCTTTCGAAGGCGCTCAGGATCCATCCATCCATTCAAGGACAACCTATCGAAGACAACGGGATCTTGCAACAGTGAGGGTGTGCGGAGGTAAGCGTCAGCAAGGAGGTGCATGTACACAGAAGACAACTCCGTCTGCGCGTCACGCGAACATTCGCAGCGGACCACGCAAACGACTAGTAAGGGCCATGCCCGGAGAAGCGAAATCAGAAGGGAGGGGATTAAATAAGGGATTCTTGCCGTAGATGTGATGTATGTGCGCGGATAGTATGGGATGAGATAAGATGAGCCTGTATATATGCGGGAGAGCAGATCCAGAATTGGGTCCCAGACGGAACGAGAAAACAGCACCTTCCTTCACAACGACTCGCGTTCGACCTACACCACACAAGACACCCTCCCTCCCTCACGGTCACGCCATCACCGCCCTCCGCTGCTCCGGCACAGGCCCGTTGCCCCCAACGACGACACCCAGCCACCCAAACATCGCCATCAAGAACCGCACGAGCCACGCGCCCTCCGCACCCAAGCCGAGGCCCGGCCGGAGCTGCAGCGCGAACGCAATGTCGAGCTCGGGCATCGGCGCGCGGTACGCCCGCGCGCGCGTCGGCCGCTCCACCTCGACCATCTCCTGCGCATCGGCCTCCGCCTCGGAGAACAGCGCACCGGGCATCGTTATGGTGGGCGACGGTGTGCGCGCGTGCATGCGGGTCGATGAGAAGGGGAGCGGGGACGTCGTCGGCGTGTGTGCGGACGATGCGGGCAGGCCCAGCGCGGGCGACTCTGCCGCGCGGACGGACCACGCCGGCTTCGAGAGCGGGGTCGCCCCGCCCATGTCACGCTCGCGCATCTGCGTCTGCGACGGCAGGCGCTTGAGTGATGGCGGGACCGCCAGCGGCTCGACGCGCAGCGCGGGCGAGGCGGTGGGCGGCGTGGCGTAGGGAGACGATGTCTCTGACGGGAGGGGCAGGAGGTCGGGGTCGGGGTAGTCCTCGGCGACGATCCGCGGATCCTGGCGAGGAGACGGGAGCGCATCATGCACGAAGAGGAGCGGCGAGTCGGTCGCGTCGTAGAACGATGCCTTCTCGTTCAGCTCGTCTTCGCCGTCTGTGGTGGAACGCACCTCGTCCTCGCCCGTCTTAACGAGGCCGCTCTTCTCGTTGTACTCATGGGGCAACGGTTTGTCGTCCTCCGGGCGGGGAGCGGCGGCGACGGGTCCTTCAAAGTCGATGAGGTCTTGGACCTTCTCGACGATCACCTTCTCGCACGTAGCTTCGCCTTGTCCTCCATTGCTAGTGCTACCCTCGTCGTCGTTCGCGTCGGCGCCTTGGACAGCAGCCACGGAGCCTTCCTCGATGCGCGGGACGATGTCCCAAGCGATGGCGCGACGGAGCACATGCTTGCGGAAGTACGAGATCGTGTAGACGGAGAGCGATACGCACGCAACGACCAGGAGCGACGCGAGCGCAGACACGGCGAGTACAACGAGGGCAGGTGAAGGAGGTGCAGGAACGGGTACGGAAGAGCCGACAGTCGGGGTGTCCACCACAGGCGACTGTTGAGAGTCGTCATCGGCTGCCGCGAGCGTGTGCTCAGAGGCGTCGGAGTCCGAGGTCTGGAGATGCGCAAGCTCGGGAACAGGTCGTACGCCACCGTCAATGTCTTCCAGACTGCCGTTCGCGGTAGGAGAGTTACGGAGCAGCTCGTAGAGCTGCTTCTCTTCACCCGTAAGCTCGCTGAGCTCAGCGCCATCTGCGCCGATACCCTGCCCAGCGTCGCCAGCGAGAGCGGAGAACGGCAGGGGTAGAACGGCCTTGACGGCATCAAGACCTTCGAGAGCGGCGAGATGCGAGGTGAGGACGGAGGGAGAGGTTAAGTGGACGCGGATGTCGGTGTCCGAGAGAGAAGACGGGAGCCCGGGGAGAGGTTGTCTGGCGGACGATGCGGTCGTGAACACGGCGGACACGAGACACAATGACAGTCAAGGATACGCACCCCGTCCGACTCTGAAAGACTGCCTGCACGGCATCCCGCAAGCTCTTGGTTGTACCGGCGCTGGTCTTTAGTCCGCCAGCGTCCCTGGGTGTCGTGGCGTTCGCACGTCAGCGGCGATCGTCCAGTGACGGCAACGGTCTCGATGAGAACGTGGCGCAGAAAACGCGGACTCACAATTGTGCATTCTTTCCATCGCCATGCTCCGGGTCCGCGAGTGGGTAGGGCCTTGCAGAGACGACGAGGGCGAGGAGGGAGATGGAAACGAAGATGGTAAACGTCATACCAATTCACGGTGATTGCACAGCGATCCTGAGTCTGTACTTAGACAGACATTGCGGCGCTGCACGCACGAGAGAAACACGAGATGGTTGGGATGAAGAGAGAAGGCGGACACGGAGCACCAGCTCGAGTCTCGATGCAACGTGAATGCCGCGAGGTGGCTGTATCCGGCCAAGCGCCCCCGCGCTTCACGCCACCGTGACCGTCCCGCCGCCACATGATCCCCGGCGCGTCCTTGCTTCAAATATCAACTTGCAATCTACAGTTCTGATGGAAGATTGCTCAGCAAATGTGTATGGAACACTCGCTCGACCCGATTTTAAAGTGCGTCCATCGGAGGCTTGGCTCGAGCTCGCTGCAGTGACGGAGAGGTTCGAGCGGGGGAGGATTGTCGCAGTCGAGGCGGCACAGGCCCGCTTTATATGTGCAGAGGGTGCGGTCAAGAGTGGAGCTCGTACGCAAGCTGTCACTATTTATAGAGTCGATGCGCGAAGAAGGGCAGGCCGATGACGAAAGAACTGAACTTGCGACTAGAACGGCAAGCAGGCTACCAAGAATAGCAAGTACGGAATGCACAGGACGCACGCACACCCGGGTGACAACATACGCCGAGGTAGCCTCAGCCACCGCGGGGTCTCTGTTGCCTAAGCAGCCTCGTTCCTATCGATATTGCTTACGTGCTCATCAAGTGTACTTACTTCGCTCAGTCACTCAATCAAACAGACAACATCAGAGCATCGTTCCCAAGTACAATTACTATGCCGGAACAGGCACGACTACAACAGATCTTGCATAAGTTATGTCCAACTAACAAATCAGTCAGTCATAGAAAACGAGCAGACGGAGCTCGATCGACTCCCTGAACGGGGCGTCCTTGGGCGTGCTCGGATCCTGGAACGCAGTGTGAGGCGTCAGGACCGCCGTGTTGTCCTCAGTCTTCGAGTCAAAGCTACAGAACCATACTGTCGTCAGCCAACCTCATCCATATACGTGTCACTAGCGATGCTCACCACTTGATGAAGACGAACTCCTCCGGCGTCATGCCCCGGAGGTACTTCCACTTGTGGTTCGGGTTGAACTTGACGCTGTTCGTCTCGCCCTTCCTGTCCGGATAGATCAGGTCGGTGGCCACAAGGTCCGTCTTCGGGTCCACGCTCCGGTAGTCGCACAGCGCGAGCGGCCAGTCGTACGCGGGGTGTGAGATGGGCCGCCAGAGGTTGATGATCTGGAACCGGCGCTGGAGGAGCGCGGGGGCCTCCGCCGGCGGGAGGTGTCGGTGCACGCGCGCGATGGCAGAGGCCGTCGTCTGGTCGACGTGCGCCAGCGGGACGGGCTGACGCTTCTGCGGCGAGTCGTCAATCTCGCCTGGGCGGCGGCGCCGGATAGCTGAACCAAGTCAGCATACGCTCACAGTGCGGACGAAGACATGCGTGACTTACTGTGATCGAAGACGACGGCACGGCTCGCGCCCGTGATCTTCTTCACGAGCTCGATGCTCTCGGGGTAGTACTCCGCCTCGATCGCAGCATCGCTCGTGAACGTCTTGTGTGCGGCGGCTTCGTGGCCGAACTGGAAGCCCGCGGTGTCGAGCGTCACCGAGTCTTCCTTGCCGCGGAGGTTCTCGACCTCGACAGAGTGCAGCTCGGGGTTCCAGTTGTTGCGGCGCTTGCCGACGAGGGGGTCCGCATTGATGTCGGTATAGGGCTTCGAGCCGTCCTCTGGGGGCGAGAAGTAGAATACGTCAGCGGTAACGGATTGTGGCTGATCGGACATGGCGCCGGCGGAGTGGAAAGTGGGTTGCGATGAGGGGAACGGTTACGGAGGGCTGGTGAGCACGGAAGAAAGGGCCCATGACCTCCGCTTTATATGTGTGTGCAAAAGCTCCCAGGGATGGCGTGCTCTTTGAACATGCAGCCGGCTGACAAAGCCTCTTCAGCCTCCGTTTCTCACTAAGATAGGCTCAGTAAGGATGTCCGGCAGTCAGTCCGACTCTGTGAGGGTGGAATTCCGGACACCGATGGCGACTGATGAAGTAAACGTACCGCGCATTGCTGACGGAGAACCCATACAGTACATGCAGCTCTGCGCGCCGTAGTGCCGCGCAAGCTGAAGCTGATTCACCTGCTGCCCTCCGCTGCCTGATCAGCGTAGGCATGGCCTGCGTCCGGGAACTTGCCACTAGACCCTAATCAAATACATCGATGCGACTCAGTCGAACCTCGGACTTCTTCGACTGCGACACTGAACGTGACCTCAAACTCGCATCATGGCGGGCGCCGAGACGACGGGCAAGTGAGACGTTCAGAGATGGAAGGGGCGGGCAATGAAAGGGCGCTCACCTAATCGTACGTGATGCGCGGACGACCAGGCCAGGCCTGCAGTGCGGGCTACCGACAATATCGGGCAAGGCAACACCAGGCCCTATATACGGCGGTGAGCACCATGTCTAAGATAGTCGCTAAGGGACAGCTCACCGGTTTGCACGCCGGCCCTCGACTCGCTACACGCTACGACTCAAACGCGACCAGAATTGCGCTGCGCTACGAGTGGAGGAGGCGCTACACTACGTATATACGAGAAGAATCGCTGCGTCACGAACCGGAGCGGTGTGCCCGGAGTTCGCCGGTGCTCTCTACATAACCGTACAACTCACGAGAAATCCCGACGTCCTGGAACACTGCTAGTAATCTCCCACTGCTAGAGTGTATCCAGCCTCGTCTAGCCTTTGGAACAGCGCATAGAGTAGGTCGATAAGCGAATCTCTGTCCTCGACCAGCTGAGGTAGTGGAGGGTGTCAATAAGAGGGAACTCTACTGAGAAAGCATTCACGGACCCAATGATAAACCAACTCCACTACGCGATGGAGACTTTGCTTCCACGCAGCTTCATTGACGTCTGGACTGGGCCCTAGAATAGAAAAGCTGTTGCCTTCATAACAAACTCGATTTGCCCATGTCGTCCTTGGAGAAGACCGAAGAAATCCACTTGCGACCATCTGTCAAGCAAAACTCAACGACCGTGGCTCCGTTTACAGAGTTTTTCATAAGAGTCAGACGATCAGGAGAATGCTGAACCGTACCCGGGCACCTCGCACAAAGTAGCAGCCTGACTGATCACCTCCGGCATAAAATCGTACAACGGTTTGTCTTGAACCGGCTTTCCCTCAATGAAGAATGTGCTGGATTTAGATAGTAGCCTAATGTCATCAATGTCAGCACATAGAACACGGTCAGTCAAGCTGAATGTAAAGAAGATCGAAAGGGCCTTGCCTTTCCGAACATCTTCCTGTTCATATGTGCAAAGACTGTAGTTGACGTCGCCAGTGAACTACGTTTCGGAGCCGGTGATAGGATTCTTGAGGGGAATACCGGCTCCCGTCGCAATTCTCATTTCATGCAGGGTCGCGACGAGAAGTTTCGCAATGTGCATTGCCATCGGAGGAAATCTTCGCCACGGTGAGGAGAACAGCGTCCAGAATCATCCTGGCGCCTTGTTCAAAACCGTCATTTTAACATATGCGACCACTCGGAACCTTTACTCACCCGCATGCTGACATGCCGGTGATGCCACTGAATGCACCTGGTTCGCAAACACAGCTGCTGGATGTCCCTCTCTCGTGCATTCCCGGCCTCGAGCGGCGCTTCAAGCTTGTCGGTTCGAATTTGGACGAACTGGCGGTCGATGCGGACGTTTCTCAAATCAGTATTCGAGACGGATGAAAATGAGAGCTCCTGATCAAAGTAGATCCATTCGGGCGGGTTAGACATCGACAGTGAACGATAGACACAAAGACGTGCTGGCTTCGCTGTACTAAGGATGCCTTGAAGCACTTCGACCTGCGTCATGATTGCGCGGAGCCTTCCCCAGCCGTTTACTCGATGCCTTCAAGCTCCTGTTGCAGGGAGAGAAGACCGGATCTCGCCTTCTGCGCCTGTGCTCTTTTCCAGAGTGCGACATTGTATGTACTCTCTTGATAAGAGATGGTCCGAGTGGGAGGAGGAGGAGATGAGAGTGGCCAGAACTGGCGAGGCGGGTTCGCTCGTGTTGAATGTGAACTGTGACATGTGCACGTGATCTGGTGACATACGCGACAGAAGGCTCAAGGTGTGTGATGTCCTCCAACTAAGTATTGAGGTTCAACACAAAGTATTAGCATTCAGGGCCTCATGAGTCAACTATGGGTGCTCGAACACAATGTGGCTTCTACGGAGCCAGGTGCAATACTACGACGTGGTAAATGATGTGGCGGAGACAGGCAAGGATCAAAGACAGATAACGAAATACTGCTAAGTACGAGCGGCGCAAAGAAGCGATAGAACACCGGTTGAATGTGATGTACGGGTGAATGGGATCGGGATGTATGCACAAGGAGACATAGATACGAGAACATGCTATGGTGACAGATATGCGACGGAGGATGCGAGTGCGGATGCAGATGAAGACAGGTATATATCAGAACGGAACGTGTGCTGTGCGAAACGTAGTAGTATGTGAACGGCACGAGTTTAGTTTCCAGTACGTGCAGGAGGAAGAGTGCGAGGCTTCGTTACGGGCGTGTGGCGTGACGCAGAGTCCTGTGTGTGGTCGACGAGGATGAGATGAGATGAGATGGTACGGAGATAGCGTGTGCTCGACGCTGGTTGCGGCGATCTAACCCGCATTCAACGCCGGCGCCCGGAGTGATCGAAGACGCGAACGTCACCTACAGGGACCCACTTGCACGGGATCCGTACACGCACTTGCAATGCATGGCGCACAGCGACGACGACGAGTTCTTGGCCTGGGATAGTCTTCTCGGTCCTATATAAGATTGAACATCGGACGACGACCGTCGGGTTCTTGTGCGAACATCACTTGAACAGCAAGGATTAGTACATGTGTCTACATCCCACACGGCTGTCACGCCGGACGCACCTCTCTTCTCACCTCGCCTCAACCGGAGCCGACCGCGCAGAATGGGAACCGGAGCCACGACATCGCATCCCCACGACACGACCACGGAGTCTACAGCCCCCTCAAACCTTCCGCCCATCCCTCCCTCGCCCTTTGATGAACAACGATCTCGACAGCGCCATACACGCAGCCCCAACCGCCGCGACGCACTGCACCCAAGCCACGGAGTCAGCGCGCGGACCGCAACAGTGATAGATGGCACGAGGCAGACAGATGAAAGGAGAGCTGCTTACGCCGGTAAATACGATCGCGCGCCACCACGTCAACGGCCCGCCCGTACTCGTGCCCAGCAACGCGCCCGCGATGGGGTTCCCGATGAGATTCGCCGCAGCCACCGCGGTATACGCGAGCCCCATCTTCACGCTGTCGGAGTCGCAGATGAGCATCAGCGCCACGCGTGAGCACCAGGCGAAGCAAACTCGAAGCGCACCCCAGTTCTCCCATATTTCTGCATAGCTGAACGAGCAAGCTAGGGATCAACGAGATGTCTGCGCAACCAAAGCGCCGTCAGCGCCTCGCCGGATCCCGACGCGGTATACGTAGTAGGAACACTCACACGCGCCCGATACGAAACCAAAGATCAGCCCGACGAGGACGACGCCCGGCCCGTTCGTCGCGCCGAAGATGGCGAAGATGAGCCCGGCGCATGCGGCCATCGCGGGCACGAGCATGTTGTACACGCCGAGCTTGTCCGCGAGGAAGGTGGGGACGAGCCGCCCGAGTGTACTTCCGGCGTTGAGGATCACAAGCTGTATATAAACAGTCGTCGACGAAGCACTGTCCCGTCAGCAAAACTCAAAGCACAGTGGAAGATGGACGCACGGAATAGGTTGTAATACGCGAGCTGACGCCGTGGTCCACCGCGAACAGCTGTAGATAGAAGACTGCAATATGCGATCGTAATCAGCCGTCAGCCAAACGCGCGCTTTCGAGACCACTCACGCGGAACGTACACCCCCAAGCTCGTCAGAAACGCTCTACGCAGTCGATCAGCACACGCACCCGACACCTTATACACACCACCACTCACCCGCATATACTCCACAAATACGCGCCGTCCCAGACGATGCCGCGCCACGCCTCCAGCCTCGCCGCGCCCCTCGAACCGTCCTTCTCCTCGACACGACCCGCGCGCTTCGGCGGGAGCCGCGTGCGCATGAGGCAGTTGGCCACGACGAGGCACCCGCCGACGACCGCGCCGCTCGCGCGCACCGCGTTCGCGAAGCCGACGGCAGGGTCTTGGAACAGCCTGCGCACAGCAATCGTAAGGAGACGACGGACTGCGGCGAGAAGCGCGACGCACCGGTTGAGCATGATGGGGAAGACGATCCCGCCGGCACTCGAGCCGCTGACCGCGATGCCGACGGCGAGGGCGCGGCGGGCGCGAAAGTGGTGGCCGACGACGGAGAGCGACGGCAGGAAGGTGAGCCCGAGCCCGAGGCCCATCCCGACTGCCTGCGCGAGGAACACCTGTGCGAGACGTGCGTCAGAACGTCAAATTGCTAGCGCGTCCGTATTGGACTGGCAGAAGGCCAGGACGTGGGAGCGATGGCGTGTCGCGGGAGCGCGAGCGAACGCGACCAGTGGGGACGAGAAGAGGAGTAAGCAGCAAGTAAGCAGACCGAGTCAGCGGGCCGTAGCAGCGACGCAGGCTCGCACATATGTACTGCTCGCGGCCACGGTATCAGAGTTCGCAGCCCATGCTACACCCCGCGAGAACGTCTCGCCAAATACAGCCGGCGAGCCTCACAAGGGAGGAGCGCCCACTGCGCAGAAGCCTGATAGGCTGGCGGAGCGGACACGGTGGAGACGTCTGGGGAGACTTTAGACTCTGGGTCTGCCTCGCCGATCGCACGGGCCGGTGCGAAGACGCGGGGGAGGTGCGGGGTTCTGCGTCGGCCGCAGTGCACGCCGCGCGCGCTCCACACGACGCGCAGCGAGGACGACGGTGCGGTGAGCCCAGCACGTCGTGAGGGCCGAGAGGTCGAGTGCAGACCCCGGTTGCACGCTGGACAGCAAGCGGGGGTGCCGGGCTACGAATTTACGGTGGGGGAACGAGGCACGGAGACGGAACGCACCTGGTAGTATTCTCCCGGCCGTGCGAGGCTGAGCATGAAGATGCTGAAGACGTAGAGCAGCGCGCCGAGGATTTCGAGATGGTGGCTGTATGCGCAACGGGATAGGCGTAGACGCGAAGGAGAGGACGCATGCAGTCAGCGTTCGTCCGCTAAGTGCGATGGTGGACTCACAAGTAGCCGGCGTCGAACGCGCGGCCCACGAACACGCCCGGCGCATACATGAGGCAGAGCTGGAGGCTGCCGATCCAGCTACGCGCGGCGGGTCCATCAGCCTGCAGGTAATGTCGAAGGGACAAAGGGGCGCACCTGATGTTCGAGCTCGTCTCCGCGGGGAGGTAGTATGTGGTGTAGTAGTCTGAAACGACGCGTTCGTCGGTCGGCAAACATCGCGCGACGCAGCGACGCACCTTGGTATACGCCGAAGGAGCTGATGTACCTGCGCGCGAGGGATTAGCGAGGCGCGAACGCGCGTGTGGCGCTGAGCACTCACCCGAACGTCGCGAACTGCACGAGCCAGCTGGGGAGGAGTCAGCGGCGAGTGTACAGGCGTCGGCTGGGAGACTCACGCGCCAGCGACGGTCATCCACGCGCTCGCGCCTCCGTCGGGCGGCAGTGGCGGGCCCGCGCCCTCCCCGCGCTTGCTCTCGACGTCGCCGTTCCCGTCCCGCGCGTCCTCGGCGTCCGCAGGCGCAGCCACCTCGCGCACGTCGCCGTCGAGGTCGGCGGTGAGGACGGCGGGGGCCTTGGTGGCGGCGAAGGACGCCGAGGCGGCGGTGGAGGAGAGGGACATGGTCGACGAGGAGGGACAGAGGCGGGACTTGAGGTTGAGGTCGACGGTGAGGGCGGGCGAGGGGGACGGCGGCATGTAGGTGCGCGCGGGACCCGGGTGCGGGGGCTGGAGCGGGGCGGCGGGTGGCGGTGGGAGTGCTGGGGGCGGGTCGGGAGGAGGGGAGGGTGGAAGAGAGGCCATGGGAGGCGATGCCGTAAACGGAGAGTCAGGACGGTGATGCAGGGTCAGGGAGCGTCGGCGAATAAAGAGCGAGAGGCGCGCGGCGATGAAATGAAGTGGCCGGGGAGCGCGTGGGCGGGGACACAGCGACCGGCCACCGTCGCGCGTGATACATATGCCCCGCCCACTGCGTCTCTGCGCGATCCGCACACGCACGCCGCCGCCCGAGCAGCCTGCGCCACGACGACGCCGCCGCCGCCGTCGAGGGCGTCGTTCGCACAGAAACCCTGGAATGGGAACGACAGGGCCGTCCGGGCGCACGCGATGCACGTCCTGGGAACGCCACGTCAACGGTGCGTCAAGGTCTTCTCCATTCGAACCGCACAGACCGCGCTGGCTCCTTCTCTGATTGCGATGCGCGTCCATTTCACCTCCCACCGTGACTGGCAGCCCTCCCCGTCGTCGGCTTCCAGCAGTCCGCAGGCCGTCTTCGTCAACGCGACGCGACACGTGCAGCACGCTTCGTGGGCCGCGTCAGCTTAGGGCCTTCTTGCGTAGGCGACGGCGAAAGCGAGGAGGCCAGGGCGTGCGACGTCGACGTCGAGGGCGCGCGATCAGCCACGCAAACGCAATCGCCGGTGGATCTCGCCACCGCAAATTGGCCGGTGGCCCGGCGCCCCGGTGCGGTCGGTGATTCGCCGGTGAGTTGCCGGCGGGTCGTACGCGTCGCTGTTGGCCTCGTTGCTGCCCACGCCGTCCTCAGTCTGGCTATCGACGCGCCCGGCATTCAAGTCTCCTGCTGACGTCGCCCGCCGGCGTTGGATCCCCTGCGGCACACTTCCCCGCTCTTGCCACACGTCCACTCATATATCATACCGCTCCTCCGGCGACCTAGCCTCGCGTCCGCCTCTCGCCCGCGATTCATATCACCAGCGCGTGGCGGCCTCTCCTCTTCATTGCGCATACTGCATCTCGCCTCGCTTTGCTACTCTGGTCGCCGTGTCACTCGACTCGCCGCACATCTCCGTCGACTCTGGAGCTCAGCCGCGTCTCTGGCCTCACCCGAACGTCAAGCTCCGAGGGCACGCGTTACGCCTGTTGATAGCCCGTCTGCGTTACAGCTGCTTCCGGCAACCTCGGTGAGTCTGTTCAGATGCCCTCCCTCAGCAGACTGCGCGCTGCGACGACGTGGCCCTCCCTCTCGACGCGAGCCTTGTTCGCTCGGGCGACCCACCAGCACGGCATCTCAGCATACCGTGCTGGATACCGGGCGTAGCGGACGAGTGTCCTCACGACTTGCAGGACGGCGGGCCGCACCGGCAGTACAGGGTGGCGGACAGCGCCGATCGCGGTTAAGGTGGCGGATGGCCAGCAAGGCAATCCTATGTGGATGTGCCCGGGATACTGATGTGAGCATTCCCTGCAGATGATCATTGCAGTCCCCGACGGCTGACAGGCCCGCAAAACCGAAGACTTGACGAGGACATCCGGCGTTCAGCATGCCACGACCCAGCCACTCCGATTTTCCGACGCTGCCACCTCTGCAGAGTGGACACGGCCACGCGAACACTACGCCTGCCTGGTATGGCTAGCGTTCGCAATCAAACAGCGCATGACGTCGAGATGGATGACAAATGTCCGCACTAGCCGTGTCTGTTCATGTCAGTTCTGACCCAGACAGACATGACCAAGTACGTGCTCACCGGTGCGACAGGCGGGCTCAGCTCACAGGCACTGCTCTTCCTGCTGCACCTCGTGCCCGGTACGTCCCGTCGATGGCACGCACTGTCCGCCACCCTCACTCTCCCCAGCCTCCCACATCGTCGTCTCGCTGCACAACCCCGCCGGCGCGTCCCCGACGATCGTCTCCTCCGGCGTCGAGGTCCGCAAGGGCGACTACGCGGACCCCGCCTCGCTGCGCACCGCGTTCGCAGGGGCCGACAAGCTCCTGCTCGTGTCCTACCCGTCCATCGCGCACGAGCTGCGCGTGCGCATGCACAAGAGCGCGATCGACGCCGCGCAGGCCGTGGGGATTTCTACTACACGAGTCTCGCGTTCGGGTTCGGGGCGCAGCGCGCGCTCGTGCCGCCCGGCGAGCAGGAGAGCGTCGCGGAGGTGATGCAGGCGCACCTTGACACCGAAGCGTACCTGAAGCACAGCGGGCTGACGTACACGATCCTCCGCGAGGGCATCTACAGCGAGAGCTACCCGCTGTACTTTGGGTACTGGAGCCCGAGCGAGGGCACGGACGAGGTCGTCGTCCCGCACGGAGACGGCGCGATCGCGTGGGTGAGCCGCCCGGACCTGGGAGACGGCACGGCGAGGATCATCGCGGCGGTGTGTGCGCTTTGGCCGTATCTCTACTGCGACTGACAGCCCCACAGGAGAGCGGGTACGAGAATCGCACGCTGCTGCTGTCCGGCACGCGCGTCGTCACGCTGTCAGCGCTCGCGTCCACGGTCTCCGCCCTCCTCAACCGGCCCGTGCACCTGAAGGTCGTCTCGGAGGGCGAGTACGTCGCGGCGCACACCGGGCGGCCGGGGCCGCGCGGCGAGGCGGGCTTTCTCCGCAAGTGGGCGACGACGTACCGCGCGCTGGGGCGGGGCGAGTGTGCGGTGGCGGACCCGACGCTGAGGGAGATCATCGGGAGGGAGCCGACGCCGTTCGAGGAGACAGTGAGGGAGATGTGGGGCGTCGACGGGGAGGGTGCGGTGGATCCGTATGCACGGTGACGGTCATGTATGTACGAGTATACAGAAGTAAAATTTCCAGCCATAGCTTACAACGCCCGTCGACGACTACGAGGCGAACGCACAACGTACTGGTGAGAAGGATCCAGACATCGAACGTACAGACCGCTGATTGCTGGCCCGCCGCACGCTGCACGTGGCTGGCGGCGGCGCTTAGACGCGGGGCGCGCACCGACAATCGTGTCCTCGACGTCGACCACGACGGCGGCCAGTGTTGCTCACCTCTGCTCTGCTCGCTCGTCTGGCCGATGTCTGCGCTCGTCTGCATGTCCTGCTTGCTGCCCGCCTCGTCTGTGTCTCCACTGCTCGCTGGGTGTCGACCTTGTCGCTGGCTGCCTGTGTCTGCCTTGTGCGACTGTCCGAGGAGAAACGGAGAGATAGGCCCAGTTTCAGTGCACAAAGGAGCACACGTGCTCAAGGCCCTTTAGTAGTGCAGCAGAGAGCTCGCGCGGTCACGGCACTTAGTGAGGGTGCGATCGCAGCGCACAAGGCCGTCAGGGAGACGACTCCGACGCAGACATGCACTTAAAAACGCAAGTGCGCGGCGCGCAAGGTACGTTGTGTCTACTGTAAAATACGGTAGCTACTTCAACGGCCCTCCCCACAACATCGCCCCGGACTCTGCTCCTGCCACTTCAAGATCTACGCGCAGCCTCCGGATCACCTCCTCCCCTCGCCCGCATTGGCTGCGACTCCTCCAACAGGCTCGCGAGGCTGCCCGGGCTGAATCTGTGCCGCAGGACAGTCGTCAGAATCGCCACGCGACGGCAAGATATGTGAGGCCATGGCTGGATGGCTGCAGACAATGCGCCTTCCAAGCTCCATCCTCCGTTACACTC